CTATTCTCCAGTTAATCCCTTAAAGTTATGGAAATCATTGTAGTTCTATTTAATGAACCACCGAACTGTCAAAAATAATATTTAAAACATTGTTGACTAAATTTAAAATTTTAGTTGAGACAAAGAAAAAATCTTTGAGTGATGAAGAGCGAAATGAACGTTTAATTAAATTATATAAACAAAATTTTTCATCAAAATATCAAGATAATTCAATCGTTACAAAAATAGAAACACACAAATTAACACCTTCAGTTGAACATAAATCTATGGTTGTCTCTTTAAAAGATGTCTTGAATGATAATGAGGAGGATAATAAACATAAAAAGAAAGAAAAACAATTAGACGAAGATTCTGATGAAGATCAAGTAAGGAAGGAGATTTTTAAATTAAAGATGGTCAAACCCAAAGATACTCTTAAGGATTAGATATATTGCTTTAAACTAGGATAGTAGCAACCTGACCCTTGAAACCCCGAACTCCGATATGCCTTCCCCGGCAAACCGTGACACACCCGACCCCGAAGGGTCGTGTTGCACTCTACTTTAAACTTTGGTAGACATTGGATTGAGGGGATGGGACTGCTTGACCCAATTTAAATTATATTTTTTAGTCCCAATCTGGTATTTAATAATCTAATCTTTAATTTAAATTTTATTAAAGTTTGAAGAAGATGAAGATACAGAAGAAGAAGATGATGAAAAGAAAACAACAATAGTTCCGGCCCCAAGTTCAACACAAAAAATCCCAGTTAAAATCCACGTAGAATTACTTAAACCTTATGGAATGGCTAAATTAAAATCAAAAGGAGGGGAGGAATCTTCAAATGAAGAAGATGAGGATGATGATGAAGAGGAGGAAGAAGGGGAAATTATTAAGGATGGAGCTAAAAGAAAACAAATAAAAAATATAAATATAGAACCGATTGTTTTGGCTCCATCTCCAAATGAATTTTTGGAAGAAAATAATGGGGAGGAAATTGTTAATAAACATTATAGTAGAGCATTATTTAAAGCTCGTCATAATAAAAAGGTAACTAGAAATTAATTAATATTTAAACAAAAAATATTGCAAAAATCAGACCTGTTCACGGATACTGATTTTGGTATCCGTATCCGGATATTTATGATGGATACAGGCGGATATCCGCAGGCATTTTGATATTATCTGTATCCATGAGCAGGTCTGGTAAAAATTTGATTTTTCTTTCGAAACTTTGTTAGAATTATCTAAAAAATTATTTTTAACTAAAGGAAGAGGAAGATGTTAGTAATTTACTTGAAGATGCTAATTTAATTATTTTACTTGGACTTGTTGCTTTAGTAACCCTTACTTTGGCAATTGTAGTATTTTTGTTTAGAGGAAGAAGAAATCGACATCGAGGATTTATTGAAGTAAATTTAAGAAGAAAATAATCTTTAATTAATTATTTAGGTGGATGTTTGTACTCCAGAAGAAAGTCACATAACTGGAATGCAAGTTAATGGATATGAAAATCGTAAATTTATAAAAATAATTTTTACAAAGTTTTTTTTCTTTAGCAACTTATGCATTTTTTGAGAGTAAACAACAAATTTAAAAAATTAAATTTTGAATGATTTAAAAAGGAGAACAAAAAAATAATAATTATTTAATATATTCCTTTTTTGGAGTATTTTTATTTAAATTTTTTTGTTAATTCTTTTTAAAAATATTGACGAAGTTTAGATTTTAAATATTTTTTTGAATTTAATTTTTTTCTTTTCTTTTTTTTCTCTTCTTTTCTGTGTGTGTAAACAGTTTTCTATTTACCTGAATATTTCCGGCAATAATTTAGAGAATTAAAAAAATATTTTTTTCTAAAGCTTACAAAACAAAAACTTAATTTTCTTTTCCTTCTTTCTTATTTCCTAAAAACCAATTTATTTTCAAGCATTTTATTTTTTATAATCATTTAAAGTCAGGTTTTTATAAAAACAAAAGAATTTTTAGATTTTTCTTTGAAAAATAATTTTTGATTTATTAAAAAAAATCTGACTAAATAATTTTTATTTTCCCCAATATCTCATTTAAATTGTATTCTCGAATATACATTTTCTCAAAATTAAAAACTGCTTACACACGTTTTTATTTTTTTTTTGTTAAAAACACTACACAATAAGGAACACACAATTTTTCTTTATTTTTATTTTTTAAATAAATATCTTTCTTAGAAATTTTGAAATTTATTTAATTTAAAGGAAATTAATTTTTTAATAAAGGAGAATAGGAAAACCCCCTAAATAATTACTATCGTTTAGAGAAAAATCGGCCCTATGTGATTTCACGAAAATAAGGAAAAATATGATCCCGGTACTCCTTTCCTTTTCGGGCCGAATAATCCCTATAATTTTCAATTATTTTTTGAAATAAAAAGAAATTAAAACAATTAACAAATATTTATTAACATAATCACACATTTTTTAACTATAATAATGGAAGGAAGCAATTTAAAATAAATAGAGGTGAATTACTAAATAAATAAAGAATAGAAAACAAATTAGAATTTTCCAAAAATTTTCCATTCTTTAAAATAAGTAAAAGCGCAAAAATTAGAATTTTTCTTCAAAAATATAAAATAAAAAATACTTTATATAGGGCAGAATATAATCTTTATAGTATAGAGCAGATTAATATAAGGCAATATTTTTTAAAGTAATTTTTAATAAATTTGGAAGATAAGCTTTTAAAAGATTTGGAAAGAAAAATAATGAGGGAAATTAAATAGTCTGACAATAAGTAATTTTAATAAAGAAGTCGGCATTTTAATTTAAAAAATAGATACTTTTTGGTAATATAATAAAAACTATTGCATTAAATAAGATAAAACTTAAAATTTTAATTAAAAATTTCTTTTTTCCCACAATTTTTTAATCACAAATGAGGACTTATTCTTTTTTTAAAGAAAGAAAAACAAAAAATAAATAGATAATCAACTAATAGAAATATATATCTAAATTAATATATTTATATGTATAAGTGAATATTTTTGAAGCTTATTTTTAATGAGCAGCCAAATTAATTAATTTTATACCAAACAAAAACAAATATTTAATAAAATCTTTTTCTCGAACGTTCCTGCCTTTTTTGGAGAAAAATAAATCCAAACCCAAGAACTCCAACAACCACAACAATTCCAATAATTATCAAAAATATTGTACCAATCCAGCCAAGCTTTGATGGTTTTTTATCTGGCACATGATCTCTTGGAGCAGCAAAACTTAAAAAAAAATTTTTAAAAATAAAAACATAAGGGAAAAGATGACAATATACATAACTTCAATTTTTAATTCATGTTCCCGCCTAAATTTCGAATTCAAAAAGAGCCAACCGGTAAAGGGTAAAATATTTTTAATGAAAATGAAAAAACTTACTTTGAAGCAAAAGGCTCAATTTTATCACTATTTGTTTCAAAAGGTTTTTCAACACGAGCATATTCTTGTTCAAACATTCTAACACTTTTTAGATCGTGTGTATCTTCAAAAAAAATTAATTAATTTTTATTTTATTTTTAAAATAAACCAGTCAAGTCCCCAGTAGCAGCAGAAATGCCAAAATAAAAATTTGTTGGCAAAATTACTCCATCAACACGAAAACATAATTTCCAAGTCCTTTCATCGGAAATATCAGTGAAAATCTTTAAAAAATTAAAATAAATATTGAAAGAAAAAATTTGTTTAATTAAATAAACATACCGACAATGTATTTCCAACATAACGAACAAGCACAAATGTTTCGTGATCTTTGTTGCGAAATCCTGCCTCACATCCTTAAAATTTTTAATAAACGGAGAGAATTATTTCAATCAAAGATTTTTAACCAAATACAGGATCAAAATTAAATTTTTAAAATTATTTGAACTAACCGCTTTCCTCGCCACCTAGTTGTGTATGTGTTCCATCTTTATCATGGTCATAATGCAAAGACCCATTAGAGACCATAGCAGAAATAAAAGGATGGGAATGCTAAAATTAAAAAATATTTTTAAATTTAAGAAAAATTTTAAAAACCGAATGAGGTCCATTGTGATTACTATAAGTGTCAAGAAAAATCCCAAGACCACGAAAATAATCTTTTGAACCAAATACAGGTCCAACAATATTCGGGTCTTGCACGTACCAAATTGCAAAGCCATCTTAAAAATTTTTGAAAGTTAATTCAAAAATTAGAAACCTCCAAATAAAGTCCCTGTAGAGCCATGAACACGAAAATCAACAACTAATTCCCAATCTCGAGCATGATTAGGCTAAAAAATTTTTGATACAAAATAGATCAAAAAATATATTTTTGTACTTACAACTTTATTCCAAATTGCCCCTTGTTGACTTCGTGCATCTCTTGTAAGACGTATCTCATTTTGCATAACCATTGTGCCTCCAACAATTTCCCAATTTGGAATATCCAATCCGGCACCTTAAAAAATATTTTTTTTCTAAAAGTTCTTTTAAATTTAAAACAAACTTTGGTAGGGTTTAATTAAAGAATGTTCTCTCTTATAATATCCTCTAAATTCTGTAGAAGGCCTTCCATCAATAAAGTTCACATTTTCATCCGCAAAGGACAAGTAAAGACTTATAAGGCAAATAAATAATTGAATATGAGCTTTTTGGTTAAAGAATTTTCCAGAAAACGTTAACATTTTTTGAAAAATATTCTGAAACTGAAAAATAAAAAAATTAAAATTAAACAAAAAATGACACGGAAGCAATAAATTAGTTTCAACAAAATGATTGAAAATGCGATAATTCGAAAATAAAAAAATAATTAAAAATTAGACTACACAAAAGATAAGAGACACGAGAGATATTTGTTATTTTAAATTTCTTGTAAACATTACGCCAAATTAAAATTTTTAAAAGAAATCGTTTCGAAAATAAATTTTAGGTTTCGGCAGTTTGATTTTCTCCGTCTTATCTCTAAATTTCAATTGGATTTTGATTTCATTTTTTAATTTTTATTATTTGTTTTTTTTAATTTTATCATTGATGAGAATTCTTGTTGGAGTTAAACGAGTAATTGATTTTGCTGTGAAAGTTCGTGTGAAAAAAGATGGAACTGGAGTTGTAAAGGATGGGGTAAGCTAAAAATTTTTTTTAATATTTTATTTATATTTTTAGGTTAATCACTCAATGAATCCTTTCTGTGAAATCGCTTTGGAGGAAGCGGTTCAAATAAAAGAACGAAAGGAAAAAGCTGGTAAAGGACCTGTAGAAGTTGTTGCTCTCTCAATTGGATCACAAAAGGCTCAGGTTTTTAACTTTAAAATTTTACATAAGAAATTGTTCTAGGAAACTTTGAGAACAGCACTTGCTAAAGGTGCGGATAAGGCAATTCATTTGGAGGTGGACACTGCTTTTGAGGAAAAACTTGAACCAATTCATGTTGCCCGTGCAATTAGCAAATTGGTGGAAACTGATAAATATGATATGATAATTCTCGGAAAACAAGCTATTGATGATGATGCTAACCAGACTGGTTAATCTTTTAAAATTATTTTTAATTAATTTTTAGGCCAAATGGTTGCTGGTTATTTAAATTGGCCACAAGCAACATTTGCAAGCAAAGTAGAGGAAGAAGATGGTGGGACTCATTTAAAAGTAACACGAGAAATCGATGGAGGTTTGGATATTGTACGGGTTAAATTACCGGCTTTGGTCACAGCTGATTTACGTCTTAATACGGTTTGGAAATTATATTTAATTTAAAAAGAAAAATTTTTAGCCTCGTTATTCAACTCTGCCGAATATAATGAAAGCTAAAAAGAAGCCTTTAGAAAAGAAAGCACTTAAAGATTTGGGAATTGATTTGTCTTTACAAACTGAAATTTTGGAGGTTTTTAATTTTAAGTGGAAAAATAAAATTCTAATTTTTAAGGTAACAGAGCCACCAGCTCGTCAAGCAGGAGGGTTTGTTGATGATGTCCCTTCACTTGTAAAAAGTCTTAGGGAGAAGGGAGTTATTTAGATATTAATAGGTAGTTTAAAGGTAAAAAGACAAAAAAATATATTATTGCCATTTTACATATACACTATATTTTGACTTATATTTTTAAGAATTATAACTGTAAATTAATTGGAGCATAACTGGAATGTGTAAGAAATTTTTTAGGAATTTAAATTGGTAAGAATCTACAAAATTTAGTTTTTAGGGTTATGCTTCTTGTAAATCAGTCGATTAAGGCATTGCTCTAAAAAATAAAAATATTTTCATTCATTTGCCTTTACTGCATTAAAATTTAAAAATTCCTTCAATTAATTTTTTTTAATTTTTTGGCGATTTTATTTCGCTTTTATATTTCTTTCTTTTTTAAATTATTTTTACTTAAACAATTTTAGTAAAAAATGTTTACAAAAAGGATATTTTTTATTTTCTTCTGTTTTTCTTTTACTATTTATTTAAACGCAGCAAGTGATGCTGAAACTGACACACTTTCTGAGGTTTTTTCCTTTTTAATTTAAATAAAAAGTCTAATTTAAGTCAATCGACAAAAAACCTTTAAACTCTGCTCGTATATTGACATCAAAATTTACTCTCTCCCAGGTATTTTTCTTTTAATTTTTTAAAAATATTATTTTCTTTTAGTATGCAGTCGAAAATATGGATTTTGTAATTGAATATGTACTTTATAATGTTGGTGACAGAACTGCTTTAAAAGTCACAATGGATGATAGAAATTCTTTTCCCACACAATCTTTTGAAATTGTTAAAGGTTTTTTGCATGTTCATTGGGAGGAGATTGCGCCTGGAGAAAATGGTTTTTCTTTTAGATTAATTTTTAAAACCATTTTTCTAATTTTCAGTTACTCATTCTGTTATTGTGCGCCCGAGAACTTTTGGTATTTTTAATTATACTTCCGCAATGGTTACTTATTACCCAACAAATGATGCCAAACAAGCAATTATTAGCTATTCAACAGCTCCGGGAGAAGGTTTTAATAAAAATTAAAAAATAAACTTATTTTTAATTTTTAAAGGTAATATTTATCGTTTGAAGGACTACGAAAGACGATTTGCCTCGAAAATTAGTGTTTGGATTGGTTTTTTCTTACTTGCAATGCCCACAACTGTTCTCCCATTTATTATTTGGTTTTTAAATTTGTTTATTTTTTAAAAAAAAGTTCTTTTTTCAGGTTCCAAGTACAGAAGAAATATGCAAAAACACAAATTGGTCAAAAGAAGAATCGATAAATTATTTTTGTTTGTGTTACAAGGTTGTGTACAATAAATATATTAATAGTTAAAAATGTGTTTTATTGTTATAAATTTAATTTATTTTTGATAAATTGGAATGATTTTTAAAAAATTGTCTAAAAAATCAAAATTATATTCCTTAAAAATAATATTAATAAAATCAGAAAAATACTATTTTTGGCATTCAATTGTTTATCATAAAATCCCAAAACCAAAATAAAATGAAAGGAAATATAAGTTAAACAATAAAATCGAAAAATGTTAAAATTAATTTTTAAAATGGTAACGTACTTATATAAGAGATCCATCAAAATAATTTAAATAAACGTTTTAATCTTCATCAATTTTTGCCAATTTCGTTTTAGTTTCATCATTCTCTTTTCCATTTTCCGCAGCTCTTTTCTTCGGTGTTTTGTGTTGTAAAAGTGCAGTAACATCATTGACTTCCTGATTCTGTTGTTCAATATTTGAAGAATTTAATTTTTTCCCAATCATATTAACAGCATCAGCTAATTGGCAAGCACGAGATTTGGCAGATTCTGATGAATCTTTAAAGGATTTTCTATTTAAAACTTCAAAATATTCCATTTATGTTACCAGTCATTTTCTCCTTAATAGCCAAAACCAATCCTTGCAATTCCTCAATTTCTCCCTTAAGTTTTGAAACCAATTCTTGATTGTGTTTTGTTTCTTCCTTTGACAAATCCTTTTCACGATCTTCTTAAGAAATTTAAAATTGCCTTATAAACTTTTTAAAAATTTTCGTAAAAAATGTGAAGCTTCTAAAAACTCCTATTGATTTTGCTTAAATCAAAAGCCCAAAATATTTTTCAAACTTAATTACACTAAAATTCTAATTTCCCTTTAACCAAACAAAAATCACCAATTGTATTTTGCAAAACATTCTTTGCACGTTCAAAATATTCAGAAGATTTGGTAAAATCGTCATTATTTGCATAAGTCAACCCCATCATATAAAGCACTTCAGCAATTCGGCGATCACTTGGCTTATAAATTTCCTTAAAAACATCATATTCAAAAAAAATTTTATTATTATATTTTTACTTGTCGAACATGCAAAGCTTTCTCAAATTCAGAAATTGCTTGCTCAAATTCTTCAGCAACAGTCAAAAATTCTCCCAATGCAAAGAAAGCGTCAGATTTACGTTCCAACCAAAAATGTGTTTGTTCTTGCCTAAATAAATGATTGAAAAATAATTAAATTTTTCTAATTTTTATACTTTTCACAAATTTGGCGTGCAACTTCCAACCAATCCCAAGCCAAATCATTTTCATCATCTTCAGTCTCCTCATTTTCTTCCTCAGCATTCTCTTCATTTCCATTTTCAGTTTGTTTAGTTTCATTACCTTCATCATTTTCTTCTTTATTATCGCCCCCATCACCTTTTTTTTCGCTTAATTGATTCTCTAAAAAAGAAAGATTTCCGAAAAAATAATTAAAATTTTCAAACCTTCGCATTTTCCATCATCTTGTGATCCTTCATTCTCGGTTGCAATTTTTTCTTCATCTTCAGTTTCATCCTCATTATTATCATTTCCCGCTCCCAGTTTTTCGGTAAAAGGTTTGTTGACAGATTCAATTCGCGCAATCTATAAAAAAGATAACCAATCTTTATCAAAATCAATAAAGCCGAAATTAACCTGTGTTAACATCTTGCCATAGTTCAAAGCTGGTAGATAACATTCTGGCGCAAAATCTCCAAAGAATTCTGTCCTAAAATTTTTGTATGCGTGTTAAAAATCCAACAATATCCCCGAATATAAAAATATTTACTAACGCTGTATTAGTAGCCAATTCGAACTTATCAACAGCCTCTTCATACAACTGAACCAATTCAAGTTTCTTACCTTCTGCCAGGAGTTTATCAATCTCGGCGATTTTTCTATAAATTAAATTAAGGAAATTTTTTAAAGTTTATCAACTTGTCTCTTTCCTCATTATCACTAGATTTACTTGAACCAGAAGACATTTGTTGCTCTTCCACCTTTTCAGACATTTTAATTATTCTATTTCACCTTAAAGTAATTTAAAAAATATTAGAAAAAAATAATTATAAAAATATGAATACTGATTGTAAACTGTTTTAAAAAAAGAAATATTAACATAACAACATTTACTATTAAATTACAAAATCATAGAGCATTCGGGACGAAAAGAAATTGAATGGACGAAATTTTTAGAATTTACCGAAAATCATATAAAGTCGAAATTTAAAATTCTTTATGTTTGGTTACTATTTTTCAGAAAAAATCGTCCAAAAAAATCAATTTCTCAATGAGCATTTAAAAGGAAAAATCAACTAGAAAAACAAAAAGAATCAAATTATTCTTTAAAGAAGAGCACGATCAATATGTTTTGCCCAAATTTGAACATTATTTGCTGCTGCAATTTTATTCCATTCAATTAATTGATAATCTTTGGAAAATCGAGAACGAAGTATAATATCAGCAAGACAAATAGCATGAGACGAACTTAAAATTTAGTTTTGATTAAAAATAAAAAATTTAAGAGAAACAATTGTTAAATTTTTATAAAAACCTCAAAAAGTCATTAGCACCCAAATATGAATTTAATTTTCGTGAAAGTTCGTCCAAATTGTTTCGAGTATTATCAAGAAGTGAAGCCTCCAAAAGCCACTTATCACTCTTTAATGAAACAGATGCATCATTGAATGAGTAAAGACCAAGCAGAGAACCAATAAATTTCCAAGTAGCCAATTCACCAACCAAATCAAAGCCATTTCCGTTAATTTTAGCTAAAAAATAAAAAAAAATCACTCAAAATGTACAATCGCTTACCTTTCTGGCCATAACTAATTTCAATCGATATGGCTTCCCCTTCCCGTTCAACACTTTCTTCGTTCGTTCCTATCTCAATAAAGCAGACATTCCTTTTCAAACCAATTATTTTGAACAATTTAACCAAAGGTTTATCAAATTCTTGTAAAATACAATTTATTTTAGATCCAATAAAGCATTTTCGTATTTCATAGTCTTCATAATTATGAATAGGAAAACGTTCAGTAGTTGGAGTAACATTTGCATGTAAAATATCTGGCGAATTTTTTGGTTGTTCTTTAAAAGAAAATTTAGATCCTCCGTCAATTAAAAGTGTTGCTTGAATATTGGGTAAAGTTGGTTGGCTGTTTGTTGAAGAATTTAAAGGTTTATTTTGACAAGAAACATCAGAAGATTTATTTGTTTCAGTCTTTTTCTCTTAAAAATGAGATTTAAAAATAGTTCTTTCCAAGTGAAATAACCTTTTTTCTTTGAAATATTTTGGGATGTTTCAGTCAAACATTTTTCCTCCTTCTTCTTATTCTTAAAATTAAAATGTAAAAATTTAAAAATTATTAAAAACTAACCTTACTGTCACCTCCTTCTTTCGCAATAAAAATATCCAACTGTTTAGATAATTCTAAAAGACGTTTAATAATTACTTCATTATTTTTTGAATTTAAAGGTTGTTGTTTTGGTTGAGACTTTTCAGACTTTTTTGTAGCTTCTTTTGGCTTTATTTCATCTTTTTTAATTTCTGATTTACTCATTTTATTTTCAAAGTTGTTTGTAGAAGTTTTGGTCAAAGAATTTATATGATAACTAGATACTTCATAAACAATTTTTGCCGGTTTAACAACAATTCCTTCATTATAAGGTTTCATAGGATACATCTTTTGCTGGAAATAAAAAACTATTAAAAATTTTGAAAAATAAACAAAAAACAAAAATTTATAATATTAATTTGATGGTCCACGTGAAAATTTTTTTGATTGTGTAAACAGATTTTTTATTGAAACGAAAATTTTCTAAAGTCGTAAACAATAAAAAGGCGATGAAAAAAAGAAAATAATACATGAAAGAGAATTAAAACTTAGTGTCGTTCTCTTTCAAAATTTTAAATGTAAACATCGAGTGCCCAGACAAAATGGTACACAACAACAAGGTACGAAATACCTAAACAGTTTTGATGGTTCAAAAGACCTTAACAGTGTATATAGTACAAAAGATTTAATCAGTTAAGATAGTACAAAAGACTTAAACAGAGTATATAGTACAAAAGACCTAATCAGTTTATCGCAAACATTAGACTTAAACGGTGCACCTATTAGAGTCCGAAAAGGACTTAAACAGTTGAAAGGGGTGAATATCGGTGGATTTGGTAATATTAAGGGTTACTAAGTAATTTGGTGTTTAAAAGAGATATTGATGATTAATGAGGATTGTTGCTATTTTTCGAAGGATTTGTTAGGATTAAGAGGGATTTAGTGCATTAGGAGATATATCGGGGTGATTACTGAATAAAAAGTTGTATCAAGTTTTAGGGAATTTGGTGGAATTAGGAGACAGTATACTTAAGTGGATAAAGGATATAACTTAATCAATAGCACAGGGGTTTTGTTGGATTAATATTAGCATAGGAAGATTTATGGGCGCTTTAGAGGAATATCAAGGATATTGAGTATTAATAATTTAATTAAGACTGGAGAATTAAGTTTGATGGTGACTAATCTATACGCGGATTAAAAGGGTTAACAGTTTGCAGTGATTAAAAGTAAAAAAGAGTTTGCGGAAGATGCAATGGGGAATATGAAAAGGGATTTTTTTAGAAAATTATTGTACAACTAATAGAAAAACGGATTTCTGTGAAAATATTGTTGGAAAATTGAAAATATTTGATAAATGTGTGTGATTTATAGAATATCAAAAATTTAATGGGATTAATAGATAATCGAGGTATTTGCGAGAATTTGTTAAATAGGCAGATAAATCCCGGGTTTTGTTTTAATTAATGGATTTTGGGGATTAACAAATAACATGAGATTTGAGTGGAATATGGGTGCTACCGTGCAATTTGGGGAATTGAACATTTCAATAATTTCAAAAAAAAAACAGGGAAATAAAGGGTCCCGATGCGAAAAAAACGCGATCACAAGAGTTTTAAAGGGTTGTAGAGGTTTCTGGTGAAAAAAAGAAAAAGAGGGATTTATAATATTGAATGATTTCTGGGATAAAAAGAAATATCGGTGGGTTTCCGTTGAAACAATAAAATTGAGGGATTAACATAGATATCAAGGAATATAGTGGTTTTGAAAATATATATGGGGATTTGGGAAACTAAAATATAATCGAAGCTTTTGGAGATCAACATAGATAACAAGCACCATAGTGGATGAAACCAAGGGATGGATGAGACCAGGTGATATGATATAGTTTTAAGAAGAAGGGTTTTATTAAAGTTAATTTGAGGGAGAAATAACGAGGCATGATTAAAATATACAACTAAGATTTTGACAGATTTAGGTTTTTAAAAGAGTTTTAATCTTATGCAGAATTAACGGATATATCTAAAATTTTGAGGAGACAGATATTAATGGGTTTGTGGGGGAAAGTGCGATATACGTAACTTTGAGGTAATAAAAAAAGAGATAAGCAGTTAAATTAAGATAATTATTGAAATTTGAGGGAATTGTGAAAAGGGACAAAGGTTTGAAGGGAAAATGCGACGGGCAAAGAGGGAATTCATTGTTTAGAAGAATTAATTTAAAGATAAATGTATTTAAGGTAAAGAGGATATAAGGAGTTTACGGGGATTAATAGCCCAGGTTTTGGATTGACTACTAGGTAACTCTGGGGATTTGAATGATAAACAAAGAAATCAACGGATTAGAGAGATCAAGAGATTTGAAGTGTCATTGGGGAAACTAGAAAAAAAGGATTAGATGGGAATGGGTGATTTAGGGAGATTTGGAGGATTACCATGTAGTCAAATGCAAAACATAATAGATTCGGGGGATTAAAAGAAAAAAACAAGGGATTTGAGGGGTTAGGGATTAGCAGAAAGAACAAGATGGTTGTTAGGATTTGGGGAAATCTTGAAAAAACTGAACAATGATCTGAAGGGCGAATACAAAAACAGCGGATATGGGAGATTGATAAAGAGAACAAAAGATTTGTTGGGGTTTGGGGTAAAACAAAGATTACGTGATGAAAGCAGCGTTTTAGAGGATAAGCATATATAAACAGAATCAGAGGAAAAGAGGGAAACCAAGGGAATTTATGGGTTAGCAGAGAGATCAAGGATTTAATGAGTTAAAGAGTTTCGGGCAATTCCTGAATCGAGAGAGTTCGCTTAAACAACGAAAGATCAGTAAATTAGACAGGGATATCAACGATACAAAGGGATAAAACGTTAAAAATGCACTTATTTGAAGATCTAGGAGAATAAAGACGATTTGGGTATTTAAAAAACAACAATGGAAATACCAAAAGATGGTTTCTGAGTTTAAAGAGTGACAGAGATCCTGCAAATTGAAAAAAGCAATACCAGGGTCTGTGGTAGTTTAATAAAGCGATCAATATATTTGAAAGAAAAGAGTAATGTCCTTAATTGAGTCAGCAAATGTTTTGAGAAGATTTGGGACGGCTATAAAAGGAAGATCAAAGACTTTTAAATGAAATTTACCAGATGCAAAAAGTTTTATAGAAAGGCAAATTGATAAAATAACTTGAAAAGATAAAGAAGAGGATTCAGGGAATGAACGAGAGACAAGAAGGGGTTTTAATGACAAGGGATAACAGGGTATCCCGGAGCTAAACATCCTGTTCAAGTATCAAAAGGAAAAGGGGGAGGCCAGTGGTTTTTAGAGGATTTTGGGAATAAAACGAAGGATTCGTAGGATTATCATGGGGATACGCATAGAAATCGAAGAAGTATGCGAAAACAAAAAAGTTAGCAAGGAATTTAAGGGGATTAAGGGGGAAATATAGGGTTTAAAGGGCAAAAGGTTGAAGTGTAGCAGATAAAAAGGTAATATTGAAAACAACAGAGGTTTAGGTATTTGAGAGTATTAGCAGAGAAACCGTGTAATTTGAGGGGTAAAAAGGAAAGTTTTAGGGGAAAAAAGATGCAGGGTGTTAAGGATTACAGCTAAATCAAAGGATTTAACACAGTTTGATGTATTTTTTGGATTGAAAGGAATAACGTCAATTTGGGTATTAAGAGTGATATAGTGAATTTTTCGGAATTAAGAGTGAGTGATTAAGGGTATATCGGTGATTTGTGGGAAAAAAAGGAAAATTGTCACTTGAGCAAATGAATGCGGATTTCGGGGATTAATAGGGATATCGAGGATTTGACAAAAAAGAGTATAAAATAAAGAAGAGTTAACAGAGACACAGATTATCATGAAAAATTATGAGTGAGGGTGTTTAAGAGAATACAAGAATATGAGTGATATCAGGGGATTTATATTAGAAACATTTAGTTCTGAGGAGATATGGAGGATTTGAGAAATAAAGTGCTGATATATACGGGATAAGGGAATATAGACGGGCAGAGGATTTAAGAGTAAAATTGAGTGATATCGCAGATAGCGAAGACTAACTGTGATCATAGGGATTGAGGAGCCTAAATGTGATGGAAGGTAAATAGTTGATGTATTGTGTGGATTAAGGACATCAATGTTTTGGGTCTTAATATGTTATCTGCGATCATAGGTAACAAAGAGGGATATAAAGCATTAAGATTTTCTGGTGATTGAGAGTGATATAAGGTGTTACTTGGATTAAAATTTAACGGGGATTCTGGCAATGAGTAAGAGTGATATCAAGGTATATAGAGTATATTGAAACTATATCGAGATCTTAGGGTAATTGAACGTCTGGGGTTTAAAGGAATTAAGATATTTTAAAATGCTTCAATTTTTTAGGAAAAAATTGCTTATTTCAAAACTTTTTAAAAGTTAAAACGAGCGTTTGTTCGCCGCGAAGCGGCGAACAAACGCTCGTTTTTAAGAAGCCGAACCTTCAAAATATTTTTAATTTAAAAATAATAAACAGAACGCCAAATTAAATAAATTATGTCTCTGTCTCTCTAAATACTATACTCTTTCTATTCTTTTATTCTCAAGCAATACTTGCTCACCCACATATGCCCTCAGGCAGTTTTCTAAATTTTTCGATATTCAGGTTTTGCAACTTCCCGAGTTTTGTCATCTTCAGCCAAAATTATTACGAATATTGTTAATAAATGAATAAAAATCTTAAAAATTTGATTTTATTAAAAAATTCCTCTTTAATTTTTCAACAACATTTTCATTTGGGGGCGCCTCTTTGTTTTCATTTTATGAAAAAGCAGGTTGTAAATTAATTTTTAAATTAAACTAAATTTATTTTTTTAGGTAGCAGTCGATCCAGAAATTGCAAAAATACGAGAAGAACGTAAACGTCGAAAACTTGAAAAAGCAATTTTAAAATTAAAACAATTTGGTAAAAAGCCAAAACCTGTAGAAGAAATTGGAATTGATGTTAAATTAATTAATACATTGGATACTCGACGACGTGAACCAGATCCTATTAATGAAGAAGATGAAATCAAACGAATTGTTATTTTGAAAGAATATGCACGTTCGAGGGTTTTACTTGCAAAGTTGGGATTTTTTGAGTTTTCTTTGAATAATTTTTAATTCTTTTGGAGAAATATCATATTTATTTTCTTATTTCCTTACTTTTTTCTGTTTTATTCAAAAATAATCTTAATTTAAAAAAATTCTTTTTCTAGCGAGAACGTTCGTTGGATTAAAGATGCAACAAAACGCCAGTTCCGTGCATTGGAAGCTTTAAAAATGGTTTCGCCCGAATTATATAAATCTGCTGTTAGCAATGAAAATTGTGGTTTGCCGAGTATTATGGAAGGTTTTCTTTAATTTTTTTATAATTTTAAAATTTAAATATATAGGTCCATCATTAACCCCTCCAATTGAAGGATATAAATCTCCTGATGGTGATTATAAAGATGTAACAAAACAATGGGTTCAACCAGAATTGCCTCTCTTAATTAAAAAATTTGGTGTTGGAGTACTTATTAAAACACCAACTTTCCAAAAGAAATTATTGGAGCAAAGGAAAAGTCAGGAAGGTGAAAGCAAAAAAGAGGAAGAACCTAAAAAGAAGACTGCAACTGCTTGATGTATTTTTTGGTTGTTAGTTTAAATAATTTTTGTTTTTAAAATTTAGATGAAATTTTTAGATAAATACATATAATAAATTTTATTTTTTCTGTTAATTTTTGAGATATTTCATAAGTTTTTTCCACCGTCTTTTCCAAAATTTTATTTTTAATTAAATTTTTCGGTTCTCAAAAAAATTTCTAGACCTGACTCTCATCCTCAATTTTTTTCAAAATTTATTACTTCCATCGAATACCCATTTTTACTTTTTTTGTAAAATATACAGGAGGAAAAATTATCTTATTTATTAAATTTAAAGTGTGTGAAAGTTTAAAAAAGAATTTAATTGCCTAATTTTAGAAAGTAAATTTATCCAAATATTTTCTCCTAAACAAACACAATTATATCCTTAATTTAAATATTTATCCAATTAAAAAAAGAAAACACTTAATGGAAGAAAGGAGGGAGAAAGGAAATGAAGACTTGGAAAAATGAAGGATATTTTTGTGGAGAGAATGGCAAATATTTCCTTAAATTTTTAGAAGGAATATGATATATCTGGAATGAAGATAAGAGCTCTCTTATGTGAATTAGGGGATCTAAACAAACATTTTGGGGGGATTGACAATTAAAGCTTTTTAAATGACAGAAATAATTTTTTTAGGAATAAATTCAAATAAATTATTTTAAAATATTTTTAAGAGAAAAAATGGTTGAAACTTTCAGTAAATTAAATTTTAATCATATCGAAACAATTATTTTAAAAGAAGAAAGAAAAAAGGATTCCTCCTCTAAATTAGCTTCTATAAAAACAAATTCCCCTCCTCCCCTCCCTGTTCGTCTCCGTTCACAAAGAAAACGACGAAAACCACGAGTTCTTTTCACACAAGAACAAGTTTGTTAAACTATTTTTAGAATGTCTAGAAAAAAATATAATTTTTAATTTAAAAGGTTCTACATTTAGAAGAATATTTTGGACAACAAAAATATATAAGCAATGCAGAAAGAGATGAATTGGCATGTAAACTTAAACTTACTCCGACACAAATTAAGGTATTTTTAATGTTATTTTTTGGAAAATTTATTTTAATTTTACAGATTTGGTTTCAGAATCGGCGTTATAAAGTAAATACTTTATAAAATTAAAAGTTTTCTTTTTCAATTTTAAAGTGTAAACGAGTTGAGGCTGATGAACATTTACAACAAATAATTAATACACAATTATCAACAAATAATCAAAATAAAATTTTTGAAGAATTATTTTTTCAACAATTTCTTAAAAGAAATTAAAAAACAAAAATTTGACAATAAAAAGAAATTAATTCTTTTAATTTCCACATTTTTCCTTTTTAATCTTATTTAAAAATCTCCGTAAAAGACAAAACTTTTTTTTAAATTTTTTATTTAACAAATTCAAAAGAAAATTAGTATTTAATAACATTACTACAATTTTTCAGTAAATTCTTACCTTAACTCCTAACCTTTACCTATAAATAGTCTCATTTTTGAATTAACGTATTTAATTAGTGCCCGTCAAAATCGATTTTTCCGGATCTGGTCGGATTAATCTAGTCAGAAAAAATCCGGAAATCGCAAAAAAAAATCCGGATTTGGGAGCCAAACTCAGGAAAAACCAGGCCGGATTCGGTCCGGCGCCGGGCACTAAATTTAATTAATTTTGAAATTGTGCATGAATTAGTTAAATAAATATTTGGCTTAATGTTTTTAAAAATTAATTTATTAAAAGTTGGAAAGAAAAAAACAAAAAAATATTTTTTAATTTTCAATTTTTTTTCTTTAATTAAAAGATTTAAGAATAAATTATAATCTTCTACTTTTTGTTCAAAAAATATTTTGTTCTTCAATGAAAGCGTATTAATTTTTGAAATTTTTTTTTATAAATTTTATTTATTTTTTAGATCATCAGAAAGTTTTGTTGAAAAATGTTTTTGTAATCGTTGGGCTTTTAGTTTAAAGCGAGCAATGGAAGATGAAAAGGTTTTTTTTATTTTTTTTGGTTTCAATTTAATATTTTTATTTAAGTTTGAACACAATTTTCGTTTGGCAATTCAATCAGTTCCAAAAGAAGATTACGAAAAGTCAATGTGTTTTCGTTTCAGAGACGATCAAATTGCCACACTTGTTAGTCGACTTTTTCTTAGACAAGCATCTAAACGTTTTACTGGAGCTAAATGGGAAGAAATTGAATTTAATAGAACACAAAAGGGAAAGCCTTATTTGGTTGCGCCCTCTGGATATAATTTTGGATTAAATACTTCTCATCAAGTTTTTATATTTTTAAATTTTTTATTTAAAATTATTTGAGGGGGATTTGACTGTTTTTGCAAGTAGTTGCACTTCCGAGGTTGGTGTTGATGTTATGCGTCTCGATATGTCTCGTTAGTTTTTAAGTAAATTTTTTCCTTTTATTAATTTTAGGTGGTGACAAAACTGCTGATGAGTATATAAATTCTATGGTATAATTTCTGATTTAACACTACAAATTAAATTTTGATTAAAGGCAAAATCTGCTTCTGTTGACGAATTAAAAAATATGCGCTGTCAGCCGACTGAACAGATGAAAATGACCATATTTTATCGATATTGGGTATTTTTTCATTTTTAAAAAACATAAATCACCAAAAAATCTCTAAATTTAGTGCCTGAAAGAGGCAGTTCTAAAAGCAACAGGGCAAGGAATCGTGGACGATTTAAGTCGTTATGACTTTCGAATTGATACGAATGATCGGTACAAACAAGGTTTTTAAAGTTAAATTTTTTGTAAAACAAAAAATTTAATTAAGGGAACTTTTTGACATCAACAACATTACTGGTTGATAACGAATTTCAACCGAAATGGGTATTTGAAGAGTCCTTTGTTGATGCAAACCACGTGGCAGCTACTTGTCGAACAGTTCTGATTTTGTTTTTTATTTTTGTAAAATATCTTTTTGTAGAAAAAGCTTCCCAAAAGTTGTACACTTTACTGCGACTCAGATGCCAACAAAATGTTTTTTTCCAAAGTAAATTTTGACTTTCTTCTTGACGGCTCTTGTATTCTCAACCCTCTGCCAGGAAATGGACTAGATGCCTACAACAGTTTTTTACAAAAGCCCAAAAAGAATTGAACACGTTCAAAAATATTGCCTAGAATTTTAAAGATTTATGTCTACTTAAAAGAAATCACTTAATCAGTTTGATGTTCTGTCTATTTTTAAAAAGTTTCAATTTTTAAATAAAATTTTATCGAAACACTCGTTTCAAACGTTTCAAAAAATATTTAAAGCAATACAAGAATCACTAATAGAACAACAATTAACCCAATCAAAATAAAAATCGTCGTCCATTGATTTGACTCTAAAAATAAAAAATAGCTTTAAAAAATAAAATTTTAAACCATTTTCTAGCCTCGTCAATTTTGACAGTTTTTTCATTACTTCATCCATTCTCGATTCTACACCTGACATTGAATGGCCCAATTCGTCTAACATCTCGGATTGATCCTCTAATTCATCACCAATTTGATGACTCATATTTTTTAATGTGCGCAATGAATCGCCAATCCTCTCCAAGCTTTGGTCTTGTTTATCTATGATTGCCTTAAAAATAAATATTTGGAGATTTGTGCCGACTAAAAAATTTACAAAATTATTTTTAAAATTATATAAGAACCTGTTGTTGTTGTAGGTATGGATTGGCTGATGGAGACGGCTCAGGATCATCATTTTCGTCGAGATTAAGGCGCACATATCCTTCCTTGACACGCGCTGAAGTCATTTCAACAAAAGTTGAAAAAGGAGGGTTTAAAAAATTAAAAATTCTAGTCTGGAAGAAAACAGCTGAAAATTTTGCAAAGATCGATTAGAAAAAAACAAGTAATCAAAATATTTAGGTGGAAAAGAAAGATTTGATAAATAGTGTATGAAATTGAGAGACGAACAAGAAGGATGAAATAAGGAAATTTACGACAAAATGCCACTAGACAAAAAGTTCAGTCTGCAGTTAAATTCAACAGAAATAAATTCAGATGTGCATTTTTGCTTGTATGAATAGAGGGGATGCAGAGAAGCGGTAGTTCTTTGGAAGGGAAAAGAACAATACAAATCATGCGGTGTAGTATTTTTACGAAAAATGGCGGCGGCTGGCAGAAAGGAAATAAACTGGCGGGGAGTTATTGATGGAAAGAGGTTAAAACGTTAAAATACCAAATTAACAAAAGGTCCATGAGAGTAAAATTGTGTTTAACGCTTTAATTGAATATTCTTAACTTTAATATTTTTTGATTATTTTCTTTTTAACTAAATTGAAATAAAGCAATACAGGAAGGGGAATAAGTATACATTTAATTTTAGGGTTTATTAAGTATTATTTTTTTTGTTATTTTAATCATTCGATTTGAAAATAAAGTTTGAGTTATCTCCTCTTTAGGAAGCTATTTCTGTTGTTTTTTTATTATTTTTCTTTTAGGCTAACAACAAGTTTACCATTTAAAAATTATTATTTTTTTCGTTATTTTTAATTTTAATAAAAAATTTCAATTTTCAGATTTATATTAATTAATTTCTTATTTAAAATAATATTTCCTGCTTAATTATGCGGGAACATTTTTAATGCTTTTTGTTTTGGATTCGTTCAAACAATGGTTTCTAGAGGTTTGCTTTGTTACTTATAAATAGGGGGATTTTCAACATGTTTTGACATAAAATGTTTTTATTTTATATTACTTTTAAAATTAAATTTACTTTTTTTAAACATTGTTAGATTTGACCTGTGACGAAATTATGCCTCCTTTGGATGATGGAGAAAGTTTGGTTAGTATTTTGCTTTGTTTAAAAATTTAGCATCTTAAAATTATCTTTTATCGATAAGCATATCCCGTCTTATTCTTTGATAATACCTATGGACTCCTCTGAAATAAAGAGTTAACAGTTTTTTTGTAAATGAATATCTTATGTTAGAAAACTGCAGTTTGTCCACTATGTTGTCTTTAAATCTGTCCATACAGTTATATCTTCATTTACTTCTTTACAGTATTTTTAATTATAATTTAGGTTCAATTGGTTAGGTCAGCAACTTCTACTCCGTCCACAACTCGATTACCACGCTATCAACAACCTCAAGAAGTTAGCAATAAGAATAAAACAATTGGTGGCTCTTCAAAATCATCTCATTTTATTAATTGTCAGGATGATTCTGCATCTTCAACAATTAATTATACAACGACTGTTCGGGATGTACTTACTCGACAAATAAAAAATTCAAAAGTTGTTTAATTTTTTATTTCTTTTAAAGATCTTTTTAAAGTTAAAAAACGAACATTTGGCTGGATTTTCTAATCCAAGAATTTTGACATCTGTTCCTATGCAAGAAGAAAGGACCTCGCCTCCAATTGTTATTAATACTTATTTAAATCATCATGGCTCTCATACTCCTTTTAGTATATTTTATTTTAATTATTTTGTTTTATAAAACAAAAATATACAGATTCGTCAAATGGCCGTGTCGACGTCCACAAACAGAAAAATTCATTAATTACCGCTTCTAATTCATTTTCTTCAAAAACTTCTAATAACTCGTCAAACTCCCATAATTATGCTTCAATTAAATCTTTTCCTAGCAATACAACTTCTTATTCTTCTTCACATGGTTCCCAAATAATTAAAGTTGCAAAGTTGGATAATTCTTCCCAGGTAAATAGAAAGGTTTATAGTATTTATGTGAACATCTTTACAATTAATTGTGAAAAAATTCTGAGGATTTGTTGTTTTGATTTTTAACTGATATTGCATCTACTATAAATTAATTTTTTCTTCGGCTACAGAATTTTAATTTTTGATTTAGATTACTTTTTATACCAAAATTAGCTTTAACTTGTATTTTTCTACATATTTCTACAATTTATTTTCTTTAATTATATAAATGAAATCATTTTTAATTAATATATTTCAGCAAAAACAGCATCAAAAAATTCTCTCCTCTTCAACCTGGGCTTCACAACAACCCATAGATTCTTCAATTATTTCTCGTAGTCCTCCACAGCAATTAATTAATAATTATTCTTTCCAACCATCCAAATCTTTATCTTCTTCGGACAAATCAACACTTAATTCTCAAAGTGCCGTTAATTCTAGTTTACCCCAACAAACAGTTTATTCTGTCGTATTACAAAATCGGTCACACCAACCAACTGATGATGATTCAACAACGCAAGTGACTACAAAATCTCCAATTAAAAAAGTTCCAAATATTCCACATACAAGTCCTAGACCTGGAATTTTGGGTTTTTATTAAAAAAAATTTTTTATTTGCTCAATTTTGTTTTTAGTTAAAAATTCTTGGAATAGTCAAACAACTAATAAGCGAGTTGTGGGGTGTGTAATTACTTCAGACAATTTATCAGAAATTAATTCCTTTACAAATAATGGAGCTGTTATAGATTTAATGCCAAATGGTAGTGGTAGTGTTGATGATTTACAAAGGAAGCGTACTAGAAAGCAACATTTTTGTGATGGAGATATTGCCTCGACATTGGATGTTGTTACATCGCCATCCGATAAATTCATGAGGGTTTGTTTTTTTTAATTTTTATTATAAGAGAAAAATGTTTTATAAAATTTGGGTTGTTAACTTATTCTTTAGATGGAAGTTTCTGGTTCCCGTCACAGACCATCTTCTTTTGTTGAAATCCCTTCATCTACACAAGATGGCAAATGTTTTGAAACTACCACAACAACATCGATACCAATGAATTCCCACACTGACCCTCATTCATTTTCTCCTGTTTTTTCTACTCATATTGAACGAATTCCGAAGAAAAGAGGGCGTCCAAAATTATCTAACTCATCAATTGATCAACAAAAACAGCAAATAAATTTATTACCCGAAAAACAATTTATTTCTTCGCCAAAGTCTAACCAAATTTATTCAACAAATATGTCACCAACTACTATTACTAACAGCAATAATCAATATTTACATTTATCCTCTCCTAACTCGAATGTTGCTGCTTCTACTAATTTAGCTTCTTCTAATTCAACATTTCAACAATCCCGTATTAAAAGGTCTATAGAAACTGCAGCAACATTCCAGGTTAATTTTTTTAGTTTTATTGTAGTATACATATGTATAATCTCATTTTAACACTAACACTAATAAATTATTTTTATTGTGTTGTTAATATTTTAGAACATTTATCTATTCGTCTAGTTAGAATACTCAAATGTCTTATATATATAATCAAAAAATGTTTATTTCTCATTTTCACTCATGCTGTGGATTTTCTTCAATACATTTCCTTAATTCATTTTAAAAAATTTAATTTTAGGCTGAGATGAAGACGAAACGTAAGTATCGAAAGAAAACACCTGAATTGGACCCACAAACGGGTCAAGTTATGAAGAAAGCGAGGAAAAAAGGGCCTGGACGCAAATCTAAACGCGAAATTGAATTGGCTGCTCAACAGGCGAGGGAAAGTGCAATTCTTGCTGAAATGGGCTTTCCGTTACCTAAAAGTGGTAGCTTCTCCAATTCGACTACAGAAACTACACAACTAAGACAACAACACTTTGTGACGCCTAGCACTTCTGCTAATGATTTGACAAACAATTATGAGCATTCTAGACAGGTTTTGTTTTTATGTTCTAAAAATAAAACTTTTCTTTTCGTCAGCGCGCCGATCAAGTCTCTCTTGACAACAAAATTGCTGACGATGAACAAATGAGTATAACTGCTCTTTGTCGTTTTCGTACAAATAGTGAGCATCAACAATTATTGCGAAGACGGAGATTAACGGTTACATTAATTTTATTAAGTTTTATAATTGTATTAATTTTAGTTCTCAAACTTTGTTGACTCTTCTGATAGAACTCTTGAATCTTTCGTGAGGCCAAAATTTCATTCAATGTGTGAAATAAAAAGTAATGATCCTGAAGCTGAACATTTTGTGCCACCAATTGCCTCAACAAGCCAGCAACAATTTGAATACTCTCCTTTGCCTTTTGCCGAATCTGAAAATACAGATTTGATGAAACTTTTAAGTAACTTCAGTACTGATATTAATACCTCACTTGGACAGAAGGAGTTGATGGAATATCGAGAAATGGTTTTATTTTATCTTTTTATAGTATGTGAAAATTTTTATAGTTGATTTCACTTCTTACTGAAAAGGAAACAGTGTCTGAAGCAAAGAGCACTCAAAAGGATTCTCTTCGATCAAGCATAAAGTCAAGATTGTCAGATTACTTGAGGAATGAACTTTTGGATGAAGAGAAGGAAGTTTCCTGTAATGTTTTTGAATCTCAAGAACAGGTTTAATTTTTAATACATAATTGTCAGTACATTTCTTTTTCATTTTTTAGATAAAATCTGCCTTTGATTGCCTCAATTTACTTCCAAATGCCTGTGTATATTTTAATAAATCTAAACAACTTTTGGATTTAATAAGAATAAAAATATTGGCTCGATATCTTTATAGGAATTTAACTGCAGAATTTAGCAAAAAGATGGATTCAAATAAACAAAGCTTGCCAAAACTAGTTCCTCTTTCATCGTTTAATACACAAAACTTTACAGCAACAAAACCAATAAATTTATTATTTGAGAAAAAAATTGAAGAAATGATTGATTCTAGAAGTAAGGGACTTGATATTTTTTCGTTGGAAGAGAGGGAAGGAAATGTTGATGAAAAGGGTTTTGAAAAGGTTGAGATTGAATCTGCATTGGATTTATTGAAGAATTTAATGGAAAAGTAAGGAATTTTTTAAATTGATTTTTAAAATTTATTTGTGTTGACAGAAAATCTTCATCCGGCAATCTACAATCTTCCAACGATCCTTTCATTAATTCGCCACATTCATCAAATAACAATGATGATTTGAATTCATCGATTTATGCGAATTCTCAAAATTCTTTGCCTATTGAACTTTTAAATATTACTAGAAGTCAAAAAGAAAATAAACAAAAAAGGAAATTAAATAAAAGATTTGGTATAGATTTTAATCAAGTAAATAAAGAAGAAAAAATAGAAGATGATTTAACTGATTGTGATAATTCTAATGAAGTTGAAAGGTTTAAAATATTTAATTAAAAATATATTTAAAATTAATTTTAGTCTTAAATCTTTTATTCAACAATTAAATTCACTTCGTTGTCATTGGAATTTTTCCTTTCAACATATTGAACGGTTAAACAATGACATTCAAACATTATTGGAAAATGATAAAAATGATGAAAGAATTCAAGAAAGAAGGCAATTAACAACGATAGAGGGTGAAAAGAAGAAAAATAACAAAGCTCTACCACCACATAAGACTAGCTCATTACTTTTCCAACCTTCAAATGAATTTGTTGAACAAATTTTTAAGGTAGAAAATTTTTTAAACTTAATTATGAGGCTTTTTAATATTTTTGTGTGAACCTTTTTAGACTGGCCAAATTGTAAATAAAATTAATTAAAATTTTTAAAGGATGTTCTCGATATGAAATTAATGGAAAATAACCAACAAACAGAAAATCTTCCTTCAACCTCATCTTCTATTCCTTCAAATGATCAATCAACAACAATAAAGAAGCAACAGAAACATCAAAGTGATCAAAGTTCATCAACAGAGGAGAATCTAACAAAAACAGATTTATCTTCTCTTATGCTTTTACAAAATATTGATGAAATGCTTGATTCCACCGAATATATCTCATCTTCATCAAGAGAAAAGTTGAGTTGTAAATATCGCGGGATATTGGAACGGAATAAAATTGTTGCTAAAAACAAGTTTGTTTTAAATATTTTAGTCTTATATTATTACTGACAAATTATAGACAAGAAGGTCAACAAAATATTAAACAAATTCAAAAGAAACAATTACCTCATTATACAGATGACCAACACGATACGTTCCTTAAGGTTGTTTTTAAAATGTGAATTTAATCCCTGCCAGGCCACTTTCCCTTTTTACCGGAACGTCCCACTTCAGTCCCTGGCCGTTTCAGTCCCGAGCTTGTAACCAGGGAATTTGGAAATAATTTATTAAACTTATTGGATAGTATCATTGGATAGAGGATTAAATTCTCTACAAATTGATACCAAAGATAAAATAATCTTATCAACTGATAATGAAGTTATTATCAAAAAACCGCCATTTTTTTTGCATGTTTTTTGATCATAACTTTGGTACCTGTCGATCATATTTTTTGATCAATAGCTTATTTTGTAGCTTGATTAATCCTCTATCCAACGATACCAAGAGTCCTACTTTTACAGTCCTACTTTTTTCCGTCATTCTTTCTTACACTCAAAATATATTTTAATTTTAAGAGACAAATAAAACAAACACATGAAATTAGTAAAACAACAATTGGTTTAATGCGAGATCGTTCAAAATTAATTAATTCTTGTGTTGACTGTATTCACGAATTAATTAATCAACCTCAAGATAATACAACTTCAAAGGAAACAACAACAAATTCATCCAAAACAACAACAACAAAGAGAGCTGCTCATCAAAAAGCGCTTTTTATAATGGCAACCACAAATTCATCCTCTTGTGTAAATTCTTCTGAGAATGATTAGAAGAGATTTTGGTTGTTCTGCAAAACGCTTTGATCTCTCCATTTTCTAAAAACTCCTTAAAACAAGCTAGACAAAAAGTTAGAAATTTAATTTAAAGGAGAAATTTAAACTCTAAAAAAATAAGCACAATAATTATGCATTTCTTTGATAATTTTTTTTGAAACATTGGTATATTATAATAATATTGGGAAATCTAAATTCTTTTTTTGTGAATTGTTTAGGCCTTTCTTTTAGGGGCTCACATATATTTTCTTTTACAAAAACCTAATAATTTAAAATCTCTTTTTTTCTCCCCTCAATTCTACTTAATATTAAAACCAAATTTATCACTCTTAAAATATAAATCCATTTTTTCACTTTGTTCATTTCTTTACAAATTTTAAATGTTTCATTTTTGACTCTGTGCTCTTGATAAAATTTATTTTAATTTTTTGGTTAAGATTTAATTCTAGGCATTTTTTAAAGCCACGTTTATTTTTAAAATGGCTATTTATGTAGGTATTTTAATAAAAATAGAGGATGAAAATATATGTAAAGAAATGTGTAAAAAAATTTGGGGAAATATTGGATGGAAATTGTGGGATTTTTAAAATGCAAATATTTGTGGGTATTTAAAAGAATACTTTATAAAAGGTACTATTGTAGGTTTAGAAATCTTTGTTCAAATAATACAAGTGTTTGGACGTAATACTTAAGCATGGTTCCCCGAAAAAATGTTTACGTCCCCGCCTAATATTTTATTAATTATAGGGTATATTCTAATTTAAGAATAAATGTTATCAATGCGAATAATGATATTGTCCCACTTATATAATTTAAGTAAATTATTGCAAATATGGCTAATTCCAATTTTTAACAAATCTCCAAAAAATTGCTTTAAAGTATTCTTTTTTAATTAAATATATAAAGCTTGTTTAAAAAATTTTTTTACTTTTAAAAGTCCAAAATTCAATTATTTATTTTAACCATTCATTGCTTTCATTTGCAAAAATTGTGCTCGATCAGACACAGCCTCGTTATTTTGTCCATCATTAGCAGAAACTGGATATTCTCGAGAAACTACACACAAATATTCTGGTTGGCCAGATTCACTTGGATGTGATGATTGGCCTATTGGAACAAGCTATAAAAAGAGGGGAAAAGTTTTGAATTGTTAATTTAATTCAAAAACCTGTTCAAATTTCCAACCATCGGACATTGCTGAGATTACATTAGTCAATTCATCTTCATGACACTAAAAAATTTTTTGTTAAATTAATTTGAAAAAAGATATCCACAATTCTTAAATTATTTATTGAAAGTTCTATTTAAGAAAAATCAAATAATCTTGGGGAAAGTTAATTTAAACCGATTATTTTATTCCTTAATTTCGATTTTGTTTCTTACTAAATAACCCAAAATTTGAATCAGACCCAAAGTAAAATTAAATTGAAAAAATTAAAAAAACCTGTAAGACGCGATAAACATGTTTTGTCTAAAATTGAATTTAAAAAAATTAAAATTTTATTTAAATACCAATGATTTCCGTTGTCTTTCACGGTCAGCAATTCGTTCCTTACAGAGAGCTATTAATTTTGGCAAGTTGTAAAATTCAGCCTCCTCGCGAAGACCTTTTAAAATGAAAATAAAGTTTTTGGGTGTTATTCCTTTTTAAATAAAGAGTAAACAAAAAATAATTTCCGTTGAGGGCCAAAACAGAGACGGGCCAGGATAAAAAGTAAAGCCCGGATTTCGGAGCGGAGATTAAGGGAAAATCAATAAATAATCAAATACCTTCTTCTGAAAGTCCATGATCAAGAATAACTTTTCCATGACGAAGATAATTTAGCACCGAAGAGAAATAATCAGAATCACGGTCAATTAAATAAAATCCAGATTCATCCTTCTCACTTGGCAATGAACGATCTTCTTGTGAGAGACGAGCGAGGAAAGAACCACTTTCACGACACAATGTCTGTATTGTCGTCATAAATAACTTTGAAAATAAATAAAATATTTAAATAAATATTTTTAAAAGAAAACCTTTCCCCCAACATTTAATTTAATCCAAGATCTCGATTTTGGTAAAATTCCATTAGTGTCAACAGTCTCCTCAAAATCTGTGGATTTTGTTCCATCTTTCATTTCATGATTAATTTTTGGATTACTCGCCATAGAATCGTTATCGTGCTGGACGGGGTCGGTCAATTCGATTGAGTCAATTTCAACGTTCATTATTTTAGCACCTTTTACTTAAAAAAATTAAATAAAAATACCTTAAAAACTGTAGAATAAAAGAAATACTCCTGAGACTCAAATGTGCTACTAAACAAAAAGCAAAAATGTAACAGAAGTTTCGTCAAGGATCGGTTTCGTCAGAAGCCCTTTTCTTCAGTAAAATATTTTTTAAATAAAATTAAAGAGCAATGTTTAAGCCTCTTTTATTATATGTACTTGGGTGTGGATAAAATAGAGAATTGAGTAAAAAGGATTGATAAAGCAAGATTTCACTAAAATGGTAAGGTGGAATCACGACTTGTAGAGAATTTAGAGCTTTGGAATGTTTTTTAGTCAATTAGTTTTAGTAAGTCATTAAAGACTAAGAATTTCAAGTTAAGAGTTCGAAAGAAAATGTCTTTCAGAAAAATGTAAAAAAAAGTATAATCTGACAACTTTATAAGAAATAAGCCCTTTGGGAAATATATAAATGCGGGGAGAATAACTTGAGGGAGCAAAAAAACAGACAGTGACTGCTGACTAGGTGGCACAGTCATTCCCCCCTATTTTCTATTATATGATTCTGCTGGCACGTTTTTTTCCATACAAATATGTATTATTTTTTTGTTTCTAGTTTTTTTTCTTTCCCTTTTTCATCTTTAAAAGTAGCACATAGTACACCTCACTTCCGCCTCATTCCCTCTTCAGAACCTCCCGTATATTAGAGTATAGAGAATTTATATCTGATTTTCTAAATATTTAAGTGTAGTTTTCATATATACAAAGTTTTCGATTTAAATACCTATTTTAAAATAAAAAAAATATCTTAAAATTTAATTAACTTGACATAAAAATATTTTTAAATCAACAATTTAATTAGAGATGGAAATTTTTAAACATTTTATAAAATTAATTTAAAATAATTTTTTGAGTCCACGTTGAAGTTTTTAGTTTTAAAAAAGTTTAAAATTAAAAACCTCTTAAACCAATTAATTTTGTATTTATTTAAAATATTTATTTCTCTCCAATCTCTAATTTTGAAAGAACATTCTTTTTTCTAAAATTTCTTTAAGCAGTTTGTTGTTGCTGTTGTTTGTTTTCTTTAAATTTTCCATTATTTTGTATATCTTCATTATTATTTTTATTTTCAATTCCACTTAATATTCTTTGTCTTTGTGCTGTTTTTCTAATTATATTATTATTATTTATTCTTTCTTTTGCTAATTTTAATGCTGCTGAGTGAACAGAAATTAAAAATGATGGACCTAAAAAATAAAAAATTTCTTTTTCTTTTATTCTCTAAATTTTTCTTTACCAATAACATTAACACCAAAATCATATATTTTTTTAGGAATTGGCGCTTTTGGATCATCATGATAAATAAGAATAAAATCTAATCCATTCTTTAAAAAAATTAAAAATAATTTTTATTAAAAACCCTTTACTTCATCCAATTCCCCATGTGCTCTAACAAATAATTTAGAATTATAATCAGTTACTCTAACACAAGAAGAATCATCAAAAGAATAGACTTTTTCATCAATTGCTTTATTTGTTACTAAAACAGTCCGAGCATTTTCGTCAATGAATTTTTGTTGTAAATAAATATATAAACGCGGATATAATGGATATGGATATCTAAAGAAGGAAGGTATTTTTAATTGTTATATAATTCTCAACAGGCCCGTAACCAGGATTTTTAGGGGGTGGTGGCATAGTGAGAAAACCCCTCCCCTTGGTTACGGGCCTGATTCTCAATTTCCTTTTTAATTCCAAAAATTTTTTCCAAAATAATTTTTTTTAGAATTTTATATTCTTAATACTTTTTTAAATTAAAAGAAAAACTAGCCTCGTCTCCCATCTAATTAATTTAAAACCAGTAGAATAATCTTCTTCCAAAACTTCAAGCCGATTAATATTTCCATCCCATTCACGACGATAATTAATATCATACTTACAATTAATTTTATTTTTCAATTTAAAAAAAATTTTAAAAAAACCTGTGCTTGAATAAAATCATCAACAGAAATATCCTTGTACGAGCCAATACACTGATATTCAAAATATTGACTTCCATCATTTCTTTCACGCCTTTTTCGAAATACTTTTATCGTTAAATCAGTATACATACATTCCCAACCTTCACTTTGTTCTGGATGATTAAATTGAATGGAATTTGGATTTAAACTTTAAAAAAATATTTTTTTGAATAAATTTTTTGATATGGTTAGGTATTTTTGCAAAAATTCTGAGATTTTTTTTGAGTTTTTTGGGATGTAAACAGTTTAAATTTGTGTGTATAATTTAAAATATGTTAAAAATATAAAAAAAAACTTTTGTTGTTGTTCAGCTTCTTCAATATCATTTAATTGAAAAGAAAATCCTGCAAACGAAGCAAACAAAATTTTTTTAGTTGTTTGTGAAGAAGTAAAATAATAGCTATATCTTCTTAAACGATTAACAAATAAAAGAGTTGTTCGAATAAAATTCTAAAGAAAAATAAGTATTGAATAAATCATAAAATAGCTAAAAACCTTTGAAATGAAGAATCGAAAATTTGATTTAATTGTAAACATTTTTATCTAAAAAAAATTTTTTAAAGATTTTTTAAAATTTAATTAAAAATTTAAAATTAATAATTTAACATTTACAAAAAATCGCTAACAATGGAATCAATTTCTTTTTAGCAAGCAATACTCAAACATTCATTTTAGATTAAATGACCTTTTATCCCAAATTTATTACAAAATGTCGACGGACTTTTTGTCATTAACGTCTTAACATTATATTTCGACAGCGGACTTTTCATCAATTCACACAATGACAAGAAAGTTTATCAACAAACAAATTAGTTTTTAATGAAAATTTTTCCTCTAAATTTAATAAAAAGAAATATTTCAGCAATAATAATTTTGATTGGGGGATCTTCAGGTATTTAAATTTTATTTTTATATTTAAAAAAAAATGAATTTTTTAAAAAGATTCTGTTGAAAAGGGAGCCCTTTCAAATTGTTCATTAATTTCATTAAATCAAAAATTAAAAGCAACTAATTATTCATTTAATTTACATATTCCAAGACGTTCTCCATCAATTTTTAATTTTAAATGTGGACATTTATTTGTGATTGGAGGGTGCTCAGGTTTGGAATTTTTTTAAATTTATTTTAATTTTTATGGCGAGTTGAAGGCTTTTTAATAACGATATTGTGTGTTATCCTATCCTCTATTTTCCCTGATTCTTCTCTCTTCTTGTAGGGAGTCGAATAGTCAAAAGGCGTTTTTCTAATGTCGGCAAACAAAAATCTTTTTTATTTCGCCAGTGGCGCTGAAAATTGAAATTTTAAAATAATTTTATTTTTTTAAATTAGCACCAGGTTGCCATTTAAATAGTGGTGAATTATTTAATTTGTCTCAAGAAATAGAAAATTTTAAAATCGATGGGAAATTGCTCAATTACAAAAATATTAAAGGATTTTCTTGTTCTGCATTTTGTCAAATTGAGGTTAAATTTAAAAAATAAATTTAAAAATTATTTTTTAGGGAAATGGGGGATTTATTTTTGGTGGTTATGATGGAAATGAATGTCTAAATCAAATTGCAAAAATTGAGGAAATAGAGCCGCATAATGTTAATTTACTTTCTCCATTACCTTTTGGACTTAAAAATGCTACTGCTTTACCTTCTCTAGACAAACAAAAAATTTGGATTATTGGTGGGTGGGATGGAAATAAAACACAAAAAACGGTTTAAAATTTTTTTAATTTATGTAAAAATGGGGAAAATATGAAATACATAATTAATGTGAATAAAATTGGATTTTTTGTTAGTACTTCCTCATTGTTTTGAGTTTAAATATATTTTAAAGTGATGTTAGGTATTTATAAGATTTATATCTGAATTATTTTTAAAAAACTTTGGTCAAAAATAATTATTTTTAAATATTTAATTTTTAGATATTAGAATATAACATTAAAAATCAAACAACCAAATTTTGTCATTTTCTTCCATGTAATAATTATATATTTACAAATTTAATTTAAATATTTTCACTTAGAATAGATCCACTTGAATGTCACGCTGTCGCTTTCCCAAAAATTATTAATTCAAAAGGAATTGGATTTATTATTGGGGGTTTTGATGGAATTGGACTTCGTTCAGAAATTTTAATAATTAATTTAAATAATGGAAATATTTTGGAAGAAATTAATAATGTTAAACTTTTAAAACCAAAAGAAAATTGTGGGGCTACTTGTTTTTGTATTGATGGAGAAAAAGAATTTTTGGCTGTTTTTGGAGGATGTAAGTAAATAAATTTGTTTAAAATTAATTATTATTTAGGGGATGGTTATAATGTTATAAATGATATTGAATTATTTGAAGTATTACAAGAATCCCCTTGGCTAAGAAGAGAAGAAAATTTTGAAAAATTAGAAACTCTGGATATTAGTGGAAGGAATAGACCGGCGGTTATTTGTTTGTGAAATTTAAAAATATTTTTAAAAATAAAACTTTCATTGTTCTGATATAATGGAATTTGATTTGGAAATAATATACCCAAAATGATTTATCAGAACTGATAAAATAATTACAAAATTTACTTCTCTTTTTTGTAATAAATTTTAATTTCTATTAATTTCTGGAGATTATTTTCGTTTTATAGTACCCCAACAGTCCCCCTTTACTAAATTTTTTTAAAGATAAAACTAAAAAAGTTGAATAGGGTACACTTTTAACTTTTTTACATTTAAATATTTTAGGTCTTAATTTTTGTATTAACACAATATTACAGACAAATAAACAAAAAAATACTCGTAAAATAATTATTTAAATATGTTTTCCTATAAAACAAACATTTATTTTCACAAATCTCTTCCTCAAAGGCAAAAGAAACATCGAATGCCTGGACCAACTTCCTGACGTTTTTTCAAGCAAACACGTACCAACATTATAACAAAAAATCTAAAAATTAAAAAAAAAAGTAAAATTAAAAATAAATTTACTAACATTCCACCGGCTATAATTGCACCAATAATTGCCCCAATTTCAAAATCGTTTGTATCAATCATTGGACAATCACACCCATTATATTCTACTTCAACTACGTTTGTAGAATTTTCCAATAATAATGAAGAAGTAAATGAAATATTTGTTGGAATTGTTTCAGTCGTTGTATTTGCATCCAAAAATGTTGGAAGAGGTGGAGGTTGCTTTGATAATTTATTTAAATCAGACTTTTCTGTTGTTGTCAAAAAGGTTGTAATAGAAAAGTTTGAATGAGTAGAGTTGTCCACATCCTCATTATTCATTTCCTCAAGATTATTGTTTAATAAATTATCTTCTGCCTTATTTGTATCATTTTGAGTAAACAATTCCATTATACCCTTGTCTTTAGAATCATTAATAAATGATTGCTGTTGAAAATAAATGAATAGGAAATTAATTTAAAAAAAGAGATTTACATTTATGTTGGCATTAATTAAATTGTCCATTCCTTTAGAAGGATAAATACACTCAAATGACAGTAGAATTAACAGGAAGACTCGCATTTATGGTAGTTGGTCTAAAAATAAAAATAAATTTAAAAAAATTTAAGCTAATAGAATTATATTAAGCTAGGAAGATGAGCTAACTCAAAGGGAGGATAACTAATCAAGTGCTTTGAGAGACCGTAACTTTTTGAAGAAACAAGAATTTGGTGAAACGAAAAAGTTTATATAATTAGACGTAAAGTATTTTTACAAAAAGAATTTTAAATTCAAAATTTTGTTGTTTTACCAAAATGTCGTTTTGTCAAACAATTAATTATAAAAAGGAAATTTAAAAAGCTAAAAGTCTTTGTTTTCCTTTGTCTGTGTAATATTTATTTATTGTTTTATTTTTTATCAGATAAATTTATTTTAATTTTATTTTCAAAATCTGATGGTGAAGCTTGGGTGGTTTGTGACGAAACTTTCGCGTGAAACTGTCACGATTGAGCTGAAGAATAATACTATTGTTACTGGAACAATTGTGGAAGCTGACACTGCAATGAACATTCATCTGCGTAGTGTGCAAATGTCGGTTAATGCTTATAAGAAGTACGAATTGGATTCTATCTCAATTTGAGGTAATTCTCTACTTTTTAAATTTCACAAAATAAATGTCATTCCCATTTTTAGGGAATAACATTCGCACCATTATCTTGCCGGATTCTTTGCCATTGGACGTTTTACTGATTGATGATGAGCCGCGATTCAAGTCACAGCAGCGTCGTATGTCTGGACGTGGCCGTGGAGCTGCTCCGCGTGGTTATGGGAGGCCGTCAAATCGTGGTGGCTCTGGTAATGGTGGGGCTCGTTCATATAGCAGTGGTAGATCTTCGACTTATAGCAGTGGTGGTGGATCTCGTTATAGCAATGGTGGTGGTGGTGGAGGGGATAATTATCGTCGGCGCTAATTGGAAAGAATTTATATTTGAGGATATTGAGGATCTTTTATTGATATTATATTTGCTATAGAAATATTTTTGTTGTATTGTATGAGTAAATTTGTTTCAGAATATTGTTTGCAATATTATAAGTTTTAACGTACTTTATTAATATTTTTCACCGTGAAAATTTTTTGGGGGTTTCTAATTTACTTAGATGTGTTGTCTTCCATCTTCCACAAAATTCCTCTTTTACTGCATTTCTGCCCTCTTCCTCTTATTTTTACCCCTAATTTTGGCCTTATCTTTGCATAAAATTTCGAATTTCTACTTTATTTGCGCACATTAGCAATCAAATAGGCGATAATTCAAATGGAATTAGGTTTTTTTGGGAAATTTTGCATATTTCAGTGCATATTTTGGGCCTTTTTCGCTGCATATTTTGGAATTTTCCTTGCATATTTTGTTAGTCCCTAGTAATTAACAGGGTGTCCCTTTTGCCTTATTTACAGGGCATTTGCCCTATTTTTGACCTTTTCGCCCTATTTTTTCCCTATTTTCTCATTTGCCATATTTTTGCCCTATTTTTACCACCTTGTAAAATTTTAAAAATTCTTCGGATTTTGTAAAAAAATGGTAAAAATGAAGGATTTCTGACTTCCAGGCCTTCTAAAATCCTCAAAATTTTTGCTTGCGGCGCAAAAATGGAAGAAATTTGGCTTCTTGAGCTCCAAATTTAAAAAAATTTTCGCCTGCGGCGCTGAAAATTGGAAGAAATTCTTCGATTATGGTGCGGGGATTTGGTCATGAATCGATGGTACATTTTAGGGGCTATTAGGTTTGGATTAGCTGGGGTATTTGCTGTTGTTAAGGGTAATTCAACCAACGGTATTCTGGGATTAAAGAGGATATCCCCGATAAAATCGATTAGTCACAAGTTGATATTTAATGTTAAAGAAATTTTTATTTGAAAAGTGGCTAATTTTGATAAAAAAATATCTCTTGCGTTGCGTTTTTCGCCGTTTTTAGCCTTGCCTTTCGTTTTTCTCAGTTGTATCTTGCACAGTCCCTGATCCTTATTAGTTTAACTTAGTTTAAAATATTGAAAAATATGCATAATAAAGCTTTCAACTTGAAATTTTAAGTATTTTTAAGTGTCTAAAACAATGCCCTATTTTTTGCCCTATTTTTGACCAATTTTGCCCTATTTTTGAGTCGCTTCGCCCTATTTTGGTGTTTTGGAAAGGGACACCCTGTAATTAACCCTGAAAATTTTACTCTTTTATACTCAAACATTTAGTTTCTGATAATCTTTAGGAGATTTAAGATTTTTGGCCTCTCTTCCTATAAAAACCCACATATTCAACTTGTTTTGAAATCAAAAATGTTACTAACCAAAACACTGAATATTTGACACTGAACCATCTCTTACTTTTTTTACAATTCTTTCAAATCCAGTTTTTATCAAAATTTTACTTTTTTCCTCATTATTTCATTTTAATTTTAGGAAATTTTCTTAAAAAATGCGTCATTTAACAAGACGTTTATTTGGAAAATTATTTTGTTGTTGTCATCGCAAAGATTCTCCAAATAAATTTAATTTGGAAATTTGTTTTAATCGAATATTTCCAATTGTTAATTTTTTGATGCGACGAGTTCTTGGACGTGTATGTTTTTTCTTTTCTTAAATTTATTTTTAAAAATATTTTTCATTTAAAGTTTTTGTATATCAAAGTTTATTGTATTTTGGCTTTTGTTTTATTTGTTTCTGTAGCAATTGTTATTCCATATGAAAGTCTTTATAAGCCATTTTGGGTAATGATTCCTCTTTGCTTTTTTGCTGTTTATATTGCTGGGAATCTACTTTTTCATTTTAACAAAGCTTGCCGAGTTGGGCCTGGAAGTCCTAAAAAGGTTTTTTTGTTTAAATTATTTTAAGAAAATATTTTTAAAAAATAATTTAGAGTGATCTTTTACCTCGGTGCTTTATTTGTAATAATCATAAACCTGTAAATGCTCATCATTGTTCGATTTGCGGAATTTGTGTGGTTTGTTTGTTTTTTTGATAAAATGTTTATAGGTATATTCTCCTTATTAAAATTTTGGGGTAATTAATTATTTTCTACCTTTTAGAAGCTAGGGGGCATTTTTAAAAAATTTTGCATTAGAGTATTTATTTTTAAAAAATAGTTAAATATGGATCACCATTGTATTTGGCTTAATCAATGTGTTGGGGCATGTAATCATCGTTATTTTCTCCAATTTATTGGTTTTACTGCTTTGGGGTGTGGAACATTTGTTTTGGCTGCTTCAAATACTTTTTATTATAATTATTGGAAAGTATGTTTTTCTTTTAGATTTTTTTTTAATTTTTAAAAAGGCATTTACAACAAATAAAATGTTTTGTGATTCTGATATTCTTGCAAAAGAATTGCCTTGGTTTGAATTTATTTGTGGACATGGACCTTCAACTTTGGTTTCGATAATTTTTGCAGCTTATTTGCTTTGTCTTATTGTTTTTGTAATGATTGGAGGGTTTTTCTATTGGAATTTTGTTTTGATTAGTTTTGGTGATACTTATTTGGGGGTTATTGTAAGTTTTAAAATAAATTTTTTTAATTAAAAATTAATTTGAATATTTATTGATGAAATAATTGGGGGGTTTTTTTTAATTAAACATTGAAACTTTAATAATCAAAAAATTTCCAAAAATTAACATATTTTTCTCCTCACAGATCAATGCTCCAACATTAAAAGGCTTGGTGAATATGTTCTTTTTTCCTTGTCGAAATGAACATTTTCATGAGAATTGGCGTCGCTTTCTTGGATTAGACGTTGGGAATCGAACATTTATTCGACATATTTTATTACCTTCTTCTCATGATGCAAGTGGTTATTTTGAGTGGACTGGACGTGTTAGGGATGATTACAATAAACTTTGTGGGGAAAAGAAAGAAACTCCAATAACGATTGTTTAATTTTTAAAAAAAGTAGAAAATAGGTAATCTTTTAGGTATATTGTATTTAAATATATATGCGGGTAACCCTTTATTTTTTTAATCACTTGATAATTAATATTTAAACTCCTCCATAATGTCTTTCATTAATCCCAGTAAAGCCCACATTTTCTTTTGTATTTTTATTTGTTTTATTTTTGTGTTTTTGGGAGAACTTTTCTAATTAAATTTTTAATAAAACGCTTTGAGATTAAAAAAACATCCACAAATAAGAATTGGATCCTGACCAGTTTTTTCTTACAAATTAGTTCTCCCAAATAGCAAAAATTGCATATATCTAGTAGTATGACTTTTAATTTTTTTCTAAATCACAAATAATAATTTTTGTATTTAAAATAAAATTAGAGACAATGTAAAGTTGCAAATTATTTTAGTTGTTTATTTTACAATAAATAATGAGAATCAAATTTAGTGAAAATAAAATTAGTCATCTTTAACCTCCATTTTTAAAATTCGGCTAGTCAAGCTACCTCCCTTAGACGAACTGGCATCATCAGATATATTCCCTTTCTTCGAAAATCGTTTTGTATTTTTCCCGGAGAAGAATTTTGGTATATTAGTCACACTTTTGATGGCGCCGCTCTTCATACTAGCCAATGTGTGTCTTGGCAATGAAAGACGTCGGCTGTTACCGCTGGATGATGCTAAAATTATAAGTTATAAAGGAATAAAAAAGAATAATTTACCAAAGTCAGAATTTAAACTTTGATCATCAAAATTCAAAGGGATGGTAATCTTCTCTGGGCAAACACGTTGATCATCAAGTTGTTTGTTAGACCTTTCAATCAGCTCCATCATGGTTTCTCCGTCATTTTCAGCGTCCCCGAGGTCGGTTGAAACTTTGTTTTGCAAAAAACGTTTCTGAAAATATTAAAATAAGCTAGGAAAACAAATGTCAAAATTTTAACAAATCTCTCGAAAAAATAACGAAATAAAAATGCTAAAACCAACTTTTGCCTTCCTCAAACCAAGTGAGTCTAAATTCGTTACACTCTTCCAATGTTTGAAAATTGATTTGCGCCTATGGCTGCTAGCTCTACTAGAAGGTGATCGCTTACTTGAAAGCGATAATGAATCTACAAAAAATATTTTTAAAATTATTATAGAAATTTAAGTACCATCAATTGTCCTTTTTTCATCTAAAGGTTTATTCACATTCTCCAATTCAACTTCAATTTTCGGCCTTTGATCCTCGGGAAAGTCAGGTCCTTTTGAAATTCTTTGGGCGGCACTTTAAAATTTTATTAGATTTTTTATTTTTATTTAAAAAACATACAGCAAATTCCTCTCTGCAAGCTCATGATTTCCGAGCTTACTATAAGCTTTTGCAATGTTTATCAAAGTCATACCAATAGCTGACTTATCATCCAATTCACGAGCTATTGCTAATCTCTTTAAAAATAAAATTTTCTTAAATAAAATTTTTCTTATAAAACCTTTTCAAGGCAATCAATTGACTTATTATATTCAGACAAGCAAAAATAAGCATTCGCAAGATTTCCAAGAGCAAGGCCACTAATTTTTTTATCTTGCTGTCTTTCCATAATTGACAAATATTCTCTAAATTTAAAAAGAACACTTAGAATTTAAAAACGGTAAAATGATTCCACATTTATTGTCATCCATCTATAAAATTACTCTATACTAGTTGGTTATTTCCCATTTTTGAAGTAAAACAACTAAAGATTTTGAAAATAAGGCTAGCTCAAAAGAGCCCGTTGAGCTGAGTCGAGTGTCACCAAAATCGATACAATGACATAATGGAGTAAATTCCACACCTTGACACTTCAATGGGGGTTATGTATTTCAATACTATTTGATCTCTCCACAGTAGCACAAGGTTTTTTAGATGAAACTTCATTTTTATCGGATCGATCCGTTGTGGCTTTACTTAACTCGGTTCGACTAGCTCTTTCGAAAGAGCTATCATTTATACACCAAAAAAGGAAAACGACAGGTACAAATTGTTTTTAAAATTTAGATTACTTGAAAGAAAAAACAGATTTTTGAAGTTGCTCTGTAATATATTGATTATACAAATGAGCATTTGCATCCGAGTTGTCAACTTCAGAACAAGTCAATGCATCTTGTAAATAGGCAAAGCCACAATTATAATATCCACGGCCTTTGAGAATCTTAAAAAATATTTTAGAAAAATATTTAAAAATTAAAATAACATCATCATTTAATCTTGCTCCTAGAATAATAGCTCGTCCAGCACAAAAAATTGAACTATCAAAGTCAAGGAGCCTAAAATAATTTGTTGAATTTTAAACTTTTCATTAATAAATTTACATTGCGTAAGCTACAGATAAATTAGAATATGCTTCGGCCTCTTTCTCTTCATTTTTTGATTGCCTAAATATATTCTAATGAAAATATTTAAAAATAAAAATACTTGGAAGTAGTCAAATCACTTATGAAGAAATTCTTCGCTTGTTCAAAATCATGAAGAGAAAAGTAAGCATTTCCTAATTGAAGATTGATATCCGCAATTATTTGTTGATCCTCGGAACCAATGAGAAGCGCCCGTTCCAACAATAAAATTCCATGTTTAATCATTTCTAAGATTTTGTATAAAACGTAAACTGATTTAACAAATTCAAATACACTTTACAAACCTTTAGATGAGCCATTAATTGCACGTTTTCCATCCAAAAGAAGTTTATTAAAAGTCATAATGAATTCGTTTTTCTATTGTTATCTAAAAAAATTAAACAATATAATAAAAATATAACCATCAGCAAGACAAAGATAATAAAATGTTAATTAAAACTTTAAAGTTTCCAATAATGTAACTTCAAAATAAATTTATTTAATATTGTTTTTATCTACATAAATTTAAAAATTTATAAAATATAAAAATGGAATTATTGAATGTCAATCAATTATAAAATTAATTAAACGAATCGTGCATATTCAACACTTCATCCAAAATTTGAAGAGCTCTGAATATACAAAGTGAAATTTAAAATATCGTTAAAATTATAAATACCGATGTAATTGCAATTCTATCCAACAAGGCGTTTCCTAAAAAAATTTAAGAATATTAAAACAAAATAAATTTATTTATTAGAATAATTTACATGAATTGTTCGACGAGGGTAACTTAATCCAAATCCTTTAAAAAAAGAAATATTTAAAGTACACAAAAGACGAAAATCATCAACGCCGGGATCATCTGTTGTGGTCTAAAATTTAAAAAAAATTCAAAAAATTTAAAAATAATTTTTAACTTCTTCATCACTCCTTTCACTAGTTCTAATTGCTCCAAGTTGATGATTGCTTCCTTCACCAACAAGTGGAGCACCCAATTCTAATCGTTGCTGTCTTCTCATCATTTGATCCTGCCTCAAGCGTCTATTGACATTTCTTTCCAAACTGCTATGTTCCCAACATTCATAACATTTTTGAAGATCAAAAATCTTTAAAAATACGACTGACATATTAAATTAATAAAAACCTTAACAGTCGTGTATTGAACAAATTTATGTGCATGGCAAGGTTCTTCACGGCCAGTTAACATGTCCAAATAGTGACTTTGAACAAATACGGGATATTTACTAAAAATTTAGAAAAATAAAAAGTACCAAATAGAATTAATAAAAAACCTTAAAACAGTTAACCAAACATCGCCCTCCCCTTTCAACATAAGACAAACACCACGGCCAAGATTCATTCTGTAAAATAAAAAATTTGTAAAAAGAAAATATATAAGCCAATTTACCTGCACTTTTCAGCAGCATCAGTTCGAACAGTATTTGTCAATGACCCCAGACAAAATCTAGAACCATCAGAACTATTCAGACCACCATCAATAAAAACTTTGGAAAACTCAGAATTTGCCTGGAATGTATCTCCAACTTTGCGGTCATATTCATAATAACTAATAGCACACCAATAAATTGGAACTGAAATTAAATAAAAAAATATTTTGTCAGTTATTTTTTCTAATTAAAAAAAAAGTAAATACATGGTTTATCAGAGATTGACGGTCTATTTTTTGAACTGTTAAGTTTATCCAATCCATAAATATATTTTGGTACAATCGGTTTACTTTCTACAGTTGACGTAAGATCCAAAAATTGTGGAAATGAAGAGGGATATGAGATGCTTTGTTTGTAATGAAGTGGATGTTGTTGCTAAATGAGAAAAATTTTACTTAAAAAATAAAGAAAAAAACATGTGTTTGTATAAAATTAGTTGCTTGCGGTGGTGACGATGATTGTAGTATTCGACGTGGACTACCACAAGTACTATTAGAAACGGACGAATTCAATGGTTCCATAATAATACCACCAAACTCAGCAAATGGATTAACAACACTAAGAGGTTGTTGATAATTTTGCTGTATAGGACAATGTTGAGGTTGATTTGTAATAAGATTAGAAATTGCTGAGACGCTTGGCAGAGATGCCATTTTTAAAGATGCGGGATTGGAAGACTAAAAAAATTTTAATTCTTCAAATAAAATGATTGATTAAACCATTATAAGAGGTGCATTTGAACGTGGGTAGTGTGGAGGTGTTTGTAGCCTTTGTTGGGAATGTTGAAGTGTCGATGGCGGAATTTCATCTAAAAATAAATTTAGAAGTTAAATAAAACGCGCTGGTCGGTATTCTACTAGGGATGTACCCCATCCCTGTCCTCGAAAGCCGGGGAATGCGAGAATTATTAATTACTTTGAGGATCTATAGGTAATTGTTTTTGTTGAATAAATTGTTGTTTTTGTTGTACATGAGTCGAAATTATTTGATTAGTCTGCTGATGCTTATTTAATTGTTGAGTATTCAAATGTGCTGGGAAGTTGGGGCTTAAATGTGCACGTAGTACAGATGTTATAGCAGATTGTTGTGAATTTGATTGCTGTGTTGGAGTTAATTGTTGTAAATGTTGTTTGAGAGCATTAGGGGGTCTTCCTGGTCCACGATGGAGTAATGGAAGTTGTTTACATTCTGGAGAGATTCCTGAACGCTCTCCACATGAAGTCATTCTATAAAAGAATTATTCAAATAAAAAAGAAAAAATAACCCTGACGGTGAATGTAAATCTGTTGTTCCTCCTTCAATAGAAATTACTCTCTCATAGTGATAAGGATTTACGCACACCTAACAATAACAATTTGAAAATATAAAAATTGTCCAAATATCAACCTGTTCGCCTTTTAAATCAAAAGCGAAAACACATATATTTCTGTGTTTAAGTTCATTCTTATGCAAATCATGCCAACGAAATGCTCTTGCATAGACAACATGCGGGAAACCTTTACGTCCAGCTACCTAAAATTTAAAAAATAAATAAAAATTTCGAGAGGATTCAAAACCTGCAAACGCCCGTCAAGTGTTCGAGTAGTTGTAATACATTTTGTTTCGACCCGGCCAAGGGAAGAGACAGAAATAATGAAAGCGTCTAGTTCATCACGTTTGTCTTTTAATTTTTTAATTAAACTTTCAATTGCTTTTTTGCTGAATTCCCGATCATGGTCCTAAAAATAGAAAAAATGTAGATTATTTAAATAAATTAGAAAAAGTGTAGATTATTTAAATAAATCCGAAAACAGAATTAAATTACCACAACAAAATGCATCAAATAATTAGCAATTGTGCTATTTGCATCAGTGCTGCTAGGTCTTTGCATAGATCCTCTCTGTTGCTGATGTTGTTGAATTGGAAAGTGTGGAGCAACTGGTTGTGCATCCCCTCCTTCCAAATAGCGAACAGGTGGAACGTATGGTTGTTGAAAAGGAGGAGGATTACCTTCAGAAAAGCCTTTTAAAAAAGATAAAATGTTGCAAATAATTATTTGATAAATTTTTACTTACCAATAGAATTGTTTATTCCTTCATTAAACTGCAAGGGATTCATTTCTAAACCATTCTTTGTTGTTTAATCAAAAACAGATGAGAAATACTTTTCTAGCCTCAAGTGTCTGAAAAAATTTAGGCGCGAGACGAAATTTTTCGAAAGGGTTAATTGAGTCTTGACACTCTACTAGTATTTTTATTTTTAAAATTTTAGTGCCAAAAATTTTATTTTTTTCTAAATTTTTTTTGTCTAATTCAAAGCCTTACCATTGTGATCCTTTACTAATATATTTTTCATTTAATATTTTATTTTTAATTTTTAAAGGTTTATTCTAATTTTCTACAATTATAACAAAAAATGATTTCTTTTAATGATCCAGACTTTGAAAAGAAAATAGCCGAAAGTAAAGTATTTGTTATTGGAGCTGGAGGAATTGGTTGTGAATTATTAAAGAATCTTGTAATGTCTGGTTTTAAGAATATTACAGTTGTAAGTTTAATTAATTTTAAAGATTTTTTAAATTTATTTTTTTAGATTGATCTTGACACAATTGAAATTAGTAATCTTAACCGCCAATTTCTTTTCCGTAAAGAACATGTAGGCAAATCAAAAGCAGAAATTGCAAGCTCTGTTGTTAAACAAATGTCTCCAGATGTTAATATTACTTTTTATCATGATTCAATTATGAATGAAAAATTCGGGGTCGACTTTTTTCGAAATTTTTCTTTGATTATGAGTGCTTTGGACAATAGAGGTTTGTTTAATTTTGTCTTAACTTTATTTTTTGTTCTTAAAATTTTTCAGCAGCACGCAGTCATGTTAATCGACTTTGTTTGGTTGCAGATGTTCCTCTTGTTGAGAGTGGTTCTGCTGGTTATTTAGGGCAAGTTTCTGTAATTCTTAAAGGCCGAACTGAATGTTATGATTGCACTCCGAAACCTATTCAAAAGGTTTTTGAATTTTTTCTAAATAAATATACAAATAAAAACATTTTAGACATTTCCAAGTTGCACTATTCGAAATACTCCATCTGAATTAATTCACTGCATTGTTTGGGCGAAAAGTGCTTTCAAGTTTGTTTTTTTTGAAAAAAGTCTCGAATATGGCTACCGAACGAAAGCACTTTAATCATCTGTCATTCGAAAGAGTTCGGCGAGCTGTGTCGAATGACACCAAAATTATTCCGCGGAAACAACTTTAGATTGAGATACAGGGTTGTGGAATAATTTTGGTGCTTTTTCGAATGGCATATGATTCAAATATTTTCGTTTGGTAGCCATGTTCGAGACTTTTACCTTTTTTTCTTTAAAAATTTATTTTAAAGAAATTTTTTTTTTCTTTTTTTTTCTTTTTTTTGAAAAATTTGAAATTGAAAAATGAAAAATTTTTCAAAAAAAAAAATGAAAAATTTCTTCATTCAGCCAACTTTTTGGAGAAAATGATCCAGATGATGATGTTTCTCCTGAAATGGACTCTATGGAATCTTTACCAACTGTTTCAGAAAATTCTTCAGCAGACAATACATCAACAAATGGTCATCATACAACAAAAGAAAATTCTGCAAATGGAAGTAATGAGCACATTGAACAACCAAAAATTCATTTGAATACACGACAGTTGGCAGAGCATAATGGATATGAACCAAAACATTTATTTGACAAGGTATTTCTAAAATTAAAAATCTGAAATATTTTATATTTTTAACCTCAAAATATTTTTTCCTCTTATTATTATTTTAGGCCTTTTTTGTGGGATTTTTCCTAACTTTATTTATTTTAAATTTTAATCCCTTTAATTGAATTATAAAATTTTAATTCAAATTTAATTTAAAAGTTTCATGTTATTTTTTAAGCTTTTTCATACTGACATCAATTATCTTCTTTTGATGGCTGATTTATGGAAAGAAAGGAAGAAACCTACTCCTATCAAATTTTCTGAACTTGTTTCTTCAGGTAAATTTAAAATATTTTTTTTAATTTTAAACTAAAAGGACTTGGCGGTAGTAATGTAGAAAAGGCTTCATTAGACCCAAATACTCAATGGAGTATTTCTCGTTGGGCCCAAATTTTTGAAGAATCTACAGTTGAATTAGCACGTAAATATCAAGAAATTCAACAACAATCAGACAAAAATACTCTTGTTTGGGATAAGGATGACGATGCAGCAATGAGATTTGTGGCTGCTTGTGCTAATTTACGTGCTCATATTTTTCATATTGGAATTGATACTTTGTTTAATATAAAGGGTTTGTTTAGTTTTTAAAAATTAAAATAAAATAATTTTTAGCAATGGCGGGAAATATTATTCCAGCAATTGCTACAACAAATGCTTGTGTTGCGGGGATGGTTGTTGTTGAAGCTTTAAAGATTATTTGTGGACAACTTGATAAATGTAGAGCAGTAAGTTAATATTTTCTAATGATTCTTAACTGTGAAAAATTTAACAAAAATTTAAAATTTTAGATTTTTATCACCCGTCAGCCAAATCCTCGCGGCAAAATCCTTGTTGATGAAAAACCAGCTCCACCAAATCCGAATTGTTATGTTTGTTCAGTTAAAGGTCAAGTGCTTATTCGAGTGAATTTGGAGAAAATGTTATTAAAAACATTTTTGTCTACAATACTTCTCAAAACTCTTAATATGTTAAAACCAGATGTTATGGATATTTGTCAAAAACATCGTGTATTAATTTCTAGTGAGGAAGGAGAAACTGATGGTAAAATCTTTAAAATAATTTTGAGTTCTAAACAAAATTAAGGTATAATGGATCGAACACTTCAATCATTGGGTGTTTTGAATGGTTCTCAATTGGAATGCGATGATTATGCCCAACAACTAAACTTTAAAATAATTATATTCCATGACGATAAACTTGACGCTGATGGTTTTGCTGTTGATTCTAATGTTGGAAATGTTGAGGTTTTTTAAATAATTTTTAATTATAAACTTAATTACTGTTTGTTTTTAAGGAATCTGTAACCGGAAAGATTGCTGCTACAGCGCTGGACAACGAGAATGCTTTGGATAAGGATGAAGGTTCTAATTTTTTCAATTTAGTATTTCTGTGGTATTTTTCTTGAATGTCCAAAAATATATTGTTTAGTTTAGATATAAGCTAGGGTAGTTTGTTTTCGCTGAATCCCTTTATTTATTTTAAAATTTTACTGTTATATTTAAGAGCTAAAACGAAAACGACCATCAACAGCTCAAGAAACTAGAGAGGTTTGTATGAATGAGGATGGAATGAAGGACGGAAGTGATGATATTGAAATTTCACCGAAACGGTCTCGTCTTGAATGACTAACTGTTAAAACTTTTTTGACCTTTCTAATGGTTTATTGTTCCCCATACGTATCTTGGGCGAGCTTTTATTATTATTTTTAATGTTTTTGTTTTTGAATTCAAACTATTTAAGAATAAAATGGTATTTATTTATCTGATAATTTTAAAAATACATTTTTACTCGAAAGTATACATATTTTAGATAATTTAAATCATAAAACTAGAAAAAATCTAGTGATGTGTTTTTGTCAAAGGAATGTTTAAATACTAAACCAGCCGCCGGTTATTTTTACTTAAAACGGTTATAAAAATTTTTGATCTCCAATTAATAAAAGATATCAACCAATGGCAGGCGTATAAGAATATAATTCCCTCAAAGTTAGAAATATATTTCATTTACAAAGTCTTCAACTCATCAAATAAATTCTTTAATCTGTATGGACTTTTTGTGGCAAAGCAGTTGCTTGATTGTAAGACGGTGGACCGCCAGCTGGGTATGGTGGATTACCAGTTGGATATGGCGTTCCACCTAAAGTCGGATAAGGTGAATTGCCAGCTGGATATGGTGCTCCTCCATGAGTGCCGCTTGTAGGATATTGTGGTGGACCTCCAGCTGGATATGGTGGCGCTGAAGGACCAACGCTCCCGCCTGTTTGATTTTGCGGTGGTGGATTGGGAACAGCCTGTCCCATTCCTGGATACGGCGGTGGGCAGTCCCACATATAGACACTCTCCGCTGAAAACAAAATTCCAGTTATCAATCAAATTTAAAAAAATCAACCTGGCGGCTGTTCATTAAATACATGAGTGGGTGCTTGATACCCATTATAATTTCCACCTGTCCAGTAGTATGTTGGTGGCGCTGCGTAATAATCACCTGCAGGAGGCGCATATTGCGGTGGCGCATCAAATGGTCGACGAGCATAATTTTGTGCTTAAAAGAGGATTTTAAGAATTATTTAATCAAAATACAGACTCATTTCTTCGCTCTTCAATAATGCCTGCCCAAAGTCAATACAACCTCCACGCTTGAAAGTTAAACGCCAAGACGCCTCTCCTTGCCAGTTTCCATCTGGCTGTGCGATCAATTCACCGTGTAGATAATTTGCCCCAAATATTGGCTGCTCAAGTTTAATGTCACGCAAAGAAACAAAGGGCATTGAGAGCGATTTGAAATTGCTATTAGGCTCGGTGACATTATTGAAAATAATCTAAATTTGTTTTAACTAAAAAATTAAAAATATAAACTCGATGTGAAGTCAAATAAAGATTTCCCTTTTTAGTTCCTTTAAATTCCGGTGCTGTGTATTTATCAAAACTTAAATTAACTTCGCGAACAAACAAAAGGATTCTGAAATTTAAATATTAATTATCTTTGTTATAATTTATGTAGTTCTTACATTTCACCATTGTAAATTATCACACCGCGACCATCTGGTGTATTGGATGTATTCAAAGACATTTTAATAAATTGATTTAAAAAGTTCAAAAGAAGCTTTTAATTTCTAAATAAATTAAAACTTTAATCATAAATTCATAAAATGATATCATTCGCGTCAATAACTTACATACATACATATAAAGGAAAATGACTCATATCTTTTATCAAACAATAACAAAATTTCATCAAGGCTGGTTAAACGGCACAGCACTATCAGCCCGTTGACGCACGCGTGAAAACTAAGTTAGTTTTCTATTTCTACTTTCTTTCGTTCTCTAATTGTCTCTCTTTCTTTTCTGCACTCTTTTTCGCGACTGCGAGGACAAATTTTATAAAACTTTAAAATTCCGTATCTCGAAAACTATCACAAATTTTTGAAATTTTGTTCAAACCATTTCATAGATAATTGTTTTAAAATTCTCTGTTTCAAGATTCTCTCTAAAATTTCTTGTTTAATTAGGATTTTCCTAGTTGCTGAACCTTTTGTCATTTTTCACTTCTGACCCTTTCTCTTGTTTACAATAAAGTCAGACGCACGAGAGACGCAATAAAATAAAGAGAGTAGATAGACATTTAAACTTAAATTTTGGCGTTATGTTTAAGGAAAAGATTTAGCTAGTTTTCACGCGTGCGTCAACTGGCTGAAACTGCAGTGAAACGTGAAATTGGCGCACGTGAAAATAGAATGGTTAATATAAGAGAGACATTATACAGTCAACTTGGCGCGGTCTGGTTTAGCGCAGGCTTAAAATTATAGCAGTCTACTATGGGACTAGCCAATGTGAAATTGTCTTACTATGTATCTGGTGGCCACCATTAATACATACTACTTTGCAAAAAGTTTTTAATTATGTATTTTTATGCAAAAATTAAGATTAGACGACATTTAAATGCTGTACTATTTATTCTAAATGATGAGTAAGTAAACAATATGGAGCATAAATTATAAATTCTAACACATTTTTGATACAAAGAGAATATTCGCTGTCTTAAACCGCGCCCCTAAAGTTTAATAAAAGAAAATTATGTATAAAATAAGATCATTTTATTTTTCCATTTTATGTATTCTTACTTTTATAATTTTAATTTTACATAAATCATTTTTTAGTTATAATGAGCATACTAAAATTGCGTATTTCTAAACTTCCAACTACGGAGACTTCTTTAACGAACAAAGTTTATTTAAATCAACATGATTTAGATGCAGCACTTACCAGGTTTTCTTAATTTCGGAATATTTTTATCTTCTCTTTGTTAGCTATGTTCGAGTTATAACTGGCCCTGCACATAATTATATTTTCTCATTTGCCAATCATAATGGGATTCAGCCAGGGGAGATTGGTTTTTCTTTGCCTCAACGACGTTGGACAAATGTTGGTTTGGAGCAAATTGTTCAGGTTTTTTATTCTCTTAAATTTAATTTTTTTTAAATATTTTTTCAGGTCCATCCTTATTCTTTTCCTCCTGGGCAACAAATTATAACTTTCATAAATCTGACTGTTGATTTTATGAAAAAGCCGTAATTATATATTTTTGTGAATATAAAACTAAAATATTTTTAGTGCAAATCCTACGGAGCCATTGGATTCTGATCAGATGGCTCGTGAGTTTCTGATGCAGTTTGCGAATATGGCTTTCACAAAGGATCAGGAATTGGTTTTTGAATTTAGTCAGCAACGAAGAGGACAACAACAAAATGACAAGTTGCCGACTGTTTATACGTTGAAACTTTTTGTGAGAAAAATGGAGGGAATTACATTTAATTCACAACCACAAGAGGTTTATAAAAATATAATTATTATCAAAAAATTATTTTTAGTGTCATTTCGGTCCTTTGAGCCCAAATGCTGTTGTTATTTTTGATCGTTCTTCAGAAGGTTCTCAACTAAATCTAATTGGCCGTTCAAAGGGAAAATCGACACACAAAGCTCTAATTAATCCAGATTGGGATTTTCAACAGATGGGAATTGGAGGATTGGATAAAGAATTTTCTGATATTTTTAGACGTGCGTTTGCATCGCGTGTCTTTCCTCCGGAATTTATTGAACAATTGGGTGAGTGATTTTTCAATATTTGTTAATTTATTCTAATTAAATAGCGATGAAACACGTTCGTGGAATTCTTCTTTTTGGTCCTCCGGGAACCGGAAAGACACTTATTGCTCGTCAAATCGGAAAAATGCTTAATGCTCGTGAACCTAAAATTGTGAATGGACCTGAAATTTTAGACAAATTTGTTGGGGAATCTGAATCAAAAATGCGAAAATTATTTGCTGATGCTGAGGAAGAATGGCGTCGTTGCGGTTCAAATTCTGGACTTCATATAATTATTTTTGATGAAATTGATGCAATTTGCAAGCAAAGAGGATCTATGGTTTGAATTCATTTTTAAAAATTTTTAATTATTTAGACTGGCGCAACGGGAGTACATGATACTGTGGTTAATCAGCTTCTTACAAAATTGGATGGTGTTGAACAATTAAACAATATCCTCGTCATTGGGATGACTAACCGAAAAGTTTTTAATTTAAAAGTATTTACAAAATATTTAAAAATTTAGGATATGATTGATGAGGCTCTTCTCCGTCCTGGCAGAATTGAAGTTCAATTGGAAATTTCATTGCCAGATGAGAATGGACGTGTTCAAATACTCAAGATTCATACTGCTAGGATGAGGTCAATTTTTAACTTATTATTTAATTTTAGAGATTTATAGAGAATACAATAAACTTGATCCAAGTGTTAATATTGCTGAACTTGCCCATAAAACAAAAAATTTCTCTGGTGCTGAATTGGAAGGACTTGTAAGAGCAGCTCAATCCTCAGCAATGAATCGACTTGTAAAGGCTGGTGGGAAAGTTCAAGTTGATGAGGATGCTGTTGAGAAATTAATGATTACTAGTGATGATTTTGAACACGCATTGGAGCATGATGTCAAACCTGTAAGTTTTTAATTTTTACTTTCTAAACTAAAATATTAAAGGCATTTGGTCATAACGACGAAGACTTGGGCCGTTTACTTTATGGAGGGCTTATTTGTTGGGGCGATTCAGTTACAAAAGTACTTGAGTCAGGTGACCTACTTATTAAAGAAACTGCTGCTCCAGATACTAGAGGCTTCGTGAGAGCTCTGCTGGCTGGTAATAATTTAGTATTTTATAAATAATTTTAAAATTAATAATTTTAAGGCCCGGCAAACAGTGGAAAAACTTATTTGGCCGCACATATTGCCAAAAAATCCGAATTTCCATTTATCAAAGTTTGCTCTCCTGAAGATATGGTTGGCTATACTGAATCAGCAAAATGCTCTCAACTTCGAAAAATATTTGAAGATGCTTATAAATCTCCTCTTGGCTGTATAATTATTGATAATATTGAACGATTACTTGATTACTCACCAATTGGACCCAGATATTCAAATTTGGTGCTTCAAGCTCTTTTGGTGCTACTTGGAAAACGTCCTCCAAAGGTAAAGTTAACTTTACAAATATTTTTTGAACCCCAAAATGGGACCCCTAATCGAGTTTTTTTACCACCACCTCACTACACTACCGCTACCGAGGCAAGGACGGCCATCTTGTAGGGAGAATCATGCCTGGCTTACTCTCCGTAACAGCGCATGTTTTTCCTCAATCAGATTTCGATTTCAGTAGACTCGGTTCTATAGCTCTTTCGTATGAACATTAATTTTATAGATTTCCACAGAAAACCTGGAAACAAGATAGAGACTAGGTTCTTGACATTATACGATTTTAATCCCGTAAATTTATCAAGTTTCACGAAATTAATTTTTAAAGAATCGTCGTCTTCTCATAATTGCAACTACTTCAACTGAGCATTTTCTTCGTGAAGCTAATTTGCTTTATTCTTTTAGTTCAATAATTAATGTAGAATGTCTCACCAAACCAGAACACATTTGTGCTGTTTTGGAAGAGACTGGTGGATTTGAGACAAAAGAAATTAATTCTATTAAGAATAAATTAAATAAAGTTAAATTTTCATTTGGCATTAAACACATGTTGGAACTTCTTGATTTTGTTAAACAAGGAGGACGTGAATATCAAGTTGATTTGCTTTTGGAATCCTTTGAAAAAGAAGAACTTGGAATTTGAATTTTTTGAAAATTTTTGGGTTTTAGAGAAACATTCCATAATTTTTTGTTAGGATTTTAATGTGTTTGTGAAAATTTTTAGTTTCTTTTAAAGTTATGGTGTGCCAAAAGTTTGGAAAATAAATTTTTATTTGAATTAATTTTTTAAATTTGGCACATCAAAAGATTTATTTTTAGAATAGCATAATTGAAAAATTTTATTGAAATTCTCTATAAATTTTTATGAAAACCCTTAAAAAATAAATATTAGCCATTTAAACATTCCATTTTAGCTTTTTTACTCACAAAAATGTTCTCACATTCCCATAATTATAAATAAATTTATGTCAAAAAAATTATTTTATTAAATAAAGCTTTTATAAATTTTAAAAATTATTCAATGAATAAACATTTTTGCACAGAAAATTTTATATAAATTAAGAGACCCCCAATTCAAACCCTTGCTGTAATACAATTAACATCATCCATTTCATAATTATAATCAGAGTTTTCAATATTATTTTTATCAGATTTTTGAGAAGAATCTGAAATTAATTAAGAAACATTTGTTTTAAAAATTAAAAAAAATTCACAAAAAGGGGAATTAAATCGTGCCGGGTTAACTCGAGGAAAGACAAGTCAATCAAGGAAAAGACAAGTCTAGGAACAACCTATTTGTTTCTCTTAATTTTTCAAACTATTATATCCTAGAGACTGGATCTCGATCATCGAGCTTTTTCGAATATCTCGACGACCCTTCTACTATGTATGTACATTCTAATCTTTTAATTAATCCCCAACAAATCCTCTACTTACTAACCAAATTTAATTTCTTTACCAATTTTTCTTCTTCTTTTCCTTCTTTTAATTTCCCTTTTTAATTTACTACTAATTTCTTCTCCTCCTTTATTTTCTTCTTTTTTATTTTTTCTTTTAATTTTTCTTTTTTCTTTTTGACATAAAATTTCAATTTCTGCAGGTTCAGGTAATCCACCTTCCAAAGCAATTTCTTTTTTATTTTTTTCAATATTAAATAATTCACTTTTTCTTCTTTTTCTATTTTCTCTCATTCTTTTAATTGTTTCTTGGCGTGTTCGACGAAAATAAACAAATAAATAACTAATTAAATAAATAATTAATTGAATAACTGAAATAATTGAGCCTCCAATCCAAAGTGAAATTTGACCTAAAAATTGGAAATTTTTAAGATTTTAGTTTTAAGAAATTGAAAGTTGAATAGTATATCTAAAATTGAGATTTTCAACAGAAAATAAGAGGAGGAGGGGGAACTAAATTTGAGAAAAATTATATTTACAATAGTTATTCACACTTAGACGTATCGCTTAAACATCTCTCCCCCTGTGGCCCCAACCAAATTCTAATTATTCGGTTTATATTTTGTTGTGGTCCGGCTGTATATTTATGTAAATTCAAAATAAAAGTTTAAACAAGCTTTTAGACTGACCTCCCAACTTAGAGGTCAGTCGAAGCCACTGACCTCCAAGTTGAGCAATAAATGAAGACGGGGTTATTGTTAACATTTGTTGAATTACTGTGTAATCAAGTGTTGTGTAAAAAACATCCAAACTTTTAATTTTTAAATTAATTTATTTATTATTTTTAATTAAAATTAGTACATTATTGTATTTTGTAAATTTTCCCATTTTGTTTTGTCTTTTACAAAATGTTTAGCAACTTCAGAAGGAAAATTAGCTTTAAAAAATATTTAAAATTAAATTAATTAATTTATTTATTTTACCATAACTAATTGTTTTATCAAATCTCCAATTTCGACAAGGAGGTAAACACATTGTTTTACATTTCTAAATTAATTTAATTTTGAAATAAAAAACTCCCTCCCCCCCTCCCTCTTTCCCTCCCTTCTCCCTAATTTTCAGCTCCCCTCCTTCCTTCCCCCAACTCCCACCCCTACCTTCACTTCCCTTCCCCAACTCCCTCCCCTCATTAATCTCCCCTCCCCTTACCGCAACATTATCATCAACATAACTAGCATTTGTAAATTGTAAAACAATATAAAAACAATTAAAGAATTGTCTGGGTGTACAAATATTTGGACTTCCAGGTTGGGAAGCTGCCGCTAAAGAACAATTACATTTCTTTTCTGCTTCCTCAAGAAAACATTTCTTTTTTAAATTAAAATATTTTTTTGTTTGACTTAATTAAAAATTACCTCAAAACACCAAACACGGGAATAAGATTCTTCCTCTTCTCTACAAAGGAAATGAGGGGGATAATGTTTAAATTCAAAACGTGTTGCTTAAAAAATAAATTTAAACATTTAATTAAAATATATTTATTAGTGACCGGGGCCGGACCGGATCCGGGATGATTTTTCCGGAGTCCGTGTCCCAATACAGAGTTTTTTTTAAATTTCCGGATTAAAACCGGACCGGATTAATCCGGAAAAATCCGCAGGATACGGTCCGGCTCAAGTTGCAAATCCGGATCCGGTTTTGGAAAAATCGATTTTACCGGTCACTAATATTTATTTACCAGTTAATTGTATCATTGCATGTACCCCAGCAGGTATAAATGACCTTTTTATTTTTAATTTTTGTTCAAATTTTTATTTAAATATTAGTTACATGTCATGATCTATTCCTTTATTTCTCTCAGCTAATTTAACCAAAATTCCATTATTTAACATTTGATTGGGTGCCGGATTAAATAATTTCGTTGGCAAATTTAAAATTAATTTTTGTGGATGTCCATTTCCATCAATTTTTTGTTCTTCCCCTTTAATTCTAAAACATTTTCCAGTCATCGACATTAATTCTTTTGAATTATCACAAATTGATTTATCACTCGCAAAAAATGCTTTACAATTAATTGCTGCCTAAAAAGACAAATTTCTCTCCAAAATTTAATTTTAAAATTTAAAAACTTTATCAATAAATTCAGCAAAAGAAATTCCAATATTTAATAATAATTTATTTAATTCCTCTTCCAATTCATTTATTTTGTCAATTAAATTTTTGTAAGATTTGTATTGAAAGGGATGTTGGGAAGCTTGGGGAAATGCTAACTTTAAAGTAATTAAAATTAAATTTAAATATATTTTCTTTTTTAAAAATACCTCCAAATATTGTGCTAAATTATCGCTAACATTCCAATAATTTAAATAAGTTTTGTTAAAACGATTAAATGGACAAATTATAATATCTGGGATTATTAAACTAACTGAAATTAAAATTATTTTTTAAATATTTAGAGAAGACTTACTAACCATTTTCTCTTATACTATAAGTTACTGATAAAGGACGATTATTAAATTCCCAAACTAAAAACAAAGAAATATTTAAATTTAAAATTTAAATTCAAAATTAATTAACCAATAAATCCACAACCAATTAAAGCAGCCATAGAAGCTAGAAAAATAATACAAATCCAAAGAGCCCTTAACCAACCCCCAGTAGCTATTGAATCTCTAATTCCGTGAAATGTTGTGTTTTCCTTTTTTTAAATTAATTTTAAATTTAAATTTAAATAAATTAAACTCTAAGTAATCGACAATAAGCCTTTTCTGGACGTTTTTTAAGCCAGCGCATTCCCCCTCTCCGCCGATGACGGTGGTGAAAAGAAAAATTTGTAGATAAAGAATTGTCAAATGAAGAAGAAGAAAATGATGATGAAAGACGTGAAGAAGATAACGAAGAGGAAGATGGAGAGGAAGAGGATGAAGAGAAAGAATGATCAAAATGTGAAGGTAATTGTTGGTGTTTTGTTTGTTGACTAGTTGATGGAGGTAAGGATGATGATGATAATTTTATGGAACTTAAAAAAGGAAATAAAAAAAATATTAACTAAAACTTCATTAGAAGCAGTGGTTGGATATGTACGAGGTAAAAAAGTCTGTACGAAAGTACAAGTACGAGCAAATTTCAAAATTCCAACCACTGATTAGAAGTTTAGTAGGAAAATAATTTATCTTTTTTAAATAAATAATATTTTTGTGTGAGATACATAATTAATTTATTATTTTAATTAATAAATTTTAATTAAAAATTAATTTCTCAATTAAAATGTTTTTATTTCTCAACACAAAAATAAATCAAAAAAGGTGTTTAAAACAAATAGCTTATTTTAAAGAAAAATAAAACATTTGTTTTCCCAAAAAGTTAATTTTTTTTAAAAATTTAAAGGAAATTAATCCATCATTTAAAATTTAGAAAAAAATATTTAAATATAAAAAATAACTTTAAAAACTTTATTCCCCAACCTTTTCTTTTTCTCTCTTTCTTTATCTCTTCTACAAAAACAACAAAAACAACAATGAGAAGAAGAGAAAGAAGAGGCGGAAGTTTCTTTTAAAACATTTTGTTGTTGTTGTTGTTTGTTTTCTTTTGTTTTGATGTTTTCTTTTTTGTTTTTCTGTAATTGTTGTTTGTTGTTGTATGATAAACTTCCATTCATTAATTTTTAAGTTTATTTATTAAATTTAAAATATTATTTCTTTCAAAATGAAATAAAAAAATAATTCTAAAAATTATTTTTATAAATTAAGTACAGGCCCAATTCGATTGTTGGAGTCAAAAAACATAACGCTTAAAGTGATTTTAATTCAATTTTATGTTTGATAATTTTTTGAGGATTTTTAATATAAAAAAATACCGATTTTTAGATAAAAATTGTGGGTTTTTAAAAATTCGAGATCAAATCCCTGCTTAAGTAACATTTATTAATTTTTTATAATACATAATTATGTAGGTATTTTATTTTATAAATCTGTCAAAAAAATAAGCAAAAATCCCCACACACAAAAAAAGTTAAATGAATGATGGGAGTCATTAGGTAATTTAAAATATATATTTTTATCTGATTATTTTTTCTATTGTTTTTTTGTCTCTTTATATTTTTTAAAATTTTTTTATTAACTAAAAAAGAACAACAGTTGTTTAATATTTTTATTTTAAAAATAATTTTTTTGGAAATTAAAAATTAATTTTATTAATTTTTAAATATTTAAGGGATTCATATAAGGAACTCATACATAAATATTTAAAGAATTAAATTCTAAAATTTTATATAAAATTATTTAAAATTAAAAAATATTTAAAAATATCCAAATATTAAGTAAAAATAGATATATTAAATAAATTCTCTCTCCTCTTCTCTTCTCTTCTCTCTAAAATTTAAATTTTCGAAGTAAAGGCACCTCTAACGGAACAGAAATAGTACTTAAACACCTTTTTTGTTTTTTTAATTCCTTAAATTAATTACTTTAAAAATTAAATTAATTTTCATTTAAAAACCTCTATAGAATTATTTAATGTTTGGAGAGAATTTGGATTTGATAAATATTTACGGGTTGTTGTTGTTGAGGATTTTTGAAATAAATTTGGATCTGTTTGTCTAAATTCTTTAATTGTTTTTAAAAGTCCAGAAAGTCGAATAAATGCCAGATAAGTAGAAAATGTTATTTTTAAATATTTACAGTCTGATTTAATTTCCAAATCATAATCAGGAATAAATTCAATTGAATTGTGAAAATCTTTAAAAAAAAAATTAATTTTTTTAAATGTTAGGGGGGGGGGTGTTGTGTAGTGGTGTTAAGATAGTTAAAAGCCAGTGTAAGTGTTAGTATAGTGGGTCATACTAGCGGGGCTAGTCCCTGATCTCCGTCTGCTATAGCTCTTTTACCTTCGCCTTCATTGTTCATTTCTACACCGATAAACTGCTATTCTTGTTCAATCGACATTAGTTAAATCTCGGATAACCCTCGAATATAACAGGGGGGGGGTATTATTTTCTATTTAATTTTAAAGAAGTAAAGATTAAATTTAATTCTTAACTATTAATAAAATGATGATTTGTTGTTGATTTTCTTCTTCCTCCTTCATTATTATTTAATTCTTTAAATTCTTTTTTTGTTTTAATTATTTCCTCTAATTTATCCAAAATATTTAAACCAAAAGATTCCCAAGGCCCCACATCAAATTTCATTTTTGTTTTTTCAAATTTAATTGTTGCCTTTCCTTCAATTAATAAAATAAACCGATCAGAAGGTTCTCCAGCTCTTAATTATTTTTTAAAATTAATTAATTTAAAAATACCTGTAAAGAAATATTTTTTCTTCTTTCCCTCCATTAATATAATTAAATCCCCCCTGTTTTGGTCTACATAAATCAATCTTTAAAAATTAATTTAAATTATTTTAGAACAATTTTTATTACTTTATGAACATTTCTTCTTACAAGTAAAAATAAAGCTTTAATATCAATTACTTTTTCACCAAATAAATTTGGGTGACTTGTAGAAAGCCAATGAACTCTTTAAAAAATAAATAAAAATATTTTTATAAATAATTTTATTTTATGGGAAGGGAGGTGGGATATTCTAAAAATGAGCTAAAATTCAGAACTTTCCCGGATGAGGGGCAAAACGAGGAATTCGGAACAGACAAAACACGGAACGACCAAAATATGGTTCGAAGGAAAATCTATCAATTTCCCCTCCCCAACAAGCAAAAGAACCCTTTTCTAATGGAATATGTATACATCATCAAGATTTCAATTTCAAATAAAAAACATGCTTACATAACTTTAGTTAACGTTGTAGATAAACATTTATATTTATCTTCCTCCTCTTCCCCAAAACTTTCTCCAAAACAATTTTTAATTAAATTTCTTCTAATTTTCCCTTCTGTTTGCCATTTTGTTAACCTTTTTATTCTAAATTTATTATCAGTAACAACATCACTTTCATCAACAATTTCTGCTTGTAAAATTTCTTCCACAATATCTTCTAATGTTATTATTCCAATTATTGGATTCTTTTCCCCTCCTTCTCCTCCACCTCCACCTTCTTCTTCCTCCTCCTCTTCGTCCCCTTCCCCTCCCCGAATAACTGCTAAATGATATTCTCCCTCTTTAAATTCCTCAAGCATTGTCTGTAATGGAGTAGATTCGTTAACAAACCGCAATTTATGTTTATAAAAATCACATATTGTTCTAACAGTAAAACGTTCATTTGGCTTTAAAAGTGCCAAATCTTTGATAAATAAAAGGCTTGAAAAGAAGAAATTATTTTGAATTAAAAATTACTAATTAAAAATTACCCTGTAACATTATTTCTATTATTATCAACATAAACGGGTATTCTCGAATACCCCCTTCTAACAATTTCACTAACACATTCTGCATCTAAAATAGCTTCTTCTGCAAGCATAAAAACATCCTTTATTTTAATTTTTTATTTAAATCTTTTTTTAAATTACTTCAACAGGTGTCATAACATCACAAACTTTCTTCTCAGCAATTTCCATAGCCCCCACAGCTATTTTTAAATCTTCAGCTAATTCATCTTGATGTTCACTTTGTTGATGTGCCATTCTAAGCATTTCCAATAATTGCCCGTGGTCAATATCGATATAAAAAATAATTGAGTAGTTTAATTTTTAAAAGTAAAATATATTTACTAAATCTTCTCCCAAAATGCAATCCAATAATTTACCTATAGGCCAGGCTAACGGCAATGTAATTAACATGAAGAAACTTTTAAAATAATTATTTAAATTAAGCATATACAAAATGTTTTGTAATTTATTGGGAAGTGCTTCGAAGCTTAGACCAAAATTCGTACCTCGTATTTGTTACTACGAGTACGAGCAAAAATAGAGGTGATTGAATTTTTTAAATTATTTTAAAAATTGTAGTGATTATATTTTCAATATATTTTTAGCTACTATTTTACCGAGTTAACCAAATAGTTTTTGCTCCAACTTGAAGTCCTTTTCTTTAACAAAAAATTATTATTTTTTTATTTAAAATTCAATTTATTAACTTAATACAAATACTTTGGGGAACAATTTCACCAAAAACAACAATTCCAATAGAAGCTAATCCAAAAGCAATAATTCCACTAGTTAAATCTTCAAGTAAAATAGATATAGCTGAATTAACAATTACATTCATCTTTTAACAAAATTTTTTTAAAACACAAATTTAAATATATCCATACAATAAGTATTGTGCAAAGTAATTTATTTCCAGCTTTCCTAACCGGCAAAATAACTTTTGCATATTTCCTTTCACGTTCTGAACCAGAATTTAAAATTAAAGTTAATTCTTGTGGTGATAGAGCCATTAAACCAAGATTTAAACCAGAAAAAAGAGCAGACAAAATAAAAAGACAAAAAATAATTAGCAACTTTAATGGAATAATTAATTAATATTTATGTGTCTAATTTAGGGTTGTCGGTTCTGGACCGAACCGAAGACCAATGATTTTTCGGTTCGGATATCGGTTCATTTCCGGATATCCAAAGATTTTACAAGAACCGACAACCCTAGTCTAATTAAATATACTTGTAATTCTTCGGGCATATAATGAACTGGGGGGTCTGAGGTAGCTCTAATCCAAGTACGCATTTCGTCTATCTAATTAAACAAATTAAAGGAGAATATTTTTCTTTAATTAAATTCCCAACCAAAACTAAATCTTCTTCAACATCAGACAATTCTTCCCTTTTTTCTAACAAACACATTCTGTAAGCATCTTCATCTCTTTAAAAATTATTTAAAAAAATATTTTTTAAAATAAAACAACTTAACTCTTTAAATTTAGCAATTAATTCAATTAACTTTTCAGAATGAGAAATAAATTCATTGTGTGAAATATTAAATACTTTAATTTTAATTTAAAAAATATTTATCTTTTAATTTCTCTGTTTACTTGCCAGGATTTAAACAATTATCTGTTGTAAACGAAATTAATGCTATTCTGTCCAAAAACATCCCAAAAATAACTACACGAACAGGAAGTCCAGGTTCTACTACAGAAATACCTGATGACCTTTTTAAAGAAAAATAAAAGGGAAAACTTCAATTAAAACTACTCGTAAGTGTGGAAAGCATTTGTGTGAAGAGGTGCTTCTACTCTAACTCCAGAAATTTGTGGATATACTTTAATTGTTACAGATTCGTATACTGAATGAATTAAAGAGGATTGGTGGAACTTTAAATTTTTAAAAATTAAAAAATAATTTATTTATTAACAAATACATTTTCAGTATTTTCATCAGCAAAAATTAAATAATTTGAAAATTGGAAGAAAAAAATTAAAAATATTTTTATTATTATTCTCATTTTTAATGAAATTTTAAAAAATAAAATTATTTTTTAAATAAATAAATTGATAAAAGTAAAAATATTTTATTTGGAGGGAAGTCTCGATTCGATTTTCTACATGTGATAATAAATAAATAAAAGGGAAAGGAAAAAAACAATTTTGATAATAATTAACTATAATCATTTGTTAAATATTTACAAAAATAATATTCTCTTTTTATGGAATTTTTATATTTAATTATTATTTAAATTATTATTTAAATTATTATTTAAATTCACAGAAGGAAGAAATAATATTATTAATTTTATTAAAAAAATAAATTTAATGAAAATGGAAAACAATAAAATAAATTTAATAAAAGAGAACAATTGATTTTAAATAAAATTCATATGATTGATTTAAAAATTCTGGCCAAAATGCAAGAGAAATAACAATAAATTTTTAATAAAGGAAAAGAATATAAAATGCGCGAATTTTAAAAAATGTAAATAAATAAAACTTGTTTTTGACTGTAAATATATTAAATAAATTTTGAAAAATTGAAAAAAGAAAACTAGAAAATTTTATTTAATAATTTATTAAATCTTTATTGGAAAATTTAAATAAAAATATTTTAATAAAGAATAAGTTATTTTTTTAAATCAAAAGCAACAAAAATGGCTAAAATATTTTTTCAAAAAATATTTAAAAAATGGTTCCATTTTTTCTTTTTACCTAAAATTATTTATTAAAGTTAATCGAAAGTTTACATAATATTTAATTTTTTCTTATTTTGATCTGTAATGTGACTGATTTAAATGTGATGTCTTAAATAATGTCTAAATCAGTCTTAGATGTGACTGATTTAGTTTAGAGGCTTCTTTCGTGGTTTTAACTTTATTTTATTTAGCACGTTGTCCAGATTTAATGTCCTGATTTAATCCAGATTTAATTCCAGATAAAATTAATAATTTTAGAAAATGATCACGTATCTGAACTGTCTCAACAGATAAAATAAACACATTCAGAGCTGTCGATTAGTGAGAAGTGTTCAGAATGGTAGAAGAAATTAAAAAAAAGTTATGAACAGAAAAATAGATTAAACTGAACTTAATCTTTCTCAGTTATTTTCTTACTGTATTTAAAATTTAAATTTACTTAATTTTCTAATTTTGGCATTCTGTTTTTAATTGATTATTTATTTATTTATAAAAACAAATTTTAAATTTATTCACTTTCATTTCTTTTTTTATCTTTAAAATTAAATTTAAAAATAAAATATATTAATTTTTTAGACAAATAAATAATACTTTCTTTTTTTAAAAAGTGTCAATAATGAGTCAACAACAACAAAATAACCAAAATGCTAAAAACGTTTATGTGCCAAGTGAAGTTAAAAAACCTTGGTATGTCACCGAGGAAATGATGTCTCGGCGGTTTTTTAAAAGTTTAATTAATTTAAATATTTATTTTTTAGAATTACTTGTGAGAAGCGCCCAATGTCTTTAAGCAAGAAGGAAAAGAGAGAATATCGGGAAAGAATGATTCCAATGCCGATTACGACTCTTGAGGAATAGTTAAGTTTTGAATTTGTATTTTAATGTAATTTGGGGGGTTTTTGTAATCGATTTGTGGGGCTCATTGACCTTTTAAGAAGTTTAATATTTTTTGAAAATATGGATATAGTGTAGTGTACCGGTGGTAAAAGTTCGGGACGTGACATATGTCATTCGATTCGTCTCGACGAGCTGAGTCGAACGGTACCACTCCCTATTTTAGGAAATAATTCTGGACCTAGTTATAGGTCCCGGAAAATTGAAAAACCATAGGGGGGAGTAAGCTCGATTTTGGGATGAAAAATTCGAATATGCAAATAATAGCTCATTCGAAAGAGCTCCTCGAGCTGAGTCGAATGACACCAAAATCAACAAAATCTGACTTGATTGGACCGAGATATAGGCCCCTAAATATCGAAGATCCAAAGAGGCGATTTTTGGAATAAAAAATTTTTTATACAAATAATAACTCATTCGAAAGAGCTCGACGAGTTGAGTCGAATGACACAAAAATCATCGTGATTGAACAAGATTAGACAAAGTTACGACACAAAAAACAAGCAACATAAACCTATGGAAAGTCGGCGAGGCGCTTGTGCAAACCCCCGCGCTTCGCGCGGGGGTTTGCGGCACGCGCCTCGCGGGAAGTCTACGGGCGGTGGGTCTGGGCTCGTAACATAAACCTATTCCTATCTCCCTTGCTCTGGGCATACCTGGAGCCTCCGTAGCAGCAAAACCCTCCATGGAGACCATAGGTAAGGAGCTAAAACAAACAATCATAACTTTGTCAAATCAAGTCGGATTTTGTTGATTTTGGTGTCATTCGACTCAGCTCGAGGAGCTCTTTCGAATGAGCTATTATTTGCATATTCGAATTTTTCACCCCAAATCGACCTTACTCCCCCCTATGGTTTTTCATTTTTCCGGGACCTATAACTCGGTCCAGAATTATTTCCTAAAATAGGGAGTGGTACCGTTCGACTCAGCTCGTCGAGACGAATCGAATGACATATATCACGTCTCGAACTTTTACCACCGGTACACTACACTACAGCCGAAAATATTTAGGGGATATGCAGAATTTTAAGTAAAAGTTTTGAAATTTTCTTTTAAGACAATTTTTACTTTTTTTTAATTCTCATTTAATAAATAAAAATATTTCAAGTAACGAGTATCAAAAAATTCGTCTTCCTCCAAAGGAAGAGAAATATCCTTGGAATAAGAATGCTTGTAATACTTCTGGTGCTGGGACTAGTGGGGAGGCTGCTTTGGATGATTATCGAAAAATTCTTAAAGACGAGGTAGTCCCTCAAAGTGCTATTGATGATTGGAAGAATCGTGAAGGTGGGTGGGACAATATGCATTAAATTATTGAAGGAAGGGATTGATTGGAAAGTAAATTATTTTTTTAAATTTAATTCTGTCCAGAATTTATTAAATATATATTCCATTTATCGGTTTTTTTGTTTTAACATTATAACCTCATGCACAATGTGTGAAAGACATTATATTATTCATTTTTTTGTTTTATTGTAAATTAAATGATTTTTTGATAAAATTTATAAAAAAATTTTTTTAATTTTTGGGGAAAATTTATTTGGTGTATTTTAGGGAATTTTGTATATTTTTAAATGTATTTTAGAGCGATTATGTATGTACTAGGGTTTCACCGGAAGTTCCGGTTCCGGAAAGTTCCGGCCTTTTTTTGGTTCCGGTTCCGGGAACCGGAACTTAAATTGGTTCCGGCTCCGGTTTTCAAATCAGTTCCGGGCAAACCGGAACTTTTTTACACCCCTAAAGATTGATTTTTTTAAAAATATGGGTTGGTCTTCCCCGGCTGGCGTTACAATATTCTCAAAATTTTCGCCTGCGGCGCAAGAAAAGGAAGAAATTTAGCCCTTGCCTCACAAATTCTCAAAATTTTTGCCTGCGATGCCAGGAAAGGAAGAAATCTGGCTTGTTATCCTTCCAAATTCTCAAAATTTTCGCCTGCGGCGCTGTTAAACGAAGTTTATATCGGAGGATCTGGATGGATGAAGGCGTATTTTAATTTACAGCTGTGATTTCAAGGGGTCATAGGTAATACCGAGGGATCTGGGTGTAATATTGAGGGATTAAGCTGTGCAAGGTAGATAGAAGGGATAGGATAGCCGGGGTTTTGGCCTTCCAAAACTTGGCATGTCTCACTTGGCCTTCCGAAATTCACAAAATTTTCGCCTGCGGCGCTAAAAGGAAGGAAGAATAGGTTATTTTTGATAATTTGCATGGATTAATGGGGATTTGGAAGATACTGGGTGATTTCGTGTACCAAGAGTTAAAATAGGGGGGGGCATATCATGGGATTTAAGTAGAACGGTTCGGTTTTACGGTTCGATTTTGGTTAACCGAAAGTTTCGATTCGGTTAGTTGTTTCGGTTAACAGAATAATTGAGTTAAACCGACAAACCTACTTTGAATTCAAATTTCTTATAATTTTTTTTAAATTTTTTAAATTTGCTAGAATTTTTTTTTAAAGTTCCGGTTCCGGTTCCGGGCCGGAACTTAGAAAAGTTCCGGTTCCGGGAACCGGAACTCAAATTGGATCCGGTTCCGGTTCCGGTCAAAATTTCGGTTCCGGTGAAACCCTAGTATGTACTAAAAAAATTTAAGATTAATATATAATTAGCTAAACTCTTGACATTTTAATTGATTAATACCACCTCCCCCCCTCCCCCTTAATGCTTATATTTTAAAGCAATTTTATTAAATAGTTTTTAATTATTCAATTAATTATTCAATTATTTTTTTTAAATTCTTTTTCAAGAAAAACTAATTAATATCACTTAATTATTATTCCTAATTTTTTTAAAAATATATATTTACAATTCTTTGCTGATTTTATCTAAAATTTATTTTCCCAATTTTCTTCCAAAAAAAAGTTTTTACAATTTTGTTCCCAATTTATTGGTGTCTATTTTTATCTTCTTTCTTTTTTTTATTTATTTGCCTCTTCCAGATGTAAAATTAAATTTAGAAAAAGGGAGGAAGAGGGGGGGGCACGAGTTTGCGCGCAATTCTTGAAAAGAATTTTTATGTAGATAATTATCTTTAAATAAATATATTTTTGTATTTATTTTAAGTATAAAAACCGGAAATAAATATATTTTTACAAAATTTTATTTATTTTTAGGTAAAATATTAAAATTAAAGGTTCTCTTTTAAAAATTAAAAATGTTATTATTAAAAAATAATAATTTAATTATTTCAAATACAAAATTAAATAAATCTGTTGGGGGAGCTTTATTTAATGAAAATAATAATAATTCTTTTATTAAATTAGAAAATGTTTATTCAACAACTATTTTGGATAAAGAAAAAGTTTTTTAAAATTAATTTAAAAAAATATTTTTATTAGGATAATTTAATTGGTTTTGGAGTAGCGTATCTTCAATCACCTAATCAAGTTTTTTTAAAATTTCTCTCCTTCTCTTAATTATTTTTAAAGTTATATTGTTCATTAATTTCATTTCCAAAAGAATTAGAAAAAGGATTTTATAATTTAAAAGAAGAAAATAATAAAGAAATACAAGACAAACAACAACATAATTATTTAAAAGTATTTTGAACAATACACTAATAAATCTATCATTTTTAGATAATTAATTTTAACCAAGTTTTGCCTGATTTAAGTACTCTTCCACAATATTTTACAGCTTTTGCTGAACCTTTAGCCCGTCCTTTATTGCAATGTATTGTTGAACAATTGGCTAAACAATGTTTTGGGAGTACTTTTAATGTATTTATTTAGGATAGTTAAATTTAAATAAAAAATTTTAAAGATGGAATTAACTAAAAATATGTCTGTTGATATTTATGATTCTGATTCGGGGTAAGTTAAATAATAAATAAATCTTTTATCAAATTAATTTCTAGAATGGAAGAATATTCAACTAAATTATGGAGAGATTCTGCTGGTTTTATAGTAACCGATCCTTTCCGATATTTTGAAATAAAAATTAAAAAGTTTAATTTTTTTCTTTAAAATGTTTTTTAAAAATTAATTTAATTGAGGGAATATTTAATTAATTTATTTGGAAATAATTCTTCTTTATCTTCAACAACAATTTCAATCCTTCCATTAAATTCTCAAACAAAAACTTTATTTTCAATTTACGACCAAAATATTTCTTCTTTTGGGAGGGATGATTATTTGGAATTTTTGTTTAAATTAAATGGAATTACTGGATTTGTTGCTATAAATATTGAAGATAACCAGCCATTAGGGTATTTACTTGGGTTGAATGAAGGGGGGAGGATTTTACAGTGTTATGCTGAAAATGGGGAAATTGCCAGGTTTTTTAGTAGAGAGAGTTTAATTTAAAATTAAATTAATTTTCAAGTTTACTTTTAAATTCTTTTATTCTTTCAAATAATGATACAAAAACAACAATTTATTCAATGTTTATACGTATTTGTAGTTCTGAAAAGGAAAATAAATTAAATAATAAATTAATGGAAAAAGCTGAAAATGTAAATAAATATTTAAATTTATTTGCCCCCCCCCCCCTCTACCCAAAGATTTTTCTGGCGTCTAATGTTATAAAATTATTTTAAAAATATTTCAGGAAATTTTTCAGTGTTTTTTTTTAATTTCTTTGAAAATTAACCCCCCCCCCCTCCCTCCCGTTTAAAAAACACCGGTATATTTATCCCGTTCCAACCTCAGAATAAAATTTAAATACCCCACAACTACTAAATTATTTCAAATTAAATTAAATTTTTATTTTTTAAAGGTAATTCGCGTTTGTCGTTACCATTCAAGAATTTTCCCAACAAATATTCAATGGTCTAAAATTTTTATATTAAATATTGGAGCTAATTTATTTTAATTATTTTGTGTGTGATAAATTAAATATTTGTGTTAAAATTAATAAATAATTATTTTTAAAAGAATAAATGAACAATAAATATGTTAAAATTTACTTTAATATAAAAAATTTACAGATAGTCAAAAGTAATTAAATAGGGAATATCGGTTCTAAAAAATTCTTCGTGTATACGAGAAAAAATAATTTCAGGGCAATAATTAAAATTAATTTAATCACTCTTGACAAAGTCAGAAAGATTCCATGCCGGAACTCTTTTTTAGTGTTGCAAACGGAAATTTTATAATTTTCTGTAAATTAGAACAGAAATCTAAAACAAAATTTCTTTCCAAACTTTTAACAAAATTTTGTTTTTTTAATTAAAAATTAATAATCCCCCCTTCCTTCCTTTCTTTTTTTACAACATATTTCTTTCACAAAAATACTTCAAAGTTTTGTCAAAGAAAGTACAAAACAGTCTATATATTCTTTTATTTTTTACTTTTTCTCTCCAAAAAAGATTGAGGGAAAATCTTTAAAAAATGCTCAATTAATTGTTGAGAGAGAATATAAGAAAGGGATTTGGGGCATTGCCGGATGAAGAAATCATAGAAAATTTTTAAAAAGAAAAGAAAATTAGTATATTTATTTTTATTTATTTTTTAAAATTATTTTTAACAAAAAAATGAAATTATTTTTACTAATTAATTATTTAAAAATAATTATTTTTAATAAATTTATATTACAATTAAAATCAACTTCTTCTGAGACAAATAATTGCCTTTTAGGGGATATTCCTTCAATTGTAAAGATTGATGAATATGGACATCCAGGTAATTTAATGAAGGAAGGGATAAAGTTTTGTGATTTAAAACAAATAAAGTAGTGGGAACAGTCTTGATTCAAGCGTTCTTATTTTGAATTTTGAACTATAAGTCGACTTTAAAAGTGTGAGCAAATTCTAGACATTTTTAATTCTTAATTAATTATTTTAAACAAAGGGAAAATAATAAAAAAAAACAAAAATAATTGACTCAAAAATCTTGACTTAAAGCTCAAAATTCAAAATAATAACACTTGAATCAAGAATTTTTCCACAGCTATAATTATAAATAAATTAATAATAAAAAAAAATTAATTTTAAGAACTTTATTGTCAACCGCCAGTTTGTAATCTTTTTTTAAATTTTGAAAGAAATAATGAAAATAATAATAAAATTGTTTGTTTATTTTAATTTAATTTTTTAAATTAATTTAAAAAATATTTAGAAATGTAATGATAATAATAAATTACTAATTAATAATAATTATTTTTGTAATAAATCAAATGAATGGATTGGAGAAATTAAAGAAGAAGAAGAAGGGGGAAATAATTTAAAACAAAAATGTTGTTTAATTCCAAATTTGTCCCAATGGGCTGCTCCTTTAAAGAAAGTTGTTATTAAAAAAGGAGAAAAATTTGAAGGAGGGCCTGTTTTAAATAAAGGAGGGGAAATTGTAGGGAGTTTTTTTGTTGTTGAATAAATTAATTTTTATTTTATTTTTTTAGATAGCTTTTGATTTGGTTAAAGAAATATACAAAAATGTGACTAAAGAAAATAAGTGAATTAATTTAAATTAATTAATTAATATTTATTTTTTCAAGTTTAATTTATATATTAACAATTTATCGAGCATTATGCCCCTCAACGTCCTCCTCAACAACAACAACAACAAAAATCCAAAATTCTTTTTCTAAACATTTTTATAAATTTAGAGGGGGAAATGGAATTTTTAATAACAAAAAATATTTAAAACCCCAAAAAAGATTTTTATATTTAAAAACAACAAATAAACCTTTAGAGGAAACCCCTTCAAATAAAAATATTTTTATGCTTGCCTCTATAACTGCTAAACGGTTTTTTTAATTTTTAAGTAATATCAATATTTAAGAAACTTATTTTTTTATTTGTTTAATAAATTATTTGATTATTCAAAATTTGAATTTTACATCTTAAAAATATTTTTTATTGAAATTAAATTATATATAGGCATCCAGACAACGAAAAAGAAAATAGAGAAGAAAAAAATTTAAAAAATAATTTAATTAAAGAAAAATATTTACTAAATGAAAAACGTCGAAAACAGCAACAACAACAACAACAAACAATTTATTTACGTAAACCTTTATTGTCCTATTATTTGAGACATTTGGCTAGAATTAAAAAATTAAAAAATAAATTAGTAGAGGAGGAGGAGGTGGAGGTTATTTTAAATTAAAAGAAATAATTATTTAATTAATTTTATTTAAATTTTAGACTTCAAAAGAAAATCAAAAAAATATTAAAATTAGAAAATTACATTCAAATAATAAATTAAATAAAAATAGTAGATTAAATAAATTTGGAAAGAAGAAAAAAGAAGAAGAAAATGAAACAAAAACTGGAATTTTAAATAGGTAAATTTAATTTAAAAATAATTTTAAAAAAGGGGAAGGAGGAGGGGGGGGGGAGAGAGTAAGGTTTTTTAAAATATTTGTTGGCTACTCTGACTTTTGAAGTTATTTAAATAAAAATATAAAATCCTCAAAAATTTAAGCCAAGGCGTATTTTAAAGCAAAAAATCAAAATCAGCCAAGTCTTTAAAAAGTTATGACTTCTAATTTGTTTCCGACTAAATTTCTTAGTTTTAGGGGATAATTTTATTTGGCTATTTAAATTTAGTATTAGTTGATTAATTAAATTATTAGATTGTTTTTATCGTATAAAATTAGATCCTTCTTTTTACATCCTTTCATCACTGTCAATTCCAAAATTAATTTGATTTTTTAAATAAATTTTTTTTAAATTTAATTTTACACAAAATATTTTATTCAAAATTTCTTTCTATTTATTAAAGTTATTGGACAATTAACGAAACTTTAAATTATTCAAATTTACCCAAAATCTTTACCCAAAAATCTCGCCAATATTCGGATATTAATTCTTTAAAAGAAAATTTAAATTTGCCAATTCCAAAATTAATTGAAGAAAAAGAAGAAGAAACAACAAAAATCCCAACAATTTCTCCAGAAGAAGAAGAATTTCAAAAAATAATTGAAAAAGAAATTGAAGAATTGGAAATAAATAATAAATTAAAAGAAAAACAGAAACAACCGGCAATTGTTGCTTCTGCTGTTGTAACTATTGAGGAAACAACAATAATTCCCGACAATAATGATAATGAAGATGGGGGAGGGGAGGATGTTGAGGAAGTAAATGAATATTTTTGATAGAAAAATAATTTTAAAAAATTATTTTTCTAGTTTACTGAAGATGAACAACAAATTCCTTTTATTGGAGGTGATATAAATAATTATGTTACTTTACTCCCAACACAAAATTTTCCTTCTCAAGAAGTTTTTTCTAAAAAAATCTTTAAAAAAAATAATTTTTCTAAAAAGATTTCTTCCAATTCTTTATTGGATGGAGGGGGAAATGTTGCTGCTGGTGATTGTTCTTCTTCTAATTGTCAATCTGAGTCAATAAAAGGTTGTGGTGGAGAAAATGGTGGTTGTGTAATTGATAATAATAATGTTAATATTTTACCTTCTCCAAACAATAATAAATTTGTATTTAAAAAATAATTTTTTTTGAAAATAATTTTATTTTTAAAGAATGAAAAATTAATTTGTGGATCGTGTTCTTGTAGTATTTGTCAATGTTCTAGGTTATTTTTAAAAATTTCTTTTTTCATTCAATTTTCAGTTTTCCTGACCCGTGTAACGGTCCAAATTGTGGGATCTGCCCTTCTACTTGTAATTGCCCAGAAGAATGTGGATGTACTAACACAATAATTAATAATAACCAAAATTATCAGCAACAATATAATCAATGGTTTAAAGAATATGGACAACAACAATATGGGCAATATAACCAATATTATCAAAATGGAGGGGGTGGAGGAAGTGTTGGGGGAGCTTTTACAACATTACAATGTTTTAGTGGTGATCAATTAGTAAATACTCCAAAAGGAGAAAAAAGAATGGATGAATTGAAAATTGGAGATTTGGTTTTGTCTGTTGATGAATCTTTGGTTAGTGAACTCCGTATCAGTCTTAATGTGTGTTACAATCCTTTCTATGCGATAAGTACCCAGCTCTTCGTTTTAGAATCAATGGTCCGGCATTGTATTTGTGTACCAAAACTCCGAGTGAGTAGGGCCTTCTATTCCAAAAATAATTTTATGCCAACAAGTCAGACTATTTTGAATAGAATTAATGGTACACCCACCCAACATCGGCATGCAGCGCTGGGTACTTATCGATAGATAAGGTTTGTAACACATGTTAAATCTGACCACTCTTCTACTTTTGTGGAAGGAAAAAAGGGGAGTACGAAGTTCGATTTTAAATTTATTTTCAATTTAAAGGTAGCTTATTCTCCAATTTTAATGTTTTTACATCGTTTGCCAAATGAAAAAGCAAAATTCAAAATAATAACAACTTTAGAAGGGCAACAATTAAAACTTACAGAATTTCATTTAGTTTGGGCTGGTTGTAGTAATTTAAGATTAATTAGAGCAAAAGATTTAAATAACGGGGAATGTTTATATACTGTTAAAAATAAAAGAAATATAACTTCTTTAATTAAATCAAAAGAAATGATGAGATTATCAAGTACTAAAATTATAAAAATAAATGAAATTGAAGAGAATGGAATTTATGCTCCTTTGACTTCGAATGGAAATATTTTAGTTAATGGGTAAAAATGGAAATATTTTTTTAAAAATAATTTATCTATATATTTTAAAGTTTATTAGCTAGTTGTCATTCTAATATTGCTGCCCAAACACTTCAACAAACTTTTTTCCGTTGTTGGCATTTCCTCCATCAATTATTGTTTGATGGAGGGAATTACAAAAGTAATTTAGAAAATGAAATTGAAGAATTTTTAGAAGAAAAAGAACTTCCATTTGGAATTAGATTTCTTACTTCTATTTTAGATATATTATTACCAAAAACATTAATACCTACATAATTTTTTAATTAAAAATCTATTCACAAATTTAAATGTTTTGATAAGTAATTCTCGGACGTTTAGGAATTTTTTTAAAAGGCCGAGACAGTTGGGACAAGAAAACGTGCATCGACTCAAATTTATGAAGAATGGGAACTTATTATTTTAACTTAAAAACTCTTAAATAAATTAACAAAAAATATTCTTCTAGCCCATCTTTATCCATGCAATTAAGAAAAGAAAAATTACAAACATACGGAAAATACAAAAAAAAACAAAATATTTATAAAATCATCAAAATTGATGAGAACCTGGATAAGGGGGATGAAAATAGAGAGAGAGAGAAAAAAAAGAGAAGTCTGAGGATCATCATAAGCTGACTTTGTCTGTGTGCGATTCTTTACAATTTAATTGTGCAGAGTGCTTTTTTTGTTTACTACTATTTAATAAAGTACAAATTACTAATTTTTTACAATTTGTTGTTGATGTTGTTGTTCCACCTGTCTCCTCTTCATTTTTCTTTTCTGCCGCCTCAGCAGCCGCCGAGGCTGCTGCAGCTGCTTTTTTAAAATGTGTTTGTAGCCTACGAATACGATTCCGTTCATGGTGCTGTAGACGTTTGGCTAGGACCCTAGAAAAGTTAAATTTACAAAAAAATGATTTTTATTTATTATTCCAAACCACCATACTTTACGTGGGAATAAAACTAACCCAAAAAATAAAATTAAAATCAAGCCATTACACAAAAAAATCAAAATTAAAAAGTGAAATCTTTGAGTCACTTCTCGTTCTGTCTGACTTAGAAATCTTGATGGTCAATTTTCAAGATAATAAATACTTTTAAAATATACTAAATCCAAAATTATTCAAAGAAAGTTAACTTGCAGAATTTTAAAAATTGAGGAAAAAGTTTTAATAGAATATAACCTTCGTTCCTCAGTGACTGTCTGAATTTGCTGTTGTAACCGAGTGAGTTCGTCAGCCAAAGCACCATTTTTCTTTAAATGAAATTTGTTTTTAAAAATTTGATTAAAATTTATGTTAAATTAAAAACTACTAATTTAATTTAAAAAGTAAATACAAACATAAACAAGTGCTTTTGTTGTCCTTTGAAGATGGTAGAGCTTAATAGCATATTTGTGGCATTTCAACTCTCGCGAATGTCGCGTTAATAAATGTGCACGACTGAGTTGTGCCCGAGCTGGTTGTGGCATAGGTGGCAACATCTGCGATGATGGAGAACATCCAGCAATATTCATTTGACCTGTTGGAGTTAGAGGACAAACAAATGGTGTAGAAGCAGCTGCTGGAAACATTCTCATTGGTTGCGGAGGCGGTTGTTGCGATGGATATGCATTAGCCATATAAGGTGGAGGAGGAGGTGATAGAACAAGAGGCTGCTGTTGAAACGCTTGATTCTGAATAATTTGTTGTTGCTGCTTTAAATAAGTCTGTGGAGGTTGTTGCTGTTGAGACAAATAAATGCTTTGATTCTGAGGGATATTTGAAACATGATGATTACCGATGTTCGCATTATGCTGTTGTTGTTTCATGGAAGGGAACTAAAATGAATGTAAATGTAAAATTAAAATATTAATTAAAATCTTGCACCCTATATGGCAATTGAAATGGAGTTAGTAGGAAATGAGTATTCAGAAAAAAGTTTAAAGAGGTTTATATAAATTAACATATCAATATTTAGAATTTAAATTAACAAAAATATACCATCGGTGAAGGAGGTGGGTGCATATTTTGTTGAGTAGGAAGAGGGGCCGTAGGCCGTTCTATAGGTGATGTATGATGATAATGTTGTTGTTGGGAGAGTAATTGTTGGTGGGGTGGAGTTTGGAGGTAATGTAGAGGTAGTTGTTGTGGTTGTTGGTGAGTTTGATTATGATATTGAATTCTGCCTTGTAGCTTTTTATGGTAAATAGGTTGAAGTTGTTGCTGTCCTGGCAATGACGTTTGTTGGGTAGCAAATAATGCTTGCTGGTTAAGATTTTGGCCTCCTACAAGAGGTTGTGGCTGAAGACCTGCACTTTGTGTTTGATGTTGTAGGTGAGGGCCTCCACCCAAAATTTGCGGCGGTGAAGATTGAAGGTGTTGTTGTGGAGTATTTTGATGAAAACGATGCGACATTTGTGGAGATGGAACAGCAGAAGCTTCACCAGAGTGTATTGGAACACTCATTGGTGAGTATTGTTGAAGATGATTTTGACGCATTTGCTGTTGTTGACTGTAAGGTGAAGCAGCTGGCATCGATGAGGCAACATAGCTGCTTCCAACGCCACCACCGCTGTCTTCTATTTTTCTTTGTAGAATACTTTGTGGCGGTTGTGGGCTAGCCTGTGCAGACATGGCAGATGAATATGACTGTTGTTGTGACACCCAATGAGGCGAAGGAGGTGGATAAGAATAGCTGCTATTGCAACCAACACTCATAGGTCCACCACCATTATCAAGAATTGGTTTTTGATGCTTGAATATTTTTGGATTAAAGAATATATTAAAAAAACCTGAAAAGACGTTCTATGCTTTTGTTGAATTTTTTGAATGCCATGAACTGATGATGGTCCTCCAATACAACCACCAGAAGCTGGAGGCATTACTGAAGCGGCCGGCGAAGAAGCTATTGTGCCTGCTGGAGACGGTGTAGCAGCCGCAGAAGATGACAACATCATTTCAGCAGAAAGAACTCCTGTAAGTTAACACAAATAAACATAGTACTAAAATATTGATTAATGACCGCCAGATCCACCAACATTGCTGCCACAAAAATCCAATCCTGTTGACGAAAACGGAGTAGAAGGCAATGAATGATGATGAGGTGGATGTTGATTAGGTTGATAGTGATTAGAAATCATCAATTCGTTTTGTTGAGACCGAGGTGGAGGTAGCATAGAGCCAATACCTAAATAATGCTGCTGTTGATGAGAACATTGTGGCTGCAAGAATTTGAATGAATTTACTTTTTCTTTTGAATATCATCACAACAGAAAGATTTTCTAGATTTACAAAATAGAGATTTTTGAGAAGCCTTGGCTTGTTTCTTGGTTTGATTTATTGACCTGAACCGAATCCTGAACCTGTAGTCTAGGAAAACCCAAAGAAGGTCAAAAATGCCTGGGCTTGGACTCTGGGTAAAGGAAAAACTCAAGCCTTGGTCCAAACCCAGCTCGATCTCAATTACAAAATGTTAAACCTGTTGAGGCGATTCACAAGCTCCAGTTAATAAAGAAGCAGCAGCGGCAGGACTTGGTTGCATATGAACAACCTGTATTTTAGTTCCGGTCACAGGGAAGTCTCCATGAGTTTGGGGAGGATTTTGAACATGAATTCTACATTGCTGTTGTTGTACCTAGATTGAAGTTTACATATTTAATTTGTAACTTGTTATAATAACCTCTTGAATATGCTGATATTGTGAGGCCGAAAGAGGACCCATCCTTTTATTTCTCTCCACCAGTGTTCCCAATGACGCATTAGGTGAATCTGAAAACCCTTAAATAAACATAATAACGCTAATTTTCAGAATCAACAAACCTGACAATAACAGCTGATTTATTTTTTGATTGCTCTGAGTTGAGTTTAAAGCAGAAGAGCTACTACAATTCTTCCGGCGTTTGGAAGAAGACGGCGGTTGTATTATGTTTTGTGATGCTGACAGTTGTTCAGAAAAAGTTGAAGGACCGGGATGAACATTTAATGAATTAGTGTAGAGTGAAGAGGGAGAAGAATTTGATGAGGATCCTAATGATGTTGCGGCAGAGAATTTTTCAAATTCTTCGAGACTACCCCCACCAGATGCTACCGAACTGTGAAGAAAAACAAATTATTAATTTAAAGAAAAAACTAAAAATTTACGCGATTGTGCTCGCCAAAGCTTCTGAACTTGAAGCATCGCCTGGAGATAGTGCTGCAACCCTGCGTTGAGTTTGTCCTCTACTCCTGGTCGGCGTTTTTTTCTGCGGCGATTTCTCCTTAACCACAACCGGCAATCTCTGCCGACCAGGTGAATTACTCGCACTAATTGAGGACGAAGATGCTGCCAAATTTTGGGGCGGAAATGATTTGTTACTGGCTGGCGAATAGTATGCCATTTACGAGTATTTGCAAAATTCCTCGTTTTGAAGAGGCAGGAATTGGGAATGTTGGCACTAGCGCTCAACAATTCCAGTGATTAAAAAAGTATGCTTCTCCGCATGTATAAAAACTAAATCTATGAATAGAAAAAATAAAAATTTTAGAAACAAAAAGTACATACTTCAAAAGGCAATAAAATTAAAAATACCATAAGATTAATAAAGGAGCTTTATTTAAAAAAATGATAAAAAAACAACTAAAATCTGCTCTCGAACCTGAAGCAAAATGGAACAAAAATGAAAAGGAATGGCTCCGATCTTTAATGTTACCGTTTTAAAGTACACTCTTGGGTAGTCGTTTTGATGCCAAAGATTTCAATGTCCCCATATTATTAAATTTTTATGGTTAATTAAATACAAAAAACTAAACAGAATTAAGTTTAACTTTAATTCTAATCATCAATTAAAGATAACTAAAACAGCTGAGCAATGTGTTCCAAAAATTATCCAAAAAAGCAAGTGGTTGATTAAATCCCGCGTCAAACTGGTTGGAACAAGATAATTTATTTTCGAGAAAATAGCACATAAAATAGAGAGAATCAGATAAATTCTAAAAAGGTACCAATTCAAAAAACCTACAGATATTATAATGAGAACAGCAAAATTGTGATAAAGACAAAAAAATTTTCAGAATTCTAAATTTTTTAGTGACTACAATTTTTTGATTTTCTAAAGAAAACACACAAAAAATTAAATACACAAAAAAGTAAATATAGGTAAATTAATTAAAAAATAAACTACTAAATTAAAACTTCTTTTTATTTTTCTTTCTTCGACTCATTCAGAATCACATCATTACTACCATTTTTATTTTCTTTATCTTCTGAGATCGCTTGGTGTATTTCTTCGCGATTCATTTGACCATTTTCAACAGCAGGAGTTTTATTATCTTCACCAGAAGTTCCAAATTCATTAATTCTTTTAGGATCTACTCGATAAATCCAACGTTGATAAATATAAATCTTTAAATTATTTTTTAAATTTTAATTATTTAAAGAATTACCAAGAAAATAATATCATCTCTAAAACAACCTAATCGATACAAAATTGGCATTTTAATTACAAATGCAAAAAGATCATCCTAAAAATTATTTTTTTATATTGAAAAATAAAAAAACTAACGATAAAAGTATTAATAAATTTATAGGTAAGCATACGCCAAGGAAGATGCGCCACCGATTTAAGCTTGTAATTAATAAAGAGCTGAGGTGTCATCTAAAAATTTTTGATATTTTTTTGAAAATATTTTAAATTTTCTTTATTTTATTTATTTTACCATAATAAATCCAAAAGTCAACAAAAATCCATAAAGCATTCCTCTATTTAAATTAAAAAATATTTGAAATTTGTAAGAAAAAACTCACAAAATCCAATTGTACCAACCCTTCTGTTCGTCATAGACTAATGAATAAATAGCATATCCACCAAGTAAAGGAAATAGAGCCCAAGAAAGATATTTAAATGCCATCTAAATTCAAAAAATCAAATGTAAGTAACTATAAATTCTCTAGTCGGTTTGTTCCCATTTTTACTAGTTGTTTTTAAATCACCACTCAAAATTTAGAGCTATGATTATATCATACTAGTTACTCGATTCAAAAAAATGTGAAAAAAAAATAAATGCCCGATTATCCAATTATTCAACTACCTGATCATATTCTTTAGTAGCTGATTCAATATAAGAACCTTTATCACTAAATTGTATACGAGGAATAAATCCAAAAATTGGTTGCTCATAATTAATCTAAAATAAGACGAAAAAATTTTAAATTTAAAAATTTTAAAAAAATACTTTAACATCTAAACATTTTGGTATTTTCCAAATTTCAATAAGCAACCCAAAGCCAATAGACATTCTAATAACCCAACTACTATCATTGTCCCAAACATAAAGAAAAACAATCTAAATTATAAATTAATTAAATTAATTTTTTATTAAAAAATTACCAAAGATTGAAAAATATTGAAAAGTACAGAGCGAACAGAAAGACCTTCAAGACTTTTTCGAGAACGCCAAAATTGAATATCATTTTTAAATGCAAGCATTTCAAGAACGGTATGCAAGATAGAGACAATTATAGTAATTGCTAACAAAATAGGACTTGTCTCAATTAATGCTTGTTTTATCACATCTTGATCAGAATCACTTTCTTCAAAAATCTCCCCGCCCAACATTTTTGACCATTTATTACGCATCTGAAGGCGGGTTGATGAGAAAAATTACAATTTATTTAAAAAAAAACCTGTTGTGATGCATACAATTGCCATTTAAAAAGTGAAAGAGGAGCAAATGTTATTGTTAAATTTAATTCTTCGACAGTTTCATTTAATGGTTGATATTCATTCCCCAAATTCCAATAAGTATTAAAGAAAATAATCGGATAATAACGATTGGTTTTTCTGTCAAACTTGACTGCTTCATCGAGAGGAGACGGAACTTGACCTTAAAAAATATTTATGAAAAGTGAAAGACATAGGACAAAAGCCAAAAATGACAAAATTAAGAAATAATGAAAAAAACCTTTGGTCCAAGCCGTAAAATCAGTAACAAGATTAACAGTAATATTTGGATGCCAATAATTTAACATTTCCCATTTAACCCCCTCATCTGCCTTTTGCTGCTCTTCAACATTTTGTTCTGTTTTTCCAGTTAAAAGATTCGTAGTTTTTCGATAATACTTCTTTTTGTATTTATTTAATTGAGTATTTGAATAAACAACCTAAATTAAAATATAAATATAAATTATTTTAAAAAATTCTTGCCTCTTTCCCAACATAATTAGAATCTCCAGAAAAATGTGAAAGTCCATCCTTTACAAGAAATACATGCAAATAAAAAGATCCATTCTTCTTTAAAACATCGGGAGTTGGAAATGAAAGAGATTTAATATAAGAACCATCAAATTGTGGACCAGATTCCCAATCACCATAAAAGAGATTGCGTTCTTCCCAAATAAGCGAAGATTTTGTTTTTTCATCATCAAATAAAGGAAAAAGATTTGCCTTAAAAATTTATAGTTAAAGAAAAAAATTTTGTAAACCTGCGGAGAGAGATACATAAAATAATGATATCGTTGGTTTGGTGAAAATAAATTAAACGAAGGAGGAAATTGTTGTTTTGAAACGCCAGTTCCAGTTTGTTCATTTTTTGTACCAAAAAAATTTCGAATAAGTGATGAGATTAACCAAAACATCAAAAGACGAGTTAACATTGATTTGAGAAAAGGCCAAAGTTGGAACTGCTTAAAATTTAACAAAATTAAAAGTTGGGAGAAAGGAAACCTGTTGATCCTGAACTGCTGCCGCATTTTGAACAAAAGGAGCGACTGCTCCATTCTGTTGAAGTTGATTTTCTGACGACATTAATTTACCTAAAATTATGAAAAAAATTGTTTCTAACATTTTAATGATAATATTATAAAAAAATTTGAAATACGTAGTACAAAAATATTGTGAAATTAGAAAAAAAAACCAAAAATGATCTTTGAGAAAAACAAAAATGATCTTTTAAAATTCGATATTTTAAAAAGTCAACGTATTAAATATATTTTGAAATTCACCATTCTGATAAATTAAGCCAGAAATTTTTGATTCACCAAAAATTCGATTAACATACTTAAATAAAAATTTCTTAAAATCAATTAAAAATTACTTCATTTTTTAAATTAATGCACAGCGGGTTAAAGAGGACATTGTGTAGTGTCTAATTTTCTCTGCTTCTCTAATTTTCTCCTAGAATAAAGCGTTACTCTCATTTTTCATTTTACCCACAAAACTTTGAAATCCAATATCTCGGCTTATAGACGTTAGTTTTAAAATCGCTCCCGCTATTTTGTGCAAAACTATTTAATAAACAATTAGGCAAAAAATTAAAAAAATTTACCCATTTTTAAAAAAATTGAAAGGATTTTACTGCGACTTAGATCTGCGACTTAGATCATCTAACAAACGCTAGTTCATTCGAAAGAACTCCTCGAGCTGAGTCTAATAAAACCAAAATCAACGTGATCCGACTTCATAGGGCCGAGTTACAGGCCCCCGAAATTTTAAAATTTTCGGAGTTAGAGTTTTGGAATGCAAATTATAGCTCGATCGAAAGAGCTCGTCGAGCTGAGTCGAATGACACCAAAATCAGCTTTCCTAAATAATTCCTAACAAAGTTATGACCTATAGATGAATGAGCCTTGCGTTTATTTGGAGAGTTTCTGCGAATAAACAGGAGGTATTCGCGAATAAACAGGACGTTTTTGCGAATAAATGGGTTTCTCTGCCTATGTCCTGTCTGTCAACAGAGTTAACCCGCTGTGTTAATGTTATTATTTTTTGCTAATTTATTATAATTTATAAAATTACGGGATGAAGTCTTCTGCAACTGGAAGTATTTTTTTTATTTATTTTGAATTATTAATTATAAAATTTTAAGAAATAAAAAAGTTGGAAATTAAAATGCCTGATTTGACCCCTCCACCAAGTATGGCCGACAATTTGGACGACAAATTTGTTATGAAGTTTGTGTTTATAAAGTTAAAAAAATAAAACTTCAAAATTTTTACAGAACCGATAATGGATCTGAAGTTGTCGTTTCTGCCAATGAACTCGAAAAGATTATTGAATTAGGCAGAGGTGCTTATGGTGTGGTAGAGGAAATGAGGCATCGGCCAACTGATCTTATTTTTGCTGTCAAGGTTTTTAAATTTTCCAATTTATTTTAGTTTTATTTGATAGAGAATTCATTCCTCAATAAATGATGAAAGCCAGAAGAGAATGTTTGTTGAGTTGGATGCGTGTATGAAAAGTGGATGTTGTAAACAGGTTATTTCCTAAACTATTACCAATCTTTCAGTGCAATATTGCTCAAAATATTTGAATAATTTTTTTAATAAAATTATCTTTTTAATTGTTACCTTTATTCTAAAGCCTATGGATATTTAATTTCTAAGGCTGGGCATTAGGATGTGTGGAATAACCTTTTGCACTAGCTTATGGAGAGAGATAGCTAAAGCCTAGCTCTGTTTTACTTTATTTCCATTTTGCAAATCCCTCTAGTTAAAATTAAATATAATTTTTAATTGTTAGATGGTTCGTTTTTTTGGTGCAATGTATAGAGAAGGAGATGTTTGGATTTGTATGGAAGTTATGGATATCTCCTTGGATAAATTTTACCGTCTTTGTGTTGATATGGGTCGAAAATTGCCAGAGCCTTTTCTTGCAAGAGTTGCTTATTCGGTAAAATTTTTTGTTAATTTTTATTTAAATTTTAAATACTTGTGTTATCTTTAATTTAATTTTAAATTTAATAGAGAATTTTTAAATTTTATTTAGGTTGTCGTTGGGTTAAATTTTATGAAGGAACAAATGAATCTAATTCATAGAGGTTTATTTTGAAATTTTTGTTAAACAATTTTTAATTTAAAGATGTAAAACCTTCAAATATTTTATTACAAAGGAATGGAGAAGTTAAAATATGTGATTTTGGTATTTCTGGGCATTTAACCAATTCTGTTGCAAAAACAATTAATGCTGGTTGTAAACCATATATGTATATTATTTTAGAAGTTTTTTATTTTGCTTTAAATTTTTAGGCCTCCAGAACGGATTGAAGGAGAATCGAAGGAAGCATATGGAGTACAGGCTGATGTTTGGAGTTTGGGAATAACTTTGGTATTTATTTTTTAACAAAAATATAATTAATTTTTTCCATCAAATCAAGCTATTCACCTCTTAATTAAAGATTTTCCAGTTAATTTATTTTCTTTAAAGGTTGAAATTGCAAGTGGTCAACATCCTTATGGAAAATGGAAAACACCATTTGAACAACTTAAACAAGTTATTCAAGAACAAGCACCTTCAGTTGATCGGTCACTTGGTTATTCTGATGATTTTCACGATTTTGTTGCAATTTGGTAAATTTAGATGATAAAAATTATTTTTTTTCTTTTTTTTTAGTTTAACAAAAGACTTTCAACAAAGGCCAAAACACAAGGAATTATTGGGGCATCCTTTTTTGAAAAATGTAAATAATGATGATTTTGATGCTGCTGAATTTATAAGTTCAATACTTGAGTAAGTTGGGAATTTTTGGAATTTAGAATTCGAAATTTTTCTATTTTAGTGTCTCACAAATGAAGAGACAACAAATTTTGACAGCTTTAAGTATTGATCAAACATGACATTTTTAGAGATTATACATATATCAAAAAATATTTTCTCATTTATTTTCTCTCTTTCACGAAAAATATTTTTTAATTACTAGCTTGCCAAAAATAAAAGAAGAAAATTACCCAGCATTTTTGTTTGGGTAATACTCACTTTTTTTTATTAATTTTTTAATCATAATTTTATAACCTTCCCTATTAATATTTTATTGTCTTTGCTTTTTATTTGAGATTTCTTAATTCATTTTTTATATCAAATAATTTCGTCATTTTGTACCTTTTTTTCTTAAATTTAAAATATATTCTCTAAAAATTTAACCAAATTTTCTTTTTTTTGTCTCAACAATTTTTTTCCATTTTTTCATTATTAACTCAATTATTTACTAATCAGTTATTTATTCATAAATTTGAGATAAGGACAATCTTTAATATAAAACATAACATATATATTTTTGTATTGCTATTTTGTTGTTTGTGTACATTAAAAATGATTCGATTTTACTTTGATAAAAATTCTTTAACAATTATTACATAAAAAATAAATTAATTTTTTAAAAATTTTTTCAATTTTTTTTTAATTTAAAAAATTATTTTAGTATAATAAATAAAAAACAATTCTTCTAACATTAATTTACACACAATGAATAAATTTATTAGATAAGGGGCATTCCTACAATAAATTAAATTATTTAAATAAAATATTAGACATGTAAACAACAAAATAATTTTAATTAATTTTCTCTATCATAAAATTTTAATTTTTTTCAGATACACAAAAATATTTTTAATAAATTTATTTAAAATGCTTGGTGTTGTACTTTTATCACCTCAAAATGAGCTTATTCATGCCTTTGGAAATGCTCAATTTAAGATGCATTTCTTTAATGTTCCCCACGGAAAACAAAGTGCTAGGCCAAGTAGTAGTAGCGGCATTTCTTCGCCTAATTCTTGCCATTATTCGTCTGCTTCTTCAATTACAATAAATGAAAAGAAACAAGAAAATAATTTTGAAAATTCATTATCAGAAATAGAAAAGGAAAATAATAAAATGGTAATTAAATAAACTAATTTTTAATGAGAATTTATTGGGTTGTAACATATTTAGTTTCGTATTTTTTCAAGAAGGCATAAGTGCATAACATTCATATCGTAATTGCTTGTTCTATATACCATTTTGAAGCCCAGGATCTGCTCTCTAATCTCACATATGGTCTTTTCAAGTTTCATGTCTTAAACTCGTTTTAGAACCTCTAGAATACCCCTAACTCGGAAAGTATTTTTTGAGCTTTAGCGGAAAATTTCATAATATAAACAGAAATAAACCAATCCAAGTGAAATTTTTCATATAAGTTCGTCATGGGTCTGTTCATCAAATTATTAAATTTGAGATTTTTTGGTTAGGTATTTCAAAAGTTATGGTCGAAAAAGTCGAATCAGTCATATTTTACAAATTTCAAATTTTCTTGAAAAATTTTTGGATTTGATATGACGTGTAATATACCATTCGAAAGCCCTTTCTGAGTTACATAAGATAGTATTAATAACATTTTATAAAATTTTTAAATTAAGACTTAAATTCACAAAAAACCCTAATGTCAAGTAAAGGAAAAAACGAGTAGACATTCCCCCAAAAACTCAAAATTTCGAACTTTGCGTAGAATCGTCCGATTTGAATAATTCGAACGGTATTCAGGAGGCCTCGCTGTTCTATATGAGAAACTAACCGAAAAATACTTTTTTTGGTTCTTGAAATAAGGTCTAACACAGGGGTCGAAATTTCGACTTTTTTCTCGTTCGACTTTTTAAAATTTTCTTTTTTTCGCTAGTTAGAGCATTTGAAGAGCTTTCGATTGATATATCACATGCCAACCATTTACCAATAATTTTCGAGATATTTCGATAAATTTGCTAAAAATCAGCAATTTGACTACCCCGAATTTTTCGACCATAACTCTTACTATGCTTAACAAAAAATTTTAAAATTTTAGAGGCTGTTAGAGGACAGTCTAATTAATATATGTACAAAAATTCATGATCATAGACTGCAAATCTATAAAGATTCAGACCCCGAAACTTTTAATAAAAAACGAAACTAAATATGTTACAACCTACTAGAAGGGTAAGCTGGGATTAGCTAATATTTAATAAAAGTGGGAAGCTGGAAGAGAAGTGATTTTTGAGATTAAATAACCCCCTTTTTATTAATTAATTAATTAACCCAAAAAAACAGTTAATTAACAACAATCAACAACAAGAACAATTACTTTTTGACACAAACGGGGAGAATTTTTTACTTTGCCAGCTTCTACCATTAGTAGCTATCTGTCGCGCAAATTCTATCGAAAATCAAAATAAGCAACAAATATTAAAGAAAATTCAATGTATTCAATCATCCCCTCCAACATCATCAACAAATGATTGTGGGAATCTCCAAGTAAATATTGCCCATTTAGCATTTTCTTATATTTTTATTATGATATTTGATGATGATCAAAAGTATGTAAATTTTTGAGAAATTTTCAAAAAATAAATTTAATTTTTTCCCTCCAGCAGTTTATTATTAAATTCCCCAGAACGGCTTTTTACTTCTCTTCTAAATTGCATTAATTTTCATTATGGCCCTCAACAATTTCCTCTTTTATCAATGAATACTCCATTTGTTAAACAATTAAAAAGGCGTTGTGAATTTCGAATAAATAAATTATTAAATGAAAATAATAATCAGAATAATATAAATAATATTTTTAATAAAAACTTTTTTCTTTCTTCTGATAAAAAAGAAGAAGAAATTAAATCAGAATTAATTCCAGCACTAAAAGAATTAACTAAAAATGTTGCCCAGAAATTTAATATTTTTAATGGAGATGTTAGGTAAATTAATTCTGATATTTTTTCTTTAAAAATTCTGATTTTTTTAGTTGTTTACTTATTTGTTCTGATCGTTATATTGCTTCTGTCTCAACATTAAATAATTATTTTAATAATGAAGTAAATTCAATTATTAATTTTATTCGGCAACAATTACCTAAAGAAGAAGAGGAGGAGGAGGAAAATATTACAAATTTATTAAAATATCAATCCGAACATTATTTTCTTTCTTTTAAACAAAAACAATTTTTATATAATATTTTTAATATTTCCTTAAATGAAAAAATTGAATTTATTTTGTTGATACCTTCAGGTAATTTTTAAATTATTTAAATTATGTAAGGATGATTCACCTATAACATTTAAAACGCTTAGGCGGGGGTTAAACGATCTAAAAGGATAAAAGCATTAATCGATGCCCCGGTAGCTTAGCGGTAGAGCTCCTGTATGTGGTAAGCGGGAGCGCCTATCAATAACTACGAGAAGGTCGCAGGTTCGAATCCTGCCGGTGACTAAACTTTTGCTAAACTCTTTCTATTTATTTAAATATTCTTTTCCAGATAATTTATTAATTATTTACAATATAACAGAATGTTTACAAATATTAGAGAATATTAGTGATAATTATTTAAATAATAATTTAATTAATTTATTAATTGAATGTAAACAACATTTAGAAAATATTAAATTAGATTTAAATAAAATTTCAAATAAATTACCAAATGGATATTTTTATTATTTAAGTAGTCCAATATTAACTAAAGAATATATTCAGGTATTTTTTAAATATCTTAAAATTAAATTAAAATTATTTTATTTATTTTTTAGAAATTATGGAATCGTTTTAGAATATCTTTGGATAAGGTAAAAATATTTAATTTTATTTAAATTTCTGATATTTCCTTATTAAATTCTCTCAATTCTCTTTTTTTTTATTTTTTCACCCAAACTTTTTAATTAATCATTATTTGAGACCAAACTTTAATGATCCTTTGGAAATAAATTTTTAATTTCTGACTTTACAAAATTTAAATTTTATTTTTTCGAAAAATTAAAAAATTTAATTGATTAAGAATATATCGGGCTCGATAAACGAAAATTTTTATCAAAATCGTCTTGATTCGATTTTTTAATCACTACATCATCGAGAGAGAGTTAATGTAAAATTTCAACTAAATTATCCTTCACTTTTGAATTTATTTTGATAATTAAATAATTATTTTCAAAAATTTAAAGTTTCTTTCATTAATTAAAAAACAAAATAATCAAAATTCTTCTTCAAATTCTTCATCTTCTACTATTACTATTAATAGCAGTTATTCACAAAATACAATTTATTCACAAACAACATCAGAGGACGAAGAAGAAAAAATTATTTTATCAAAAAATTTAAATTTATTGACTGGAAATTTAAATAAAATTAAAGTTGGTTTATTGTTGAATGTTTGTGGAGAAAAGAATTACCTATTTTTTTAGATAGGCATAAATTAACCAAGAAAAAAGGGGGAACTCTTTCCATCCATTATAAAAAACTCTATTATACAGAGGTTGATCGGAAATGACGAAGGTGCAAGAAATTGGAACTGTTGGAACTCGGAAGGAAAAAAACGTCGGAAATAGGAATTCCGATCGACCTCTGCTGCTTTCCAAAATTATACGGACCCCTAATTTTTAAAGACTATTTTACGTATTTTCCTTTTCTAATTTAAACTAGGCAAATTAGTAGTAGTTGATTCTACTCGACAAATAAATATACCTAGTTCTTTTTTCTCCACAAACTTAATTTTTCAATTTTTTTAATAATTTAAAATAATTAAAGAGATTATTACTTTCATTATTAAATGAATTATTAACTTGGAATTCTTCACAATCAACAAATAAATTATTACCTTATATTTTAAATAATATTTTAAATAATTCAATAAACACAAAAATAATTAAAATAATTACTTCTTTTAATGAAAAAATTGAAAAAATAATTTTAAATAATCAAAATATTCTATTAAAAACAATTCCGACAAATTTTGGTTTGGATATGTTGGGGTATAAATTTGAACAAATTTGTGGTGGTCCTCCTTTCTTTTTTTGTTATATTGAAGGTAGTTTTTTAGAGGAAAAAATATATCAGGACTAGGGTTGCCGGTTTCAAGTCGGGCCAACGGTCGGGGCATTTTTGGGCTTGTTTTTATCGAGTCAGGCCGTACGGGTCACTTTCGGGCCAAATATCATGCCCGACTCGATCTTTCGGTCCGAGTCGGACCATTTTGGCAACCCCAATCAGGACAGAATATCTTTTAGTTAAGTTTTTCCCCTAAATTTGATAAAGAAATTTATTTAAAGTCTTTTTAATTTTTAAAGAAAAATATTCTCAATTATTTTCTCAATTAAATGAAGAATTCTTTAATATAACATTTGAAGAAGAAAATTTTTTAAAAGAGGAAGAGGAAACAATGACTGTAATTAGAACAAATGATAAATTACTTATTTTACAAGTAAATATATTTAAATTAAATTAAAAACAAAATTTGTCTTTTAAAGTTTTTAATTCAATATTCACCAACAACAACAACAACAAAATCTTCTTTACAAAATAAATTTAAACAAAAATTAAATAAATTACTTTTTGGAAATTTAACAGAAGAAAATAATTATTTAAAATTTAATTTTATTTGTTTATTTCCTCCACAGATTAATATTATTTTAGCTGTAAAACAATCAAATATATTAATTAATATATTAAAACAAAAAATTAATTACGAATAAATTGTTAATATTTTTTTGTTTATTTTTTAAATAAATACATTGGGTATTTATTAATTAATGATCGTATCGCTTTGCGTTTATTTGCCTCCATTCCCGCGAATGTTTGCCCGTAAATTTTTCTCTTTTCCTTTTCCTCTCACTAATATTAAAAATGTTCAAAATAATTGTTAAAGAAAATATTAAACAATTTTATAAAAGTCAAAACAGTCTCAACCTATCACTAAACTTAAAATTGGATATCCCTTTTTCCGAATTTGATTGTGATAATTTTTTTATACTTGATCCGCATGGATCATTCGAAACACATATTACATACATATAAACTCAGTACCGAATTATTTTTTAAAAATTTATTTCTACAATTTATTTAACAATTCCCCAAATATATATTTTACAATAATTATATTAACAAACAAACAAACAAATATATTTATATATCTTATTTATATATTTCTTTCTTTCTTCCAACAATTTCTTCTTTTAGCATTATCAGGCAGGATCACCCAAATAGGCAGAATCACCAGGCTTGACTTAAAAAGAAAAGAATAAATTTTTTTTAAATAAAAGTTTTCCTTTTTACTTTTAATCGTTTTTGGCTTTTCCTTTTCAATTCGAACTCCTTTTGATGTGAATCCTGTCTTAAATACATCCTTTTTATCAGCATATTGCAATGTATCATAGTCAGGATTTTCATCAATGTCTTCTTCCAATGGGAACTTCCTTCCTTCTTCTGCTTCTTTGACCAAGACTAAAAAAATTAAATTTATCAAAAAAATTATTATTTTTTTCTCACTTTTTTCTTGTTCTGTCAAAGCTGTCAAAACGGCCGAAACTTTCTTTTCCCCTCCTTGTTCACCAATTTTAGACAAAGACAATTTTGTTGTTGGGGTAGTTGTTGTTGGGGTTGTTGTCTTTGTCTCTCCAGTACCCGGAGTGAAGGCTGTTGCTTTTGATTTTAAAGTACTAGGCATTTTACTATCATTTCCATCTTCAGTTGAAAATGGATGTTCTGCAGAAATAGCAGTCTCTAAAAAAATAAATAAAATTATTTAAAAAATGAACAATTATTCTCTTACTTTCTTCACCACTATTATTCTTCTTGTCCTTCTCGCCCTCTTTTGCTTTGACGGTTTCGACAGCCTTGCTGGAAGTTGGCGGAACTTTTGAGATCTTATTTCCATTAGCAGCAGCATCTTTTTTGGTTTCTGCCGATTTTTGTTTTTCTTCTTGTTTTGGCATAGCTTCTTCCCTTCTCTTTCCTCCAACCTTCTTGCACTTCTTCTAAAAAAATAAAATTCAAATTAATTTTAACAAAATTCCTCACCTTTTTACAACAACATTGAAGAGAAAACACAACAACCAAACAACAAAAGAACAGCAAACTCCCCATTGTCAGCTTCAAAAACATTGTCATTGTTTATGCCGAGCGGTAGATGTTGTTAGAAATATGTGGAATGATTTTGCGAAGTTCAGATAAAATATGCTTTTATACACCTTTTAGATGTTGAGAATATATTTAAGCTGATCAAAACAACATACAAACAAAAGCAACATACAAAGAATTCTCCATTGTTCACTGTTCAACTTCTCGTCTTTTATCAATGCTTTGGGTACTAACGACAATAGCAGCTACGTTCTTTTGGTCAATCATAAGTATTTGGCTTCTTGTCGCTCAATGTTGTTGTTGTAAAAGGGTGAGAGAAAGAATTAAAAATTTTAATTTTGTTAATTTTTTTTCATTTTAAAGAAGAAAAAAGACAAACGTACTGCTTCAGAGATATTCATGGAGAGAATGATAGAAGAAGATATACGACTATATCGAGAAGAATTGCGGAAACAACGAAACGACGCTATTAAAGCAATGGAAGAGGAAAAGAAAGTTAAAAAACGGGGTAAAATTTTTGATTAAATTTCAAAAAAATATTTTTCTGTTTTTAGAAAAACCTTCATCAACCGAAAAGAAAAAATCCTCTTCATCCCCTTCAAATAATAAGAAAAAAACAAAAGCATCGGGGATTGTTGGACCGCAAAGTAGCAGTGAGGAAATGTTGGCATTAAAGAAAGGGAAAAAAGTTTCAGCTGTTCTTGCCGCTGAAGAATCTCAGAAACGTAGGAAAATTAAAAAATTTCTGTAAAGAACAATTTTTGTAGGGGAAGAAAGTAGTCTCAAATCGAGTAGAGACGATGTTGATGATAATCCAGACTATGACACATTGGATTTTGTTGAAAAGTTGGATGTATTCAAGAAAGATGGGAAGAAGAAGAAAAAGAAGAGTATTTAATAATTTAAAAACTTTTCTAATTAAATTTATTTTAAGGCCAGGACTGATAAACGTACCATTTGTGGAAGTGGGTTAATGGAATGGATAACTGTTTTTTGTATTCCGGAAAATATATAGAAGGAAATATGATGATAAGTATAATTTTATTGATATTATTGTTATCTAATATAGTGCGTCCCTAAATTATACGACCACTTGTATTTTTTGTCATATACTCTTTAACACACGTAGTCGTATATTTACGGACGCACTGTATGTATTTTTATTGGTTTCATTTTTGACTTGTTAGGAGGTTTTTTTAATTAAATTTTTAATAAAACGTTTTGTGAGTAAAAAACAAAATAGCAAAAATTGCATATATCTATCAATGACTTAATTTTTTTTTAAATCACAAATAATAATTTTTGTATTTAAAATAAAATTTGAGAGACAATGGAAAGTTGAAAATTATTTTAGTTGTTTATTTTACAATAAATAATGAGAATCAAATATGTATAATGAAAATAAAATTAGTCATCTTTAACCTCCATTTTTAAAATTCGGCTAGTCAAGCTACCTCCCTTTGATGAACTGGCATCATCAGAAACATTCCCTTTCTTCGAAAATCGTTTTGTATTTTTTCCAGAAAAGAATCTAGGTATATTAGTCACACTTTTGATGGCGCCACTCTTCATACTAGCCAATGTATGTCGTGGCAATGAAAGACGTCGGCTGTTACCGCTGGATGATGCTAAAGTTTGAAGGTATAAAGGAATAAAAGAAAGAAATTTACCAAAGTCAGAATTTAAACTTTGATCATCAAAATTTAAAGGGATGGTAATCTTCTCTGGGCAAACACGTTGATCATCAAGTTGTTTGTTAGACCGCTCAATAAGACACATCATGAATTCTCCGTCATTTTCTGCGTCCCCGAGGTCGGTTGAAACTTTGTTTTGCAAAAAACGTTTCTGAAAATATTAAAATAAGCTAGGAAAACAAATGTCAAAATTTTAACAAATCTTTCTTCTACCATAACTCTTTCAGGGGACAAAAATAACGAAATAAAAATGCTAAAACCAACTTTTGCCTTCCTCGAAACAAGTGAGTCTAAATTCGTTACACTCTTCCAATTTTTAAAAATTGATTTGCGCCTATGGCTGCTAGCTCTACTAGAAGGTGATCGCTTACTTGAAAGCGATAATGAATCTATAAAAAATATTTTTAAAATTATATGAAAATAAATTTAACTACCATCAATTGTCCTTTTTTCATCTAAAGGTTTATTTACATTCTCCAATTCAACTTCAATTTTCGGCCTTTGATCCTCGGGAAAATCAGGTCCTTTTGAAATTCTTTGGGCGGCACTTTAAAATTTTATTAGATTTTTTATTTTTATTTAAAAAACATACAGCAAATTTCTCTCTGCAAGTTCATGATTTCCAAGCTTACTATAAGCTTTTGCAATATTTATCAAAGTCATACCAATAGCTGACTTATCATCCAATTCACGAGCTATTGCCAATCTCTTTAAAAATAAAATTTTTTTAAATAAAATTTTTCTTATAAAACCTTTTCAAGGCAATCAATTGACTTATTATATTCAGACAAGCAAAAATAAGCATTCGCAAGATTTCCAAGAGCAAGGCCACTAATTTTTTTATCTTGCTGTCTTTCCATAATTGACAAATATTCTCTAAATTTAAAAAGAACAATTAGAATTTAAAAACGGTAAAATGATTCCACATTTGATGTCTATAAAATTACTCTATACTAGTTGGTTATTTCCCATTTTTGAAGTAAAACAACTAAAGATTTTGAAAATAAGGCTAGCTCAAAAGAGCCCGTTGAGCTGAGTCGAGTGTCACCAAAATCGATACAATGACATAATGGAGTAAATTCCACACCTTGACACTTCAATGGGGGTTATGTATTTCAATACTATTTGATCTCTCCATAGTAGCACAATGTTTTTTAGATGAAACTTCATTTTTATCGGATCGATCCGTTGTGGCTTTACTTAACTCGGTTCGACTAGCTCTTTCGAAAGAGCTATCATTTATACACCAAAAAAGGAAAACGACAGGTACAAATTGTTTTTAAAATTTAGATTACTTTAAAGAAAAAACAGATTTTTGAAGTTGCTCTGTAATATATTGATTATACAAATGAGCATTTGCATCCGAGTTGTCAGCCTCAGAACAAGTCAATGCATCTTGTAAATAGGCAAAGCCACAATTATAATATCCACGGCCTTTGAGAATCTTTAAAAAATGTTTTAGAAAAATATTTAAAAATTAAAATAACATCATCATTTAATCTTGCTCCTAGAATAATAGCTCTTCCCGCACAAAAAATTGAACTATCAAAGTCAAGGAGCCTAAAATAATTTGTTGAATTTAAACTTTTCATTAATAAATTTACATTGCGTAAGCTACAGATAAATTAGAATATGCTTCGGCCTCCTTCTCTTCATTTTTTGATTGCCTAAATATATTTTAATAAAAATATTTAAAAATAAAAATACTTAGAAAAAGTCAAATCGTTTATGAAGAAATTCTTTGCTTGTTCAAAATCGTGTAGAGAAAAATAAGCATTCCCTAATAAAGAATATTTTAAGAATTATTAAATAATTATTAACCTAATTGAAGATTGATATCAGCAATTATTTGTTGATCCTCGGAACCGATGAGAAGCGCCCGTTCCAACAATAAAATTCCATGTTTAATCACGTCTAAATTTTTATACAATTTAATAAATTCAGAACACTTTACAAACCTTTAGACGAGTCGTTAATTGCACGTTTCCCATCCAAGACAAGTTTATTAAAAGTCATAGAATTCGTTTTTCTATTGTTATCTGAAGGAAATGAAACAATAATAAAAATATAAACACCAGAAGACGAAAATAATAAAACGTTAATTAAAACTTAAAAATAGTTGTAACTCAAAAATGACGGGATTACCCCCCATTTTAATTTATAATTCGACGAATTAAGTATTTTTACCTTTTTGGACATTTTTAGATGGGGCGTTTTTGGGTGGGACTTTTTGGGAGGTTTTTGATCAGGAGGACGTTTTGGGGTTTTTGTTCAGTGGGCCGTTTCGCGGTTCGCCGTGTCCTCCTTCTTTTGCTAATTGAACTTGTTGATCTTATTTTCTTTTTTGAGACTTTTATGAATTTATTTAGTAGATAAAAGAAATTATCAAATAGGGTATATTCAAATGATTAAAAATAATTTTATCTTCATATAAATAATGAACCATTTTAATCGAGGCGTTGATAATCAACAACAACAACAACAAATGCAGCCTCAAAACCATCAGCAAGCTTATTTTCTTAATCTACAACAGCAACAACAAAGAAATCAAGCTATGCAGCTTCAACACCAACAAATTCAAGGCTCTCATAACATGTCCTCAATGGTATTTTTAAACTTGTATTGATTTGAATAATAATCCTTCTTTTGTTAAATTGTTTTTGTTTTTAGCAGCACAATTTTATGACTCCCACTCAGCAGCAGCATCAACAAATCCAACAACAAATCAGATCTCCAACGCCCCCACATCAAGGAATGTTGCAACATAGACAACAAGGTATGAAAGTATTATAAACCTGTTTAAGGATTATTTTTCCTAAATTTCCAGCTTTTCAACAACATGGGATTATGCATGGAATGCATGCGATTCAGCATCAACAAAACTCTCCTCAACCTCATTTTCAATCTCAACAATCTCCTCGGCCAATTATTAGAACAATGAATGTTAATTCACCCCAACAACATCAACAATCAGTTGTTGTCACTCAACAACAATTACAACAACAACAGCATTATATGCAATTTGCTCGTCCATCAGAGTTTAATTTTAATAAATTTTAAAATCAAATTTTCTTTAGAGTATCACCTATGGTGGCCCAATCACAATTTATTCAACAATCTAACCCTCAATTTGTTAATGGAAATAATGTGGGAGGTGTCGTTCAGGGACAGCATTTAAGACAAATGCTAATACCTCAAAGTTCAGCTTCGCCTGTTTTTCGTCACAATGTTGTTATACAACGTGAACAGCCTAAATCTGGTGGTAATGCAATGCGATTCCCTTCGCAACCTGCCACTCCGATATCATCAACAGACAAATTATCGCCTCAACAAGAACTTCGTAAATTCTTTTATTAATTATTTTAACTGTAGAGCAAAATACACTGTGACCGTTCCGTTTTTATATCTATATGGAGCTAAAAATTGTATTTAGAAATTAGGCGATTTACTATTTAATTTTGGGGGTATCTAAATTTTGACTGTAATTAGAGAAAATGTTTCAACTTTATTAGATGTTCTACAACAAAATTATTCTGGTGCTCACATTCAACACCATCCTAATTATTCTACTGGCAACGAACAGCAACAACGCTTTCTTCAGCATCAACAACAAATTCCTTCTCGTATTTCTGTAGTTCATTCTCATAATCAATCACCGCACCAGACACAGTCTAATTTATCAACAAATATGGGAGTTGGTGTTTCTAATCAGGTTTGTTTTTTTAAATATTTTTTTCAAATTTATAGATTCAGGTAAATGCTGTTTCTGCTGTATCTTCTAGTGGCCAATTAATGACTAGCAATAGTGGAGGCAATATGGCAGCAAAAGTTCCAGTTTTTGTAACTTCCCATAACCAACAGCAACAAGTTTATTTTGCAATTCAACAACAACAAAAACCATCTTCTGTTAATAGTATTACAGATAATAACGATTTTGCATCATCATCTTTTATGAACGTACAGGTATTTCTTTTCCTTTATTTGTAATCTTATAAAATTATTAACAGAAGAATGGAACGCCAACATCGGCTATATTACTTAACGATGATGGGTTAAGCAATAATGGACGTGCCTCTTCTAGTAATCAATCTATAATGGAACAACATTTAAATGGCTCGAGTGGAACGGGAAACTTTGTATTTTTACATCCTAAGTCTGATCATTTAATGGGGCAACATGGAAGTATGAGTGGACAGCCATCTCCATCAAACAATGTTGAAATGCTACAGGTTCTGTATTTAATTTTAAGACTTGTTGTCGAATCTGGGTTTTTACTAGAGTTTAGGAGTGTGTTTGGAAGGTCGTACCAAAGTTCTTACTTTGTTATTAATGTAAGTACAGAAATTGTGTATAAATTAAAACGACAAATTACGACAACGGGGATTTTTATTCCTTCACTTATTAACGTTTTTTGGATTCAGTTTATAGATTACTATTTTTTGATTTTCAATCAAATATCGCATATGTGTTATCCAAAACTTTTTTAGGATTTTTGTAACTTTTTTAAATCATTTAAAATATTCTTTTTTTTATTTTTCAGTCAGAGTCGCCTGGTAACACAATAGCATTTGAAGGAAGTTCTTCTAGTAATATTACTCCATCAATTTCTACTAACAAAAAGAAAGCAAGTTCAAAACAATCATTAGCAAAAACTTTTCAACAAAAAAATATTAGCAATGTGGGAAATTCTTTGGGCAATAATTCAACAATTAATGTTTCTACTACAAACAATAAACATTTGGAAAATAATTTAAATAACGATTTAATCAAAGCAAGCATTCCCAGTCATTTAACAATTAAATTATTAGATCGAGAAACTTTTGATACTTTTGTAAAAACTGTAGATCCAAATGAAGTATTGGAAGATGAAGTAAATTTTTATTTTAAAATTAATATTTTTATTAAAATTTTTAGGTTTCCGATGCTCTACAACTTGTTTTGGAAGATTTTGTTGATGAAATAATTCGAAATTCTGTTGATGTAAAATTAAAAATTATCTTACTAATTTTAAATAAAAATATTTTTAGTTATGTAAACATCGAGGTTCAACAAAACTAGAAGCTAAAGATGTACATTTTATATTGGCAAATAAAATGAAATTGGATGTAGATACAGAATCTAATGGAATTTCTTCTGTTGGAAGTAGTAACAACAATAATTCTGGAGCACCGGTAAGTGGAGGTACTTCAACATTTTTTCAACAATCGCCAGCCTCTAAACGTGCACCATTGATAGCACATCAACAAAGAATGGCTTTGATTAACAAAACAATTAAAAAGCTTTGAGAAATAATTTTTAAAGGGAAATTTTAGCTACAGATTATTTAAAAAGGTGTTCTTTTAAATTTTTATTTTTTTTTTTGGAAATTTTTTTATTTTTTAACATAGAAAAACCTACATATATTTTTTTTCACAATTTTATTAACCAAAAAATAATCCTCGCCTTATTTTTAGTCATCCACCAAATATATATATTTTTTGTGCCTCTACTATAAATATTTTAGGTACAAATCCCGATTTTAAAAGTTCTTTCATCTATTCAAAAAAAAAATTTTTTTTTAGTATTCAATAAAAGTCTTGACCCTAATTATCTTTATAAAAAAATTTAATGGAATTTACTTTTATTGCTTGGAATTTTTGAAAGATCTAAAGCATTTAGTGGTTTATAGACTTTTATTTATCTAAAAATCTGTTTTGTCAATATTGCTTATTCTGGGCTCTTTAAATTCATGCTTGTTTGTTTTTTGTATTTTTAAGCAAATCTAATCCTTTGAAATAATTAACTCTAAATTAAATTTCCCTCTGTGATATCTTACTCCACTTTTAATTAGTCCAATAACCCTTATAAATGTTTTATTCGAAAATGGTTGATTTTTTGTGATTTGAATTATAAATTTTTTTAATTTGCGATGATTAGTGGATGTATGAATATTTATTTTGAAAAGTTTTATCATATTTAGCCATTCTACATACATAATAGTGAAAGAAATTTTCCTTATGGGGCAAAAAACACGAACTCCAAATAATTTGTATTTTAAAACAAAATAGCCAACATATTGACTTTTATGTGACGCTGGCAACTTTTTCGAGGTATCGACATAGAAAAAAGCGAAATAAAGGCTTGACCCCAAGACCGGGACCAAAAACCCCAAGACAAATCTTACTGTTAGCCTAGTCTCTAGTAATCCTAGGCTAACAATCTCTAGTAATCCTAAGGAATCCGTCTGGATTCGCCCGTTCTAGTTCTCGGAATTCCAATCCGAATCCGGAAAAATTATGCAAAAAAACAGTCGGTCTTTTACATGGGGCCTGTCTTGCGGAAGATCCAATCGGCGCGCAACCCTGGTTGAAGTAGTGCGTCGATTGGCATTTTATTTTTTATTTACGTCAAAGCTGTCTAAATTTAAAAGACAGAGAATAATAGTACGAAATAGTATTACTTAGTAATAGGAAAAAAAAATTCTTGTTTGTCACTCGTCTAGCTTTGGTTATCGACCGTTGTCAGGAGAATTTTCTCAACACTCAACAATTCCACTAACGTCTCCAAAGCCAGCCACTCGAGGGTCTTTGTGCCAGCCTTTCTTTCATTTTTTTCTTTTTTTTTCTCATTCATAATGTATAGTAGGGGGAGCTTTTTGATTGTCACCGCGTTCCGGAAGTTAATTTTCCTCGCACATGTTTTAGTAACGTTGTCACTGGTTTTCGTTGAGCAAAAATTTTACTAAATAATTTAACTAAATTTATTTTAATTTATATTTTAGGTATAAATAATATGTATTTTTAACATTTGATTACTACACAAAATTGTCACACTTGTATCGAATTGTTTGTGTATCGTATGAAGAACTGCCGTGAATGAAATTAATCCGTAAGGTGCCCCGAAGTAGCAACCATGCCAAACGGAATGGAAAAAAGTAAGCTTTTAAAAAAATTTTTTATAAATTTTTAACATATTTTATTTGTTTTAACCTTTCATTTGTTCAGGCCTCTTTCCGGTCTTTCCCCTCTTTCAATCGATGCTTTCCACCCTAATATGATGATGATGACTGGTGGTGGAACAAAAATTTCGACGGGTGCAAATTCTCATCACCACCATCAAGGTGGTGCATTAGGAAGTAGTTTTAAGCCGTCAAACTTTGCGCCGCTGATGAATGGAGGTTCTGGAACTTCTGCAGCGATGATGAAACCTATGCCTGTTCAACAAATGTTACCACCTTCGAATGCGACGGTGCTGAGTCACCAAAGTACAAAACAATCAAACCATAAATCTAGACAAAGTACAGAAGGGGAATATCAGGTTATTTTCAATTTTCTGAGTTATTTTCAAAATATTTTTAGTTAATAAAAAATGAAGTCCTTTCTTCTTCTTATGGAAACCAATACGAAGTTCTTGAATTTCTTGGTAAGGGCACTTTTGGCCAAGTAGTGAAAGCATGGAAGAAAGGCACAAATGAGATTGTTGCCATAAAAATCCTTAAAAAGCACCCAAGTTATGCACGACAAGGACAAATTGAAGTTTCAATTCTTTCACGTCTAAGCAATGAAAATGCTGAAGAATTCAATTTTGTCCGTGCTTATGAATGCTTTCAACACAAAAATCATACATGTTTGGTCTTTGAAATGCTTGAACAAAACCTTTATGATTTCCTTAAACAAAATAAATTTACTCCGCTTCCACTTTCAAGTATTCGGCCTATTGTGCAGCAAGTGCTTACCGCGTTGTTGAAACTTAAGCAACTTGAACTTATACATGCTGATTTAAAGCCAGGTTTTATTTTCTAATCAATAGATATTTTAAACATTTTAATACATACTAGAATATTAAAAACAAAATTTATTTTTTAAATATGTTATTTTTTCAGAAAATATTATGCTTGTTGATCCTGCAAATCAACCTTTTCGTGTCAAGGTTATAGATTTTGGCTCTGCATCCCATAGAAGCAAAGCTGTTACAAACACTTATTTACAATCGCGTTATTACCGGTACTGTAAACAATTATTCTAAATTTACTTCTTAATTCATAATTTAAGTGCTCCCGAAATTATTCTTGGCCTTGCCTTCCGTGAGGCCATCGATATGTGGTCTTTAGGTTGTGTAATTGCTGAACTTTTCCTTGGTTGGCCCCTTTATCCCGGCTCTTCAGAATATGATCAAATGCGTTTTATTGTTCAAACACAAGGATTACCTCCTGCACAAATGCTTGCTGACGCAGCGAAAACTCATCGTTTCTTTAAAATTGTAAAAAATTTATTGTTTGATTGAACCTGTTTAATTTTCATTATTTTATGAATTTTATAACCTTTTAAAGATAAAAGACATGGCTTCTTATTGGAGACTCAAAACTGTTGACGAATTTGAAATGGAAGTGAGTACAAAAAGCAAGGAGACACGTCGTTATATTTTTAATTGTCTTGATGATATTGCTCAGGTTCTAAAAATTAAATTATTTTTTATTTTTGCAATTCACAGGTACATTTACCTCGTGATTTGGACGAAATTGATTCAATGGTTGAACGTTGCGATCGTCAAGAATTTGTTGATATTCTTAAGCTTATGTTGAGTATGGATCAGGATCGACGCTTAACACCTCAAGGCGGATTGCAGCACAAATTTATAAAAATGACTCATTTAATTGAATGGGGTCGAACAAACTACTATCAGGTTTTTTTGAAATTTTCTTTATTTATTATTTTATTTAAAGGTCGCTGCTCAACATATGGAAGTTTGTTATCGCAGTCCATCTGTTCGAACGTCATCTTCAAACTATTCATTACGCTCCGCTAATACTGGATCTGGCCCAATTACTTCAATTGCTTCAGCGGCCACACAATCTCAACAACCTCAAAATCTGATCGCCGCTCCTTTGCTAGCAGCGGCTAATGCACTTTCGAGTGGTGGTGTTGGGATATCACACAATTCTCAACATCGTTCAGCTGCAACTGGAACTTCAATTGGTCAAGCTAATGCACAAATTGGAGTGGGTGGAGGTGGTAGTATCCAACAAACTGGAACAAATCCTTTACCACTTCCTTCAGAATTTTCCAATTTATTCCATCATTACCAAGCATTAACGAATGGACAACTTCCAGCCAATCAGGCTGCTGCTGCCCCTTATATTTGCCAGCCTTTGATGACTACTGTCCTTCCTTATAGTTAGTTTTTAAATATAAAATTTTGCACTAATTACATTTTAAAGCTCGTCAACCGCAACAATTAAATTCCTTAACTAACTTTGCTGCTGCCACTGCTACCGCTGCTCAACCACAAGCAGCTCTGATTTCCCAGTTTGTTCCTATCTCATCGTTCGTTGATCCATTGCTAGCCGCAGCGGCTGTGGCTGCTTCTAATGGTGGAGGTATCTAACCTTTTTTAATTGTATCTAAATGTTTGTTCATAACATCTTACTTATAGTTAATGGAACTGTGAATGTTTCTACTGCAGCTCAACACCACCCTCTCCACCAGTCATCTTCAACCGTTGGCGGAGCTCAAAATGTTGCTTCTGCTGCTCAACTGACTTCCAATTGGGGATGTTCGTCTAACACGCAAAATCCTGCTTTTGCTGTTGCTGCTAATAATCCTCTTTTTCCTTGGGCAGTAGCTGCAGCCGCTCAACAGGCTCTATTGCCTCCACCTGCTCCGCAACATAATACAAACGGAAGCAGTGATTCGTTTCTTTCACATAACGCTGCTGCAGCGGCTGCTCATGCTAGACAATTGGCTGCAACTGCTGCATTTCTTCAGCAATTTCCACATCTTTTCCAAGCCGCTTCTGCAAATACATTTCCACCACAGCAACAAACTGTAGCGCATCAACAAAATGCTGCAGCAGCTGCCGCGGCAAAGAACTATTCACATCAATTGCAAATATTGGCTCAAGTTCATCAGCAACAACAGGTGCTTTTTTGAAACGTTAAAAATCTTTGGTACTGTTACCCTTTCATTTTTTGTATGTGGACCAAAACACAAATGATAGCTTATTTGACGAGAAATCTGACATGATATATTAAAATCACATCTTAATCGGTGAGCCGTGTCAAATGAGCTTTCATTTGTTTTTATCAAAAAAATGACAGAGTATATGTGTGGGAAACGACACTAAGATTTGGACTTTAGGAAGAATGGGCTGCTCAAGTTTTGAATGGAATTCATCCAAATTCATCTGCAATTAATGTCCAGCAGCCGCAACAAATTCAACAATCTGCGGCTTATGCCAAATTAAAAAATGATTCACTTCAGCAATTAATGCAACCATCAGCGAATGATCATTATATCGATAGGTTTTTAAATATTTCTAACATTTTATTTAAATATACTTTTAGACAAAATTTGGAAAATGTGCATCAACAACATGAACAAGCACTTAAAAATTCTGTTAACCAATCAAACATTATGAATTCTTCATTTTCTTCAAATAATGGAGCTTTAGACTCGAGTACTACATTACCAACAAACGCCGCTTCATCTTCTGCGAGAAAAGCATCAAATACCAGATGTGCAATTGTCCGTCCACAGCCACATGCACAACCGTCACAAATAATTCAGCAACAACAATTCAATCAAAACCAGCGACAACATCAGCAACAGGTTATTCTAAATTATCTTAACTATAAGCTTTCTAAAAATTATCTACTTTAAATAGGTTGCTAATGCAACGGCTGCATTTATTCTCCAACAACAACAGCAACAAGCTGCTGAGCATCTTCTCACTTCTGGCAATCCCAATGGTGGAAATCCTTTCTTTTCTGTTGTTGATGCTTCAGGAACAACGTCTGGTATTGAACAAACAATTGGAAATAACAACAATGGTTATGCACCGTTTATATCTTCAAATCGATCAAATGCTTCAACAACAGCGGCTTTAAATGCAGCAAATCCAGCAATGTTGGCACATATGCTTGATTTGACGTAAATAATTTGAATAAAAATTAATTGAAGGATTAATTTTTAAAGTGAGGGGACATGAGTAAATTTTTTGTTTAATATTTTAACTCTGTTTCCTCTCTTACAAAAGTTGTTATATTCTGTAGATTTATGTTATTTCAGTCAAAAATATTTAGATTCCATTGCCAGCTTATACTAAATTATTAATTTTCAGAAATTCAATTGGCGGTTATTCTACTACAAATTCTTATCTTTAAATATATGGTTAGTTATAAATTTGACGAGCAATGTTTGCAATTAATTATTCTGTCATCTATTTGGCCGATAAAATTGGTAATTTTGAATCATTGCCCCAATGGAGGCTTTTAAAAACAACATTTTGATTTTTCAAAAACAAATTAATTTTTTTTTGTATTTGTTCACCCCCATTCAATCATCATCATCATTCTTCTATTTAAATATATCAATGATACCAAATATTTTCTATATTTGCAGGTGTTGCATTTATCTTTTTTATTTCCTCATATTTTGTTTAGGGTCTTCATCAATTTTTTGGTTAAAAGGGTGAAACAATTTTTGATTTTGAAATTATTTTTAATTATTTTAAAATTAATTTTTAACAAATCAAAAATCTGTTTGCCTCTTTTCTTTTCATTCTTACTATCTACAACTATTTCATTCTAATTGAGGATGAACGGGCTTTTTTAAATGTCGAATGATTTTATTTAATCTTTAAATTAAAAATCGTTTTTAACAAAAATTTAAAATCATTCATTGAATTAATTTTTAATTAATAATTTGCCAGTTTCAACCAATTAAAATGCGATATTAATTGTTTTACAAAAAATCTTTTACTACCAAAATATAATCATCATTTTGTTATTATTTCCTTTATTATTTAGTCCTTTCATTTAAAATTTTGATTGTCATTGATGTGAATAAAATTAAAAATGTGGGGGCAATAATTTTAAAGTTAATACGGATATTAATGAATTTCATTTCGAAGAGAAAATGCCCCCATACATTAAAAGCAACCAAAAATTGTAAAATTTCTTTAATATTTTGGGGTTTTCTTCAATATTTTCATGTATGATGGATGTTATTACTATAAACCTTTTTGGTCTTTGATTTTAAAAAATAGTTTTAAATTTTAGTAATCATTGTTTGATATATTATAATTCGAAGCTTACATTTTACTCTATTTCCTTAAACTTAATTAGTAATTGAAATGCCAAAAGATTTCCGTGTGAGACAAATTTTTGCTCTTCCGGCCTTCCGCTCATAAATAAATTGATACATATTTAATTAGTTCTTCAATTAATTCTATTTCAATATGTAAAATCAGACCTCTTTCTCTTCAGTATTAGCTGGGATACGAGAGAGATAATGATGACAAGGGTTATCTTAGAATAATTGACGGATTAAATTTTTATTAAAATTTTGTAGTAATGTCGGCGAGAGAGGTTCGATTAAATTATCTTTTCTATCTGCTTAAACTTAAGGGCATGCCTGTTTTTGATTAACAATTTCTTTGGAAAAATAAATCTTTTATCTGTTGAACTTAAAAAGTGCAAAAGAAAAATGGATGTCCTTTCTTTATACACTTCTTTTGGGTATATATTGTCTGATTATGTTTTATAAACATTCTTCATTATATATCCCTTATTCTCGATTGTAATTTAAACTTTTGTATAAAAGTAGTTAAAAAAGTAAAATTTTTTTAGAAAATTTTTATTTTACCTTAACATCAGGGATTTGGTTGGATCTGGGGTTATCTGGGGAAAAAGTATCTGGAGGGGTTTTCTCTGAGCTGTGTCTCTAAAAATGATCTACAATGATGGTTAAGACAATTTTTGGAAAAATATGCCGAAAACAACCGGACCATGTGTTCTAAAACACAGACTCGAGTATTTATTGCCATTTAATCTCTCATTGAACATGCCACAGGCAAAATTGAGTGAAATTGAGGAAAAAAGACTTGCTGAACATTCTGTACAAAGATTGATTGATGATGGAAAAGGAAAAAGGGGCGTGGCTAAAAATCATACCTAAACCATAAAGTAAAGTTCCTTAATAGGAGGATTTGAACAGATGTAGGAGTGGGGGTCATTTTTTCATTTTTGGGGAAATTAGGTAATTTTTCGTTTAGTGTAGTGAAAATGGAGATATTTCGCTTTGTATGTTGACGAATTTTTTTCAATTTTGTTTCGTTGAGCTGCGTTACTAGAAAATATATTTTGCCAAAAATCCACGTATCATTTTCATTTTTCTCTAATTTTATTTTTGAAATGCACTATGTATGTTGCGATTAGAACCAATAACAAAATTAGTGTTTATGTTGATCTATTTATGTATGTTTAACAAGGAAAAATTAAGTTTTTTAAAGTAGGTTTAAAAGCCTTTTAATGTTAAACAAATAAAATTTGTTTATATTTGTTTGTTTATGTGGAAACTTTTCTTTTGAATCCGTGGCTTTTAGTTATTTTTTTAAAAATATTTTTAACGATGGCTATTTTTTATTTAAAAAGAAAATCAATAAAAAGCTATAAAAGCTAGCGCAAATCACCTCCTTCCATCACTATCCGCCCCACACGTCAATGCTGACCCGCGATTATATTTTATATATTTCTCTGCATCTCTAAGTCTATAGCATTTTTCATTTTACACATAGCATTGACCACGTCAGCACTATGAATTTATTTCACCTAAATAAAGCTGCGAAAAAGAATTAGTGAATTGTATTTGTTAGAAAATCTAGAATTTAAATTAAACCGTTTTAAGAATTGAAATTGTTTCTTTGAACCTTTAAAGAAGTTTCTTGGAGGGTTTTAAATTGTTTCGATTTAACTGATAAATTGTTACATAAATCCTTCTAGTAAATTAAATTCTTAACATCCTCAAAGCTCTTTAAAGATCTAAAGTTTATTTTCTTAAATTTTCAGGTAAATATATATTTTTATATAAAGACTTTATTTTATTAAAAACATATTGGAAAAGAAGCTGTGATGATCTCCTTTTCTGTTTTTAATATTTTGTTGATTATTAGCGGAAGTTTTTTGGTGAAGGCTGCTGTAAAGGATGGTTCTCCACCTTCTGAAAATTCTCTTGATGACCTTGTTCCAATTGAAGAAGAAGAGAATGTTTTGGTTTTGACTAAGGTTTTTATTTGGATTTGGATGATATTTATATTATTTTTTAGGATAATTTCAAATCTGCTATTGAAAAGAATGAATTTATTCTTGTAGAGTTTTATGCGCCGTGGTGTGGTTAGTAAATTTTGGTTATGGCTTTAGATTTTTTGAAATTTTTTAGGCCACTGTAAAGCTCTTGCACCCGAATATGCAAAGGCAGCTACTCAATTAAAGGATGAGAAGTCGCCAATCAAGCTTGGAAAAGTCGATGCTACAATTCATACAGAACTTGGTTCTACTTATGAAGTGCGTGGCTATCCGACATTGAAACTCTTCAGAAATGGTTTTTTTCATTTTGTCTGGCATTATTTATTTTACGGCTAGTTCTTGGGATTCCCGTTTCCCGGTACTAAACCGTTGATTTTAAGGGACAGTTTTAAGCACAAATTTAGCTAGATTGAACTCATAACGTCTATTCATAAATTTCATTTATTAGGTAAACCCAGCGAATACGGAGGAGGCCGTGATGCTGCTTCCATCGTTGCTTGGCTCAAGAAGAAGACTGGACCTCCGGCTAAGGAACTCACTTCTGCCGATGAGCTTAAAGAATTCCAGGATTCTGCCGAAGTTGCCGCTGTTGCTTACTTCAGTGTATGCACTTTTCAGCTTATACAATATCTACCAAAAAAATTTAGGATAAGGACTCAGCAGAAGCCAAAGTCTATATTGAACTTGCAAGCTCATTTGATGATGTTCCATTCGCGATTATTTACGATTCTGCTGTTGCTAAAGACGCTAGTATCAAGGACAAAGGAATTGTACTTTTCAAGAAGTTTGATGAGGGCAAAACAGACTTTGATGGAGAAAAGATTGAATTGGATATTCTCAAAAAATGGGTTCAATCTAATCGTATTCCTCTTGTCTCTGAATTTAGGTGTTTTTATATTTTAATGAAAATTTTGACTCGTCTATTTCAGCCAAGAAACCGCTGCAGTCATCTTTGGTGGGGAAATCAAGTCTCACATGCTTTTGTTTGTATCCAAGGAGTCTCCAGATTTCGAAAAGTTGGAGTCCGAATTCAAGGCAGCTGCAAAAGAATTCAAGGGCAAAGTAACGATTACTTTATCCAGTCTTCTCTAAATTTGTTTTATTTAGCTTCACTTTGTGTACATCAACACTGAAGTTGAGGACAATCAACGAATTATGGAGTTCTTTGGTTTGAAGAAGGAGGAGCTTCCAGCTGTTCGTCTCATCTCTTTGGAAGAGGACATGACCAAATACAAGCCAGATTGGACTGAAATCACTACAGAAAATGTTGTTAAATTCACTTCTGCCTATTTGGACGGAAAGTTGAAGCCACATTTGATGAGCGAGGAAATTCCAGAAGATTGGGACAAACAGCCAGTCAAGGTTCTCGTTGGCAAGAACTTTGAACAAGTTGCTAGAGATGAGAAAAAGAATGTGCTTGTCGAGTTTTATGCTCCATGGTGTGGTAAGTAGTTAAGGTTTTTGGTTAAATTTCAATTTTTAAATTTTGAGGTCATTGCAAACAGCTTGCTCCTATTTGGGATAAACTTGGCGAAAAATATCAAGATCGTGAAGATATTGTTATTGCAAAGATGGATGCCACCGCTAATGAAGTTGAAGATGTGAAGGTAATCTTTTAAAGTTTTTACTAACATAAATTATGTTTCTTTTTGTTTTTTAGGTTCAATCCTTCCCAACCATCAAATTCTTCCCTGCCGATTCTAAGAAGGTTATTGACTACACTGGAGAGCGTACTCTTGAAGGATTCTCGTAATTTCTTTATTTAATTACTATTTGTTTGGTATTTCCCCTCTATAGATTTTGGAATAACAGAAATTATTCCAAAGAGTTTATTAACCCTTTTGGACAAAAAACATTTAACAAATTTATTTAAAAATATTTTTTAAGTAAATTCCTCGATTCTGGCGGCAAAGAAGGTGCTGGACTTTCTGACACCGAAAAGGCAGAGAAGGAAGCTGAAGAAGAGGCAGAAGAACCAGAAGAGGGAGAAGATAAGGACGAGGGACACACTGAGCTTTGAGTTGGTTATGTAAAAAATGGTAGAAGCAACAACAAAAATTGGGCGCTATTTTATTTTATATATTTTTTTCTTTCCTCTCTTTTATTTAAAAAAAACAAAACTTTTGTTGTTCTTCTAGTTGTTGTTTTTGCTTATATATTATTATTTTTATGTTTTCTCCAAAGAAAATTCGAAAAAGACACCCAAAAGATGTTGCTGATTTAAAAATTGGAAATTTAGAAGTGTGAATTTTTTGACAAAAAAAATTAAAGGGGAAGGGGATTGTTTAAAAATCAAAGAAAAAATAAAATCAGCAACATCAATTATATATACATCACATTATTTATTTAAATGTTCCCCTTGTCTTGTTTCTGTTTGGTGTTTTTTTAAAAAGTTATTTAAATTCCTTTACTCCTCTCGGGTTTTGACTGGAATGTTAAACGATTTTTTATATTTTTGTTTTCGATTTTTGACTTCAAAAAATCGTTTTACATTTTAAATTTAAATGGCTGTTTGACATTGTTTTTTTTTGTTTATCTAGTGTAAAACTTATTTTGGGTATTTTATTTTGTCTGTAAGGATTATATTTATAGGAGAAAAGATTCTGGTTTATAGGTTTTAACCGTCGAAGTTTTGATTAACTTTTTTCTCTTGGTGGTTTTTTTGTCTTAGGTTGAATGTTCCTTCAAAAAATGTGGCTTATTAAAATCGCCCAGTATTTTATCTCGAAACTTCATTGACAGAACTTAGAAGAAACTAGCTAACACTCGGATAGATTTTTAAAATTCATAAATTATCTAAAAATTTCAAGGAATAAAAATGAAAAATCAACCCTCAATGGTGTTCGAAAACTAATAACTAGGGATCGGATTTGTATTGAAATATATTTTTTTTTCCTGAATATATTATGTCGAGAAAAGCCCAAATATGCCATTAGTTTTACGATATTATGATTTTGAACGAAGTTACATTTCGATATATTTCAATATTTTGCCAATTTTCCAGTTATTTCAATATTTGGCACTTTTTGCAAATTATTTCAATATATTTGCATATTTCTACCAAAATTTTGTGGTTTTTTCATTAATTTTAGGAAAAATTGAAGAAATCTAGCCGCTTGACAACCAAAATTCTCAAAATTTTCGCCTGCGGCGCTGAAAAAGTGATATTGTGGACTATTATTCACTAAGTACCGTTGGTTGCCATCCGATAATTATTCAATAGAATGGCGACCAGCCCTTATTTGAATGTCGCCCCCCCCCCCCCAAATTTCTCCCAAATTTCTCAAGTAACAAAAACTCAGAATGAGTAACTGAACAAAAATCCCCATAAAGGCCGTCCCAAATGTTCCGCCTTCAAATGTCCCACTGATCAAAAGTCTCAAAATGGAATATTGAGCAAAACCCAAAAGGTCACAACACATTTTGCCAATCTCAAAATGTCTGAGAGTGTAAAAATACTCATTTCTTGTCGAAATATAAAGCTAATGTGCGATTTTAAGAATGAGATAAATTTTTTTGTTAAATTTCAATTTCTTTTTGGGGTTTTGCTAGTGAATAAACGATAATTTATTTCAATATTTCGCTTATTTTTGCCATTTTTTGTCAATATTATGCCATTTTATTTCAATATTTTATGGCCATATTTTCCGATTTTATTTCAATATAAATCCGATCCCTACTAATAACTTATTCTGTGTATTTTGGACATTTTTCCAGTGCCGGTCTTTTAATGCTCTGGTCTTATGGAGGACTTGCAAAATGTCCCGTTTAAATGTGTCTGCTCCATTGATACAGTATAGATACAGTATTAACTCCGCCCCGGAAAGGGCGGAGTTAAATATCAAAATTTTAATTGTCCACGCCCTTTCATAATTTATAGCAAGGAAATTTTTAAAACAAAATTTAAATTTTATGTCATAGGAGAATCTTTAACCATCTTTCAAGTACCATTTTGTAACTTTTTGCCTTAGTTCCATTTTTTGCTTACCATTTTGTCTGGATTTGCTTGCGGTCAATCGGGATTTTCTCGTCTTTTGTTGGTGTGGGTTTAATATTGATTTTTTCGTTAATCTAGCGCATATACCTCTATGTATTGTTGTTTTGAAGTTTATTGTTAGATTTAAATCGTTTTGAGGATATTTTTCAATTAAATGATTTTATCTTAAATTTGCAGGAATATACCTAATTTTGTTATAAATTTTGGTTGTTCAATCATTGATCTTCCTCCATTTTCTTAAATAGTAAAGACAGATTTGTGATGCCAGGACATACAAAACAGGTTTTAATTTGATTAAAATTTAAATAATTTATTCATTCGTTAATCCTTTACAAATTATTTTCTAATATTCTTAATTTATTGTTAACTGAAATCTAAATTAAAGATTAAACAATTTTTGTTTTATTTTTCAGAGTCGGAAACGGCGAACTTATCGAGATTATTCTTATGAGGATGAAAAACGTATACGTGAAGAGAATCGCAGCAAACTTAAATGTGATCGTGAGGAGCGCGCTAGACGACGATCACGCAACAGAAATGACCAATACTATCAAATGGATATTGAGAAGGCTTGTGACATATCAAAGGTTGGGACTTAAGCAGTTTTCTGATTATTTAGTTTTGGGGTTAACTGTCCACTGATATTTTTCGTTTATTTTTAAATTTCATTAAGAATGGCCCACAGAAGAACAGCACTGCTTCCTCATCCAATGCCAGCAAACGGATATCTCCTCCTAAGAAAAAGTCAAAAGTAAGCAATCGAAATACAAAAACTAGCAATAGTCAACAACAATTATCTACCGCTCAATCATCTTCAGTGGCCGTTGTTATTCCATCAACTGTCCATACTAAACCACAACAAGTAGTAGTCCCGCAACCAATTATTCCGCCTCCAATACATGATGACAAAGAAGGACATTTAATTTATTATAATGGACAAGTTATCGATTCTCGATGTGAGTTTTTTTGGATTTTAATAAAAGATGAGAGGATTTTATTTTACATAAATGATTTTCTATGTATTCTAGTTTGATTTTTTCCCTCTCACATCACTCCTTGCTAGAGTTAAAAGTTTGGAAAATGCCGGATCCCGTTTCGGGATCTAAATTTTTTATCCGGACCGAATTTTCCAAAAATCCCTATTTTTATCAGAATACCCGGATCGGGACCATTGGATCGCGAAAATCCGGTCGGGATCCGGTCCGGGTTTCAACTCTACTCCTTACGACAAATTTCAACCTGTAGGATGTCATTATATACTAGAAATTCCCCTCTACCTTTGTTTAATTTTCTTTTCCAGTTGAAATTGTTAAGACACTTGGTGAAGGAACATTTGGAAAAGTTGTGCAAGTCAAAGACTTATGCCGTACTGATTCTGTTAAATCTGCACCAAAAGCTTTAAAAATCATCAAAAATGTTTCAAAATATAGAGATGCTGCTAGACTTGAAATTAATGTTCTTAGAAAGCTTAGAGAAAAAGACCCAGAAGGAAATCATTTGGTTATTCAATTACTCGACAGTTTTGATTATCACGGACATGTTTGTATTTTTTTTTAATTTTAAATTTTTAAAAATTTATTTTCAGATGTGTTTGTTGTTTGATTTGTTGGGTCTGAGTGTTTTTGATTTTATGGTTTGTTTTTTTTTTAAATTTATTTTAAATTTTTTATTTTTTTAAAGAAAATGAATGATTATCGACCATATCCAATGGACCAATCCAGATATATTGCTTATCAAGTAAAAAGATTTTTAATTCTCTCTTTTTACTTTTTAGTTAATTCACGCTGTTAAATTTCTTCACGACAATCGTTTAACACATACAGATTTAAAACCTGAGAATATTCTTTTCGTCTCTAGTGATTTTGTGACAATGGTAAATGGAGAAGATGGAAGGCGTACACGAAAACCTGTTCGAATGTTGAAGGTTTTTTTCATTTTTTTAATTAGAATATATTTTTAGGATGCAACTGTTCGTCTAATTGATCTCGGCTCAGCTACATTTGATCATGAGCATCATTCAACAATTGTTTCTACTCGTCATTATAGAGCACCCGAAGTTATTTTAGGTAATGAATAATTTGTTTTTAATTTATTTTCTAATTAAAGAGCTTGGTTGGGCGCAACCTTGCGATGTGTGGTCAATCGGATGTATTATGTTTGAGCTTTATACTGGACAGACACTTTTCCAAACACATGACAATCGGGAACATTTGGCTATGATGGAAAGAATTCTTGGAAAAATACCTTACAGAATGGGGCATAAAACAAAGTAAAGAAAAATTTAATTTTAAAGTTTACTTTTAAATAATTTATTTAGAACAAAATATTTTTATCATGGCCGTTTAGAGTGGGATGATCGTACGAGCGGCGGTCAGTACGTGAGGGATCATTGCAAACCTTTAATTGTAATAATATTTTTTTATAATTTTTTTTCTAAATTTAATTTTCTTTCAGCGTTACATGCAGTCTAATTCAGACGCTCATCAGCACTTGTTTAACTTGATTCATCGAATGTTTGTTTTTTAAATAATTTTTAATTAAAAAAAATTCCTTTAGGTTAGAATACGAACCAAATTCTCGTATCCAATTAAGTGATGCTCTTCGCCATATTTATTTTAGTCGATTAGAACCAGCTCAACGTGCAAGTGTTGATGGGGGAAAGTTAAATGATTTTGTAAATGGTGATCTGTCTAATAAAAGTGTTGCTTCTTCATCTTCAATACGAGATTGACTACTACTTGTTTTGTTTATTGGTTGGAAATTTTTGTTTTAATTTTTTGTGATTTTGGTGGTGGAAATATATATTTAATTTGTTAGGAGGGTAAAAGAAAATAAAAAAAATTATTTTTAATTTAACTAAAAATTAATTCTTTCCAATTTTTGTCTTTTTGTCAATTCTTTTTTGGATAATTATTTTTTGAGAATTAAATTTTTTGACAAAAATCCAAAAATCTTTTATTTTGTTACACAATTTTGTCTTTATCCTATATTTTGTTTTGTTTATTTTAAATTAATTATTCTTGTCACATATTTACTAATTACTTCCCTCCTCCCCTCTCCCCCCTCCATTTTTTGCTCATGTAATTTAAAAATGAGTTTATTTCCTTTTTGTCTTTTTAAATTTACAATAAAAATTTCCAAAAATAATTTTTTTTTGATTTTTGGTAAATTTAAATAAAAATATTTTTTTATCTGCAACACTACATTAAATTATTTAAATGTCCTTTTTTTGTATTTTCTGTTTAAAATAAAGTTACAAAAATAAATATAAATTAGTTTTTTCTTTAAATAAAATTATTTTTTTTATTAAAAATAAATATTTACAATTAAATATTTAAAGGATAAATTAAAATTTATTTTAAAAAATTAAATTTTTTTTCACAATAATAATTGTAGGGATCTATATGTTTTTCTCCAATACAAACAAATTTATTATCATATAAACATTCACATTTTCCATGTTCATAGTAAAACTAACAAAAAATTTAATTTAAATTAAGAATTAATTTCCCCTAAAAAATTAATTCCCTCCCTTCTCTCCCCTCATTATTTCCCCCCTTCCCCTCATTCCCCCTTCTACCTCTCCAAATTTTTTATTTATTCTAATCCAACATTGAACTTCTTTTTGTTTAACTTCTTTTTGTTTTTTCTTTTTTTGTTGTTTTTGTTTAAATGATCTAATTAATCGAAGTAATGGAGATTCATCTTCATTTTCATCTAGTAATAATTCATTTTCTTCTTTTAATGTGCTAACAGGTTTTGTTGTTGTTGTTGGTGGATATCTAAATATTTTAAATTAATTTTTAAAAAATCCCTACAAATTTACCTATTAAAATTTTGTTGAACTTTAATTCTTTTAGAAGAATTACAATTATTAATTATTAAAAAAATTAAAAAAATAATATAAAATTTAAATAAAAAAGTGGACATTTTTTAAATCTAAAGAGAGAGAAAAATATATTTAATTAATTTTTTCCTTTTAAATAAATTAATAATTTATTTTTTCCTTTTAAATTTATACTCAAAAAATAACATTTTTAAATAAATATTTAAATATCTATTTTTGTTTTTAAACTTAATTTTAATTAAATAATAAACAAATTATATATTATTTTTATATTTTCTTTTTACCCTTTTTTAAAGTTTTCCTTTCCTTAAAATTCCACCTTCATCCGGTTATATACATAATTGTGAGAATTTATACAAAAATAGTAAAATAAATATATAAAAATGTTAAATAAAATAATTTTTTATTTCCTTCTAAAATAAATTAAAAGGTTTTTTTGCGAAAGATTTATGCAAAAATAGGGTAAGGGTTCGGCTCATGAACACAACAGAACTTATGTTTTTCTTGTCTAAAAATGTGTAAAAAGGTAAAATATCAGTATAAAAGTACTCAAAATGGTCCTCTTGTGCATTTTTCCCGGATTTTCAGACCCCTGAAAATCCGGGTACCATAGGGGGGAGTAAGCTGTTTTTGGGGTCAAAAATTCGAATATGCAAATAATAGCTCATTCGAAAGGGCTCGACGAGCTGAGTTGAATGACACCAAAATCAGCTCGATTGGATGATTCTGAACAAAGTTATGACCAACAGAATCTTCGCTGGAAAAACTGTTTTTGTGCTGCTACGGAGGGTAGGCCGGGCATGGTCTTCGCTACACGATGGCCGTGCTTCGCTGCGGTCGTGCTCGCTGCGCTCGCGGCGACCGTAGCGAAGCGGCGGCCGTCGTTCCGCTCGACATGCCCGGCTTCCTCCGCAGCGGCAAAAACTTTTTTCCGCGTAGACCCGTTGGAAGGTGTAAAAACAAACGGTCGTAACTTTGTCCAATCACGTCTGATTTCGTTGATTTTGGTGTCATTCAACTCAGCTCGACGAGCTCTTTCGAATGAGCTATTATTTGCATATTCGAATTTTTGACCCCAAAAATCAGCTTGGTCCCCCCTATGCTTTCCTGATTTTCAGGGGTCTGAAAATCCGGGAAAAATGCACAAGAGGACCATTTTGAGCACTTTTATACTGATATTTTATCTTCCCACACCTTTTTATACAAGAAAAACATAGGTTCTGTTGTGTTCATGAGCCGAACCCTAGCCAAAAATAGTACTTTAATTAAAAGAATTTTGATTGAAAATTTTATTATTTAAAAATAAAAATATTTAAAAAATTTTAAACATATTAAAGTACCTAGAATTTATTTATTTTAAATCTGTTGTGTAAATATAAAAGTACATTTTATTAAAAAAATTTTTTTTAAATTTATTTATTATTATAAATTTCCATTTATTTTAAAATAATTTTTAAGAAATTTAAATTCCATTAAAATCTTTATTTTCTTCACGTCATTCTGTTATAAACAACTTATTCTTAGAAACAAATATGGGAATTGGAGCATTTTATTATATTAAGGGTGGTGAATAATAATAATTTTTATATATCCTATTAATTTCAAAACTTTTAAAAGACTACATCTACAACTGGCACGAATCCAACATTCACACGATCCAAAATTAGAATAAAGACTTATACGCAAATGGTAAAAATTTCTCTTCGCGAAATAATCCCTCCGAGAACATTTAAACTATAGTGTTAATATCTATTTATTTTCTTTCTATTTCACAATCTTTTAGAACAATCGTCAATCGAAATAATTAAAAAAGTGCAGAACAAGAAAAAGAGCCCTCTAGATATTTGTCGTTAGTAGGGGACAGTTCTCATTTCGGATCTCGGACCACTATTTTTTTAGAGGAAACAGTAATAATTCAAAAAATAAAACAAATAATTTTAAAAATATTCTCCCCAACTTTACCAAAACAAACATATTACTTCAACCTTATATAAAATTCAAAATCTACCATAACATTTTCGTAGTTTTTATTTTTAAAAAAGTGCGAATTTTTAACAAAAAGACATATATTATAGTCTAAATAAATTTAAACAATTTAGAAATTAAATAGGATTGGGGACTTAATTAAAAATTTTGGGCTTTAACAATTGCTTTAGATGATTTTAAATGATCTAGTAAAACACCTTTCCTATTCCTTAACTTATTTTTAAAATCCAATTTATATTAGATCATTAAATTCATCTCTTATTAAATTTGGGACTTAGAATTATTTAACTTAAATTATCTTAAATGCATTAAATTAAGAAATAATTTAAAAAATATCCTCTTGTCCTTAAGCATTCAACCGGTATTCAGAAATCCAGCACTCCGTCCCAGTACGTCCGTAAAAAGTGATGTCATCATTCAAGTTGGTATAGGTAATATCCGGATTTTTCTGCTTCAATTCGTCACTAAATTTAAAAATTAAGCATTTTATAGAAAAAAATTTCTTACAATAAAGAATTGTAAAGATTTCTTCCTCGCTTGGCATATTCTGAAGCAACTAAGACTGGTGCTGGCAAAGAAATTGGTGATGACACAATTTGATGTCCAAAACAAAGATCATAAGTGATACGTTCCAATTCATCCAGGTCATGTTCGCAATCATCATATACTACCGTATACTTTGGAGTCCGAGCAGTTCCCTAAACAATTAAATTTATGTTTATCCATTATTCAAAAATAAAAATATTCAAACTTGTAAAGCGCGATGTGAAGTCAAAAAGAATTCTGCAAATTCCGGATGCACCGCCGCTGTGTCAATAATTGTGCCAGGTTTCAGATTTTGATCTGGTGCCTTGGCATTTTGATTAATCTGCAAAAATATTCTTATTTTCTATAAAAATATTAAAAGACATTTTTGTGGAAGAATCGAACGCTTTGAAGTTTATTGCAAACAATTAAAGTTAATTTTGGTTCCTGAATCCCTTCAACCTGCAATGCCTTTCGCAGAAGTGGAACTTCATACTTAAGAATCTGAAAAATAAGAAGTTTTGGAAACTTGAATATTGGACTACCTTTGGGTATAATCCTTCACTACATCCATTACGGAAGAGAATAACACGTTGAGGAAGACGTCCATCCCTTGTTGATTGAAAGAAAGCAACACATCGTTGAACAATCGACTCAATGACGTTAACTTTTTCCTCACGATATGCTTGCTGATAGAGAAAGTCACCAATAAAATCATATGGCATTTTCGTAGGACCAACATTTGCAGCAAACTGAAAAACCTCAGATAAAAACTAAATTATCAAAATTTAAAAAATATACCCCGACAGCTGTAGGTGGTCCACTAACAAAGGAAGGTGCTTTGTTTGGATCAGAAGCAGTGTCATCTACCGTACCAATACCACCACCAGGATGGTTTGCACTAAACCCAATAATTAACGTTGACGTGTCAGTAGCAATCCTGTTCAACGAAAATTAGTAGACCAAAATAAAAAATTTTGAATACACGTTTTCCCTGCCTACAAGTAAACCAACGCACCAAGGGTATCCAGTGTAACGGTTTCGGGAAGGCCATGAACAAATGCACACAACCCAATACAAAAATTTAAAAACAAAACCTTGAACGTGACAATGTATAGTTCACTCCACCCAACTTTACATTGGTTTTATTCAAAATGTTGTCAATTGTGAGTTTTTGACCCTTTTGTATAACATTCTTAACAGTCCCAGTTCTTACACATTGCGTAATTACAAAGAAACGCCTCTCATTTGCTTTAACCTCATGATGTACTTGTTCCGCATCACCACTATCTCCATGAAAACAAAGCAAAAAGGCAATGTCATTTTTTGAAGCCCAATCATAAAATTGAGCCATGTCATCCTTTAAATTCAAATAGTAAATTAAAAACTGAATTAAAAAAAAAACCAATTTATTCAGCGTAACAATTTCCTTTCTTACAGGATCATTTAATCTAATGCCTCTGGAACTTGCTTGTTGTTGATAACGACGCAGAAAATCACTAAAAATGTTTTTTCAGTTAAAAACATTTTAAATAAAAAATCACTCCATCTCATTTTGCGTTAAGCATCCATGCCCAGCATTTTTTGTCCAAAAAACAAAAGAAGCCCATCCATATTGCTTACCCACGAGTGCTTGGGGAGACAATACTTTATTCATCCTCCAACCAGCAGTATCTTTATTTGGATAAACACTACCATCACCAGTTTGAAGTTCAGGATGATTAAGTTCATTCGCACGCTGAATAAATTTAACAAAATAAAAAAAAAATTTCCAACCAATTCGAGAGGTTTATTAAGCACTTGAATTCTGGCAGCATTCAAATAATCACTGTCCCAGAGATGCAATGATTTTGCAACCTTTTCCATTTGCGCGCGTAAAATAGCTGGAGGAACAGCACACTTCTAAAATGAAAACGGTACTATTGGGAGAAAATGTTGTAGAAAAAACAAATGAACATATCTCTTCCCCATATAATGGATATTAGGACACGAGAAAATAAAAGTAAAAATTAGACCCTAATTGCTAATTGAGTCATTTGCGAAGTCAATTGGTTAGTCTTAACACGTTGATTGTCACAAACTTGAAGAACTTCAATTGGGTAATAATTTTGTTGCTTCTTCCCATCCTTGTCAGTTGTACTGCTTATAACTAAAGGCAAATCCATTCGACTGAAAAATACATTATTACTAGTATCACTAAAAAGATCATGGTTGGTGTAATTGTGGGGAACAAATGCATCAATAAAATTTATCATAAATACCGAAACAAGTGTCACTCTAACAAGTTATTTTAAAAACGACCCGGAGCCAATACCGAAAACAACGAAAAAATATATAGTCTCACAGTACTTAAATATCTTCACTAAAACCCATTAAAATGAAAATCACCTGAGCGAAACCCCATATTTCTGGTTGAAATATGTAGCAACTGAAGTCGGTTGCCCATTAATTGATATTTCTTTTTGAGAGGCGCTTTCGCGTGCAAATCCTTTTATCAGTAAGTACTGCACATTATTCTTATTATGAGTAGTGCAAACCATTAGACCTTAAAGCGTATCTATTTATTAACTAGATTTGTGAAGCCGAAACCTTTGAGATATTTATCCAAATACGCCACTTTAGCATCAAATGATGCACGTTGCATTGAACGTAACATAGCATCCACTTTATTAACAAGAAGATCATCCGCATGGAATGGAGTTTTCTTTGCTGAAATAAAGTTTTAAAATAAAGAATATTTTGTCCCACGTTGAACAACAACTGATTGTAAGCCACCACTTCCAGGTTTGCCTCCTTGAACATTGTGAATTGCTTTGTCACACCCTATACCAAGATAGGTAAGGTTATCCTCAAAAGAAATAGTGTCATCAGATTTGAAACCAAACATTTCAGGACTATACATATAAGAATTAGATGTAGAGAAATGAACGTGCTCTCCTCTAAAATATTAAAATTTCCAACTTTTATCTTTAAGATGAACATACTCGCGAAAGAAAACATCTTGGCTGGTAGCAATGTCAAGAAATTGAGCAAGATCCTATTAACAAAAAACGACTTTAAGAAAATATATTTCCTCACTCTGTTCGCATAAACCAAATCCCGCTGTCCCTGTATCTGTTCTAAGCTCAATTGAAAAGGATTGGTAGGAGTAAACTCCAAAGTGATGGTGTCCAATTTGAAACGTCCAAACTCAGAGGCATTGTGAAGTTCAGAAGGAGAAAAATCAAATTTAATATGCTCCTTGAAAAAAAAATTTAAGAAGTATAAATAAAAGAAAATAACTTGTTGAGACATAGGAGTCAAAGAATACATGATTGACTGGAGATCGTTGTAGATGCAACCAGCGGCTTTGGCCATATCCTTATGTTTATTCATAAAAGTAACAAGCACATCCCGCGTACGAAAGCGACGCTCAGTTTTGGTAAAACTGAAAGGCAAAACCATTAGTTGAAATTAAAAAAACAGGGTGTACAACAAATGCTATTTATTTGTCAACCCCTTTAATGTTAAAAAGACAAAAAAGATGTTCAAACAGTAGCTCATAAGGTCAAACCCATACGTTAACCCTCAGCAAATATCTAAAGTAAAACTCACTCGTCCTTGAACTTCTTAGTGAACTCTACGATCCGTCCGCTTCTCTTCGTTCCAGAAACTTTCACATCGTATCGACAAACACGAATGTTGCTTTGGAAAATCAGCGGATAGATATTTGTAGTCAAATCGACGTCTCCCTCACGAACTGGTCCTTTACGCTCAGCCATGATAGGTAAACCAAATTCAATCTTAATTGCAAAAAATGATAAAAAATGCAATAAAAGGGGGGACAAATTCTTACCTCCTTTTCCTTGAGGTACTCGCGAGCTTGAATCTCTAACACATTTGCAGGACGAAGCGAGCTTAAAGCTGGCCCGGAAGCTATTGATTCATCACCGCCTTTAGACATTATTAAATAATTATAAATATACGAAATAGGTCTTTCGAAATTTCACTGAATAAAAAATTAGTAGAACAAATAAAACGAAAGAATAACAATAGATTATAAGGTTAATTACAAATATAGTAATTCCCTAATTACTATATTTGTAAATTTTACTCAAAGTATTTCAGAATCACATTATTAACGCTTCAAACGAAGTCATAGCCCAAAACTTAATAAAAGCGAAAACTCCAAAAACTATCACAAATGAAAGAATGAATGAAAGAATCAATTTAAATATTAACAAAAATGTAAAAAATTTAAAAACGCCAAAGATTTAGATTATGCCAAAAGGCGGTATTTCAAAAATATACATTAGAGTATACACGAGGACGTTTCAGTCCATGAGACTATTATTGACAAGTTTAATTCCTTGCCATTTTTATTTTTTTTAATTTCAGGCTAATTATAAATTGATAGATTTTTCAAATCAAAATATAATAAATGACCGACGCAAAATATTTTACAACAACAAAGAAAGGTTCAAAATTTTAATAAAGTATTTTATTTTTACTGAAAAATTATTTTAGGTGAAATATTTGAATTGAAGAATGAACTAAATTCTGACAAAAAAGAGAAGAAACGGGAAGCCGTCAAAAAAGTTATTGCAAGTATGACTGTTGGAAAAGATGTTAGGTTTGTTTTTATTTTATATTTTATTTAAAAAATAATATTTTTAAAGTGCTCTTTTTCCTGATGTTGTTAATTGTATGCAAACAGATAATGTAGAATTAAAGAAATTAGTTTACCTTTATTTGATGAATTATGCAAAAAGCCAACCAGAATTGGCTATTATGGCTGTAAATACTTTTGTTAAGGATTGTGAAGATCCTAATCCATTAATTAGAGCATTAGCTGTTCGAACTATGGGTTTTTAAATATAATTTTTTACAAATAATTTTTGTTAAAAAGGATGTATCCGAGTTGACAAAATTACTGAATATTTGTGTGAACCACTCAGAAAATGTATGAAAGATGAAGACCCTTATGTGAGAAAAACTGCAGCAATTTGTGTTGCTAAATTACATGATATTAACGCACAAATGGTTGTTGATCAAGGTTTTGTTGAAATGCTGACTGATTTGTTGAGTGATGCTAATCCAATGGTTTTGTTTTTAAATTTAAAGGCTTTTTATTGGAAAAATATTTTTTATATAAAATATACTTTTGTAATTATCATTGTTCTATTTGCTTGTTTTTTAGGTTGTTGCAAATGCTGTTGCTGCTATAACAGAAATAAATGAGTCTCATACTCTTATTGAGATTAATGCTCAAACTGTTAATAAATTACTAACTGCTTTGAGTGAGTTTTGATTATAAAAATAAAAAAATTTTGAAATTTTTTAAGACGAATGTACCGAATGGGGTCAAGTATTTATTTTGGATGCACTTGCAAATTATCAGCCAAAAGATGAACGGGAAGCACAAAAGTTTAAATTTTAATTTTTATATAGAAAGAATTTTTTAAAAGTATTTGTGAAAGAATAAGTCCAAGACTTGCACATGCAAATGCAGCTGTCGTTCTTTCTACTGTTAAAGTTTTGATGAAATTGTTGAATATGCTCTCCGAAAATTCTGATTTTTCTACCCAATTGATTAAAAAATTAGCACCACCAATGGTTACTTTATTGTCTGCTGAACCAGAAATTCAATATGTTGCACTTAGAAATATTAATTTAATTGTTCAAAAAAGGTTTTTTTAATTAAGAAGTAATTTTTTAAAATTAATTTTAAATTTCAGACCAGATATTTTAAAGCAAGAAATGAAAGTTTTTTTCGTTAAATACAATGATCCAATTTATGTAAAAATGGAGAAATTAGATATAATGATTCGTTTATCCCAGCAAAGTAATATTGCACAAGTACTTTCTGAATTAAAAGAATATGCAGCTGAAGTAGATGTTGATTTTGTGTTTGTTTTTTTTTGGAATTGTTTTTAAAAATTCTAAATTTCTTTTAGTCGAAAAGCTGTTAGAGCAATTGGTCGTTGTGCAATTAAAGTAGAACAAAGTGCTGAAAGATGTGTAAATACTCTTTTAGAATTAATTCAAACAAAAGTTAATTATGTAGTACAGGAAGCTGTTGTTGTTATAAAAGTATGGAAATAATTTTTTAGAAATTTTTAAAATTTTCTTTGGTATGATAAAAAATTCTTCCATTATTTTAGGATATTTTTCGAAAATACCCAAATCGTTATGAAGGCATAATTTCAACACTTTGTGAAAATTTGGATACACTTGATGAACCTGAAGCTAGAGCTTCTATGATGTAAAATTTATTTTTATATTTTCCCTATATTTTAAAAATATTTTTAGATGGATTGTTGGTGAATATGCTGAACGTATTGATAATGCTGATGAATTATTGGAATCTTTTGTTGATGGTTTTCATGATGAAAATACCCAAGTGCAATTACAATTACTAACTGCTGTTGTTAAATTATTTCTGAAAAGACCAAATGATACACAACAATTGGTACAAAAAGTGTTGACTTTGGCTACACAGGTTTCATTTAAAATTTAAAAAATAATTTTTTCCTTTAAAGGATAGTGATAATCCAGATTTACGTGATCGTGGATACATTTATTGGCGTTTATTGAGTGCTGACCCTCAAGCAGCAAAGGAAGTAGTTTTGGCTGAAAAACCATTAATTTCTGAAGAAACTGATTTACTTGAACCTTCGCTTTTGAATCAATTGGTTTGTTTTTTTAATTAAAATTATTTTTTTATTTTTAAAGGTTTGTCATATTGGTTCTCTTGCTTCTGTCTATCATCGACCTCCGTCGTCATTCATCGATCCAATTCGGCATCCTGTAAAGACAGCGTCATTACCTGGAAGGTAAAAAAATTTAAATTTATTTTTTAATAAGAAAATTAAAATTAGCAATCAACAAGAACAACAAATTGTTTCGCCTGCTGAGAATGTTCAAAAACAACCAACTGTAATTCAACCACCACAAGATTCAATTATTGCCGATCTTCTTTCATTAGATTTATCTGTTCCTTCTGCACCTGGTTTTTTTTGAAATTTTATTTTTAAAGAAATTTTAATTTTTAGTTCCAGCAACACAACAACCTTCAACATCTGCTTTGATTAGTGACATTTTTGGTTCGCCACAACCCGTTGCTCCTCCAACTGTGCAACCAGCATTGGCTAGTATTTTTGATACACCTCCACCACCACCTGCTGCGGCACCAACATCTACATCTATTTTTGGTTAATTAACTATTTGAATATCTAAATTCTTTTAAAAAAGATACTACTTCTCCATCAATATTTGCACCTCCGGCTGCGCCAACATCATCTCCTTTAGATCTTCTTGGTAGTGGAATTGGAGGCATTCCAACTCAACCACCACAACAGTTATCGTCTTCTGATATTTTTGGTTTAAGTTTTGGTGGAAGTAGTGCTGGAGATTTAACTTCTTTAATGGGTGTTGGAACAACACAATCGTCAAATGTTGGCCCATATATTCCTCCGTACCAGGCAAATTTCAAGAAAAATATTTTTTTCATAATTTTAATTTTTAGATATGGTTAGATGCTTCTAAAAGTAAAGGACTTCAAGTGGAGGGCCGATGGTTACGCCGTAATGGACAAATTGTTGCTGAAATGAATTTAACAAATCGAGCACTTCAACCATTAGACGGATTTGCTATTCAATTTAATTCTAATTCGTAAAATATTTTTTTTTATTTTTTTAATTTATTTTCTCAAATAGTTTTGGTCTTGTTCCTTCGTCACAATTTAATCCTGGAACTATATTTCCAAATCAAACAATTTCAACAACACTTAATTGTTCAACTAATGGACCTGTCCAAAAAATGGAACCATTAAGCAATCTTCAAGTTGCAATTAAAAATAATATTGGTAAAATTTGGAATAAATAAATATTAAAAAATTTTTTAAAAAGATGTTTTTTATTTTGCTGTTGTTCTCCCATTAAATGTTTATTTTGATGAAAGTGGACAAATGGACAAAAGAGATTTTCTGCAATTATGGAAAGATATTCCCGAACAAAATGAAATTCAATTTACAATTCAAAACACAAAAGGACTTAGTGCTGATGATATTTGCTCTGTTTTACAACAAAATAATGTTTTTACTGTAGCTAGACGAACTGTTGATGGACAAGAATTATTATATCATTCAATTAAATATACTAATCAAGTATTTATTTTATCGGAATTGAAAATGCAACGACAAAATGCAACATTGACTGTAAATTAAAATCCTCTTTTTTTAAACAAATTTTTCTAGTTATCTCTAAAATCGCGTCATCTTAGTGCAATTGCCAATTTAAGTGAACATTATCAATTATTATTGGACTCGGCTATGCCAGCTAAACTTATGTAGATTTACAATATGAAAGGGGGTTTGGGAAATTATAATGTGAATTTTAGAATAAATTAATTAAAGATTGATTTTAAAAATAAAAATAAAATTTTGTTAATTGACATTTAATCAATTTATTAATTTTTAAGTAATAAATATTTTTGTGATTTTATTTTGTTTAAATTAAATATTTTATTTAAAAAATTTTTTAAAATTATTTTTAAAATGTTTTTTATTAATTTCAATTATTTTTATTTTTCTGTTAATATTTTTATTGGTTTATTTGGATTAGTTGTTATACAATTAATGAATTCTAAAATGGCTACAGCTTTATATAAGGTTTATAAAATATTTTTTTAATATATTTTATTAAAGTTTAATAAATATTTTTTTTAAAAAATATTTTTTTTATTTAAAGGTTGTTTATGTGACAGTTCCATCGACAGAAGTTGGTAAAAATATTGCAAAAGAAATTATTCAAAAAAGGTTAGCTGCTTGTGTAAATATTGTTCCTCATTTAACAAGCATTTATGAATGGAAAGGAAAAATTGAGGAAGAAAGTGAATCTTTATTAATAATTAAAACGGAAGCAGATCGTTTAGTTCAATTGGAAGAAATTGTGAATAAAATACATCCGTAGATTTAGAAAAAATAAATACGGAAAAAATATTTTTTTTAAGTTATGATGTGCCTGAATTTATTGTTTTACCTATTGAAAAAGGAAGTGAGCCATATTTAAAATGGATATATAAACAAACGAGAAATGAAATTGAGAATGTTGAAGACAAATAATTAATTTATTTTTTTTTAAATAAAGTTTAATATTTTTATTTTAAATTTATCTAAATTTAGTTCGTTCCTGCATTTTATTTTAAAAATTAATTTAAAAAAGATTTTAGTAATTAATGTTTTTTTTGCAGATTTTAAGACAAAAATGATTTTTAAATGAGAATTGCTTTAATAAAAAATTATGCAGGTATTTTTTAATTAAAATTTTTTCTAATTTTATTTTTTTTTCAGTATCTGTATGTCGACTTACCTTCATTAAACTCCGTTCTTCCCTTCCTGCTGCTCTTCTCTCAATTCCTCTAACTTTGACATTATTTTGGATTACTGGACTTTCAGATTATTTTTTTGAAATAAATTTTGATGATTTTAAATGGCCTCCATTTGTTGATGTCCAAAAACAGGTAAAAGGAATTTTTAATTATTTCCCCTCTCAAAATAATTTTAATTATTTAAAGGTTTCATTAGAATTACTTGGTTATTTAACAGAAATACCTCCAATTAATCTTTTGACACAATTTCAATTTCTTCATCGCCCAACTTGTAAAAACAATCGATTAACTCGAAAACGTTCAATTCTTGTTATTGTAAAAAGTGCTCCTGAAAGAATTGAGGTTTAATTTTCTTTTAAATAAAAATAATTAGTATTTAAAAAAAAAAGAATAGAGAATCAATTCGTTCAACTTTTGGTTCTTCTTTAGAAAATGAGAATTTAACTGGTGGTTTTCGTTTTCGAATTATTTTTGTTTTTGGAAAGCCTGTTGATTCTGTGATGGATAATTTAGAATTAGAAAATAAAAAATATGAAGATTTAATTATTGGGGATTTTATTGACAATTATTTTAATAATACTTTAAAAGTAAATATTTATTTTTTTTTAATTAAAATTTAATTTAAAGTTTATATATTCAATTAAATTTGCACACACTTATTGTAATGGGGGAACTGTTCCTTTTGTTTTATTATTGGATGATGATTATTTACTTTTGCCTTGGAATTTAGCGGCTGAAGTTGAAAAACATGTTGCCCATGAAAGGCTATATATGGGCTGGCGTTATGATACATCCCCCTTTCGATTGAGATGGAGAAAATTTAGAGTAAGAAATTTATTGTTTTTAACTAAATATTTTTCAATAGGTAAGCATATCAGAATATCCTTTCAATGCCTATCCACCATATATTACAGCTGGTGCTGTTCTACTTTCTGGACAGACTATTAATGAATTTTATATTGCCATTCAACACACTGCTATTTTTATATTTGACGATATTTATACAGGTTTTTTTGTAAATTAATTTTAAAATAAAAATAATTTTTAAAGGTATTCTCTCCTATTTATTAGCAATTCAACCACAACATAATCCAAACTTTTCTCCATTCCCTCATGTTGATAGTACAGGCTGGTGGAAAACTTTAATTGCAGAACATGGGTATTCCCCTATTTTACTTAATTCTACTTATAATGAATTATTGAAAATGAGAAAAGAAGAATTTTTAAAAAATTAACAAAAATAAAGAAATATTTAAATGTTTTCTGGTCCCAAAATGTCTGGCCATTATCCGTTCAGTTAAATTGGGCTCCTCAAAAAAAGACTGATTCTCGGTTAAACGGGTTCCTCCTAATTTTTTCATTTTTAACCGGAAAAGGATTACTATTGATCTCAAAACAGTAATAAAATAAAGACAAAAGAATTTTCCTTTAATATAATTTATCTCATTATAATTTTTATATTCATTTTTATAATTTTGTCTAAAATTAAAAATAATTTTGTCCAATTTATTCACATAAACATTAATAATTTGTGATTTAAATGAAAAAATTTTCCCCGCCAAAATGCTGTCTCCAAACAAATTTAGGTAATATTTAACCATCTAAAGTTTCTGCTATTCCAAAGTCACCATTGCTTTTCGAGGAATGTGTCCCTAGCCCTACCGGTTAATTTTGGCCAAAAATTAAATTATGCTAAAAAACTTTTTTATAAAATGCCAAAAAATTTATACATTTTGTTAACAAGAAGATAATTTTCATTTTACCAATTACTTCAACGAAATTTGTTTAAATAATTGCTGATTAATTATTTTTTAATTTTTTTGTTTTCAATTTATTTTTAATAGAAAATAAAAATTATGGAAAACGTGCAAGGCAAAATGAGTAATGTTCAAGAACAAGTTTCAAATGCTATGGAACGTATGGGGGAAGCAGCACAAAGTGTTGGACAAAAAGTTTCTGATTTCTTTCAAGGAAATCCTTTTGACACTCCTGTTGGAAGGAAAATAGGTTTATTCCTTTCCTAAATATTTTTAAATAAAAATTAAAATTCAGAACTTGCAACAGATGCAACAAGACTTGCTACAGAAAATTGGGGTTTAAATATGGAAATTTGTGATTTTATAAATTCAACAAACGAAGGGTATTTTTAAATTAAAGAATTTATTTTATTAATTTATTTATAGACCTAGAGATGCTGTTAAAGCTATTAAAAAGAGACTACAAACACAAATGGGAAAGAATAACGCAACGTATATATTTTTTATTTGTTTTAAATTTCTGTTTTTTTTACTTTTATGAATATCTATAATATTTATCATTTCTATTACCCTTCCCCGCATTCAAATTAATTAATTATTAGACCAAAAAATATCCAAGAAAATCAACATTGAATTTTTAAAATGATTAATTTTTAGTGTAATGTATACTTTAACTGTTTTGGAGACTTGTGTTAAAAATTGTGATGAACGTTTTACAACTTTGGTTTGCCATAAAGAATTTGTTGCTGATATGATTCGATTAATTAGCGTTAAATATGATGCACCCCAAATTGTGCAGGAACGTGTTTTAGCGCTTGTACAGGTTTTCTTTTAAAATTATTTTTAACAATTGAAAATTTTTAAAGTCATGGGCTGATGCTTTTCGTGACAATCCAACATTTTCTGGTGTTGTTGAAATGTATGATGAGCTAAAAAGTAAAGGAGTGGAATTTCCTGCAACAAATTTGGATTCTATGGCGCCAATTATAACTCCAAAACAGGTAAAATCTTTTAAACAATTCTGTGTCAAATACTAACAGACTCTGATCCTCTAATTTTTTAATTACTATTTTGTAGACAGTATTTGTTCCATCTTCCCAAACAGCCCCTCCACAACAACAACAATTCCCCAATTACCCAATTTCTTCCTCTGGTTCCTCACAGCCAACACTTCAATTATTAGTACAAGATCAAATGGCAAAATTACGTTCAGAATTGGATTTAGTTCATGTTAATATGACTGTACTTCGTGAATTAATTGCACAAATGAAACCTGGAAATAATGGAAAAGAACCTCCAGAAGATTTTTATTTTATTAATGTAAGGAGAGGAAAGGGAGTGTTTTAGTAAATTAATTAATTATTTACTAAATCCCTCCATAATTAACGTGTAAAAAATATCTTTTTAATTTTTATAGGAATTATATTCAACATGTAAAGAAATGCAAAAACGAGTACTTGAATTAATTCCAGTTGTTGCAAATGAAGAAGTTACATGTAAATAAAATTAATTATTTAATTTTTGTAAATAAATATTTAGATGAATTACTTTCAATAAATGATGAATTTAATGCAACATTTGAAAAATATGAGCGTTGTATGGCTAATTTTAATGCTAATGGTATTGACCTTACAATGGTTGAAAGTGGAAGTAAAATAAATATTAATAATGAAGAAAAATTAAAAGAAAGTGGAGGAGGAGGAAGTGATTTGATTGATTTTGGTGAAAATGGTGGAAAAGGGAAAAATGAAAAAATTGGTTTTTTTTAATCTAGATTTTTTTTAATTTTTTATTTAAAGATTTTAATTCTGGAAAGGATTTTGAATTTAACAAAAATAAAGAGTAAGAAGTTTTTAAATAAATAAATTTTTAAAATTAAATTTTAGAGGTATTGATGCCGACCAGGTTGAGGGTATTGGAATTAGAACAATTGCTTTTAATAAACTAGATGGACAAATTGGACAGGAAGGAAACAAAAAAGAAGGTAAAATAAATTCGGGGGTTTTTTTTAATATATTTTTTATAATAGAGGAAAATGTTAAAAAGCCTGTGGATGATGGACTTTAATCAATTTTTTGGAAGAAAAAAATTTTTTTCGAAGAAAATGAATGCTTAAAATAATTTTTTAATTGCTTTGTATTTGCTATTTTTGAATGGAATTATTTTTTAATTTTGATTTGCTTCATAAATTAATTCCATTCAAAAATTCTTTTATTGGCATTGCTCTAATTGAAAAGAGCGCACTTCAGCTAAATTTTTTTGATATTCCTTCCAAAGATATTTTAAATAATTTTGACATATTTTTACCTAAAATTGAATATTTTTTAAATTTTTCTTTAAAATTAATGAATAAAATATGTAGTTATTAAAATATTTGAAAGAATTCTGACGGGTGGGGGCTAACACGAGGAATTCCAAATCGCGTAATAGACAGGTCACAGAATGACCAAAACACGAAATATTTTAAAAATATTCAGATTTTTAAAAAAATTCCGATTTTTAAAACATTTTGTGTTTTCCGTGATTCGGTAATTCTTTTAGATTTTGATTCGTTCGTCGTTCCGCGACTTGTCGTTACGTGAGTTAGCCCGACACGATTCTGATATCAATTTGCATGTTGTTCTCGAGTACCCCTCTTCTCTCTTGCTTCCTCCCTCCCCTCAATACAAAAATTATAAAAGCATTTTTATAACCTTCCCTATTTTCTATTCCTCCATTCATTCAGTTTTGTTAACACAACAACCGTAGGGTAATGTCAATGTTTTGGGAGCTGGCATTCGGATTTTTACCATTCTTTTACTTCATCGTTAACATGTTTGTGTTTGTTGCTCTGCAATGCTGTTGCAAAAAGGTTGGGCATTATTCTTGAAATAATTTCTATTTATTTAATTTACAGAAGAAAGTCAAAAAGGTGCTGAAGAGGAGAGGAATTTCAGCAAATGAGAAACAAAAAGTAGAAGTCAAGAAGGGCAACAAGAAGAAGAAAAAGAATGGTCCCAAAGGAAAGGCCCAAAAGCCGTCAACGTTGACCAAGTCAAAAGAGAATAATAAAGATGAAAGTAAAATTTATAATTTTCTATAAAATTTTATTTTTTAAGAAGAAATGCCAACAGCTATTTCTTCGGAACATCAATCTAACAAGGAAGATCCATTAAAGTCAAAGACAAAAACAAAGACTGGAGTATTCACCGGTTCTGTAGATACTTCAACACCAACAGCATTAGCGCCGATGATTGGAGAAATTGGTGGAGAGAAGAAAGTTTCGGCTGTTTTAACAGCGTTTGCGGAAAAGGAAAAAAGTGAGGAAAGAATATTTTATTTTGAAGAATAATTTTAATTTTTTCAGAAGAGGCAGAAAAGAAGTTTCCAATGGAGGAAGATATTGATGACCATCCTGACTATGATACGTTACAATTTGCTGACAAAAAGGACGTATTCAAGACAGGATTCACGTCAAAAGGAGTGCGAATTGAAAAGGAGGCGCCACAGAAAAAACGTAAAAAAAATCTTTTTTAATTTTTAAAATTTTTTTATTTTTAAAGTCAGGCCTGGTGATTCCGCCTATATGGATGATGGAGTTGTCTGAAGGCCCAATAATGCTGGGTGAAGAAAGGAATATGTTGGATGATATATAATATATATTTGTTTATTTGATAGTTATTGTAAATATTTGTGGGTATATTGTATTTGGAATAATTGTTAAAAATATTTTATCCCATAAAAACAAATTAAAATGGAGGTACAATTTCCCCTTGTTCTCTACGTTCAAAATATCTCAATCTAGCTTTTGCCACAGCATTTTCATCATTTCGACGTCGTAAAATTTGTCTTATTTTTTCCATTCGGCGTATTTCTTCGTTCATTTCATCATCAATTGAAGGAATAAAGGAAGGTAATGATCTCTCATTCTTTTCACTTTTAGAATCGTCAGATACTCTTTTAAATTTTTTAGGACTATTACTTCGCCCTCTTCTTCCTCTTTCATATTTATCTTCATTTTCTCGGTAATTTTCTTTAATTTTTCCTTCTTTCCCCGTCTCTTCAATAATTTCTTCTTTAATAATTTCTTCATTTTCTTTTTTATTTTTAATTAATATTTTTTCTTCATTTTCTTCCTCTTTTATATTATTTTCCTCTTTTTGTGAAGTATCTGGAAATACTCTTGCCCTATCTTCAAGTATTTTTCTATGAAATGCTTGTTGCCACAATTTTTGATTCTTTACATCCCTAATTTCTAAACAAAAAAATTAAAAATAATTATTTTTTATTTATTTATTTTTTACCATCCATTTTGTCCAATTCCTCCAATTCTTTTCTAAAACTTTCCCTTTCTTCAATTTGTTTTCTATATTCTCCTGTTATAAAAACTTCTTTATCATCAAATTCACCAGCCTCCTTTTCACGTTCCTTTTTATAAGTCCGTTCATCATGTAAAAGTTTTTCAAGTTCTCTTCGTTTGTGTGTTTCAATTAATTTATGGGCATATTTTGGCTAAACAAATAATTTTTTAAAATTTAAATATTCTTTTACCTTTTTCTCTTTGTCCGCTTCTTTTTGTTCAATTATTTTTTGATCACGGACCTTCTGCATTTCCTCGTATTGGCTGTCATAATCAAAGATTGTTGGGTCTTCTGCTATTGCCTTTTCCAATATTTTTTTGTCTTTTCTAAAAATTTTATGTTTATCAAACAACAACCCCCACCCTGTCATAACCTACAATTTTGTCGGTACTGCATATTTTCTTTGAAATTTTTCATCATTTGTTTCCTTTTCATCGTTATCATCATCAGAATTTGTATCAAAAACTGATGAAGGTTTTAATGTTTGTTTGTCCTCTTCTGGTTTCTTTTGTATTGTTAAACCAAATTTGTTGCCTTTCATTTTAATTAAACACTTTTAATTTTAAATTAATGAACAAAAAACATTATTTTAAAAGATATTAACGAATTAACGTCAATAATTTAAAATTATTTCCTTTTTAATTTTTATCAAGTAAAAATATACAAACAAACAAAAAGACCCGTATTTCGGCAGTGTAATTTAATTCCAAAAAAGCTTTCCATCATCTTTCAAAAACTACTTTCATTTGACTTCTTTTATAACCTTTTCTTTTTGTTTCTGCTGCACATTCACTTATCATTCGACTTGTTATCTAATTGTAAATATTTTTATAAAAATTTTTATTAAAAATCTTTCCCTACTCTTGTTCTCATTTTTAATTCTTGTTTTCGTAATATTCTTTGACGTATTTCTTCTTCCATTGGAAGTCCTTGTTCACGAACAAAGGCAGATGCTAGTTCATGAATTGGTGCTTCTAAAGCTTTTTGTTCCTCTAAACGTTGTTTTTCTAATTGTTGTTTTTCCTTAAAATTAAAAATTAATAAATATAAAAATAATTTAAGTACTCTATAAATTTCCGCAATATGTCGAAGAAGTGCTTTTGCTCCTTTTTGACGTTCCTTCCAAATCTTTTCCAATTTATGAGTGAGTCGATGTTTTAATTTTTTCCGCAGTAATTGTTCAAAATCTCGTTTCTCTCTCTGAAAGTCGAATTAAGAAGTACTTTAAATTCAAATTAAATTAATACCATTCGTTGTCTTCTCTCAGCCCTAAGTAAGGCACGCATAACACGTTCACGTTCGTCTCTATCTCGTTTTTCTTTCTCTTCTCTAATCATTTCCTCTAGCCTTTTGCTTTCATCCATTTTCTTTTGTTCTTGCTTATCTCGCTCATATTCAAGGCACATTCGACGTAACTTTCGTTGTGTAATCTTTCTAATACTCAAATGAGATGTCCGATCAAAATCGACCTTTAAATAATTTTATTAAGAAAAATAATTTAAAATTAAACGCTACCCTAATTTTAGCTTCTCGAATTTCTCCATTAGGATTTTTCTGAACCAAATTTTTACCTCCAAGAAAAGCCATAGCTTGTGCAAAACTAACGTATTCTCGAAATTGAATATAGACTTCAAAGAATGGATCCTATCAAAAATAGAAATTAGTATATATTTTAAAAAGTTTTTTCGAGTTCTAAATTTTTTGGCTTAAATTTAAACTTAAACCAAAAATTTTCTACTCATCTGTATTTTGTCAATTCACTTGTCCAAGTAGCCAAGAAGAAAGTTGAATCCCTGAAATTTCCTGGTCCATCTCCTTTCGTATTGGATCGCATTGAGGAATGTCCACACAAATAACTTCTCCATATTCAGCAAAAATATGTTTGAAAGTGTTTTCAGTAGAGCCTTCAATTGGGTCCTAAAAGAGATAAGAAGTGATTAAAATTTTAATTTATCTTAAAAGAATAAAGGCAATTCTAAAATAACCTTGAACCAGTCGAATGGCAATCCACTTATGTAAACTGTATCTGGCCGTTCTCCTGGTTCTTTTTCGTCCAAATTTTTGTTTGACGCAAAAAACGCATCCCAATCAATGCGTGTTGGAAAATCGGGTTTGGCACATTCTGCTTTAACTGATAGTGGCTCTGTGAAGCCAATAGCTCGGAAGGTAATGCCATTCAAAAGACTAATTGCCTGCAAAAAATTTTGAACTTTTAATATTTTTAATAACGCATCAAAGAAATTTTTTAATACTAACAGTTTTTGCGTTGATGCCAGTATTAACAGTAGCAACAAAGACCACTTCTTCCAGAGTACTTTCTTGCACTTTGAAATCGGATAACTAAATTGATAGTATAAACAAAACTGACTTTTTACACAATTTATTATAAAATCTACCTCAACTTTTCCAAGCATTTTCTTTAATCGTTCTCTAATTTCCCAATTAGAAATTGATTGTCCCAACTGTCGTAGCTTAGGAAGATCCACCTGTATTCTAACTTTATGAATTGGACGAAGATATAAATCCCTGTATGTGTAAAAAGGAAGTAGCTCATCAGAGTCACAAACAAATTCATCATCAACTTCTTCTGTTGGGCCTTTCTTTTCTGTACCGCTAACATCATTTCCTAGAGGCATTCGACGTTATTATATTATATTTCTAAATTTGTATTAAAATAAAAAAAACTTAAATGTGAAAAATTGTAAAATATTAGCAATAAGATTGTAATTAATTAATTTCAAAATAAATAAATTCTAATATTTATTGGGACTAGTCAAATAGACTTGATATGGATAAAAATATAAACAACCATTGGAATAATTCAAAAATTAAATAAGGAAGATTACTGGCAGAAATAATTGGAATGATGTTCAATGTGAGAGAATCAGTTTAATAATATTTTTAAGAGATAAAAATGAAGTATGTACTAATATATAAATGTCAATATTCTGTGTCAAAAGAAAATAAAACTAATCTTATAAATTCAAAAATAAAGATTTCTACAAGTTTCAAAATAAAAGGGGCAAGAATAAATATAATATGTAAATGCCTAAAAACCGAGGTTTATTTAGACTAGTGATGGCAAGTATAATTAAAGAAAAGATTTGAACAAAAATAGTCTCATTGATTTCGCGCAATGCCCGGCGGTTTTTGTAATTGAAAATCAAAAGTCAAAATAGGTTTACGTTTGTTTGTTGTAAGAATATCTGAAAAACATGCACATCAAAATTGTAAAAAATATTATAAAGTTAACCATCGAGTATAGAAGGCCAAGGCAAATTAATGTAAGTCAGGAAAGCTTGTAACTGCTCAGGCTGTTCATTCTTTTCTTTTAACATTTGCAGTGTATTCCCAATCTGTCGCATAGACCAACTATTTCTGTTGACCAAAGACGCCATATTCCCAGCCAAACTTCGAGTATCTTTAAAAAGTAAAATTAAATATTAACCAAACAATCCCATTTTACCATTCGCTTCTACAATATCCGCCCCTTCATCATCAGTATTATGTTCAGCTTCTGGAAACCAACGACTTGAAGCACGTTGACCAACTGCATAAATTGTAGGTGTTGCTGAAGGAGGTGCTTGCCCTCCAGGAGTACGACCACCAAAGACTGAATTTCTTGTGCCACCGCCAGCAATTAGACGAGAGAAAAACCCTCCACCTGTATCTGAGAGTCGACGCTTAAAAATGGACTTACAATTTAAAAAAATTGCCAGCTTTACATCATATCCTCCCAATCCTCTGCCTCCACTAAAATCAAAACCATTTTCACTCATTGGAGTATCAAATCCACATCCAGCAACTTTTGTCACAGCCATTTCAGCAAAACCTTTCCCTCGTGGTCCACGCATTTTTACAAATTCATGGCGTTGCTTTCCTACATTCATCCAGCGTTGTGCCCAATTCCAAGTTCCAGAATTCTAATTTTGTTTTTAAATTTATTTATATAATTTAAATTCAGATACTCTCGAATCATAAAGCTTCTTCAAAATATCATAGCGAATAGAACCAAGAAAAATAACGGCTTCAACATTTCTGTTCCGATCTCTAGCAATAAGTTCAACACAAATACATTCACCTTCCCCAATAATCATATCATTAAAAACCTTTCAAAATTCCAAATAAGAATTCAAAATCAATTAAAAATATTTAATTTACTTCATCAAAACTGTCGATAGCAAAGTAAATTTTTGGATAAGTTATTTCTTCACATTCTCCTTTTGCATCCATTCTGCGGCGACTCGGAGATGGGTAAACACGCTAACATAAATATAAAATTTAGAGAAGAAAAGGAAAATTGGAACCTGAAAGTTTTTCCGATGAATTTGCATATTAGTTGGCGAATTTTTGGTGCAAACAGCACATGTAACAAAATAATCCAACTTAAAAAATATAATTTAAATCAAAATAAACAATACCTGCTGCAAAATTAAATTAAGACATAAAGTTTCATGCCAATTTACATCACGATCACCAACGGAAGGTTTATTCCGACTTTGACGGCGAAATACTTGCAAATGACTAATCTTAAAATGCTAAAAAATGTAAATCAAAAAATCTTATGTTAGTCATACATCATTAGTTATTGTGGAAGAGTTGGCAACTTTGGTTAAAGGAACAAACCAAAGCATGTCTAAAAATTGTTAAAGAAAATCAATAAAAAACAAAATAAAAATACCATCATGGTGGGAAGCACAATTTTCATTTGTGCAATGTTCATGATTAAGAATATATTCCTTGAATAGCTTTGCCCATTTGTTTTCATAATGTTCTTTTGTATTTTCTAAATTTTAAAATTTAAAATTAAAAAAACAAATTAATTTTTACCTGTTTGACTTGAAGATGTGAAAGAACGTTTAACTAATTTAGCTGTGTGAGAAAGCAACTTTTCGACACATTCACAATTTGTTGAGCTATTCAAAGAAAGACTTGGACGAGGAATGGGAGCAGCTATATCATGTTCTGTTGACATTACATCACAAATAATAAATGCATAATATCTAAATTTATAAAGATTCTGTTACTTTCTTGCTGTTAAAATTTTTTTTCAGTCCAAAAAATCCGGGATCGGGAGACATGAAATGAAAATCTCATGCTTTCCCTGTTCGGCTGGGGTCAGAACCGAGAAATCCAGGAATTTCCGATCCCGTCCCTTATTCAAAGTTTAGGGTAGGGGACGACTCAGTATCGCCGATTCAGTCACGCTGTAACTTTTTTTGTGATCATCAGATCATATCGGGCCAATTATGAAAAAGATGTCGAATCTCGATCCTTTCGAATGATGTGAGAATTATTCGGTAGGGGACATTTCAGTCCCGCCATTTCAGTCCCGCCGTTTCAGTCCCGCCATTTCAGTCCTGCCATTTCAGTCCCGTGCCATTTCAGTCCCAGCCGTTTCAGTCCCGCCGTTTCAGTCCCCCCTATATGGGGACATTTCAGTCCCCATGTGAAAAAATAAATAAAAATTCTTTAGAAATAAGAAAATGGAATAGAAAATAATTATTTTATCACACAAAGAACATCTTAAAAGCTACCGAGTCTTAATTCTAGGCTTTTCTTGGGGTTTTTCTGACTTAGGATGAAGTTTTGGTCTCGACTTTTTTTCTCCAAGCAACAAAATTTTTTAAAAAATGAGTCAAATAAACAAAAATTTATCAAAAAAAATAAATAGAAGTCAATGCCTCGTTTCACTTATTAGATTTGTGGCCCTAAAGAGGGCCGTTTGGGGTAGGTTGTTGAAGGCTGTGCCTGATATGTCTTAGCAAATCCGTCAGCAGAATCACCTCAGTAGCAATCTGCTCGACACACATAAAAAAAATTCCAGGACTGGATTGCCTTGAATTAAAAAATTTAAAAATATGCTCCCCTAAAAATATGCTATAGCTCCCTCTTGAAATGGGAAAATAAGATAATTTCAAAAAACTAAAAAATAAACCATGTGTCAGTAGTAGAAACATTTCCATTCAGCGTAGAATTCTCGCAGTCCGAAATTTTAAAGAAAATTGAAGAAATTTAAGAATTTTAAAAAATTAAAAAATTTTTGATTTTCTATTAAAAATTTTTTTTTCGTTACTAATTGTTGTTGGTTATTGCTAATTGTTGTGGAAGACCACCTAAAGAACCTAGAAAATATTTAAAACAAAAAAATAAACAATAACAATCATTGGTACAACAATAAAAACCATTGGGGACTGAAATGTCCCCATATAGGGGGGACTGAAACGGCGGGACTGAAATGGCTGGGACTGAAATGGCACGGGACTGAAATGGCAGGACTGAAACGGCGGGACTGAAATGGCGGGACTGAAGTGGGACGTTCCGGAATTATTCGAATCGGTCGAATATCAGGAAAGTTATGGCCATATACTGAATCGGCGATACTCAATCGTCCCTTTCCGCAAAGTTCAAAAGATAAGAAGAAGATCATTAGAGTCTAACTATTATTTTAATACTTCACGTTAAAGTTTTTTCTTTATTGTCAGTCAGCTATTTCGACATGTTTTTCTCTTCAACAATCATTTTACAAGAACAACATTTGTCATAAAAAATGACCTTGAATTTTGCAAGTCCTACGGGATTGTCTTTAATGCTAACATTAAAACTTTTATTTTTTCCTTCTAAAAATCCCAACAGTATTGTCTCACGTTGACACACTTTTTCTTTTTTTAAAAATTTGCAAGTCAAGAAATAAAAGAATCAATATTGTACTCATAGTTTTATTTTTTTGTTACAAAATGAATCAACAAAATTTCTAAATAAATTACTTTTCCATTTTTTTCAGATTAAAAAGAAATCTTCAAATTTCTATCAAAAAATGTCTGAAAATACCCCAACTTCCTCTTCTGGTGATTCCCCAATTGATGTTGACGAGTTTATGACTGCAAGTTATTTAATTCCTGCTCGAAAATCTGTGGTAGAATTGTTGGAGGCAGACAAGGAAGATGAAAGCCTTAGAAAGTTTGGAGATATTTTTTTAGATTAAATTTATTTTTTCAGATATAAAGAGACTCTTTTGCCTGCAGAAGATGGGCCGATAGTTGTTGATCCGAGCAATCCAAATAATGTTATTGTCAAAAGAATTTCTTTGGTAGTTGATGGAGAAGTTAAACATAGCATGGATTTACCTGGTTTTTTTGAAAGAAAGAAAATTTTATTTTATAAAATTTTGTTTAGCAAGTACTGACTTTACATTTTCTGTAAAAGAGGGCTGTGCCTACAAAATTCGTTTTGAATTTCACGTTCAAAGAGAAATCGTTTCTGGTCTAAAATATTTACACAAAGTTACCCGACTTGGAATTGCAGGTTTTTTAATCGAAAATTAATTTAATAAAAATTTAATTTTTAAAGTAACAAAAGAATGTTATATGCTTGGATCTTTTGCTCCGAGACATGAAATTTATTGGTTAATTTTTTTTGTATTTTTTTTTTTGCAAACTTATGTTAAATTTTTAGTTGTGATACTCCATTAGAAGAAGCACCTTCTGGTTAGTTTTTAACTTTAATAATATATTTGGGTTGGAGGGTATTTAAATAATCGAATTTATTTAATTATTTAAAAATTTATTTAAAAAAACCTTTTTACAATTTTTATTCTCTTGGTGCTTGAAATTTTCCGAGATATTTTTTTAAATATTTTTGAAAATTAATTTTATTTTTAATATTTTTTTCAGGTATAATAAGTAGAGGTAAATATAGAGTTCGTTCATTAATTTCTGATGATGACAAAAATCGTTGGCTTGAATGGTCGTGGAATATTGATATTGACAAAAATTGGTGAAAATTAAAAGAATTATTTACTAAATTGACACTTCCGGTAATTTTTTAAGGGAAAATATTTGTAAAATTAAAAATACTTAAATTGCTTTTATTTTTATTATATTTTAAATAAATTCCTTAAAAATTTTATTTAATCATGGTAAAGTTTAGAGAAAAATATTTTTTAATTTTCTTTAAACTTTTTTCTTTTTTTTTAAATAAACCTTCACTTTTTATTTTAATTTCCTTTATTTAAATCACTTTATGTTTGATATTCTGATTTGATGGATTTAATAAATAATTATTCTTAAATTGTTATTTGGATTTTATCAAAAAATTAAAAACAAAAAGATAATTTGAATAAACAATTTTAGATTATTTTTTTTTCGAATTTTCAAAATAAATTGTTAAAAAATTTTACAAAAAAATATTTGACATTAAATTTAATAAATTACTAAAATATAAATTATAGAGAAAAAATAAGAAGAAAACTTGAAAAAGCTCAATTAATTTATAGACATTTGAATAATTCCTAACACCTACTTTTAATTAAATAAATTAAAATAAATAAAAGTAATTAAAAATAAAAAATAATTAAAATAATTTTTAGTAGAATAATTAATTCCAAAATATTCCTCTTCGTTATTATTTTTATCGTTTCTTTTATTTCTTTCAATTATTTCTAAATTAAAAGAAAGTGGATCACTTTCACCTGCTTGATTTCCAGCAACAAAAATAAATTCATATTCTGTAAAAGGCTCTAAACCAGCAATTTCGTATAAATTATTTAAATCTTTTTAAAAAATTAAATTAAAATTTTTCTTTTAATTTTTTACTTTTTCTCCTTCTAACTCGATACGTTTGAATTGAAATTGTTGTATTTGATAATAAATTAGACAAAGTAGTAGTTTCTTCTATTTTGTTATTTATTTTTAATGAATTATTCTAAAAAATGTGGGTAAAATTATTTTAAGAAGTTTTAGAAGAAAATAAAGGAAAAATAGTTGGTGTTTATCCAAACTTGGGCTAGGAGACTGGTTAAGTAATTACCTAATCACAATATCGTTTATCTCGCTTACTTACGTCGCCTTTAGAAACTAAATATTATTCAATACCAACATCTCTTACTTTTCTAAAAAATGTTTCTAAAAAATGTCTCTAATACAATTTTTTGTTTAATTATTAGAAATTACTTTAAAATTTTAATTAAATAAATTTTCTTACTTTAAAATAATTAATTTGTTGTTGTTGTTGTAATCTTTTACTAATTTGTTTATAAACAATCCAAAAATAAGCAACATTTAATTGGTTTTTATTTTGTTTTTGTTCTTCTATTCTCCAACTAACAGAACCATTACTACTTACCCAATCAACAAAAACTTTTGGTTGTGAAGGAGGCTCTAAATAATTTTTGTTTTTTGTTCCTTTTAATTAAAAACAAACGTGTAATAACGAGTGTTTGTGTTTGTTGGGATTCTAATATTCCATTATGTGCAGTTAATGTATAACGACCATAATCTTCATCCTGTACATTTTCTATCTTTAAAATAATAATTTTTTTCTATTCAACTTAAATTCCAAACCAAAATAGCAAAAAAAGGTTTTGTTGTTTCATTTAAATTTTGGATTATTTTAATTTTTTCTTTTTCAATTAAAATTTCTCCATCTTTATTTAAAGTCCAAATTTTAACTGGAGGGTTAGATTCTGTAATAGTCCAACGAAGTAATTGTTTAGAGCCGGGGATTGCATAATGACGGTGATTGGAAGAAGAAAAATGATCGTCAAATTTTGGGGGAACTTTTGGAGGGAAAGGTGAATATTTAATTTAAATTTAATTCCAAACTTACTCCAAACATCAATAATTAAATCTAATTCATCTGTATGTACAGAATCAACAGAATTTATATCCAAATCTTCACTCAATCCCAAATTTTTTAAATTTATTGGGCGAACAGCAACACAACGAATCTATTTAAATTAATTATTTTTTACAAATTATTTTGAATTATTTAAAAAAATTAAAAACAAATCTAAATTTAATTAATTCTTTAGTTATTTTTATTAAATTGAGGATTTTTTTAATTATTTTTAATAAAGTAAAGCGGCCGAACCAATCCCAAAAAATAGAAAAAATTGAATGGGACTTGATCCTTAAAACTCTTCAGGACAAATGTGTTAACCGATTCATTATTGCTCTACAGACGGGAAGGAAGTATCCCCGCTCTTATAAATAATAATTATCCACTACTTATTCAAAATAATTTATTTAAATATATTTACTTTTAATCCTTTATGTTCTTTTCCAATTTTAGTTAAAGTAATTTCAGCCCCAGTAACCACAACTTCATCCAAAACTTCTTCAATAGCCCTTCCTTTCGAATCGAGTATTTGAATTGCCTCATCTGGAATATTTTCTGCCCCACAATTTATTGTTAATGGTTGCCCTATTTGTGCACCTATTTTGTTTGTTTTTGTTTTCCATTCCAAATTTTCTTTAAAAAGGGAATATTTTATTTAAATTTAAATTTAAAAATTAATTTACTTAAAATAAATAAATTAATTGTTTTTTGTAAATCATCAAAAAATAAACATTTATATTCTCCAGAATTTTGTTCAGTTATTTTTGGTATATAAAGTGATTGACGAAGCCAGCGACGTTTTTCATCAATTTTTGGTTGTGTATATATACTTTTGAAATTTTAAAAATAAATAAAAATATTTTTATGTAGAAGGAATTAAAATTAATATTGAATAAAAGTTAATTTAAATAAAAAGGGGAGGGGGGGGGGGGGGCAGGGCTGTTGCGTATAGCGTAAAATTGCGTCATTAACGGATTGCGTTTGCGGATTTTAAAATTAAAAATTTTTTTTCAATTGCGGACAGCCCTGGGGGAGGGAGGGGGCATACAAACATTACTAAAATTAATTTAAAAACTCCAAAAATACCTCAACCAATTATTTCCAATTTTCATTTTCCCCCTCACCCACTCCAAAGCATTAATATCCTCTATATCATCAAAATCTCCATATTCAACTTCACAATCTAACTGTAAAGGAGAATTTAAACTTAAAATATATATCGAATTATTCTTTCCAATTCCTGGTGGACGAATAGAGATTTCACCTTTAAATTAAAATTTTTTGAATTAAAAAAATAGTTATAATTTACCATTAATTAATTTAACTAAAATAATTAAATAAATGATGAAGAACATTTTTTAAAAAAATTTTTGTTAAAATTATTTAATTATTGCAAAACTAAAAAAGGAAAAAAAAGAAAAATTTTTAATTAAAAATATATCGTCGATTCTTCGTTTAATAAATTTTTAATTTAAAAATTGTCATAATAAATGTTTTTGTTGGAATTATAATGGGGGTTAAATGAAAAGCTTTTTACATATCTCAACAAAGATATGTTGTAGAAAATTAATTTAATTTTAGCTTGATAGAATAAAAGTAGCTTTTTCTTTTAATAGATAAATAAAAAATTTAATAATTCTATAAATTTTTCTTCAAATTTGTAAATTTGGCTGGCAGAAAAAAGTTATAGAGAATTTTTTAGATATTAAATATATTTATTATATTATTTGAAAAATTCACAAAATTTTGACAAATGTCTAATAAATAATAAATTAAAACTAAAAAAAGAGCGGACTCGAAATATATTCTCAACTTTCAGATTCTTTGAAGTCATCGAGGGGTAGAAATAAAAAATTATGTAAAATCGAGTAGATTTTTGATTTTAGAGGAAAATTTTATAGGAAAATCTGTTTTTTAATATTTTTATTTCTTCGTTCTTTACTCGAAGTTACTTCTTATTTTCCTTTCCTTTAAATTAAATTCTTTTTAACATTTTTTGTACTAAACTCGTAAATAAATCTTTAAAAAAACAACAAAAAATCTTTAAATAACCAAGAAGGGATATAAAATAAAAAATAAAAATCCTCTCTTTTTTTCTAATTTCTCTCATCTGCCAATCCTCATCATCAGTTAGAAAAGAATGAAGAAAAAAGACCAAAAAGTGTTTGGAGGGGGGGGGGGGGGAGGGGGGAGGCAGGAGGTAAAGCTTTAAGAGTGGCCTCTTAGAAAGAAAAAAATATAAGAGAATATCCACACTTAACTTGGCCTTTTTTGAGTGAAAATTATTTTTATAAAATTAACTAAATTGGCCTAAGGATGTAGATTGTTTTTATTTAAATAAATGGGGAAATTTAAGAAAAAAATTAGTTTTTAATAAAAATTAAAAAGAAAAAAAGTTTAAAATAAAAAGAATTTTTACAAATGTTGAATGAAGAAGAAATAAATGAGAGTGACAGAAATATAAATAAAATGATTAATTAATTATAAAAAGGGTTAATAAATTAGCTTTAAAAATTAGTAAAAAATCAGAATAATTAAATAAAGGATTTAAAGTTAAATAAATGTGAGAAAAATGTTTGGATTTTTTTAACTTTAATTTAAGTATTAAAAATTACTAAATAATTTACTATTTTATTTTGAAAATTTATATAAAATTATTTAATTTTATAATAAATAATTTAAATCATAGCATGTCTATAGAATAAATATACTGAAAAGAATTATTCTTATAAAAATTTTTTATTGAAAGGTTAGAAAATAAAAATAATTTTAAAAATATTCTCATCAAATAATTTGTAAAAAAAATTTTCTTAAAATTTCATTTTTAAGAATTCTTCCTCATTTCCCTAAGCGTTAGTGGCCAATTGGTTTGTAACAACAAAAATGAGGAGAAGAAAGGGGTGGAAATTGGAAGAGAATCAGAAGAAAGGGGGACGGAGAAGGGGAGAAGCTTTTCCGAATTTTTAAAAGGAAAGGAAGGTTATTTTGTGCTGTTATTGTCCAATCGGTCTTTCTAAATTTTTATTTGTTGGATAAAATTGGCCAAAGTTCCCACAGGGGATGAGAGTGTAAAGAGAGGAAATCTAATCGAAAATAAATTTAAGAAAATTAGAAAAGGAAAGGGAAGGAGTATTTGGGTGGTTTGGAGGGGGTGGGGGAGGAGAGGGGAAGGGGGGGGGGTGTCCTCTTAAATTTAAAGCTTTTTATTAAAGATTTTATTTTTCTACTTTTCTTTTTTACTTTTCAATTTCCTACTAATTATTTTAGTTAAAGAATTTAAGAGGAATTTTTGTATAAAAATTTGTTAAAATTAACAAGAAATAAATTTATTTAAATAAAAAATAATAGGAGGCTTAACACTAAATAGTAGTTTTCGTCTTTATAAATTAAAAAATACATTTAGAAATTCACTAAATTTTTGTATAAAATTAAGAGAAAAAAGCTAAACTAACAATTAGCAATTAAATGAGTGACAGAAATTTGTAAATAAAAATAAGGGGGTTTGTGTTGTTTTTAAGGACAATTAAGAAGGGAGGGGGGTAAATTATTTATTTTTTATATAAAATTAGTACTCTTAATTAGGAAAAATAAATAAATTAATTTTTAGAATGTTAATTATGAGAGAAAGAGGATGCTAAAATTAGTTGATTTTGGGTTATAAATAGTTTTAAAAAAAGATGACAAAAAAGTGAAGGAAATTGGAGAAATTTAAAAAATTTTATTTAAATTAATTTTTAATTTTAAATATAAAATTAAAGTAAATGTTTTCTCGTTTAAATAAATTACTTAAAATATTGGAGGTATATATTCAAAAATAAATATAAATCAAAGGAATAATTTGAAATATAACCTCGGCAATAATAATATGTATACCTACATTTTAATAGCCATTACTCCCCTTTACAACATTGAGAGAAAAAAAAGCAGATGCTCAACTCTCGATAAAAATGATTTTATTTTACATTTTAAGTTTCCGCCTATTTATTTGCAAATGAACGAACCTTTTATGAGTAAATATTGCTTGAATATTAATGACAAGGAAGGATATATGGGTAAAATAAATAAATATTTAATTTAAATAAAATTAATTAAAGTAAATATTTAAATTATACTTAAAAGGAAGTGTTTTTTATATGTACCTAGTAAAAATTTTAAAAATTGTTTCAAAATATTTTATTATAAAAGCCAAAATGTCTTATTTTCCAATCTTAAATCAACTTCAAAATTTAAACATAAGAGAGACTTTCCTCTACCTACCTACAACTTTGTTCATAAATGTCAGGTTGCAGTTCCTCGGTATTTTTTGTTTTCCTTCTTTAATTTCAAAATATTTTGTAGACAAACGTCACTTGTGACGGCGAACCAAATGATGTTGTAGAATGGCCAAAGTTTCTTCTAGTCAATGCAGATCCTCGTGGATTGTTTGGGAACAACCCTAGGTTTATGGGAACAGATGAGCATATTTTGGGTATTACTTTGGAAACAAACGAAGAAGGAATGTTGACTGGAAGTTCGAATCGTGGGGATATTTCTGTGCAATTTGAATTAAAATATGTTGATTTGGTCTTCAAATATGTTGAAGGAAAACATTCTAAAGGGGAAAATGTCAATCCAGAAGTAAATAAAATTAAATAAAAATTATTTTCTTTTAATTTTAGGATTATTTCGATACTTCTGTTATTGTTGTCCCTCAAGTTCGAGTTTCTGGTGCTAGCTGGAAGGCTATTGTACAAGCTCGTTTCTATGTTTCTGAAAATTTTGATGAATTGAAGCTGGCATTTTCGGAGATTCTTTGTTTGAGTAATGATAGTGCTTCTAATCTTTTGACTTTAAATTTTGGACCAAATGTCATTACTATGAAAATGGAAATGAGATATATCTATGAGGTATTAATTAAGTAAATATTTAAATTTAATTTCTTTTAACAGAGCTATAATGAATTGCCAACATTCTATAAGGGAGATATGAGTGTTTACTTTTCTCCATTCAGTTCTCCAGCATTAATGGATAGAGCTCTAATGGCTTTGTATACTCCAAAATTGGGTAAATATGTAAATTAAATGTTAATTTTATTAAATTATTTAAGTAATGTCTGGTGAAGTTATGCCTCCCTGTACTTCTTTCTTTCCTGATTATAATATGGAACGTGAAGAATTTATTCAACTCTTATATAGAATCTATCGTTCAAAATGCCCCTTAAATGATGATAATTTTAGGGCATTGTGTTCTGCTGCAAGTAAATTAGGGAATGAATTGTTGCTTTGGCCGTTATACAAAAATATTGTTAATGATACTTCGGTACGTTCTATCATTTCTCTCTCAAATTCTCTCATTTTTTCAGTTAGATTTCCCTCAAAGAGTTAATAAAGCACTTCAATTAGGCCTTGATTATGCAGCTAAACAAATGTGTTATAACGCTGTTAAAAGTGGGGAATGGCAAAATCTTCAAGAGAAAGGGTTTAATGCAAGAGATTATTTTGGAGATATTTTTTACTATAAAATTGTTATTCCAACAATTATTGAAGTAATTTTAATTTTGAAAAAAAAATTATTATTTTTTAAAGGCTATTAGAGACCAATTAAGTTATGATCCAAAAGTTTATGGTTGTTTGTATGAACAAAAATATCCTCACAAATTACCTACTTTTGACACTCCAACAGATGCAAGTGATCCAAATAATGTTGGGATGTTAATTGAGGGAAAGATAATTTTTGTGAATATTGGGATATTGAGGACTTTTAGCCGTTTGGAGTGTTTTTATTTTGAAAATGGTAATTCTCAAATTAATTCTCAAAAATTCTCAATTTTTTCCCCAAAAGGTGTTTATCATCCAAAAATTTCGAATGATTTGAAAGAAGAAATGAACAATCAAAATCTTCGTTTAATTCAAATAATCCTTCCATTATTTCAACTTCTTTATGGCGTCAATAATTATGTTCAGTCTAATTTAGTTAGGGCTTGTCTTATTTTTGCTAATGATCATCAAATGAATGAAATTGTTGGAGAAATGGAGGAAGTAATTTTTAAAAGGAGAATACTTTAAATTTAATTTATTTTTTTAGTTATTAATTAATGAATTAATTGACAGTCCAGAAAAGTTGCTAAATCATTTGAAATTAGCTGAAAAGTATGGATTGAAGAATTTGGAACGGAAAAGTCTTTGGCAATTAGAATGTAAAGAATATCATAAATTTGGTCTTGCAATGATTAATTTACCTGAATATCAAAAATTGAGAATTAGAAATTTTGTGGAGGAACGTTTGTGTTGTGGTTGGGCTGTTGAGGATGAGGGGTTGGCTAAAAAGTGAGTAGAAACTTGAAATAATTGAAATAAAATCTCGATTCTGATTTTTTTTTTGAATGGTAAATATCCGGGAATTCTTCGGTTACGATTTGAATGAATTATATTTGTTATTAACGAGGCCCTTAATAATAATAAGTAGGGTTGCCGTTTTTGAGCCGGGCCGACGGTAGAGGCATTCTTTCGGGCTTGTTTTTATCGAGTCGGGCCATATAATAATACCCTAATAATATGGCTCATTTTTGAGTGCCACCTTTTGTATGTTTCTAAAAATTGTTAATACAAAAAAACATTTTTTAAATATTTTAGAGAGCCAACACTTGTGAGTTCTTTTCTGCTAAACATTGATCAAAATAGTAAAGTGGTTGTGAAATCTATGGCTAATTCTGATATTATATCAGTTAAAGATAGTTTCATTTCTGACGAGCCAACATTCAAGTCTGTCTCTCAATCATCGAGTACGGGAACTGCTATGTCAAATATGGCGGTAACTGCAAAGTCTGCGATGGCACTATAAAAGAAATGGATAATAAATATAAGAATAAAATATGTAGGGTATGTATAATATTGTAATAATAATTAATTAATGTATGTATATATTGTAGTTGTTTTTAATTGTTATAATTATTTTAAAATAATGTATTTTTTGTATAATAAAGGTTTTGTTTCTATTTTTTAATTTTCTAAATTTTGTTTCTAATTTTTCGCTTTTTCCTTTTTTTTCGTTTTTTACAATCATTTCGGTACACCCTTGACATAATTTCAAAAATAAAAAGAAAAGATCAAAATTTAATTTTTGCAATACTTATATGTACCTATTACCTAACTTTTAAAGTAATCCTCTTATAAGCCTCACAAATATAGCTAATATGACACATTTCGGCGCAGGTTGTGGACATTGTTTTGTCCATAGATTTTAATCAGCAAGCAATTGAAATTTTTTGATTTATTTTATAAATTAATCATTTTTATCCAAAAAATTATATCGAAATGTTTATAAATTATCATATTTGCTTTTTAATATTTTTTAATTTAATTGGAATATGTATAAAAAATATAATTAATTAAAAAACTTTTTAGGGAATGTTTATCCGTTCACTTTCAAAAGAATTTGTTGATGCTTTAAAGCTTCCATTTATTACTCATTATTCCCCATTTTCTCATTGTAGTAATTCTCTTTTATCAATTAATTCATCTCTAAAATATATTCGATATTCAAGTAATTCTTCATCAAATGAAAATGTAAGAGAATATATTTTGTTTAAAAAAAATCTATTTATTTTTCTAGTATTTAGGCCCTGATTATTTTGAAGGACTTTATTTTGATGGAGAAATTCCAAAAAGTATATTTTTTATTTGTTTGTTTAATTTATTTCCTTTTAAAGACAAAATTTTAAAGAAATGGACAAGAAGTAGCGGTCCTGGAGGGGCTAATGTAAATGCAAGTAAATCTTTGTTTGGTTGTCCAAAAATGAATAATTTCTCTCTATTTTTAGATTCAACAAAAGCTGAAATTAGATTTTCTCTTTCAGAAGCCGATTGGTTACCCAAAAAAGTCCGAGAACGTTTACAACAAAAATATTCGGGAAATATAAATAATAATAAAGAATTCTTTCTTACTTCAATGAGAACAAGATCTTCGGTTATTTTTTATATTTATTTAAAATAATTTATTTTTTAGGTAAACAATATGGATGATTGTTTTGATAAATTACAAGAAATTTTAAGAGAAGTTAGTTTAGAATTAGTGACAGAAAAACGCCGGGAATTTGTTTCTGAAGAATATTTGGAGGAAGTTGAAGAAAGGTTTGAATTTTAATTTTTTAAAAATTAAATAAATAAATTTTAAAGAAAAGAACTTGCTAGACAAGCTAGATTGGAGGCTAAAGAACGTATTTCTAGTAAAAAGAAAAATCGAAAAGGGGGAACTTATTTTTAGATTTCTTTGTTAAAGAATAAATATTAAATTTTTAAAAATTTTTTGAAGGATTTTTATTTGGTTTTTTAATCAAATTTTATATTTTTTAATTAATTTTTTTTAAATCTTATTTATAAATTAAAAGATGATTTCCAATGACAGTCTAATAAACAGGGAAGAGCAGCAACCAATTACAATTACAAGTGTGCAATATGTAGAAGATATGGATGGAGATGTTGATAAAAATAGAAAGGTTAGTAGATTTTTTAAAAATTTATTTGGTTTAAATCAGACAAGGGCGTAGCCAGAGGGCTTCTGTGGCTATAGCCCCGTCTGAAATGGGCAAAATGACAAAATTTTGGGAGGGAAATGAAATGGCGAAAAAAGGCGGAAAAAATTTCTCCTACGGCGCTGAAAGCCCCCCTCCTCCCTTGAAATCGACCTCCTGACTATGCCCTTGTTATCAGAACAATTAGTTAACAAAAAAATAATTTAATTTTAGAATCAATCCAAAAAACTCAAAGCCAATACTTGTGGACAACAACAATCTGATAAATTAAATAATGAGGCAATAAACACAAATAACAATTCTGGTGTCAAACGTAGTCCTTTTGGAATATTGTCTAGAGCTAATCGATTACTAATTATGTTGGGAATGACTTTCTTTTACTTTTTAATCGAGCTTGTTTTTGGCTATGTATCTCATTCAATGGCATTAATTGCTGATTCTTTTCATATGATGAGTGATGTTATGGCATTAACGATTGCTTTTGGATGTTTAAAGGTTTTTTAAAAGGATTTTTTTGAAATTAATTTTCCTTAAAAAGATTGCCGAACGTAGCAGAAGTGCTAAAAATACATTTGGCTGGGTTAGGGCTGAAGTTCTGGGTGCTTTGGTGAATGGAGTATTTTTGTTAGCTCTTTGTTTTACTATTTTTATTGAGGTTTTTTAATTGATGAATAGATTTAAAATTTATATTTTTAGTCGATTCAACGCCTTCTAGAGCCCGAACCGATTAAAAATCCATTATATGTGTTGATTGTTGGGGTTATTGGTTTTTTAATAAATTTAATTGGGATGGTTATGTTTCATGGACATATTGGTTGGTACTTTTAATTTTTAAATCTTAAAATGAAAATAATTTTTAAGGGCATTCTCACGGTTCTCATGGAGTTGAAGATATTGCCAAATCAACACTTTTAGACAAAGATTGTGGAACTATTGATGGGACAGAGTCTAAACATTTATTACATTCACATCAAGATAGAGCTATGGTAATGGCTGAATTGGAAGCGGTTGAAGAATCTTTAATGATGCATACTCCAAAATTAAAAAATAATTCGAGTAATAAATTTTTTGAAAAATTTTAATATTTTTTTTGTTTAGACAAAAAAGGAGGGGACTTTTTAAATATGAGAGCAGTTTTTCTTCATGTTTTAAGTGGTAATTAATATTTAATTTATTTCTCAGAGATTTCTATTTAAATTTAGATGCTGTTGGTTCAGTTATTGTTATTGCAACAGCACTCGTTTCTTGGTTAATTGAGGGATATGATTGGCTTAAACTTTATATGGACCCAACTTTAAGGTTTTTTTTATTTAAATATTTATTTTAAATTAAATTTAGTATTTTGCTTGTTTTGTTAATGGTTTGTACAACGGTGCCTTTGGGTTTGTTTTTAAAAGAATATTTTGTTAATTTATTTTTAGTCAGAGAAACTGCACTTATTTTATTACAAACAACTCCAAAATTTGTTAATATTGATCAATTACAAAAAGAACTTTTAAATGTAAATTTTATTTTTTGTATTTTCTGAAGAAATTTTTGTTTCAAAGATTGAGGGTATTGTTGCTGTCCACGAATTTCATGTTTGGCGTTTAGTTGGTGAATGTATTATTGCTACTGTCCATATTCGTTTTCGTACTTTAAAGCATTATATATTGGCTGCTGAACAAATTCGTTCACTTTTTCATGATAATCACATTCATTCGACAACAATACAACCAGAATTTGCTGAAGTAAAATTTAAAGAATTATTTTAAAAAAATAAAATTTAAGATGGATACTTCAGCAAATAATTCAGAAGTTGAATGTGCTTTTGCTTGTTTACCTAATAATTGTAATGTACAAGAGAGTGCTTTAGTTACTTGTTGTAGTAGAGAAAAAGGACTTAAAGAAAAGAGAAGTCCACCAAAAGTAATTTTTAATTTATTAAATATGTAGTTGGGATATCTTTGGGAAAATTTTAAAAATTAGACCAAAAATTTTGTTGGAAATAGATTATTCTAGCAATATATTTTTGGAGGAAATAATTGACAAGGAACCATTTATACCATCGTATAGAGCGGGATCGGTTTCATATTGCCAGTTTTTTTCTTTTTCGGCCCTACCCCCAAATCGGAAAGTTATAGGGCTTCAAAGTTTTCGACTTTTGGAGCGGTTATTTTTCTCTCTTTTCAATTCTTTTCTCTTTCAGAAAGATACAATAATTACAATAAAACAACAACAAGAAACAACAAACCCAAATTTGTCAATTACCCCAACATCTACAGTTGTCAATATTGTTGAATTAGAACAGTCTGGTAGTAATTATCGAACAACAGACAACACATAATTTTTGTATATTTTTGTGCTTTACAATGAGAGGGGGGGGTTTTCTTTTTGGTTTATTTCTTTCACAAAATATATATAGTACATTCGCTTTTTGTGTTAATCAAGCCTTTTCCATTTTTATTCTGGAACGAAATTAATTAAATTTTAATAAAATTTAACTGCCTTATTTTGCTTTAAAAAAGTTTTTAGATTTTTTGATTATTTGAATTTTAAAAATTAATTTTTTAAACGCAAAATTAGGCTTGACTTTTTGATTGTCCCAAAATTTATTTCAATTTTTGGCATTTATATTTAATTTTTTTTGGTTTTCTTGTTAATTTTTAGATGATTTTATAAATTTAATATTACAGAAATAATTAATTTTAATTAATTACAAGAAAAACAAAAAAAAATTTTTTTTGGTTATCGGATTTATTATATAAAATATATTCTTTTTTCAGTTGCAAAAGGCCCTTTCATTTTAATTTTGACCCCAAACTTTCAAGTTTTTTGTTATGTAGTATATTAATTTGTTGGAATATTTTAATAATATTTTTTTAAAATAAAATAATATACTTAAAATTTAAATTTTTTTCTTTTTTAAACTTATGTTAGAGTTAGGAACGAGATTGGAGGGGAGGGGGGGGGGTGTTTCCCATTCCCCAACTTTTTTGGATGTGCTTGGATCAAACCAAAATAGAGAATCCCGATTTTCTGCCTTTAATTTTCATTTTCCGTCCCAGTATTTTTTTCTAAATTAAAATTAATTGCGGAGAAATTAACAAAAATTAACTCTTTTTAATGTCAGCTTTATATTTTTCTTCAAAACAAATCTCAAACTTTTTCAGCAAAATAGAAATCTTACAAAAATAAAATTTACAAAATTAATTTTTAAAAATTATATTCTTGAATATTTCCCTATAAATGCATTACAATTTGGACACCTAAAAAATATATTTAATTTTTATAAATTATTTAAATTAATATATTTACCAATGTTCAGTATCCTGAAATAAATAAATAAAAATTAAAAAGAATTAAAGTTTTTTCAATTCAATTACCTGGCATGATTGCATACAAAAAGGTAATACACAACAAGGCCAACATCCAAATAATGCTAAAGCCCCACAAATTAACCAAGAAAGGAGTCCTGGACGATTTATCTAAAAAGAATTTTCCAAATTATTTAATTTAAATTAAAAGTTACCACTCTAGTTCGAATTGTTTGTTTACAATTAAAACATTCCATATTAGCTTCGTGAGGGCCTAAAGGAATTGAATAAATAATTTTTAGTTGAGGAGGTTGTTGTGGTGGTGGTCTTTGTTGTTGTTGTGGTTGTTGAATATTTGGTACTACAAAACTTGGTTGTTGTTGTTGATGGAAGGGGGGAACTGCTAAATAAATATTTTTTAATTTGAGTGAATAAAGAAATATTTTCCATTTGTAATTACCCCATTTTTATTATTTTTTTAAATTTTTAACATTTTTTTATCAAAATTTTCTTATCTCTATTTAAACAAACCCCCTGGAGGCAATAAATGAAAAGGAGGGGGAGGATTAATATTTTGAGGAATTTGTTGTTGTTGTTGTTGTTGTGTTTGTTGTTGATTAAAAGGAATATTTGTAGTATATTTATTGTTGTTGTTATTTTGATTGTTAGAAGGAGGAGGAAAATTAGAAGTATAAGTTGGTGATGATGATTGTGTTGTTGTAAATATTTGTTGTTCTGGGACTTTAAAAAATAAAAATAAAATAGAAAATTTATATTAAAAATTACCAGAAGGGCTGCTATATGGAGGGGGAGGTTCTGGAATATTAAATGGGGATGTTGGTTGTTGTTGTTGAATTGACATTTAAATTTTACAAAAATTTAATTTATATTTAGATGAAAAGGTAAAATTGTTCTAAATATATTTAATCTGTTATTTAATTTAAAAATTAAAAAATATCCAAAATTTAGAAGAAAATTGAGTACTTTTTAAGTTTAACTATAAAGTTTATTTCTATTTAGATTTAACTTACATAATTAATAATTCCATTAATTATTTAGTAAACGTGTAATTATTTTATAAAAATTAAATTTTAATATTTTATATCCAAACTCTACACTTTCTTGTATTACTGGAAAAATGGAAAAACAAAAAATTTCACTTTCGATGAAATTTTTTAAAAATTATTTAAAAAAATTTTTGGAAATAAAAGTAAACAACGATTGTTTGAATGGAAGTTTTCAAAAATAAACGAGACTATATAAGGGGATTTTAAATTGAATGTATAAGGGAATGTGGAATAAATAAACTGTTTAGTGTTAGTTTTCATTTAAAAAATTATTTTACAACTTTTAATTAAAAAAATAAATAAAATTTTGTCAAGCAAATTTAAATTAATTAAAAAATAAAAAAAAATTATTTTCAAAAATTTTTTTCATTTTTAAAATAAAATAAAATTCTTTTATAAATCAAAAATTTATTTAGTTTTTGTTCTCTCTTGGTTACGGGGCAGGTTTTGTTGTTATAGTAGTTAGGTATTATTTAACGTTGTCAAGGTTTTATTCAAAATTTATGATTTTTTTGTTTGTATTTAATTTAATGTATGAAGCCTTTCATTTTTTTCAGAGAAAAGTTAAAAATGAGGGAAAATATTTTTTAAAAATATTTATTTAAAAATAAAGATATAAAAATTATTTAAATAAAATAAAGAAAAATTATGTTTAATTAAAATTGAGAAAAAGGGCAAAGCTTCGAACAGAAATTTGTGATAAAATAATAATTTTATTTTTAAAATATTTTAATTAATTTATATATTAAAACTTTATTTAATCAGATTTGGAAAAGAATTTTATTTAAAAAAGGCAAAATCAAATAAATCATTTAATATATACTTGCGGACAAAAGTAATGATCTCTGGCTATGAAGTATTTCAACATAGAAAGATTAAATTTTTCCCCAAATCATGACGAGATTTTTCCCAAACTTTGTGATATTCTCTCAATTTTATATTGATGACCCCAAAATATTAAAATACATTTAATTTTTTAATAAAAAGTTGGAAAAATATGGAGATATGAAATAAGAACATTTAAATTTTGTTGAATAAGATTTAAAAAATTAAATAAAAAATATTCATTTTTGATTAAAAATAAAAACAAAATTAGGTACAGAACAAATAGTTATAGCAAAAGTTTAGCCACCGAGCAGACTTCGATCACATACAGGAGCTCTACCACTGATCTACCGGAGCATCGACTAATACTTTCTCCTTTCCCTTTTTAGATCGTTTACCCTCGCCCCAGCCTTAAACATATACCTACAGATACATTATCTGTTCAATTTATTTTAGAATTCTCCAAATAATTAAAGTACTTTCCTTCAAATTACTATAAAAGGCAAAACATTTTTTATTCTAAACTTTTATTTCTTCAAAACAATTTAAAAATGTTTTTATTAAATAATTGCTTTGTCCTTTTTCTGTTTATTTTGTTTGTGCCTTTTTTAAATGCCGAGAAAGAAGTTGTTGGTTATGGTAGTCACACAAAAGAAGGGGAGAAAATTACAAAAATGGGGGTAGCTCAAAGGATTGTAAACAAAAATGAGGATTTGGAAGGCTACGGAAATGTTGAGAATGCTTGTAATGTTTCGATTGATGATGGAGGGAATATGTAAATTTTGGAATTAAAATATATTCTCTTGTTTGTTTTTAAAGTATTTTGCATTACACAAAAGAAGGAACAATTAAAGAGAAAGGTTGTGTTGTGGATATGTTGACAACAGAAAAATGGAGTGATCGTTTCGAGTTTGTTGCTACTGTAATGAATGACCCCGAGGAATTGGGAAAATGTTTAAAACCAAAGTTGGAGAGTGGAATGAATGAAAATACGTAAATCTAAAAATTATTTTTATTTAAAAATTTTTTTTCTTTTTCAGGCTTCCATTTGCCTTTAGTATTAATTTGAATATATTTAAAGAACTTTTGAAAGGTCCCCAACATAATTATGGCTCTTGTGCCTTCTGTGATGTTGTTAAAGATAAATGTATGGAAAGGACTGGATTGGAGTTTGCTTGGAGTATACATGAAAGAGTTAATGTGCATATGGGGCCGAGTAAATGAATTTTTTTCTTTTATTTTAAAATTATTTTTTAAGTTGGGGAGCCAAAAGAGTGGGATAAAAGACACAGCAAAGATGTACCTTCAAATAAACAATCAGAAATCAAAGTGACGATTGAAGAAGAAAAATGGTTTAAAATTGACGAACCAAAGCTTGAATATGAAGGAGATCGCGTAAAAGAAAATCCAAAATGTTATAAAAAAGAAGATCGAATTAAGCCAAAAGCTTGGGAAATTATTGGGGGAAAATATGAAGGAGGATTTAATTATTTATTTGTTTTTTATTTACTTCCACAAAAGGCTACTTTTAAACATAGCTGTTATGATGGAAGTTGTAAAGGTATTATTAAGGAATCGCCTAATGGACCAAATTGTAAAGAAATTCAAATTAAATTTGTATGTGTTTTTTTAATTTAAATTAAAAAAATAATTATTTAGAATGGCTCTAATTACAAACTTTTAATGAATGGGGAAAATGTTGATCTTCCAACAACTTTAAATATTTCAACTTCCCTCTCAACAACAAATATTCCAATTAATTCTACAAATATTCAAACAACAAATATTTTAACAACAAAAGAAGAGGAGGGGGGTAGTGCAAAATGGTTGTTAATTGGGGGAATTGGTGGAAGTATTTTAATGTAAATTTTGTTAAAAATTTAAATCTAAAAATTTTTTTAAAGAATTTTAATAATTGGAGGTGTTATTTTATTTATTCTAATGATTAGTAAAAATAATAAAGAAGGGAATAATGAGGAGACAAAAGGGGAAAGTAATGTTGTTAGGGGAATGTCGACAACAAATGTTGGAATGACTACAACAACAACAAAAAACACAACAAAAGGAGGAAAGACAACAACAACAACAACAAAGAAAAATGAGGAAAGTAAAGGAGGAGAAGGGGGAGGGAAAAGTACTAAAAATATTAGTAATGTTAGCAAAAAGTAAATAAATAATTATGTAATTATTGTTGTTGTATGTTGTGTTTAGTTAATAAAAATAAATTTAATAGGTATTTAAATTAAATTAAATTATTTTCTGTTTTATTTTGTTGTTTTTGTGGCCATCCTTCTTTCCAATCCCAATTTTCAAAATTAATTTTTAATTTACTCCAATCATAATTAATTTCCCATTTAGTAACCTTCTCCTTTTCATTTCCATATTTACTCGGGTCTAGTAAAGGTAATCCAAATATAGCCCCCTCACAAGAAGCAAAAAACATTCCAACAGAATTTTTGTTTATTAAACTTCTATTTAAATATAAATTTTATTTTTTATTTTTAAATCTAAAAACCTTTCAGGTATTCCAATAAAACGGGGTTTTGTTGCATTTAAAATTAATTCATTAATTAAATCTTTCATTCCATCACAGTAAATATACTGATTTTTTAAACGATCCTTTTAAATATTTTTATTTAAAAAATAATTTAAAAAACTTTAAAAAACTCCAAACATCCAGCAGAAATATTTAAATTTGGACGGTCAATAAATCCAATAAGTGCCGCCAAAAAATTATAGCCATTAAAAGTAAAATTTGATAAAATAGCCCTTCCATAATATGTTCGGGGGGCTATATCTGGTTTTGTCCAAAGTATTTGAAAGTCCTCTTTAAGTGATAATTCCGGTAATTTTGTTGGCTTTTTAAATTTAAATACACTCCGTTCCAAAAGTATATAGCCATCCACTTTTTTATCTAAATCTCAGCTAATTAAATTTTTAAATAAGTTATGATTAATTTGAAATATTTATTAGGCCCATTTTAAAGATATGATAATGTTATTTTATGCGTTGTGAAACTATACGAATAGAAATTAGGAAATATTTGACTCTACCCAAAATTAATGCGTTCCAAAAGTATATAGCCACACTTGTTTTATAGGGTTCTAATAATGGCAAAAATCTACAAAAATTTTTGTGAACATATCTATCAATATAGATAATAAATACAAAAGAAATGAAGTGCTGATGTACTTCCATCATCGAGATATTGAAACCCAAAAATCAACGGAAAACCGATGTAGACGTCTTTAAAAAATATTTTCGACCCCTTACAGGTGAAATAAAAATTTTATTTTTGGTTTATTTGAAAGCCCTTGAAATTTGCTACACGATAGCATTAATTTTATTTTCTGAAAAAAATTCGACTGTAAGACATAATGTCATAAACTTTCAGGTCATAGAAATCACTCAAACGCACCCCAAAAAAGTGATAAAAATGTAACTTATAAACTAAACTCATTATTTCTCAAAAATAAATTTTTTCTAGATTATGCGATGAAAAGTATCTTGTAGCAAATTTTAAGGGCTTTCAAATAAGCCAAAAATAAAATTTTTATTTCACCTGTAAGGGGTCGAAAATATTTTTTAAAGACGTCTACATCGGTTTTCCGTTGATTTTTGGGTTTCAATATCTCGATGATGGAAGTACATCAGCACTTCATTTCTTTTGTATTTATTATCTATATTGATAGATATGTTCACAAAAATTTTTGTAGATTTTTGCCATTATTAGAACCCTATAAAACAAGTGTGGCTATATACTTTTGGAACGCATTAATTTTGGGTAGAGTCAAATATTTCCTAATTTCTATTCGTATAGTTTCACAACGCATAAAATAACATTATCATATCTTTAAAATGGGCCTAATAAATATTTCAAATTAATCATAACTTATTTAAAAATTTAATTAGCTGAGATTTAGATAAAAAAGTGGGTGGCTATATACTTTTGGAACGGAGTGTATTATTGACAATTTTAAAGAAATCCCCCCTTTCTTTTTTTAAACCTTTACCTTAGCCCCAACAATTTTAATTTCCAAATTTTTACATTTATTACCAATAAATGTCCGTATAATCGGATTAAATTTAGTATATTCCAATTCTTCTCTTTTTAAAAATGGTTATGTTTCATGGACATATTGGTTGGTACTTTTAATTTTTAAATCTTAAAATGAAAATAATTTTTAAGGGCATTCTCACGGTTCTCATGGAGTTGAAGATATTGCCAAATCAACACTTTTAGACAAAGATTGCGGCACTATTGATGGGACAGAGTCTAAACATTTATTACATTCACATCAAGATAGAGCTATGGTAATGGCTGAATTGGAAGCGGTTGAAGAATCTTTAATGATGCATACTCCAAAATTAAAAAATAATTCGAGTAATAAATTTTTTGAAAAATTTTAATATTTTTTTTGTTTAGACAAAAAAGGAGGGGACTTTTTAAATATGAGAGCAGTTTTTCTTCATGTTTTAAGTGGTAATTAATATTTAATTTATTTCTCAGAGATTTCTATTTAAATTTAGATGCTGTTGGTTCAGTTATTGTTATTGCAACAGCACTCGTTTCTTGGTTAATTGAGGGATATGATTGGCTTAAACTTTATATGGACCCAACTTTAAGGTTTTTTTTATTTAAATATTTATTTTAAATTAAATTTAGTATTTTGCTTGTTTTGTTAATGGTTTGTACAACGGTGCCTTTGGGTTTGTTTTTAAAAGAATATTTTGTTAATTTATTTTTAGTCAGAGAAACTGCACTTATTTTATTACAAACAACTCCAAAATTTGTTAATATTGATCAATTACAAAAAGAACTTTTAAATGTAAATTTTATTTTTTGTATTTTCTGAAGAAATTTTTGTTTCAAAGATTGAGGGTATTGTTGCTGTCCACGAATTTCATGTTTGGCGTTTAGTTGGTGAATGTATTATTGCTACTGTCCATATTCGTTTTCGTACTTTAAAGCATTATATATTGGCTGCTGAACAAATTCGTTCACTTTTTCATGATAATCACATTCATTCGACAACAATACAACCAGAATTTGCTGAAGTAAAATTTAAAGAATTATTTTAAAAAAATAAAATTTAAGATGGATACTTCAGCAAATAATTCAGAAGTTGAATGTGCTTTTGCTTGTTTACCTAATAATTGTAATGTACAAGAGAGTGCTTTAGTTACTTGTTGTAGTAGAGAAAAAGGACTTAAAGAAAAGAGAAGTCCACCAAAAGTAATTTTTAATTTATTAAATATGTAGTTGGGATATCTTTGGGAAAATTTTAAAAATTAGACCAAAAATTTTGTTGGAAATAGATTATTCTAGCAATATATTTTTGGAGGAAATAATTGACAAGGAACCATTTATACCATCGTATAGAGCGGGATCGGTTTCATATTGCCAGTTTTTTTCTTTTTCGGCCCTACCCCCAAATCGGAAAGTTATAGGGCTTCAAAGTTTTCGACTTTTGGAGCGGTTATTTTTCTCTCTTTTCAATTCTTTTCTCTTTCAGAAAGATACAATAATTACAATAAAACAACAACAAGAAACAACAAACCCAAATTTGTCAATTACCCCAACATCTACAGTTGTCAATATTGTTGAATTAGAACAGTCTGGTAGTAATTATCGAACAACAGACAACACATAATTTTTGTATATTTTTGTGCTTTACAATGAGAGGGGGGGGTTTTCTTTTTGGTTTATTTCTTTCACAAAATATATATAGTACATTCGCTTTTTGTGTTAATCAAGCCTTTTCCATTTTTATTCTGGAACGAAATTAATTAAATTTTAATAAAATTTAACTGCCTTATTTTGCTTTAAAAAAGTTTTTAGATTTTTTGATTATTTGAATTTTAAAAATTAATTTTTTAAACGCAAAATTAGGCTTGACTTTTTGATTGTCCCAAAATTTATTTCAATTTTTGGCATTTATATTTAATTTTTTTTGGTTTTCTTGTTAATTTTTAGATGATTTTATAAATTTAATATTACAGAAATAATTAATTTTAATTAATTACAAGAAAAACAAAAAAAAATTTTTTTTGGTTATCGGATTTATTATATAAAATATATTCTTTTTTCAGTTGCAAAAGGCCCTTTCATTTTAATTTTGACCCCAAACTTTCAAGTTTTTTGTTATGTAGTATATTAATTTGTTGGAATATTTTAATAATATTTTTTTAAAATAAAATAATATACTTAAAATTTAAATTTTTTTCTTTTTTAAACTTATGTTAGAGTTAGGAACGAGATTGGAGGGGAGGGGGGGGGGTGTTTCCCATTCCCCAACTTTTTTGGATGTGCTTGGATCAAACCAAAATAGAGAATCCCGATTTTCTGCCTTTAATTTTCATTTTCCGTCCCAGTATTTTTTTCTAAATTAAAATTAATTGCGGAGAAATTAACAAAAATTAACTCTTTTTAATGTCAGCTTTATATTTTTCTTCAAAACAAATCTCAAACTTTTTCAGCAAAATAGAAATCTTACAAAAATAAAATTTACAAAATTAATTTTTAAAAATTATATTCTTGAATATTTCCCTATAAATGCATTACAATTTGGACACCTAAAAAATATATTTAATTTTTATAAATTATTTAAATTAATATATTTACCAATGTTCAGTATCCTGAAATAAATAAATAAAAATTAAAAAGAATTAAAGTTTTTTCAATTCAATTACCTGGCATGATTGCATACAAAAAGGTAATACACAACAAGGCCAACATCCAAATAATGCTAAAGCCCCACAAATTAACCAAGAAAGGAGTCCTGGACGATTTATCTAAAAAGAATTTTCCAAATTATTTAATTTAAATTAAAAGTTACCACTCTAGTTCGAATTGTTTGTTTACAATTAAAACATTCCATATTAGCTTCGTGAGGGCCTAAAGGAATTGAATAAATAATTTTTAGTTGAGGAGGTTGTTGTGGTGGTGGTCTTTGTTGTTGTTGTGGTTGTTGAATATTTGGTACTACAAAACTTGGTTGTTGTTGTTGATGGAAGGGGGGAACTGCTAAATAAATATTTTTTAATTTGAGTGAATAAAGAAATATTTTCCATTTGTAATTACCCCATTTTTATTATTTTTTTAAATTTTTAACATTTTTTTATCAAAATTTTCTTATCTCTATTTAAACAAACCCCCTGGAGGCAATAAATGAAAAGGAGGGGGAGGATTAATATTTTGAGGAATTTGTTGTTGTTGTTGTTGTTGTGTTTGTTGTTGATTAAAAGGAATATTTGTAGTATATTTATTGTTGTTGTTATTTTGATTGTTAGAAGGAGGAGGAAAATTAGAAGTATAAGTTGGTGATGATGATTGTGTTGTTGTAAATATTTGTTGTTCTGGGACTTTAAAAAATAAAAATAAAATAGAAAATTTATATTAAAAATTACCAGAAGGGCTGCTATATGGAGGGGGAGGTTCTGGAATATTAAATGGGGATGTTGGTTGTTGTTTTTGAATTGACATTTAAATTTTACAAAAATTTAATTTATATTTAGATGAAAAGGTAAAATTGTTCTAAATATATTTAATCTGTTATTTAATTTAAAAATTAAAAAATATCCAAAATTTAGAAGAAAATTGAGTACTTTTTAAGTTTAACTATAAAGTTTATTTCTATTTAGATTTAACTTACATAATTAATAATTCCATTAATTATTTAGTAAACGTGTAATTATTTTATAAAAATTAAATTTTAATATTTTATATCCAAACTCTACACTTTCTTGTATTACTGGAAAAATGGAAAAACAAAAAATTTCACTTTCGATGAAATTTTTTAAAAATTATTTAAAAAAATTTTTGGAAATAAAAGTAAACAACGATTGTTTGAATGGAAGTTTTCAAAAATAAACGAGACTATATAAGGGGATTTTAAATTGAATGTATAAGGGAATGTGGAATAAATAAACTGTTTAGTGTTAGTTTTCATTTAAAAAATTATTTTACAACTTTTAATTAAAAAAATAAATAAAATTTTGTCAAGCAAATTTAAATTAATTAAAAAATAAAAAAAAATTATTTTCAAAAATTTTTTTCATTTTTAAAATAAAATAAAATTCTTTTATAAATCAAAAATTTATTTAGTTTTTGTTCTCTCTTGGTTACGGGGCAGGTTTTGTTGTTATAGTAGTTAGGTATTATTTAACGTTGTCAAGGTTTTATTCAAAATTTATGATTTTTTTGTTTGTATTTAATTTAATGTATGAAGCCTTTCATTTTTTTCAGAGAAAAGTTAAAAATGAGGGAAAATATTTTTTAAAAATATTTATTTAAAAATAAAGATATAAAAATTATTTAAATAAAATAAAGAAAAATTATGTTTAATTAAAATTGAGAAAAAGGGCAAAGCTTCGAACAGAAATTTGTGATAAAATAATAATTTTATTTTTAAAATATTTTAATTAATTTATATATTAAAACTTTATTTAATCAGATTTGGAAAAGAATTTTATTTAAAAAAGGCAAAATCAAATAAATCATTTAATATATACTTGCGGACAAAAGTAATGATCTCTGGCTATGAAGTATTTCAACATAGAAAGATTAAATTTTTCCCCAAATCATGACGAGATTTTTCCCAAACTTTGTGATATTCTCTCAATTTTATATTGATGACCCCAAAATATTAAAATACATTTAATTTTTTAATAAAAAGTTGGAAAAATATGGAGATATGAAATAAGAACATTTAAATTTTGTTGAATAAGATTTAAAAAATTAAATAAAAAATATTCATTTTTGATTAAAAATAAAAACAAAATTAGGTACAGAACAAATAGTTATAGCAAAAGTTTAGCCACCGAGCAGACTTCGATCACATACAGGAGCTCTACCACTGATCTACCGGAGCATCGACTAATACTTTCTCCTTTCCCTTTTTAGATCGTTTACCCTCGCCCCAGCCTTAAACATATACCTACAGATACATTATCTGTTCAATTTATTTTAGAATTCTCCAAATAATTAAAGTACTTTCCTTCAAATTACTATAAAAGGCAAAACATTTTTTATTCTAAACTTTTATTTCTTCAAAACAATTTAAAAATGTTTTTATTAAATAATTGCTTTGTCCTTTTTCTGTTTATTTTGTTTGTGCCTTTTTTAAATGCCGAGAAAGAAGTTGTTGGTTATGGTAGTCACACAAAAGAAGGGGAGAAAATTACAAAAATGGGGGTAGCTCAAAGGATTGTAAACAAAAATGAGGATTTGGAAGGCTACGGAAATGTTGAGAATGCTTGTAATGTTTCGATTGATGATGGAGGGAATATGTAAATTTTGGAATTAAAATATATTCTCTTGTTTGTTTTTAAAGTATTTTGCATTACACAAAAGAAGGAACAATTAAAGAGAAAGGTTGTGTTGTGGATATGTTGACAACAGAAAAATGGAGTGATCGTTTCGAGTTTGTTGCTACTGTAATGAATGACCCCGAGGAATTGGGAAAATGTTTAAAACCAAAGTTGGAGAGTGGAATGAATGAAAATACGTAAATCTAAAAATTATTTTTATTTAAAAATTTTTTTTCTTTTTCAGGCTTCCATTTGCCTTTAGTATTAATTTGAATATATTTAAAGAACTTTTGAAAGGTCCCCAACATAATTATGGCTCTTGTGCCTTCTGTGATGTTGTTAAAGATAAATGTATGGAAAGGACTGGATTGGAGTTTGCTTGGAGTATACATGAAAGAGTTAATGTGCATATGGGGCCGAGTAAATGAATTTTTTTCTTTTATTTTAAAATTATTTTTTAAGTTGGGGAGCCAAAAGAGTGGGATAAAAGACACAGCAAAGATGTACCTTCAAATAAACAATCAGAAATCAAAGTGACGATTGAAGAAGAAAAATGGTTTAAAATTGACGAACCAAAGCTTGAATATGAAGGAGATCGCGTAAAAGAAAATCCAAAATGTTATAAAAAAGAAGATCGAATTAAGCCAAAAGCTTGGGAAATTATTGGGGGAAAATATGAAGGAGGATTTAATTATTTATTTGTTTTTTATTTACTTCCACAAAAGGCTACTTTTAAACATAGCTGTTATGATGGAAGTTGTAAAGGTATTATTAAGGAATCGCCTAATGGACCAAATTGTAAAGAAATTCAAATTAAATTTGTATGTGTTTTTTTAATTTAAATTAAAAAAATAATTATTTAGAATGGCTCTAATTACAAACTTTTAATGAATGGGGAAAATGTTGATCTTCCAACAACTTTAAATATTTCAACTTCCCTCTCAACAACAAATATTCCAATTAATTCTACAAATATTCAAACAACAAATATTTTAACAACAAAAGAAGAGGAGGGGGGTAGTGCAAAATGGTTGTTAATTGGGGGAATTGGTGGAAGTATTTTAATGTAAATTTTGTTAAAAATTTAAATCTAAAAATTTTTTTAAAGAATTTTAATAATTGGAGGTGTTATTTTATTTATTCTAATGATTAGTAAAAATAATAAAGAAGGGAATAATGAGGAGACAAAAGGGGAAAGTAATGTTGTTAGGGGAATGTCGACAACAAATGTTGGAATGACTACAACAACAACAAAAAACACAACAAAAGGAGGAAAGACAACAACAACAACAACAAAGAAAAATGAGGAAAGTAAAGGAGGAGAAGGGGGAGGGAAAAGTACTAAAAATATTAGTAATGTTAGCAAAAAGTAAATAAATAATTATGTAATTATTGTTGTTGTATGTTGTGTTTAGTTAATAAAAATAAATTTAATAGGTATTTAAATTAAATTAAATTATTTTCTGTTTTATTTTGTTGTTTTTGTGGCCATCCTTCTTTCCAATCCCAATTTTCAAAATTAATTTTTAATTTACTCCAATCATAATTAATTTCCCATTTAGTAACCTTCTCCTTTTCATTTCCATATTTACTCGGGTCTAGTAAAGGTAATCCAAATATAGCCCCCTCACAAGAAGCAAAAAACATTCCAACAGAATTTTTGTTTATTAAACTTCTATTTAAATATAAATTTTATTTTTTATTTTTAAATCTAAAAACCTTTCAGGTATTCCAATAAAACGGGGTTTTGTTGCATTTAAAATTAATTCATTAATTAAATCTTTCATTCCATCACAGTAAATATACTGATTTTTTAAACGATCCTTTTAAATATTTTTATTTAAAAAATAATTTAAAAAACTTTAAAAAACTCCAAACATCCAGCAGAAATATTTAAATTTGGACGGTCAATAAATCCAATAAGTGCCGCCAAAAAATTATAGCCATTAAAAGTAAAATTTGATAAAATAGCCCTTCCATAATATGTTCGGGGGGCTATATCTGGTTTTGTCCAAAGTATTTGAAAGTCCTCTTTAAGTGATAATTCCGGTAATTTTGTTGGCTTTTTAAATTTAAATATGTATTATTGACAATTTTAAAGAAATCCCCCCTTTCTTTTTTTAAACCTTTACCTTAGCCCCAACAATTTTAATTTCCAAATTTTTACATTTATTACCAATAAATGTCCGTATAATCGGATTAAATTTAGTATATTCCAATTCTTCTCTTTTTAAAAATTCTTTAGGTCTTAACCACGCCCACTCTAACGGTAATTGCCACAAACCCAAATTTTCATCTTTAAACGACTTTCCATTCCTTAATTTTTCCATTTTTGGGCGAAATTCTTCATCATTTAATAAAATATTTTTTCCATTTTTGTCAGAAGAAATTAAAGCTTTTAAAGGCGATTTAAAGTTTATATGTAAATAAAATGTTCTGTTTGTTGGTAATTCAAAATTATATAAAGTTTGACTGAAAAAAATAATCAGATATTTATTTTTATTTCTTCTTACTTTTTTTTATTTCCATAAGAAAAACGTAAACTAATATTTTCTTTTTTAGTTAAAAAATCTTTTTTAATATTAAATTCAATAGCATGCCAAAAAGTTTTCCCAACACCTTTTAATGTACATTTTGAGGCTAGTTGGTTTCCATCACATTTACGATTTTCAATCTTTTATTTTTAATTAAATTTAATTTTTAAATTAATTAATTTACTTGATATACTGGATTAATTTTAATAAAATTAGGGTCAAGTCGACTAACAAAACAAATAATAAATCTTTTAAAGAAATTTTAAAATAAATTTTAATTTTTAACAAAAAACTTTTCACAAAACAAATTTTCGGGCAAATAAAAACGTAAAGCAAAATTTCCATAAGAATGAGAACATTTTGGTGATTGGGTAGTAATTAATGAATCAACAAATTCAAGTTTATTAATTTTTGAAAGTCCTTTTTCTGTTTGACTTAAATTTATTTTTAAGAATTTTTTAGTAATTATTTTCTTAATTTTAATTATTTTTAAATACTTTTTAAAACTTTGTAAAATTTTTACAAAATATTTAAAAATAAATTTACAATTCAAAACTTTCTGTATCAGCAAAACAAAAATTTAAATAAAAAATAATACATAAAAATAAAATTTTAATAATCATTTTTTAGTGAAAACTTAAAAAACAAAAAAATTAATTTAACTAATCTACTTTTAAATTTATTTTAAATAATATTTAGTTGTAAATTTTATGTCAGCAGTTTAGCGGTAATTTTTTAAATAAATTAAAAATAATTTTTATATTAATATTTTCTCTTTTTTTTAGTTGATGATTAATTTTTAAAAAATGATTATTCATTTAATTAAAAAAACAAAAATATTTAAATATGAGAAGCAAAAACAGCGAGACCCGTGTCTCTACTATACAATAAAACTGAAATAATTAAATTTGTTTGGAGCAAAAATAAAAATACTAAATTAAAGAGAGATAATCAAAAATAAATTGAGAGTATTTTTTAAATTAAAAAATATTTATATATTGCATATTTTGTTCATTTTCTTCTTTTTATTTTCTTTTATATTTTCAATTATTGGCAAGTTCACCGCTGACATTCTTAACAAAATATTTATTTTTATTTATTTTTTAACAAAATTTTAATAAATACCCAAAAATAAATTAAAGCCAAATTTTATTTAAAAATAAGAAATTGGGATAAATATTCCGAAAAATATGTTAAGAAATTATTGTTTACTCAAAGGGTAAATTATTATGAAAAAAGGACTTTTCATAATATTTTCTAATATTTTTCAATTCCATCTATCTGACTAAAAAATATTTTAAAAACAGAATTTCCTTACAAAAAACCTTTTCAATAACCCCACTCACTCAAAATTAAAAATATTTTCAGGCTAATTTCCTTCCTTTTATCCCAAAAATATTAAAATTTAAATGGCTTTAAATTACTCAAAATTATTTTTAAAACAAACAAAAAAATAAATAATTTAATGAAATAAACGTCTTCTTGCTTTATTAAAATTCCAATTCGAACCTCCATCATAGTCATCATCCATAGAACTCCCCAAATTAACTGTTGGCGAATTTAATTGTTGGGTTGTTGTTTTTAATTGATTTTGTTGTCTATTAACAATTCCTCCTTTTTCAACTCTCATTTTATTATTTAATTGAATATTTCCATTATTATTTGTAGTAGATGGACCGGCAATATTTTCTTCATTCGGAATTGGTTTATAAGCTGATGAATGGATTTTAAATCCAAATAATCTTTAATTAATTTTATTTTTCTTTAAAATTTATCTAGAAAAAATACTTTGGATGATAACTTTTAAATGGCGGTCTTGGACGTAAATGAGGATGGACAAAAAATAACATTTGAGGAAATCCAGTCCCAAAATAAGCTCCATCCGCTCGACGCTGTCTTGTTGAACGCGGTAAATAAATATCGCAACAACGAGGACAGTAAAGACGAACAGAACCTTCACCAACGATATCTGACATGCCTCAAATAAAATTATTTTAAAGAATATTTTACAAAATAAAATTACCTATAGGCAGTACAGCCTGATTTTCACAGAAAACACGTGGACAGTTTCCAAAATCCTTAAACAAAGAATTTTTAAAGAAAATCTTTTAAAGTAAAAAACCTCATTTTGCCATTTTTCAATCATTTGCTCAATTCCCTAAATTTGTTTATAATTTAAAAGAAACTGAAAGAAAAACAAACTCGATTTGTAAGAATATAACGAGCATGAATTAAACCATAAAGCAACTGAAAGGGGAATAATTTAAATTTCTTAAATTGAAAATATGTAAAAGAAAAAAAATATTCAACATGATAAAACTTAAAAACCTCAGCAGCTTGTTCCACCAAATCAGCCTGTGCATCATCATGCTCCTCCTCTTCAGGTTCCAAATCAAGAATCATATCAAGTGCTTGACGAAAATAAGGTACTTGTTCAACCAAACCAGTCAAATTAAAACGGTCTTGAATATATTCGTCATCAACCTTTTAAAATTTTTAAGAAAGCTGCCAATAATTAAAAAGCCCTACCTCACAATAAAATTGATTTCCACGTAATCCACAATACCAGGTAATCCAAGAAATTTCCTCTGAACTGTTGCTCATTATTTTAAAAAATTATATATTTTTTTAACCTTAAACTAATAAAGAAAATAAATCTTAAATTTAAAAAAAATAAAAAGAAATTCAAACTCAAAAGAAAATAATTGCTTGAAAATACCATTTAATACCCAAAATTAATAATAATAAGCATAATAACAAAACAATAAAAAATATATTGTGACATTAAAATAAAACCAAAAACAAACATAAAATATAATTATCGAAAGTCAATCAAAAATTTTGAGAGAAAACAAAAGAAGATTGAAAACAAATTTAAGAGCAGATAAATGGTCAAAAAAGGTACCAAAAAGGAAAACCCATTTACCTAAATAAATCAATTAAAATTAATTGATGAATGAGAATAATAAAGAGAATTGCCAGATTTTGTAGTTTGAGTTGAGAATTTTTTTAAAGACTTAACAAAAAACGTGGATTCTAATTTAGTCATAATTTAATAAATACTCATCGAAAAATAATTATAAAAAAAATTTCAATCCGGCAACCCAAGAAAAGAAAAAAACAAAAAACATTATTCCTGGAATGGTTACTACAACCAACATTTACTTAATATATAAATAAAAGCCAATTCAAAGTTCTTCCTTTTTATCTTCTTTAGTGTCAACTTCTTTCTGACCTTCCTTTTTATTATCGTCAACATCCATTTTCATATCAGTTCCATTAATCTTTGAAGCCTCATCATTTTCCATCTTCTTCTCCTCTAATTTAATACCTAAAAATAAAATTAGCTAATCCTCAAATTAATTTTCTACCGTCCTCTTTCTTTAAATCACCTTCTTCTCCACCCTCCTTTATTTTTGCCTCCTCCCCTTCAGGACTAATTTCAGCTTCTATCTTCTCTCCTTCATCTTCACCAGCAGCAACAGCCTTTGCCTCTTCCTCCGCCTTTAATTTAGCTTCAGCCTCTTCTGCTGCCTTCTTTGCAGCACGTTCAGCTTCTTCCTTTACGCGAAGAGCAGTGAGAACTTTATTGAAGAGAAATTTGGTTTCCCGAGTTAACAAAGAAGACTGAAAGTTTGAAAAATAGTTATTTAATAAAAAAAAATAAAAAACTTTAGTTTTTAAATCATCAGTAGAGAAAGAAGCATCTTTATTATCAGGCAATTTCTCAACTTCCTTTTTGGCAGACTGGAAGAAATTCCTAAGATCAGCAATTTGTTTACTATAAGTTTCCAATTCTCCTCCAATAAAAACTTCAGTCATATTACGGAAAACTAAAAATTGTTTGTCTGCATCGTCCAATGCAGCCTCTAAAGTCTTCATATGTTGAGGACGTTCCTTTAATTGGTATTTAATTTTTATTTTGTATTAAATTTCAAAAAACCTCCTTTTGCTGTTTCCTTTTCTGAATCTTTTTGACAGGTTTAGTCAATTCTCTCTTTCGATCTTTAAACTGTTTAGCATCAGTTTCAGAAGGAACATCTTCAAGCCATTCACGTAATTCTGCAACTCTCTTTCCAATATCTTTAAGTTCTTCTTCAGTTCCATATTTAATAAACTCCTCTTCATTTTCATCAAGTTTTGAAGCATAATCGAAAACTGTAGACTCCAAAGAATTTAAGGCAACATCTCTCTCAACTTTAGCCTTCTCGCGTTTCTCAAATTCTGTTAAACTAAAAAATAAATTATCAAATAACTTAAAACTAAAAATATTTCAAACAGTTTTTTCGCTTCAGCAATTTCATTGTCACTCATTTGCTTTGGCAAAATTGTTTCGTCAACTTCCATCTTTTCTTCTTTTTGTGCTTCATCAGTTATATTCAAAGGCTTTGATGGTTGAATGTCAAAAAGATCAAAACGGCGTTTGATAATAAAAACTTTGGAATCAAGAGCAGCTTGATAAATGGCTCCAAGAGCAACAGCCTCATCCGTATTCAAATTACGGCTTAGTTGTTTACTAAAATAAGTTAATTTAATGATAGAATTGAGTGTTTAATTAAGGAAATTATTTGAATAAGGAAATTAGGATCTAAATGATAAACTTTTTCAAATAAACTGGTCTACCCCCAAATATTACCTGAATTATTTACGATAAAATTTACCCATCAAAGAATTTTGTAAGCATTTCTTGAATTTTAGGAACACGTGTACCAGCACCCATTAACAAAATTTTGTCCAATTTGTCTACTTCAATTTTTGCCATTTCTAATCCATTTTTAATTGGTAACATATAACGTTCTTCGAATTCAGCAAACATTTCTTCCAATTGTTCTCGAGTAATTTTTGTACGAAAATCAAGGTCTTGAAATACACTTTCAATTTGAGCAAAAGTTTCCGTGTTGGCTGATAAAACCTTTAAGAATTTTCTAGAAAAAAATTCAAAATTATCTCAAAACCTGTTTAACTTTTCCAGCCTCTTTCAACAACTTAGCCATAGCTTGAGGATTTTCAGCTATATCATCTTTAAGATTTGAATGTTGTTTTCGAAACTGTTCTATTAAATAATCCCGAACTTTAAGTGTCAAATGCAGTCCTCCCAAATTAGCATCAAAACCATGACCAACAACTTCCAAACGAGGTTGAGGCTCTCCAGAAGTTTTTGTCGTGGTTGCAGGCGCCGTTTTGTTTGTTTCAGCGCTAGATGTTTCAGTGCTGTTGGTTTCCTGGGTAGGAATCTGCAACGATTCGTTGTAGAGTTGGAGACGAACTAAAGTTGATTGAACTTTTGTCGAGCCAACATCGTAAATTAAATGGGTCTAAAAATTATAAAAGCGATTAAATAAAAATTAAAAATATAAAAATTACACTAGGCTGTTCAGTAATATCTTTAAAATGGAAAACTCCATAATTCAAAGCAGCAGAAGCACCAGCACTCAACAAACGAATTAAATTTATTCCTGCAATTTTGGCGGCTGCTTCAATAGCCTTACGCTCAGAAATTCCAAAGAAACCAGGAATTGCAATGACCGCATCTTTAACTGGATTACCAGCATATGCCTCTACTTCGGCACGCGCATTTGTAAGAACCATAGCAAGTAGAGTTTCAATTGGGAGTTGACCAGCGCTAAAAATAAAAAATAATTTCCCACCTTAAATTTTACTAAAATACAAACTCAGTAACAAAATCAACACCCCCTCTCTGCTCATTCTTTTTCAACACCAAGTGAGGAAATCTCTTCTGATAGTCACTAATCGCGGGATCTTCATATGGCTTTCCAATTAAATCCAAAAAGAAGAGGAATGTGTGCTTTGGAGCAGAAATTGCCTAAAATTTAAAAAATAAATTTTAAAAATATCAAAATTAACAAACTTTTTTCAAAGCTTCATCACCAAAGAAACGTTCATCATTTCGAATAGTCAAAGCAAAAGGTGTTTTCCTTTGGGATTCTCTATTTAAAATTGTCTCCATAGGAACACCAGGTTTAACTAGCGCCATTTTCATAAACTCGACACCCAAATCAATAGACATTGCACTGCGAACCGAAGCATCTAAAATTTAATTTAAAAAATTTTTTTAATAAAGTTTCCAAAAGTCTCACCTGACATGGTGATCAATCCAAATATTATAAACAATAAAATCATTAAATTCTTCTATTAAAACCTTTAAATTAAAAAAATGTAAATGAGGAAAAATTAAGAGAAAAAGAATATAAATATTCAAAATAATTTAATTGAAATAGATAAAATCAAAATTAATCAAAAAATCTATAAACTTGTGCCAACCTTTAAGAAATCTCAAAGAAAAATCTTTATCGCCCTTAAAAATTTTTCTAGAAAATAATTATCTCTGCGTAGCACTTAATTGTTAGACGTCAGACATACATAAATTAAAAGTTTTCGTGTCAAAACAAATTTTTGCTTATTTCGAAAATTGATCTACCGTACCTCCGGAAATTAACGATCTTGCGTGTAGATTTTTAAAAATATATTTTTATTCTATTAACAAACAAAAATTTTAAAAAATCATCAAAATATATACAATAAAGATTTTCTTCTATTTCTAAACAATTTTTGTATAAACAACTCTTGTATGTTCTAAATATCCTAGTCTTGGGTGAGTTGCTGTTCTCATTTCCAAAATTTGTTCCATATAAGTATCATCATGTTTAATAAAAGTTCTCCGAAGCTTAAAAAATTTTTAAAAATTATTTTAAATATAATTCTTTACATCTTCTACAGGCAAATCCCTCGAAAATGAAATCCTTCCAATATCTTTTAATGTTAAAATCATTTTATTTCTAGTCACTTCCCCAACTTCATAAGTAGTAAATCCTTTAAATATTTTTAAATTAAGATTATTTTAAATTAAATTTACCGTTATTCCCTGCCGTCATTAAAGTTGCATTCCCATTTGGTTCTACTGTAATAAATCCCCATTCATCGTGGAAATGGTCTTTTGTGGAATGTGACCAAGCACGAGCACTAAAATTATTTTAGTCTAGATATTAAAATTTGTGGAAGTGTTAATGATAACATCGTCATAAATTATGTTTTTTGGCGATTTTTAGAGTTTTCAACTTTATAGATTTATCCAAAAATTTAACAAACAAAAATCCTTCCTCCCACCTCCAATTAAGGAATTGCACCCCGGAAGTTCCAGCCATTGGAGCCTCTTGTATATTTAATTCTTCTCCAAAAGTCATTGTCGGAATACTTGGCCAAACAACTTTCCCAGAAAATTCTGAACGCCATTTACCTTTTTTAGACAAAATAATTTTAATTTATTTTTTCTAAACTATTTTACCTACCAACAATCCAAGAAATTTTTTCGTTATTTTTACTCAATTCAGCATTTATTAATAAAGAAAATAAAAATAAAGAAATAAAAAATAAAACAAAATTAATTAAAATAATTGTTATTCTTCTCATTTTTAACGATAAATTTTATGCATTTTTTATCTTTAAATTTGTTTAAATTATGAAGGGGTTATTAATTTTAAAATTTAAATATTTTCAACTTTCACTCATTTCCATAAAAAATTTAAAAATTCCTTTAAAAGAGGAAAAACAAAAGAAAAACAAGTTAAAATTAAAATATAAAAGAAGATAATGAGCATGGACGAATTAAAAAGAAAAAGAAGATTTAAAAAGAAGATCGATTAAAAACTAGTAGCTTTGCGTGAAATAAAAGGAAAGGAACTCCTCACACAAAATCCTGCTCCGAAAATCAAAAACCTAAAAGTAGAGCATTAATTGGTTTATTTTGAGGAAAGTTACGCAGTCAGGCTTTAAATAGAACAAACAAATAATAATAATAATTGAAATTATTAGACAAGTTTTTTTTCTACGACGTGTAAAAAATTATTATATTTAACAGAATAGGATAATAATTTTAAAAAATGAAAAATAATTCTTAAAAATATGTTAATTCTGTTTAATTTTATTAAATACTAGTTTTAAATTAATGGGAATAAAAGGTGTTAAAATGTGAAACTGAAATACAAACGTTGAAAAGTTTGATTTTTGTTTGGGAGATTTCTAGCAAAATACCCATAAATTGAAAAGATCAAAACTCTAAAAAAGATTATGCTCGAGTTTATGTCAAATAAAAGGAAAGGAACCCTCCTCCCTTTTAACATTTCATTGCTATCTAATATTTTAATTTTTTTATAAATTCACTTTTCTCACCAAATATTTTATTTAATTGTTTGGAAAATACTAAAAGCATCAATTAAAGGTATTCTTCACACCAAACAAAAAATAAAAACCGTTCCACCTATTTCCTTTATTTTTTATGTCCAAAGACTTGAAGAAAAAAAAATAAAATTATTTTTGTACTTTTTATTGTTCTCTTAAAAATTAAAAATAATATAATTTTATAGATATTTAAATCTAAATAGATAAAGAGAATAATCACAATACATAAAGAATATATTTTTTAAATAAAACTCATTTAAAGTTTCAAGGAATAGTCTTTATTAGAAATTATAAAATAGGAAAAAAAATTTAAAAAATGGACTAGTAAAATAAAAATAAGTTGGTATTGGGGACATTTTAATATAAGTATTTTATGATTAAAAGATTACTAATATTTAATTTGTAAAAAAAAAGCAAGGATTTAAGGATGCTGAATATAAAAATATCAAGGAAGATTTAATGTAAAAACAATAATTATTGTCCAGTTTTGATGTCAGCATCCCCATTATTTTAATAAAAACTAAAAAAGGGAATAATAAAAGATTTGTAAATTTAAAATTAAATTGAGCTTAATTATTGTTTGTTTATTAGTTCAACTCACAAAAATTCACACAACTTCGTTGAATATTGATAATAAATTAACACGTAATTGTTCATATTCATTAACATCACCTTGAATATGAGTAAATGCTGCTCGGCTAATATTTGGCGATTGATCTATTCTATATAAAATTAATTCAAGAATTGTTTTATTTGATTCATTTGATGGAGGTGCAACACGAATACGTACAGAATTAACTTTAAAAATAAAAAAATGTGTAAAATAATTAGAAAAACGTTCAAGAGAATAAATAAACTACCTATCTGTGTTGATGTCTCCTTCTGCTCGTCACATTGAACTTCGCACAAAAGTTGATTATTTTTAACATACTTTTCAAGTCGTTGGGTTGCTGTTTCAATACAAACAGGAATATAAACAAATTTTAATGGTTGATTAGTTCCAATATCAGTTGGAGTATTAGTTAAAGATATAGAGTTTCCAATACCTCCCGTTGCAGAATAAACATTTGGAAGTGTTGGAGGGTCGGTATTTGGCTAAAAATAAAAAAGTTAATCAATTAATATAGGAATGATTCTGTAAATACCAAAATTGAATTCGATTCCAAAGATAAAAATGCAGACTCAACATTTTGATTATTTTCATCAGTAATATTAATAGTTGGCATTTGTTGTTGTTGTTGCAGCTGTGCAAGTGCTGACTTAATAAACAAAGCTCCAGGATCGACATTCATTAACCCACTAAAATATTGAACAAATAAAAAAAGAAATAACATTTACCCCATAAGTAAAGGATTTTGTGCATTGACAGCAGCCGAAGATGTTCCTCCCACACCACCAGGACCCGGGGAACCTTCTTTTGTACTTGCATATAATTTTTGGAATTCTAACTGTAATTGTTGAACACCTGAAAGGGCAGACGAAGCAGATGCATCAGAAGATGAAGCTGCGGCATTTGTCTGAGCGATTGATTGTCTATAATTTGGAAAATTCATTAGTTAAAATGTAAGCAGATATCTTTAATTTTTAATGGAATAAACAAAAGTAGAACCCGAACCCCGAAGTGTTTAGGGTTGTCTTCGCGATTAAATAAAGCCCAAAACAATTTTAAAAATGGTGGATAATAGGTGACCTATATAAACGCTCAAGTTGTGCTTGTTGTTGAGCATTGATGGCCAATGCAGCTGCTGTGGCTGCTACAGATCCAGAAGTAATCGGGGCAGAGCAAGAGGATGCCCAACTACTTCGTCGTTCATCACCCAAAATCTGTTTGAAGTAAGGCATTGTACGACTATGACGTTGCTGAAACGAAGTTCCTGGAACCCCTGAAGAACCAGATCCAGTGCCTCCAGAAAAAATAGGTAATCCACCGGTAATCGAATGAACCTAAAATTAAATTAAAATTTTATTTGTGTTTTATTCACCGTATTTCTCTTGTTTGCTCCTCTCTGCCCAAGTAAATAGTTCTCTCCTTCCTCCTCAACACTTCGTCTTGGTTGTTGATGGCAAGAGGAACGATGAGGCTGAGTCTGAAGCACTTGTCTTGGACTACTAGAAGTTCCTTGACTGGAAGAACAACGAGTATCTGGTCCTCCACTTCCATTTCCTCCACCACTTCCAACACCCATTGTAGAACAAGCAGCCAACAAATGAGCATAACTGTTCAACCCAAGCAAAGCTTCATTTGCTGAAGCACGACGTTCTTCTATAAAAATATAAAATGTACTACAAATTATTAAATCACTTACGATTTGGAACATGTATCATTCTTGCATAGTCAACAAATGGAAAATTTTGTAATGAAACTAAATTTAATGCTGCTGCTTGTTGTAAAGCTGCAGTACCAGAAGAACTGCCACCACTACTATTCTGCTGTTGAATTTGTGATGCAAAAAGTGCGGCAGCTGCAGCAGCATTAGCCTTAAAAAATAAATTTTGTAAATAATAATATTTTTCATTTAATAATACCCATGCTCTTGTCGTGTCAACAGCAAATTGTTGAGCAACCGCATTAAGTAAAGGGTTTAATTGATGATATTCTAAAGCATATGGGAAACGTTGTCGTTGTTGAAATTGTTGTTGTTCGATTAATTGGTGTTGCTCGTTAGTTGCTTGGTTACGACGATAAGCACGACGTCTAGATTTATAAACATTAGGAGAACGCTGCTGTTGTTGCTGTGATTGAATAAATGGAATTGAAGAAGATAAAGAAGTTATGTCATCATTAGACATAGAATCAACTAAATCATTAGCACTGTCACTATCGTCGGAATCCTGAAGTTTAAAGTTTATAAGAAAGTTGGGCAATTATTTAGGTTTAATTAAATTGAGATTTCCCTCGGTAAAAAGCAAAGAACCGTGCAAAACAAAAAACAATCTTACATAATCTGGACTAGTAGAAAGACTCAATTTGGCTAAATGATGTGTCGGAATAGTAGCACATTGTGTTGTTTCCGTTGGAGTTATATTTGCTTTGCCAGAAATGATTGAACCTCTGGAACCACGTCGAGTATGTTCATTCTCCATAAAAGCAAAATTAGTTCCCATTCCAGTAAATCCCCCAGTATTTGTTGAAAGTGCTGCGGCAGCTTCAGCACTTCGAAACTCTGAAAGACGAGCAAGTAAAAGTTCGTAAGTAGCAAATATGGGTGATTCATAGTTGTGAGAGATAACTTCCTAAAAATAAAATAATTAGATAAATAATTTTTATATCAAAATTTTAGAAATAATTTTCGAATACTCAGATGGCCCCTGTGCCAAAAACTCCTCAGAAATTTCTCTCGCAAAAGAGAAATGGATATCGTGTGATCAGTAGGCACGTTATCTTCATCGTATTAAATATTTAAAATCATCGACTCGTTTAAAAAGTACCTCGGAAATCTGATCATCTGACCAGCCAGTGTGTTGTTGCATAAAGACGAGAACTTAAAATTTAAACAAAATTAATTCGAGGATTAAATTAAAAGCGTGAACAAATTAAAATTTTTCGGAGAAAACCCCCCACCCTCTGGTTAGACAAATATCATTTATTGCTAAGAAAACCTAGTAACTTTTACATAGGTACTATAATCAAATAGTTATTTTAAACCTGTCGGATCCAAAATTGGTCTAATTGTGGGTGGTACATTAATCGTCTCATCAGTTGATATTGCTAATTGTTCTTTATTCACAGATGTTATTAAAAGCATTTTTATTTGCTCAGGCATTTTTCCAGCAGAAAACCAACGATGTTGAATTACTTGCTGTAAATTATACCGTTTTGCTGGAGAAATTGTTAACATTTTTCTAATTAAATCAGCACATTCTAAACAATTTAAATTTTAGAAAATTTTTAATTAATTTAAACTAACCAACAGAAACCCAAAATGGAATTTTTAAATGATCACTTAGAACTGCTCTTTTAAGTTTCTCAACAGAATCACCAGGAAAAGGAAAACCAGCAGTGACCAAAATATATAAAATAACTCCAAGACTCCAAACATCAGATAAACGTCCATCATATTCTTGAGCTAAAAGTAATTCTGGAGCAGCATAAGGTGGGGAACCACACCACGTGGACAGTAATTGTGATGGTTGCTGATAATTACTAAAACCAAAATCTAAAAGGAAAAATTTAAAAAGTTACTTAAAAGGAAACAAACCAATAATTTTTATATTTCCTTTTTTATCAAGTAATAAATTTTCAGCTTTCAAATCTCTATGAACAATTCCACTCGCATGACAGTAAACAACTAAAATTAAATATTTTTTTGAATGTATTTAATCAAACCTGCAGAAACAATTTGTTGAAATATTCGACGTGATTCAACCTCTGTTTGTCGACCACCATCCATTAACATATCTAGAAAATGAACAAAATTTGAAGTAAAACGACTAGATGAACGGACAAATCTCGAATAACTTACCAAAAAGTTCCCCATTGCTTACATACTCCGTCACAATATACAAAAATCGATTGGTTCGTATCACTTCATATAGCTTTACAATAAATGGATGATTAAGTTTTTGAAGTATTTGAATTTCACGTTCAATTTTAGCTAAATTTTCAGCATCTAAGGAACGTTTATCAACAATTTTCATGGCGACCTAATATTTAAATTAAAAAATCTTTTAAAAATTAAAAACCTTAGCATTTGCAATTTCATGATAAGCTACTCGTACTTGAGCAAAATTTCCTCTTCCAAGAATTCGTCCAACTCGGTAAGAACCAACTTTTTCAAGTCTAAGCCTTCTTTCTCTCTTTGCAATCATTACACTCGCTGCTGAACAACTTGACTCACCGGTAGCAGATGACGAGATTGTCGACATATTTGTACAACCAAATTGTTGTTGTTGGGAATCTCCAAATTGTATATCAAACATGAAAATTTGGAGTTACAAACCCGTAAAGTAAAATTATTCTCGAAGATTATTTAATTGATTAATTGCTGTTTAATGATATGTGCATTTTTGTCAGGCGTTTCTTTTATCTATAATTCTTAAAAAATAAAATTTTAAAAACTGTAAATAAGAAAATGAATAATTTAAATAAATGTATTATGTTCTAATCCGATACTACATACTGCATAGTAAAAATTAATAATTTAGCAAAGCTATTCCTTGCTGGCTAACACACCCAAATGATCAACACATGTGGCTGCCAAGTGTTGACTAACTGGGTTGACATTAACAAAAGCTTTTTTGAGGATCATTTAAAAGTTTTTAAAATAATTTCTTTAAAATAAATTATCAAATGTTGAAAATACATTAAATAATCAAAAACAAAAAAAAAATAAAATTTTATTTAAAAAATATGTATTCTGTCAGATCACGTAATTTATATCGTGAGATTAGCGAGAATCACAAATTAATTTGAAAAAAACAATCCAACGGTCTAAATATATAGATGATTTTTAAGATTATAAATAATAAATATTCTGACAAAGAAATACCTGAAAGGCTTCAAATAATGTCAAAAGTGAAATACTTAACTTTAAAGTCATAAGAATTCGAATAAAAAGTCAAAAGAAAGGAAAACATCTAAAAATACCTTAAAGAATAATTTAGAAAGTGAAAATTCCAAGTTTCGTCATAATAAGTCGATTTAACCGTTCAGCCATTTGACGCGAATTTTTCAAAACAAAAGCATGGTCAATTTCACTCCTTTGGTCAATTAAAACTTGGAGAGTTCCTCTTGGTGCACGCATCTTCATTCTAGCTGCGAATTCCACCGGAACCCAACCATCCTCTTGCCCATAGAAAAACATAACATAATGTTTTTGAGGTTCCGCGAGGAGCGAGTCGTCGAAATTGCGTACCTTGAATAATTAAAATAATACATATTCTTTTCCTCCCCCTTTGTAAAGTAGTCATTGTTTAGAAACTCAACAAATCTTTTACTTCAAATCTCCATCCTAAACTACCTTTGATTATGATATTAAAATTGAATCACGCCTTATTAATGTCATCCTTTACTCAGTTCCCATTGTCTATTCAATTATTACTCCTAATTATTATTCCACTATTTTTAGTAAAATTTAAATAAAATAAATAACAAACTTGTTCGAGTTCATGAAAAACCATGTGTACAATATTTCGAACAACAAGAGGATTGATTAATTCAACACCTGCTTCAACATTGCTATTAGCCATAAGTTCGCCAAAGTTTTTCCTTACAACCCATCTTTTAAAACTTTGAGGGATGAACCAATTAATTAGAGAAAAAATCCATTTAAAAATTGAGTCTAAACGATTGATAAACTAAAAAAAGGAAAGTTAAAATTAAAATTTTTTCAAAATTACTTTAACAATAGGGCCCATACGAATCCCATTTGGTGTCAATGCCATATCCTCAACCGTAGGAAATAGACAATAACAGACAACACAATCCCATCCATCGTTTAAAAGTTTTGGGAGAAGTCTATTTTTAAAAGAAAGGAAAATTAAAGAATAATTAAATTATTTACTTCAAAGCAATATAAGCACCAATGGAATGTCCAATAAGAAAAATTCTCGCTTTTTTCGGGCCTATAATTGTATGTAAATATTCGTCAATAAATCTCATTTTTATGAGAATTTGTTCGTCCAAATTGTATCGTCTATTGCATTGTGGGTCATTTTCACTAATTCCTAATTTAAATGGTTTAAATTAAATAATTAGAATTAACCTGGTGGCAAAGGAACATGATTAGCGTGAGCAATAGAAAAAAATTTGATATGCTTGTAAGCTGATCCCAAAGCAAAAGCTTGCAACAGGAAGCCGCCAAATACTTTGTAGAATTGGTCATTTCCTGGATTTCCTTAAATTTTTAAACAAAATAATGTCATTGTCAGAATATTGAATGCATATTATTAAAAATATCCACCAAGACTAATTGTAAGTCAATTTAAAAAATTTTAAAAAATACCTGGAATGCATAAAAATATTGTCTGATCTTGATTTGCGTCAAAATTCCCTTCAGCGTCAAAATCATCCCAATTAAATTCCATTTTTGTAAACCGAACCTTTACACCGCAACCCAGCGTGACCCATTGGGTAAAAGTCTCAATATGAGGCAATGAAGGCATTTTCAGACAATTAATAGTTTGTTTACCCTAGAATCTTTCACAGTTGTCTTAAATCTTAATTTCATTAATTTTAAGTAAATTATGCAGAAAAAGCAAATAAAAATAAGGTTAATGAAACTTAATAATTTTATCAGAAATTTATGATTATAAAAATTAATCACAAAAGACACCAATAGCTTTAATAAAAACTAAAATTAAGTAAAATCTAATATTATATCAAAGTGGTCCACAAGGCATATGACCATTATTTGCTTTCTTTAACAATTTAGTTCCAGTCTGGGTGAGAACAGAAAGTGCACTAGATCCTGTCGTTGATTCGTTACCTAAATAAATGAGGTAAATTAGTGAGTGAAAATAATTTTATTTTCTAGTTTCTTCAGTTTCAAAAAACATTTACCTCTATTTATGTTAATATTTTGTCTTCTCCCTTCTGTTATTGAAACATTATCTAAAGAAATTGGGAGGCTTTCAGGTATTGATTGAGGAATAACAGCTGCTGAACTAGCCCTTCTACAATGAACAGGAGATAACAACGGAGGAGTATTTGAAGTGTCACTCAACATTAAATTTCTACTAGATCTAAAAAATATAAAGAATGAAAAAATAATACAACAAAGCACCTATTCAATCGCAAATGACTCTTTTCCAGCTCTCCTTCATTACACTGCGATGCAAGCAGCGAAAGTTCACCAGCCAAAACAACACCACAAACAATTCGTGCGAGACGTTCAGAATTTTGACCAGCCTTTAAAATATCTCGTCGACAGCCAAGAATCTGATTTAAGAAGATATTTATAGAAAATATAAAAAATAAAAACCTCCAGACATTTGCTTTGAGGACTTAACATAGTCCCGCCGCCAATAGCACCAACTTCTAAACAATTCATTGTACAAGAAATATGTAATGCACCATCTAGTGCCCGTTTGTTAAGCTGGGTCATACACATACTGCTGCTAACAGTTTGAGCAGCATCCTATAAAAATATTTTCTCGATAAAATTTAAAAAAATACTTGTCCCGTAGCAATGAAAAGGGAGGCTACAACATTTGCAGCATGTGCATTCCACCCACCAATAGTGCATGCAGCTGAAGATCCGACCAATAATTTTGCATGACCGATCGCAACCATTGAATCCTGAAAATGTTTTTATCAAAGACTAGTCAACAAAAAAATTGTATATCAAAAATAACATACAACATTCGTTTTTAACACTCGTTCAACAATTTGCGCTGGTATAAAGGCTTCGGCAACAACTGATTTTCCGCGTCCTTCAATCCAATTTAATGCACTCGCTTTTTTATCGACGCATAAATTTCCGCTAATGGATAAAAGTCGGGCTTGTGGAAAAGCTAATCGTAAACATTCAATTGCTTTACCAGTACCCCTCGTTACCTAAAATTCAGATGTTAATTTAAATTTTTTATATCAAACCATATTCATTCCCATAGCGTCGCCAGTAGTTGCTACAAAACGTAAGAACAAATAATTGCCTTCAATTCGGGGGTCAACCCTTTGAAGATTTGCATATCTACTTGTTTGGTCGAAGTGCAATTTCATCTTTTCAAATGACTCATTTTGACGAACCCATTGAAAACAATCACTAAAAACGCAAATATTAGGAAAAAATAGATTACTCACTAGCAATCTTTAATTGAATCAAATTCAAGCACAGGAGCTCGACTCATTCCATCACGTATTACTTGAGTGTAAAATGCATCCGTACCAAGCAATTTTACAGATTCCTGTTAAAAATCAAACGATATTTTAAAAATAATAAGGTATATACATTAAGGCAGAGACAACCGCGACTAACAGAAGCAACAAGCGCTCCTTCAGTAGTTGATAGTGGAATAGGTACCATTTCGCCATCAAAATATAAAGGACCGGCAACACCCGTAGGAACAGGCATATACCCTATTACATTCTCACAGCAAGCATTTTTCACCTTTTTTAAATTTAATATAAAAATAAATAAAAAAATATAAACTGTAAATAACTTTGTCTATCGAATAAATAAATGTAATATATTTTAAACGATCAAGCTAAAGTTATTTTCTCAATATTGCATCTACCGTGAGGAAAATGATGTAATACAAATCAAATACCTTGATTATAGATGCAAATTATAACAACGTAACCCACTTAACCAAAGAGGATTTAACAACAAAATTAATAAATGACATAATGAAAAAAGTTATAACAAAAATTTTCCCATATTTATTACAGACTTTCAACTTATTAAAAAAATAAAAGTAGAAATACCTCATCATAGTTATAGTTCTCATAAGGAAGAATTGCCAATGGAATTCGATAGCGTTCTTCCAAATGAATCCGTCTTAATTCAACACTTAAAAAGGCTTGACATTAATTTATAAAATAAAAACTAACGCTTTAAGTGAACTACAACAATGTTGTTCTAAGTTACGATGTTTCAGTCGGCCCTCTCGCATTTCTCTAAGAAGGCGAAGATCAACAGCACTTATAGATTTTGCAATAGAGGAATTACTTGTTCGTTCTTGATCTTTAGGAATTGTTAGCGAAGTTGCAGAAACCGTTGAAAGTTCGGAATCTATAAATAAAAAATTAATTTAAAAAATACGAGGATAAATGTAAGATTTTAAAAAATTAATATTTTTGGAATTTTTCTTTTGCCTAATCCCTGTTCTAGTTCTCCCGCTACCCCTCTCCAACCTACCCTTAATTGTTAGTACTTTATTATTAGCGGACTAGTGTTAATATTATATTGTACAAAAAACAATTTTAATAAAACTTTAGTAACCGTTTCCCAAAGCAAATTCAAGTTTAGCTCCACCACCACGGTTTTCTTCAAAATATTTGTTGGCCAACAAAAGAACCTTATCCCGAAGTTGCATCTTCCATTGTTCAAAAATTCCTTTGACTTGAATATCACGAGTAATTAATGACTCAAGAAAAAGAATAAGCTCGTCAGTGAATTCATCAAGAAAAATCATTTGTTAATTAAAAAGCAAAATAAAATAATTGAAACTGAAGCAGAAAATAAAGATTTTAGAATAATAAATAATAAGATAAATTTGTAGATTTTGCTAAATTTACCAAAATTAAAATTATCAATATTTTAACAAATTAGAATGATTTGGAGAAAAATAAAAACTAAAAAGTGAGTCATTCCCACCCACATGACCAAATGAAGTCTGGCATAATGCAAAGAAGAAAATCAATACACTATGAGCTTAAACAAATTCTCTCAGTTTATTGCAAAAAAGAAATATGAAAATAAATTTAACTACCTAATTCACTCTAATTTTATTATAAAAGTTTCTATGAAAATATTCACTTTTAAAATCATTTAGAGAAAATCAAAAATTCCAAAAATATTTGATCATTGAGCAATAAAATTTTATTACAATTTTTCTAGTTGGTGTACATATGTATGTATACAATCCCTTATTTAACAAAATGTTTCATAAATATTTGTAAAAAATGATTGATTATACATTTTGTAAAAGAAAAACATATACTAATTCCATCTCTTTTATCAGAAAAAGTTTAATATAAAATACTTTATGTTACAATTTGTGAATAAAATTTTTATGGTAGAATCTAGAAATCTTTAATTTACACAAAAAAACTATTTAATACATTCGTTGAGAATAAATTCTACCTTAGAAACTACATATAGACAAAAATACTTTTAGTTTATGATATAAAGGCAATCTTAAAAACTATATCCAAATTTTTTTGAAAAAATATTTATCTCAAAAGATAGAATATACATATTTACGTATAGTAATATTTCGAATGAATCTTTTCTATCATCACAAATTTTTGATGCATGAGGAGATCGCCCTTGTAATTTGTTTGATAAAATCAAAAAAATTTAAGATTATTTCATAGGGCACTAACTCCCAACATGCAAAAAACTGATTGTGAGTCAAATAAAAATAAATGTGGAATAACCTGTTTTCGGACTGTATACAAAATTAATAACAAAAATTATCAGAATATACATGGAAACATAGATTCTCCGTTTCGATAATTATTGTCTTCTTTTGTTACAATTGTTCTGCAAATAGGACAGGTATGTTCACGATCAAGCCAAGTTCGAATACATTCAGAACAAAAAATATGCGAGCATTTGAGCTTTATTTAAAAAAAATTTAAATTTATAAAAAAATCTATAAACAAGATTAAAACTTGTCTAGAAAATTTTAGAAATACCAACCTTAACAGGTGAAGTATATTCGCTAAAACAAATTGTGCAATTCTCATTCTGTTTGCATTCAGAAGGAGTTGGTGTAGTCCCAAGATGGGTAAAACGGAAAATGCGAAGAGTTGTCAAAATCCAACCCCAAATCATTGCAAAAGAAAGTAAAATCTGACAAAATTTAAAAAATTCTTAAATAATTTTTAAGAGAAAAACCTTAATTCCGCCATAAACAACAGTCCACCACAGAGCTCCCAAATAAGCATTCCATTGAACAAATGGGAGCGCAAAGCGATAAAGCGCACCACTATATTCTAACCATTGATATAATCTTCGTTTATAAACAGTAGAACATTTTGGTAAATTTGCCACCTAATTTTTCGAAAAATACGAGAATAAAAATACAAAAATACCAAAAGTTTTGCAGCAAGCAAACAATCTAGAACGAAATACTCAGTAACCAATACAATATACAGCGTTGACCAAAATGATGGATTATTAATAAATGAAACAGATGTTTCCCTGAACGTCGCAGCTGGAAAAACAAATGATGATTGTCCAAGCACTTGAAGAACCATAAACTGACGAAGTGCGATTTTGCCGCCAATAAACCATCCATTACCCGTACCAGAGATATATCTTGAAAAATAATTTTTCTAATAATTTTAAAAATATCAAATACCTTTTAAAAGCCACCACATCTGAATAATGAAAGAAGCAAAATAATAGAGCAAGGCAAGCAGTAAATTCGATAGTGAAAAATTGGAGTAAAACAGATAATATCACAAGAGTCCAGCAGACTAGAACACCGAAAACATACAGGCTTGGAAACTAAAAAAATATTTTATCGAACAAACAGTGGATCAACGATTCATAATTATTTAAACAAAATTACCTCTCCCATTTGTTGAATAAAATTTCTCAAAATTTGATGTCGCCTTCTAAGCAACTGCCTAAAACGGTTCCTCAAGTTTCGAAGTGTGGGATCTTCATCCTCATCAGAATCACCGCTTCCCCCACTTGCGTCAGATGCGCCTGACGCAACTGCAACTGTAGTAACGGTATTTTGATCATCCCCTTCTTGTCTTGTCCCAGTAGCTGCATTGATTGTGGGAGTACGTTGGGTAAGTTGGGGAGAGAACGAAGGAATAACACCATTAGATGAAGCAGCATCATTATGCATGTTTCTTAGAGGAGATGAAGAACGTCTTCGATGGAGTTGCTGAAAAATAAATTCATTTAAAACCCTTTACCGACTTTTAACTGACGTTTGTTACACGAGACAAATCGTCTTCCATGTTTATGACAAATGAGCTACCACTGCCATTGCTTGACCCATCACTGGAGTTTAACGCAGCTGGTGTTGAATGCGCGCGTCCATGTGTTGGAGTCACTGAAGTCGGACTTTGTGGTTGCTGAAGCGGTCTTTGTTCATCTAAAGATACATCTGTTACGGCAGCTAAAGCAGGCTGATGTTCACCTTGTTGAGTATTATTAGTCAAATGCTCCATAAATGTTGTTAAGCCACTAGGTAATGGAAGTGGCGGAAGATGAATGTTCAAAGGACCATGCATAAGTTCACGCGTTATTGGAGTCTGACAAAGACGAAATATTAGTTGAAACACAATATAAAATTGTAAAAAAAATAACTCACATCGACAAAAACCTCACAACGCCAGCTTCCTGCGATTGGTGGCTGTTGTTGCTGACCACTTCCAGAAGATTGGCGTGTTGATGTTGAACTATTTTGGCGAATTATGCCAGCATTCGAAAGGTTCATGTTTAAAGAAAAATAAATCTATTAAAAATAAATGATTATAATTAAAATAAATAAAAATATTAATTGAAAACTAACAAATAAAACAAAAGGTGTAAAATTAATTAAAAATCAGTTTTAAATTAAATAATAATTAAATTGAGATGAAAGATAACGGGTATGAAAAAGAGAATATTTAATTAAAGGCAGCATTATTAAAAATTTAAGATCAGAAGATTAATCGGTGTTATGTAGTATTTAAATTATTTTATTGGACGGTACAAATGTAAGTTAAAAATTTATAAGTAGGATTGTCCAGGCACGCACCAAAAAAAATTTTCGTAAGGAGAGGATGATAACTCTTGAGAATGTTAAACTTCTTCAACTACGTGCCTGACATTGTAAGATATAAAATAAAAATTAAATGTAAAAATAAAAATTAAATACAAAATTTTGACTTAGTTAACGAAGGAAGTATTGCAGAGTAAAATAAGATAAAAGAGAACTGTATAAGCTCTAAAAATTTAAAAATAGTAAGGATGCTTCCTTTTGTCAAATTTGCTGAACTTAGGTTGATATTCCATTTGTTTGCGAGCACTCGCCTTCGCAACTTCCTTACGACGCATGGCATTAAACACCGAGCGATTATTTGATTGGTGGACATCAAAAATCATCGTTAATGAAAGAGCAATAGCTACTAGCTAGAAATGCAAAGAAAAAATAAATATAAAATTTATAAATTCGAAACCTGGGCAAATACAACAATGGAAAAAACTGCCAACGATACAGAGAAACCAATTCGTAATGCAATCCAAATACGATAATGACATCCATCACATCGTAGGTCACACGTTCTTGGAGGATCCTGTCGAAATATTCGAAAATCGGAACAACCGGCATTTCCTGAATAATTAAAATTAAATAATACAAAACTTTACAGACCACAACAGCGAAATGCCTGCTGGAGCCGATCCAAGCTCTCTTGTACAATTCCTGGGCCCTGATAGTAGTGTTGAACCATATAATTAAGAGCATCTGCTAATTCAACGTCAATCTAAATAATAAAAAATGTCAAAATTAAAAGATAAAAATTATAACCGAATCTTTAGTGTAGAAAATATAAGCACCGCAACTTAAAGTAAAAATGAGCAAAGCAAATGTGCTTGCTCCATAAATTCCAATCAAAAGTTTAGAGTTAATAGAAACTCCATAACATCCAAAAATCGTTGAAAGAATAAGAGCGCATCCCAGCACAATCAAAATATAAGAAAAAGCATAAAGAGTTGGAGCCTCCCAAAAAGCCTCATGAACAGCTTGACGATAACGCTCACTTAGAAAACCACGAAAATGACTGTCCGTCCTTAGCCAAATGCCTGTTATCAAAACAATGCAACCGACAACCTAAAATTATGAATTGTGAAGTTTAGAAATTTTTGATACAAAAATGATAAAGGTTTTGAATATATTTTAATCAGAGAACTCGACATGTTATACACATTAGCAGAACCGTAACCAGGATTTCTATGAGAGGGGATCATTCTGGCGTCGAATTTTTGGCGCCAAAAATTTTGATTTTTAGGGGTGGAGGGCAGAAGTACAATTAAAATAATACATAACATAAAAAACAAAGCTTACCATGAAAATAATATTTGCCCCAAGTATCGTGTACTTTGACCATTGATGGCACTCATTACTTTCAGAAATTGAGCTGTTAAATAATAAATAAAGATAAGGAATGCTGTAAAGAAGATTGTAAAATAAAAACTGATAAGAACCTCGAATACGATGAGGGTTCGAAGTAAGCCCGCCTGTTATCCAAACGCCTTGTCTGGTCCAAAGGTGAGTAGTGACTGATAATTTTCTCAGACTTGCTCATCTTTTACATTTTTTACGAATGAACTAAATAGGTAAGTATATAAAATTTAAGTTGTTTATAGTTAAAATAGGAAGTTTACACAACTTCCTCTTAAAATATTACGTAACCAACCTCATGAGCTCATATCACAAACAATACAAATCAACATGACTAATTGTAAGTTATCTAATAATTGATCAAACGAGAAATATCCAATTTCATTTAATTATTCAGAAGGCCAATAATTAATGTATTTTTAAAAATACTTTAATTGAGTCTTGATTAGAAATGCTGACTTGATTGATTTTAAAAATCTAATTTCATTTTCTTAAACCAAGCCCTGGTTTTATAGGAAATGCAGGGTCGCCCTGGCTGGAATCGAGGCTCTGATCCATGTAAAAATAAGAAACATGATTCAGTTTAAATTCTGAAATGTAATATTTACAGAGATTCTAGGACTCGAATGGACAGGAATTAATTAAAAATTTTTAGAAATTTTTTTTTTAATAATTTAGGAGGTTTTTCACCAAAATTTAGAGTGATATTTTACTTTTATTCAAGGAAGTTTAAATGACTACATCGATATTTTTTGCTGCAACTGAACACTTTCTATATCTTACTGCTCTTCTATTCCCCCCTGTTTTCTGCATTGTCGGTTTAGTTATTTTTCTGGCTACCTTCGGAAAATCGCTTGGACTACGGGAGCGTTATGTTAGCATTTTATTGAGAATTTTTGAGGTTTTATTTTTTAATTTTCCGATTTATCAAAAATTTTAGTGGGGTGCCGGTGAACTTCAAACGTCTCAGGATGTTACCAGAAGTATGTCTTTTGACCTTGGTGCTGCAGAAGGTGATGAAGATGACTTGGAATATTTTGAGAATGTTGATGCTGGTCATTACTGTTCTCTGGACTTGAGTTCAACACAAAGTCCAACGGATTCTGGTTTGATACTTGACTCTCCATTGGCTCGTTCGCTAAATTCATTACCAAGTCTTCGTAAATCTTCAATGCACAATGGAAGTTCAACAAGTATATCATTTTTAATTATTATTAAAATATCTCTCCCTTTTTAGGTCTTTGTTCCTCATCTAGCGCTCGTATGCGGAATGGATCTGCTCAATCAATTATTATTCGCGAGGCAGCAATACATCTAGACGAAGATGAGCATTTGGAAAGAACTCTAGTCAATTCACGGGGTTGGCAAGTTATTCGTGATTCACTCTACTTTATGAAGGTAATTTCTTAATTATTTTGTTTTTACTTTAAATATTTTAGGCGGGTATTGAGGCCATCATCGAGGATGAGGTGACTAGTCGTTTTCGAGCTGAGCAACTTGCTTCATGGAATATGTTGACGCGTACAAGTGTTAACTTTTACCAATTCGTTAAGTAAACAAAATCATTTATTTTCTATAAATGTTGAAAATATTTTAGTTGGAAGTTGGCAATTCTTTGGGGTTTAGGCTTTTTATTCCGCTATTTCTTTTTGCTTCCTATGCGTCTAATTATATTTTCTGTTGGACTTATTACTGTTATTTTTGGAACTGCATTTATTGGACTTTTTCCTGGTGGGCGTCTAAAACGTTGGATGAACGAAAAATTAATGAAGGTTTTAAATACATCTTTTTTTGTCTATCGATTATTTATTAGGTTTGTATGCGAATTGGCTCACGTGCTTTCTCTGCAATTATTTACTTTCATGACACCGAAAACAAGGCCACTAGTGGAGGTAATTTTTATCGCTTTTAGCTTATTGTTAGGTATTTTTAATATTGAATAGGGTTGTATCTCTTCACGAAAGTCGGGGAATTTGAGACTGAAAAAAGAATCCCGTCAGACTTACTCTACCTGTTATATTAAACATTGTTTTTATATGTTAATTTTTTTCGAGATTTATTTCTTTTGTCAACTTGAAACTGTTCTTAAATTTCTATTTTAGGCATTTGTGTTGCAAATCATACTTCTCCTATTGATGTCATGATTTTAGCAACAGATGCTGCTTATGCTTTAATTGGACAGAGCCACGATGGTTTTCTTGGCGCTATTCAGAGGGCGCTAAGCCGGGCGAGTTCGCACATTTGGTTTGAGCGTTCTGAAGCAAAGGATCGTTCTTTAGTAGCAAAAAGGTTAGCTTTCTAGAATAAACCTGAACTTTCTTGCATTTTAACAAATGGATTTATTTATACATTTTTATATTTCAGACTGCATGACCACGTTAATGATCCAACAAAGTTACCGGTTCTTATTTTTCCCGAAGGAACATGTATCAATAACACTTCTGTTATGATGTTCAAAAAGGGCTCATTTGAAGTAGTTTTAACATTTAGCTAAAACATTATTTTTAAAAATATTTTCCCAGGTTGACACAAATATTTATCCAATAGCCATGAAATACGATTCGCGATTTGGAGATGCCTTTTGGAATTCAAGTGAACAAAGTTATTTTGAGTATTTAATGCAAATGATGTCATCATGGGCATTAATTTGTAACGTTTGGTATTTGCCGGCAATGCGCAGAAATGTAAAGATTTTTAACTTCAAATATAGTTACATTATTTAGCCGGATGAATCAGCTATTGAATTTGCAAATCGAGTAAAAAAGGCAATAGCCGTACGTGGTGGTTTGGTCGATTTGGAGTGGGACGGGCAATTAAAACGATATAAAGTTCCAGCAAAAATGCTCGATATGCAACGAGAAAGGTTCAATTTAAATAATTCTTTCTTTCAAATATATTTTATCTTTTAGATATTATCAGCGTTATCAACGTTATACTTCTTTGTCTGAACCGTTTCAACCAGACGAGGCCGAGGAATTAATAAGATCTTCTTCCGTTGATGTAATAGACGATGAGGTTAATGAAGCTTTTTCAAACCCTTGGGATCAAGATGTTTTAAGAGCTCAAAAAATGTGTGAGGATAAAGATAATAGGACCGCTTGTGAGGACACTGTTCATTGACTTTAATCACTCACTTCCATCCTTGTTTTAGGAAGAAAATAGTTTTAAAAGCAAGTTAATTGATTTTAAAAATATTTTTGCTTAAAATTATTTTTCAGATCATTTTGACCCATTTAATTATTTATAATTAGGAAATTTAAAATTAATTTTTTTTTGTATTTCTAGATATACAGATTCTGCTTTATAATTTAGATAATTAATTATATATATAAATTTTTAATTAACTTTATATTATTTCTTAAATGTACTTTGATATACATTTTTTGGTAGGATTCTTTAAGAAAATTAAATCTTATAAATATTTTTGTTTAGATTTTATTGTAATTCTATAGGATATCTTTTTTTATAAAAATTCTTTTCATTCCAAATTAAAATGTTTGAATAGAAAGCGCTTCAAATAATTAAAAATGTTCTAAAGTTAAATAGAAAATAGTGAAGCGTTTTTACCGGAATTTCGGGTATTACATTGACCTTTTTTGTTTTCATCATTCATTTAAAAAAATATTGTCAATTAATTAGTTATATGATTTTTAGTTTAAGAAATTTTTTTGACTTAAAAACAATTTTAAAAATGTGTTAGTGATCGGCTTGTGTCGATATTTAATTGAAAAATAACGACGTTTCCGGCCGGTCTCTAATTACAATAATTAAAATTTATTAGAAATTTGACCCAATTTATATTTTAATTGTTTAACCATTTAATTAGGCAACTTCAACTATCTGGGCATTTATAATTTCGAGAGTTGATGGTTCTCTTACTTACAAGGGAACATTTTTAACTGTGACCAAAAATTTTCAAATAAAAATTATACCATCTTGTAGAGCGTGGTCGAAAACGTATTGTAGTACCCGGCTTTTCTTCCCCTGACCCCCATTTCGCAAAGTTATAGGGCTTCAAAGTTTTCGACTTTTGGAGCGGTTGAGTCGCCCTCATAAAGAGAGAATTTTCTTTTATTAAGGAGAAAAATAAGACTCCCCTCCTCCTTTTTTCCTTTCCTTTTCTTTTCCAATATTAGTTAAAGAAAGAGAAAAAGAGAAGAGAAAAGAAAAGGAAAAGAGGAATCTCTGCCTCCTCTTCTTTCCTTTTTAATTGACATTAGCTGCAAGGCAGAGATGCCTCTTTTCCTTTTCTTTCCTCTCCTCTTTTTCTCTTTCTTTAACCAACATGGAAAAAGAAGAGGAAAGGAAAAATGGAGAAAGCGAGTCTCATTTTTCTCTTGAGGAAGAGAAATAATAAGAAAAGTCAGGGCGACTCAACCGCTCCAAAAGTCGAAAACTTTGAAGCCCTATAACTTTTCGAAATGGGGGTCAGGGGAAGAAAAGCCGGGTACTACAGTACGTTTTCGACCACGCTCTACAAGATGGTATAATTTTTATTTAAAAATTTTTGGTCACAGTTCGAAATGTTCCCTTGTTAGCCTTTTGCCATATTTTTTAAACTTTATTTATCTTTAAGCTTAAACCAAAAACTTGATATTTTTATTTTTTTTATTAGAAAATTATTTTTATAAAGACTTTGTGCCCACTACTTTTTTATTTTTTTGGTAAAATAAAATTGGATTATTATATTTGATTATTACTTTAAATTACTAACCGAGAATCTGAAAATAATTGCCTATTAAATTACACATTTTCCATTACACCCAAGGAATTAAGATTTTTAGAATTGTTCCTGGCACTTATTTGCCATTTTTCCATTTTTATACAAATCTGGTTACCTGGGAAATTTGGCGACGGTTTTGTCTTTAGCGCGCCTCCTTATTGAGAATTTGTTTGGATTTTATCTTTTCATCCAGCTGCTTTAACTTGAGAATTTCTCATTTGCCAATTATTCGGAATTGAGGAATAATGTGTACATTTTATTTTGCGCCTGACTGAACAAACGGCACGCGCAATAATTTGTATGTGGGCAATTTGCCTTTTCCAGCCGTCAAATTTCCCTTGAAAGTGAAAAAAGTATTGAGTGGCACGGGAAGAAGGGTCTAACCTTAATACCTCATAGACCTGTCACTTTGATTTTTGACAGTTTAGAAATACCATAAATACCTTTATAGAAGCCCTGAGTATTTATTTTTCAATTAAAGTCCTCCCCTAAAATAATATTTATTAAATATTTAGGTTGCAAATTAGCAACAAGGAGTAAATACTTGGAATTGCAGTGAAAGGAAAATTAATTGAATGGCTGTTTAAAATGAATAAATTGGGAAAGAAAGGGGGAAAATGCATTGAAATGTAAAGGTGGCAATAACCAATTTACCTGCGTATGCGTGGAAGGATTGCCAATTATTATTACCTCTTTACCGCTCCTTATGCTTTTCCATTCATTCATCCATACATATACTAAACAAAAATTAAATCCAGTGTATAATTGCCAGCCGTGGGAGGGCAAAAACATAACCACAATTATTTTACTTTTTACATTTCTTTACTCAATTTAAGTTTAGATAACAGATATAAACTAAAAGAGCATTTTTAGTAATCTTTGGTTTTTATCATAAAATTTTTAAATCAAAATTTATTTATTTTTAAAAAATATTTTAATTATTAAATTTTCTATTCTTATTTATTTAATCCAACTTTCTTTTCCTTTGGTGGGTAATTAGGGAAAATCTCAGGAATTTTTTCAGATTTTTCCTACATTGGTTTCCTATAATAAATTAAACTTCATTTTTTCCCTAAGTAAATTTCCGCGCAATTTCTGGACTTACTTATCTACATATAATACTTATCCATTATAAATTTTTCTAGCCAAATAGAAAGTTTTACATGGACCTCATTTAATAGGTATTAAATAAGGCTACAAAAATACACAAAAATAAATAAAGGCAAAAGAAATTTTTTTGAGTAAAACCTAAAAAAACTTGAAAAGAAAATTTTTCCCTAACAAATAAGTAACTTTCCGCCACTGTAGAAATTATATTTTTTTATTTAAAAATAATTTAATAAATAAATTACTCTTTCCTGTTTTTTTTGGTAAAAATCTCTTTCTTTTCATCACGGCCGTTTAGGAAAAATTAGAAATAAGGAAAGTCAAGGTCAAAAAACGGACAAAAACAGGAAGAGAATATTTTCTTCAAAATACGTGGGAGCACATAATCATCAATCCAAGGAAAAAAGAAAGAAAAATTAGAAGGACAAATTAAAATAAAAAAAAGTTTTTGGGAATGCGACAGAATAAAATTAGAAAAACGCGCAAAATTAAATGAAGAAAATTGAGAAGAAGAAGAAGAAAAAGATGAAGTGCAAGTAAAAAGAAGAAGAAAGGAATATTTAAAAAGGAGTTACCGACAATTGACAGACACTCTCGATTAGATTAATTAACTTTTACTAATCTCCTCTTCCCCTCCAAATAGCTCTTCTTTTTATTCTGTAGATCGGCGCTGATTGTGATGCCCATTTTAAGTAAAATTTCAAAAGCGGAGTTGCGCAACTTTGAAATTTTTTGGTTAAAATTTTCCTTTCATTTTTTATTGGAAGATATTTTAAAAATAAACTCTCAAAATAATAATTCTAAAAAAGAAATTTTATCTCGAATTACGGGGACAAATTCTGAGAACATTTATTCAAGTTTATAAAGGGAAGAAGACTTCCCCTCTCTGTTTAAGAATTATTTAAAAATAATATTTGGAAGACTAAATTAATTGTATTTTTTATTGTTACTTAATTTAATTTTACTTTATTTCCCTTAAAAATTTCTTTTAAAAATTAAATCCCCAAATATTTCCCCAATAACAAGATATTCTTTTATTCTTTTTGTTTTAATATACCTAAGTATATCCCTGCTGTTTTCTAAACTAAAATTGATTTAAATTAAAAAAAACTTTTTAAAAATCTCTTCTCGTTTTTCTTAAAATATTTACCTAAATTGGCACCCCACAGTGTTTATTTTGTTATTCATTTCCTTTCTTTTGAAGGTGCCATCCTTAAACAACACCTTTTGCTTTAATAAAAGTTATTCTTATATTTTTTCTTTGTTTCCAAATTTGTTTTGCTTTTTCTGTTTGTTTGCGCAAGTTATTCAAAAAATACTTTAAAAAAATAAAAATATTTTTATTTTTGAAAACCCAAAAAATTAACACTCAATATTTTGTTATTTAATATGTTGATATTTCGAAAAATTGTTCTACCTCTACGAAAATTTTGTTCTAAGATATTTTAAATACTGTATTCACACAAATAATTACCTCCTTCAGCCAGAGCTTCAAAAAATTATCCAGGGTAATTATTTGAGTAAATACAGTAATAATTATTTACTAACAAAACAAATTTAAAAGATTTTTTAACTTTAATTTTTTAATACCAAAAATATGTATTTTCTTAAAAATTCACACATTCTCTTTAATTAAAATTAAACTATCTTTATTAAATCTTTAATTTTTCTTCCGATGACCGGTCGGCAAACAAAAATTAGAAAAGATGCCAAAAATGAGAAAGGTGGGATTAATTCTCTACTAATAAAAAAAGGACTATTAACTTACTTTTACCTTTTTCGGTATTTTTGGTATTCTTTTCCTCCTTTTCCCTTCAATTTTCCCATTCAGGATTAATTCAACAAAATCTCCTTTTAAATCCACTTTTACCTTCATTTAGTCTACAAAACAACAAACAAATCAGAAAAGAAGGAAAACCGCTACCTGAAAAAAATGAAAAGAAAAAAATCTCCTCTCACTTAAAAATAAATCGAGTAAACCCCTAAAAACCCCTCTTCCTATTTTAAAAAATCCAAAAATTTCCAAAAGTAGAGTAAACTAAAAAGATTGTTGAGCCGGAAATGGGGCTAAAAAGTCGGTAATTTTGCTTTTATTGTGTGATTTTTAAGAGGGGATATATTTAAATATATACCTTTATTTAAAGAATTCTTCTTTTCATATATAAAAGTACCCATCTCCACTTAATAACAAGTCTGATGAGAATTTTTTGTTATTTATTCTTCTATTGTATTTTTATATATTAATTAGTAAACCCTTTATTCGGTAAGAGTAAATTGAAAAAAATCTTTTTATTTTTGTTTTTGGGTTATTGTAATAATTAGATATAATTTTCTTAAAAATTTGTGATAAAAAATTACTAAATCTTTTTAAAAAATAAATTTTATTTTTTTATTCATCCTTTTTTTTCTAAATTTAATTTTCTTCTCTTTTTAATCATCCATCCATCCAGCTGTCCATTCCTTCCATTCACTTAAAATATATTCTTCTTCATCCTTCTTCCCCATTTTCTTCCTTTAAAAAGTCTGTCAGTATTTAGTCGTTCAACCTTTGTATTTTTTTCTTTTTATTCTTCCACTAATCGCGTTTTTTTGTAGTATTCACCAATTAGTAATTGAATAGATTTTCTAACTATTTTATATAAGTGGCGGCAAGGCCGACGAACAAACGTTTTTTCTGTCTTTTTCCCTTTTTTCTTTTTCTAAAAACTTCATTTCCCCGTTACCCTTCAAATACACCTTTTTTAGCTTCTTAAAAAAGCCGCCTGCCATCTTCTTTTTACCGGCTGGCAAATGAAAGGAAAGGAAAGGATAGTTACGGATATATAGAAGTTTGTGTCGATTAGTGGAGAATAAAATAAAGGGAGGGGAGGGGGGGGGGTGAAGGGCTGTGCAAGTATTAATTCTTTGCGGATGAATTAAAAAATTAAAAAAACTTTTTTCTATTCATCATCTTTTTATAAAATTATTTGAAGGAAAAAAGGAAGAGAGAATATATTAAATATTTCTTGCCAATTAACGCCTTTCTTTTTTTATTTGGCGCATATTTTCTTATATAGATGAATTATGGGCTTTTTTCTAAAAAAAGACAATAATAAGTTTTTGGTACCTGGCTGTGATTTGTTAAAGTAATTAATATTGAAAAAACTTATTTCTGGATAATTAATTAATTTTAAATTAGAAAAGGTTGACTATTCTATTTTTTGGTTAAAAATTATTACGAACTTTTTTTCATTAATTTCTGTTCATCTCAAAACTTCAATTAAAATTATTTAAATTAATTAAATTTGATTATTGAATTTGCTTACTAATTATTTTATTAAATCTAAACAATTCTACTTTCCATAACTAAAAATATTTATTTTTGCAAAATTTATATTTTAATTCCAAATTACGTCCAAAACTTTTTCAATTTAAAAATTCCAAAAATTTTTTTCCAAAATATTTTCGTTCAAAATCCTTTCTTTGGCAAATTCTTATTTAATTATTTTTTAAAAATAAAAATAAACAAACTACAAAAATTAAGAAAAGATGAGGTTAATTTCCGAAATTATTTAAATATTTACTGACGTAAATAATTCGGAAATCGTCGAAAAGGTAAAAAATATTATATTTTTGGAGAATAAAAAAAGAAACTTTTTAAGTTGATTTAGACGTTTATTGACATAATAATAAAAATAAAAATAATTTTTGTAATTTATAAATAATGAAAATTAAATTTTATTTTAGTTATTTCTCTAAAAATATTTTATTTTAATAGGAAAATGTCGAATAATAATTTTATTTTTTAAATAAAATTAAATGTTATCATTTCCATAGCAAAAATTTTACAGTCAAAATAATTAACTACTTATAAATTTAATAATTTCCACCTTAGAGGTTTCCCAAAATCCACAAAAATTCCAACAAATATATTGATACTTAGAAAATAAAAAAAACTGTATTATAAATTAAAAAATCATAGTCGGGATTAGAGATCGGACAAACAGCAAAACCAAATATCAACTCAAAATATTTGATATCTGAAAATATGTACATATATGAAAAAAATATTTGTTTGGTCCGATGTCTAGTCGAAATATATTTTATTATGGATCTTATACACATCTAAAAAACTAAAAATCACCTCTAAAAAATCAGGGGTCACCTCTAAAAATTTAATACTCGCGCATCTCTTTCCTTATACTTTTGGAACAAGGTATAATTTAAAAGAAAATAATAAAACTCTTAAAATTAAATCATGTAGATAAATTAATACTAATTTAATTAAAATATTTAATTATTCTCTTTATTTTCTTTCGTTCCACTAAAATATCTTCTTTATATTTTCCCTTTTCCTTTAATTTCTTCCAACAATTTATTCCCGACAAGAAAACTTCTTTTCTCTTTCCAAATTAATTTCCGTTTTTAAAATAACAAAATTGCCAAAAAGGCGGGAACAGTTTTTAGAGGATGAGTAAAAGGAAGGAAGGAAAAGAAGTTAACAACCACCGTAGGCCAAACACCAATCCCTTCCTCTCTTTTTTTATTCCTGGTTTTTCTTTTTCTTTCCTTTTTTTGTCCAACCAACCAACCAAAACTTACCCCTATATATTCATTACTACTACAAACACACACAAAACAATCCTCCACCTCTCTCCTTTAATTCTTCTATCCTTTTTCATTCAAATAAATACTAATTTATTTTATATTCCCCATAATTTATTTTTTTAATACTCGCGCATCTTTTCTCTTTTATTTTCCGTTATTTGAATATAATATTCTTTATAATATTTTGGCTACTTCAAATTTTCTTTAAAAGGCAAAAGATTTTTGATATAATATTTCTGGAAATGATAAGAATAATTAATTATTGTTTGGTGTTAATTAATTAACTTTAAGTAAATTGTTTGAATAATATTTGTGTTTTTATCGTGTTTTGCTAAAATATATTTATAAAGTTTTGGATAAAACTTTAAAAAAACTTGTTCGATTTCTTGTTAATTCAGTTCTATTGAGTAGCTTACTTTTTATTTTTTAAAAACAAAATTCCAATTTTAATTTAAAATTTCTTTTAAAAAATCCCAATCTTTTCCGTCCTTTTTTCCAAATAAAAATACCAAAAATTTTAATTTAAATTAATTAATTACTCATTTCCTCATCAATTTCCGTTTCTTTTCATTCATCTCCTCCCTCCTTCCTCCTCTTCATCCACCACCTTTATTTCCTCTAATTTTCTCGTTTTTACACAATTTCTAAATTTCTTTTTTAAATTTTGTTTTAAAAAATATTTTTCTGTTCAACAAAAAATATTTTTTTTCAATTTGTAAGGAATTTTTGTATAAAAGGGCTGAAATTGTTACTAAATAAATTGTATTTTAAATATTTTTCTAAATTAATTAACTTCGGATAGAAATAATAATATTTAAGTGTTTATTATCTGATTCACAAAAATATTTGATCGGATAAAGAATTTAATTAAAGAATTATTTCTTTTATTTTTCCTTTACCTTAAAACTTTAATATAAGGACAAGTTTATTTAGTTTAAATTATTTTTTAATATTTTTATTCATCCTTCCTTCCTTTTTACTCCCGACAATTCTCTCTTTTTTCCTTAACCGTTCCATTCCCAAATCAAAAATAAAAAAAAGTTTTGAGTAATTGGTAAAATTTGTGGCTATACATAAATATATTTTTTTGTTTAAATTTTCTTCTAAAATTCCCGTTTTTATTTATTTTTTCCTTTCTTTTTTTTTTGTTCATTCACTTCAATACTCACTCCCTTTCTTGCGCATGTATTTCTTCTTCGTTCCCGTTCCTTTTCCACAATTAATTGTTGGGGGGCTCTTTTTCTTTTTTTATTTCACCTTTTAATAAGGGCAACAAAAATAAAAAAGAAAATTTAATGGCAGTCCAGGTTAGGGAGAAAATAAAAATAAAAAAAGACAAAAAATATCAGGAAAGGTGAAAAATAAGATGTTTGGGAATTAAAATAACGGCCAATCAACTTGCCTATAGACTAATTCCCGTTTTTTGTTTGATTGAACGTTTTAATAAAAGAAAATAAAATAAAAATATTTTTTGAGAGAATATGTTTATTTCCATTAAATAAAAAGTTTAGATTTAGAAAACTAATACATATTCGTGTTCTGCCATTGCAGAAGCGTCATCCATATCCGAGTCTAAGCTCTCAAAACTAATTTTCCTCAAAATTTAACAAACTTATTTTATTCTTTGCCTTTAATTTTGACTTAATCCAAAAAATCCAAAAAATGTTTTTAAATAATTTTTTCAAAATATTTTTTTCATTTTTATTCTTTCTTTAACTATTCTTAATTTAAAAATAAAAAAAAATAAATAGCACAACTATTACAAGAAAAGTGTCCTTTTACAGTTGGTTAACTTCAAAATATTTAAATGATTTTTTCCAAAAAAAAATATTTTAGACTAATAATTTTTTTTCTCATTTAATGTCCTTTTCTTCAGCATTCTTGTTGTCTCTTTAAAAATTATTTATTGTTTGAATTCTTTTGGGCCATTCAACAATTTATTTTTATTTTATTGGGATATCTAATATTGATAAAAAAATCTGGTACTTTTCTGTTTTGCCACCCCCTTCCAATTTCAGAAATCTTAAGAACCTTTGCTCACTTAAGATCTTAGGAAATCAAGCTATCATTTGATTACCTGAGGAAAATTAAGGTAGAATGGGAAAGGAGTTGATTGCAGACTATGACACGGATACTGATTTTGTTATCCGTATCCGGATATTTACGGCGGATACAGACGGATATCCGCAGGCATTTTTACAGTATCTTATCCATATCCGTATCTATGTCCTAGTTTGGTTGATTGTAGAAAAAATGCATTTTTGCAGAATGTCTTTTGCGGAAATATGGATTGTGAGCTGGACATTTACCCATTAATACCTCTATTTATTTATTTACTAGGATTTACAATATATTATTTAAGTGCCGATTATTTATTATATATTGGGGGTTAAATTGACTGGAAAAATTATTTGGCATTTATTTGGGAAAAGTTAGATAATAATAATGCGAGAGATTGTTGAGATAAAAAAGTAATAAATGAATGAAAGTATTTAAAAAAGAAATATTTAAAAATAAAACTTGGAAATATATTTAAGTAATGTATGAAATAGCTAAAGTATTGAGGCCATATGATCTGTATGAATCTTTATCTAAATTGAATAATTTCATATTTATTTTTTCATATTTTTTCGAATCTGAGATTAAATTCAGCTTAAAATTTATAATTATTTAGTTAAGTTTGCTAAGTCCAGATAAAACCGCTTAAAATCAATTATATCCTAATAGATTTCTATGAATTTATTGTTTAAAGGGGAATATATTTAAATTTGGATTTAATAAAATACAGTAATCTTTTCCTGTTTTTATTCCCTAATTTTTGCTTTATTTTTCCATATTTTTGATAGAATTTCTTCAAGACATTTTTGTAAGTTTTATTGGGTGTTTCATTGCAATTAAGCTTTTTTTGATGGAAACTTGTGTGTAGTTTAGAGGTGGAATGCGAGATGAGAGAAAGGAAGGGAGAGAATAGTCCAAGGCCAAAATTTGAAGGAAAGAAGGATTGGTCGTTAGGAAGGAATTATTTTGGAAGAAAAAAGTATTAGGTGTTGTTTTGTACACTCAATTTAATATTTCATTGGATAGTCAAGAGTTGCGCTATGTGAAATAAAAGAAAAAATTGTATATTTTTATGTATTTATTTGGGCAGAGAAAATTGCCATTGAAAGAGAAGGTGCACATGGATGGGGGAGGATATATTTATTTATTTAAATCCCTTACTCTCATTTCCATCATTTTCAGAAAAAGATTATAATCTTCTGAATCTATAACAAAGTTTTTGAAGAGTTTTTGAGTATTTGGATCATCCAGACAAATCTGTATATTTTTTGGAGTGTCTTTCTTTCTGTGGTTAATATTTTATATTAGGGGTGGGCACGACCGGGTTTAAAACTAAAAATTTTGATATTTCTTGCCAAAAATTAACCGTTTTTAAGAAATTTTAAAAACCGAAAATAGGGGTACTGGCCTTAGTTTATGTTATTTTGAAATTTAATTAAATTTAAAGTTAAATTAAATTTATAAACGCTTAACATCACTTTTCCTTTCAGCCCCCATTTTTTTTTATAAATTTCCAGCTTTTATCTAAAAATTATTTTAAACATAAATTTCAGGCCCTACCGATTATATTTCTTTTTAATTTTACTTTATATTAAATCCACCCTCATTTTGTAATTGTTCTAATTCCACGTAAAATCCAAAATTCCAGTAAAATAACAAAATAATCTAACCAATCCAAATAAAACAAATAATATTTTTAATCCAAAAAATAGTGATGGGTGGCGTAACTACCGCCGGATTAAACTGCGCATTTGCCCATAAATTTTATCTATTACTAAATTTATTTTAGAGGAAATTTATATACAAAGTTGGGATGGCCATAAAATGTACATATTTTTTTATAAAATTTTATATTTTAATTATTAATATTAGAGTTCGGAATTTGGAAAATGCCGTATCCGTTTCGGGATTTATGAATTTTTTATCCGGACCCGATTTTTATCAAAATACCCGGATCGGGACTAATGGATCCTGAAAATCCCGACCTGGATCCGGTCCCGATCCGAACTCTAATTAATATTTTAAAATAATTTGTTTTATGTAATTTTGTTAGTCTAAATTTAGATTAGAGACTTTTAAAAATTAAAAACAAATTTTTTATAAAATTATTGCCAGAATTTTAAATAAATTTTTGCCATTTTTTACCAAACAAGTTTATTTGTTTGTACTTTGAAACAAAAATGGAAGCAAATATTTAATATAAAAAATAAATTAAATAAATATAAAAAAGGTTAAGTGGGTAATCGTTGTATTTATTTATTTATTTACAACAAATAAAGGAAGAAGGGGGAGGATAAGCTATATCTGGGAATGACAAAAATTTTTGGCTTTTCTTTATTAAAAATTCCGACATTATTTTTGTAGCGATAAAGGATGGAATGTCTAAATATATTCCCTCCCCTACTCCTTACATTCCACTTGGATAGTTCTCCTCTAACCGTTCTTTTCCTTTTTGTTATCTACATATTTAAGGTAAGGGGCATATCTTGGGAAATTTTGGAAAAGTCAAGAGTAAAATGAAGAAAAGGAAGAGAAAGTTTAGATATACATATCTCTGGTAATAAAAAAATATATTTCACAAATAGGTAGAGGATATAGAATTTGCTATCTAAAAGTACAATAACCAAAATTCTCGTAGGGTGACTAAAGTAGAACCTCTAAATTTTATAATTCTAGGTAATAATATTTTCACAATTAAAGTTAATGTGTGAAAGTAATTTTATTTTATTAAAATGTTTTCATTTCCAGTTTTTGATATTTTTGCCATATGTCTATTTTCGACACTTTAGAAATTTTTAGAGATGATCTCCCTTTACTCTTTACCTTTCTTTATATAATTGTCAATAAATCCAATCCTTTTTTTAATTTCAAATTCTTGTATTCCTTTTAAAGTCGGTATTCTTTTATTATTTTGTTTGTTTTTATTTTTAGTCTTTTATTAAATGGCAAAATACACCTTTAAATATTTTCTTTTAAAGGACTTACCGTTCCTTAGTCCCCTCCATAAACATTTCCGAGGCCAATTATTTTACATATATAGCACCTCTTCATCAAAAAAACGGAAAAGATGAGCGAGATTTTCCTTCCTTCCTAACTTGTCTCTCTCTTTATTCCCCCCACACTCTCTTTTATTTTTTTACTCTCTCAATACCTCAAATATTCATCCCTACACAACCGTTATATCCCTTCTACCTTTCCTCTTCCTCATTGTTTGCCACCCATTTTTATTTTCCAACTTTCAGTCAGGAAAGAAGATCTTACACACACAGCGGTGCCATCCTTTTCGTTAATGTTTGCGGCAGTACTTATCCTTTTACCTTTTCCTCTCGCGCATCAAAATTTTTTACTTTTTAAGGTTGTTGGGGTATTTTATTTATTTAGTTATGTTGTTTTTCTTTCTTTTTTTTTATTAAATAAAAATATTTAAATAATTATTTTTATTTTTTTTTATTCAAACATTTTATTTAAAAATATTTTTCCTTTCCATCCAATGAGTGAGCGAAGGAAAATTTCTAGGATTGGAGGGAAAGAATAAATCCACAAAGAGGGCCAATAGTAGAAAAGGAGGATGGATTATAAGAAGATAAAAAGTCTTTTTATTGTAGAATTGTCCTTTATTTAAAAAAAATAAAATGAAAAAATAAATTTATTTATTTATTAAAAATTATTAAAGTAACCAAAAAATTATTTTGACTGTTTTTGGGCCTCTATTAAATTATTTTTTCTCATAACCTTTCTTTAATGTACCGCTTCCTTTAAGCGTTTTCCAGCAAAAATCTTCTCAATATACAAAAGAGATATCACTTAAACGGATCTTTTTCTTTCCATCAATCCTCTAACATTTATTATTCTTTCCTACTTATATTTTTGGATATTTTTAAAGTATGAAGTTTTTATTTTTACTTTTAAAATATTTCTTTAATTATAAGGAAATATTTAATGAAAATAAAATAAAGATTAAAATTAAATTGTTATTCTAAAACTAGTTAAATTTTGTGACTTAAATTTTGTAAATTAGTTAAATTTTGTGATTATTTAACAATAAAAAATGTTTCTGAGAATATGTTCAAAAATATATAAAAATTAAAAACATAAATTAAAAAATGAGTAGTAGATAGCATTTCCGCTTTTACAAAAAATATTCCAATGAGAAATAAATTTACTTTTTTCCCTTTTTCTACTCGAATACTTTTAGATAGGAAAAATATTTTTAGAGAGAAAATTTAGTTTTGTCCATTCTGTCCAGTATCAACAAAAATGTTGTTAGGATTGGGTGGTGTGTTCATAGTCCAAGCCAACAGATCCAGGCCATTGATAAGAAAATTGAAAGTAAGGATGGTTGGTAAAGAGAGGAGAGAAATAAAGAGGAAGAAAAAGAGGAGAAAGGTTATTTTTGTACAAATAAATATATATAGAAAGGGAGGGAATGGTCAAGTAAAAGTTTATTACAATCAGAAGAAATAATACTTGGATCATTCTTCTTAATATTTTGTTTTGACCAAAAAATTAAATGACCCTTCCAGTGTTGATGAATATGGGAAGTATTGATAATTTATTTTTAATGGAAATTAATGAGATTTATCTAGGATTTAAATGTTAATACCTACCTATATATATTCCTCTATATTACAAGGTTTACAAGCAGGAATAGAAATTCTGCCCTTCTAATTGTTATTGCTTACTATGTAATTCGCTAATCACATTCAGGTGCCCCAACAATTAATCTACCTAATTTCTTTCTTATTGCCTGAATCATTCTTCCCTAACTTCTCTCCCATCTCTTTTTGTTTTCTAAATTCTATTTTGCTAATTAAATAAATTTTTTAGAAATATTTTAATTGAAAAAGGAAAATTCTTTAATTGGAGGATTAAAAATTAAAGAAGGGAATGGATCAAAATGCTTGTGCCGAATGTGGATATACAACGGCCGATTTAAATGAATTTAATAAACATGTAGAATGGCATGAAGATTTAAAAGAAGGAGAAGAAATATTTGAAACAAATGAAGAAGAAAAGTTATTGAAAGAAATTAAGGAGGAAGAGGAAGGAGAATTTTTAGTAAAAAAGAAAAAAAGAAGACTAAAATTTGAAAATTTAAATGAAAAGGTTTTTTAATAAATTTGAAAAAATTAATTTGGATATATCAAATAAAGATCGGAAAAATAAAAAAATAATTACTATTTAATTTAACACAAACCAGAATACCCCCAATAAATTTTTACCAGGATAAACAATATACCATAGAATTAACTACCAAAATTACCCTAAGATTATTAGAGATTGGGTAAATCAAATTTGTGATTTATTTGATTTCTAGTAAATTTCTAACTTTTTATTAAATTAAAATTTTATTTTAAATTTTAATTATTAATTAATTAATTATGCCTGAAATATTCAGTACCCCTTCACAATATATATACTAGACAAAAACATAAAGTTTTTTACAGTATTTTAACCTAAATATTAAATAAAGTTTATGCCCTCTTTAAAATTTTGCTTTCAGAAAAACTCTAAAAAACAAAAAAAAAATAAATAAAATTTTTGCCTTTCTGTTTATTTTGCCCCCTTTTTTGTAAAATTAATTTATACCGCCATTTTATCTCGTTTTTAATCATTCAAAAAAGTTTTTAGTAACCGCCTTTTCTGTCCTGAAGCTTAAAACTTTTTTTCCATTTTTTATAAAAATAATTATATTTTATTTTTTTTAATTTACAGAATTTAACAGAATTAGAAGAAGGACAACAAAAAATGGAAGAAAGTGACAATTTAAATAATTCAAATAAAATGCTTGGACATTTGGCTGATTTGGGGAGATTTTTAAATGAAGCTGTTGCTGCAACTAATAAAAATAAAAATAATTTAATAATTAAAGAAGAAAATGTTGAAAATAATTTAAATATATTTTGTAATAATAATAATTGTTTTTTACAAGAAGAACAAATAACAAAAAAGTACTAAATATTTTTTTAATTAAATTAAAATAAAAATTTTTTAGTAATTTAAATAATCAACAAAATGGGGAGGAAGAAGGAATAATAATTAAAAAATCATCAAAAAATAAAAAATTAAATAATAAAAAACAAAACGGGAATGGGGGAGGGGGAGGAGGTAAAACAACACATAAATGCCCCCATTGTACATTTACTACATTTATGTCTCAACATATGAAAAGTCATTTGGTAAATTTAAATTTGGATTAAAAATTAAAATTAAAAATATTTAAAGAGAGCACATGATAATTTTGTTGGTCAAATGTATATTTGTGATCTTTGTGGAATGGCGGTAAATTAAATAATTAATGTGGAATAAATTAATTCAAGGAAAATAAATATTTTAATTTTTATTTAACTATTTAATTTAAAAAAATAATTTCCCTCTCTTTTTCAGTTTTCTCAGAAAGCAAATATGCATAGACATAGAGGTACACATTCTGGAGTAAGTTTATTTATATTTAAAAAGTATTCTTTAATATTTTTAGATAAAGCCATTTGAATGTAGATTTTGTCAAAAAAAATTTTTTCGAAAAGACCAGGTAAATAAATACTTTAAACTAATTTTTATTTACAATTTAGATGCAAGAACATTCAATGACACATATAAAGACAGGAAATGATTTTGACTGCCCGGTAAAATTTAAAAAAGATTTTGTTATTAATTTAAAAAATTTATTAAAGGTTTCTGGTTGTTCTTTTAAATTTTCCCAACATAATTTACTTAAACAACATCTCGATCAAAAACATGCCATTTCCCCTTCTTTGCAGGGGCAGTGTAAACTTTGTAATTTGGTAATTTTGAATAAATATTTTAAAATAATTATTTATTTTCCTCCAGCAATTTTCAAATGCTCGCCGTCTTTTAATGCATTACCAAACAAAACATGAGGAATATGCAAGTAATGATTCACCCGTTCTTGAAGTAATTTAATTAATTTTATTTGAATAATAATTATTTTGAGGGGCAATCGCCGGTGAAAAGATTAAATAATTGTTTAACAAAAACATCTCCTCCTTCCTCACCATCAGAATTAACAACAGAAACATCCTCCTCCTCCCAACAACAACCTTCCTCTCTCCAACAAAATGATCAAAATTTTTCTTTTCCCTCATCGTCTATCAAAAAAATTGGACGAAAACCAAGGAAAAGGCCAAGATTGTTATTATCCCCTTCGTCCTCTACTACTATAAATTCTTCAATTAAACAACAAATAAATAATAATAATTTAATATTAGATAATAATTCTTTAATTAATTCCTCCAATCATTATTCAAATAAAACAGTTAATAATTAATAATTAAATTACTAATAATAAAATAAAGTAAACCAGACTAGGACACGGATACTGATCTTGGTATCCGTACCCGGATATTTACGGCGGATACAGACGGATATCCGCAGGCATTTTTATCATATCTGTATCCATATCCGTATCCATGTCCTAGTCTGAAGTAAACTAACAATAAGTATGTAAGCAATCCTTAATATAAATTGAATTTAAAGAACTTCGACTAACATTTTTAAAAATTATCAAATTCTTTTTGTAAAATATTTAGTTGAATATTTTAAAAATAAAATTTATTTTTTTCAGAAAGTTCTACCAGTCAATGGCTGTATTTCATTTTCCCCCGCAACATTTTCTGATGCCCCTACAACTTCTTCTTCTAGCACTTTAAATGGTTATAACGTGGAAGATTTATTAAAATTAGATTGTGGTGGAAGTGATAACAACACAAATACTAGTTATTATTCTTCCCCTTCTTCTTCATCCTTATCTACAAAAGAACAACAAAACCTTCAATTATCAACAATATTTACTTCGACGGTACTTATTATAAGAAATGGGACGGGGTACTCAAAACGCAGACTTTTTTCGACCCTAAACTCGTTTCTGAATTTTAGGCTGACTTAAAAGCTTAATTGGTCTGGACCAAAAAAGTAGAATTTTTGCCTAAATCTCCCTAATAAAAAACAGAATACAAGAACATTTACATAATTTATTTCACAACAATTAACAATACAATTTCATATAATGGCAATACACAAAGGCAAATAATTACATATTAACAGATCTAGGGGGAAACAACCAAAGCAATAGCAATATATACATACATTTATGGGAATAAGGGTGGGTATTATCCTGATTTGTCCACATTGAATTTTGTGGCTGTCATCGCTCTTCTCCTTCCTATTTCTTCATGTCCTAGCAGCTCACATGTAGGCCGACTGGTCTCCACGAGGCGGTGGCGGCGCATTGTTGCCAGACGGAGGTGCTGAGCCTGCCTCGAACTCGAACTGGTAGCTGCCGCCACGAACAGGCTGAAAATAAAAGAAGATTGTTGATTAGATATAATTAGAAAAAAAAAAGATTGTTAAAATAGAAATATTAAAACGTACCGCTCCACCACCACCACCATAGCCACCACCACCACCGGACTTCTTGGGCATGGTCCCTGGCGAAGGCATGTAGGCGCTCTGATCTCCCATGACGATTGTTGAACTTGAGCTGGTTGAGAAGAGATGTAGTTGACTGTAGTTGTGCTGACGAACTGTTGGGAAATGAGTGAAAGGTTGCGTTTTTATAGTAAATTAGTGTTCACACACGTGGTATCCAAGTATAAAAACAAATCTTTCACTCAGTCCGCATCAACTTCGTCGCAACAGATCGTCAATTACAACTCTTCTCAGCCAGCTCAACAATCGTCATGGGAGATCAGAGCGCCTACATGCCTTCGCCAGGGTCTATGCCCAAGAAGCCTTCCGGCGGCTATGGTGGTGGTGGTGGAGCGGTACGTTTTAATGTTTATATTTTAACAATCTTATTAATCATCAACAATCTTCTTTTATTTTCAGCCTGTTCGTGGCGGCAGCTACCAGTTCGAGTTCGAGGCAGGCTCAGCACCTCCGTCTGGCAACAATGCGCCGCCACCGCCTCGTGGAGATCAGTCGGCCTACATGTGAGCTGCTAGGACGAGGAAAGCTGCGAGACAGGAACCTGAAGAAATAGGAAGGAGAAGAGCGATGACACCATAAGATTCAATGTGGACAAATCTTGATAATACCCACTCCTATTCCCATAAATGTATATGTATATATTGCTATTGCTTTGTTTGTTTCCCCCTAAACCTGTTAGTTAATATGTAATTATTTGCCTGTGTGTATTATCATTATTTATATAAAATTGTATTGTTAATTGTTGTGAAATAAATAAATGAGTGTGTTTAGTGTGAATTAATGATTAAACTTGAGTTTTACTCGAAAAAAGAGAAAGACTTTTTATTTTAGATCTTTAAATTCCCCCAAAATTTCAAAATTAAATAAATATTTTTCTAGCCCTCCCCAAGTCAATGTTCTTCTGGAACCTCAGGATTTGACCTTTTATTTAGAGAATGTTGGCTAAAAACTTTTTCTTCTACCGCTTTGTTAACCCAATTTGGAGGTAAATTACCTACATCCACAAATTCTTTTATTGGAAATAATTCAGGCATTTTGACTATTTAAAATAAATTAATTTAAATATTTAATTTTTAAAGATCAACTAAAACAAGAAGAAGAAGATTATTCAAAGGAAGATAAAGAACAACAACAAAATAAAGAAGTTAATGCTTCTGCATTAGCAGCAGCTATGGCTGCTATGGCAGCATCTCTTCAAATGTTTGTTCAAAGTTCTCAACAATTTCAACAAATTGTAAATAAAAAATAAATTGTGAAAAGAGGAAAAGAAAATTATTTAGACTTTATTATTTATATATTTAATGTGTTTAATTAAATGTTTATTTAATATGTATGTTTTTGTTTTTAAATATTTTTTATATGAATAAAGTTTTTTTGAAAAATACTAAATTTTAATATAATTCAACATTCAGACATTACCATAAAGTCGCTCAATTTTTTAAATTTTTCCACTAATATCTTTGAAACAGTTTACAACCTAATATACATAATCCCAACATCCAAATCTCAAAACTCGTCAACGGAAAACCTTAGTAAATGTCTTTAAAAATTATAAATTTTTTACATTCTAGGGGTAAAAATCTAAAAATGTTTAATGGAGCACTGTGTGTTTAAAAATTCGAATAATTATATACATAATTCAAAATATTAAACAATCTTTTCCAAAAAAAAAGAAAAATGTAAAAATATCATGCAGTGAGTCAATCATTCAAATATCCATATTTAATTGCGCCGAGACTAGATATATTTTTAGATATATTTTTTTAAATATATTTTTAAATTTACATATATTAAAAATTTATTTTAATTATTTAAAATATCTTTTATCTTTAGAAATATAGTGGTTATTATTTTTAGAGTAAGGTATCGACTGTTACTAATACATACATACATACATAAGTATATAAATCCTTAAACTCCTTTACATGTAAATGAACAAATAGCCTTTGTTAATCACACCAAAAGAGGTGGTTTTTCTAAAATATACTCAATGTTAAATTAAGTCTTATGTGGATTTTTTGATTAAGTTTAAAGGAAAGGAAGAATTTTTAATAAAAAAATTAATTATTATTAAAATATATAAATTTATTTAATTTTTATAATTTTTTATTAAATAAAAAATCTTTTTTTCTTTTTTCCTCTTTAAAATATTTACTTATTATATTCGGCATATTATATTTTCTAAATTTGAATGCCAACTGTCCATCAATCGCTAAACTAGTCTATTTTCTTATAAATATCCTTCTGCTTTATAATTTTCTCCTTTTCTTTTCTATAAATGTCAAAGAATACAAAATCCCCAACGGTCCCAACAAAAATGCCAAAAATACTTTCCCAAAATATCTTCAATCCTTTTGACCACTACTAAAAGAGTTATTTGAAATGAAAATTGTAGGTCTTGTCTCTCATCTAAAATTTTTAATAAGAATGATTTTAATATTTATTTTTTTATTCGTTGCTGATAATTATTTAAATATTTTAAAAATTATTTATTTTATTTATTTAATTATAACCACAAAATTATTTAATATTAAATTAAAATGTTGATTTTAAAAATTCCATGATTTTACTTATAATCTGAATAGAAATGTATGTAGGTAAATTTAAAAAATCTAATACCATAGACAAATACTACATCCTTAATAAATTTGAGTACTATTCTGTTATCCGCCGCCATTTTCCTTTCACTCTAATTTGATTGACTATAACTTTTGTCTTATTGAATCCAATCCAAATGATTCTTATATCATTTGCAAGCTCTCAAAAAGCTCTATCTTTTTGCCAACTGGGTGGATCAGATATGATCTAACATTAAAGAGTTACAATTCGATAGTGTGAAAAACAACGATTTTCTGCATTTATCGAGTTGTAACTTTTTAATGGGCGATCAGATTCGGTTGGAGATTCAGTTGGGAAAAAGATAATATTTTAAATTTATTTTTTTTCCATTGTCAAAATTAAATTTTTAAAAATTATATACATACAAATGAATATTTAATTACTTAATTATTTTTTTTATTTAAAAATAAAAGTGTTGCCGCTTTTATTCTTTTCAATAAACCAAGCCCCCCCCTCCACTTCAATGGTCATTCAACATCTCTCCTCACTCAAATCTCGCCTCAACTAATTTATGCACTGACCCTTTAAATTTATAGTTTTTTTGCTTTGCTTTATCTTTTATTTTTTTTAATTATTTCTAACTAAATAAAAATATTTTTTAAATATTTCCAAAATTTACAGTAATTTAATTATTTTATATATCCATTTCGCTAAAGGAAGAATGTAATTTTAAATATTTACATATTTATTAACTTCCTCCCCTGCTGTGCGCGAAGTAAACACAATCCTTTTATAAATACATACAGTATTTTTTACACAATTTAGATTTTAAAAAATTTTATAAAAATATAAAAATCTAATGACAAATTTAGAAAAATCTAAAATTCTGTGATTAGCAACAGAAAATGCTTCTTCTAGTTCAATTGGAAATTTTTAAAAGACTCCTATAAAAATGTAGATTTATTAAAGGTGGAGAGAAAAACTCCTCTGAGAAGATTTTTAATTAGGTAGATGTACTCGTTTTGACGTCCAATCATATGTCCACGTCGTTTTCACTTTAACGTTAAATTTTTCTGCAAAAAATGCTTCCAAATAAGGTTCAACTTCAACATATTATTTTAGAAAGTTATTTTTACTTTATTTTTGTAAAAAATCTCTCGCTTTTTTTAAATTTATATTTATTTTCCCTCCCTTCCCCGCATCCATCATTTGTCCAAAAAAGACTTTAGTTGGCACTTGTTTTCTTTAAAACACCCATTTTTTCATTCAAGAAGTTTAGAAAATGTGAGGCCATAGATGAAAAATGGGGCTCTATAAATAATCCTTTCCCTCTTCCCTCCAATTTTTCTTTTCCCTTATTTTCTTGAGCAGTTGGCTAACTGAATTTTAGAAGATCCGGCTGACAAAAAATATATAAATTCTTTTAAATACCAATTGATATTGTCTTTATTTACACCTTTTTAGATTTATTAAAAGTACTTTAATTAACTTGGGTTTTTTCTGTATAATTTATATATACTGAATACTTGTTTTATTTGTTAACCTGAAATAATCTAGAAAATAATTAAAATTTTTACTATATCTAAATATAAATTAAATTATAGAAAAAACAAAGTCTAGCTATTTACTAAACTTTGTTTTCTAATTAAATAGACAATTTAAATTTACATTAAAAATTTTTATAAAAGTTTATTTTAATAATTAAAAAAATATCTCAGGAAATAACATTTAATTTTAATTTTAATTATTTAATTCTAAAATTTAATTTAGTGTCAAATTTTTAATTTAAAATTTATTAACTCTCCCATTTTGTTAAAAAAGTGTTTATTTATTTAAATTATTATTTTTCTTTTAATTTTTATTATTTATTTTTGCCATAAATAATCCTAAAACATTGATTTGTGCCCTTCATCATCCTCCCCAAAGCTTCTTACTTCTCTTATTTTCCTTTCTTCCCATTTTTTCTCCAACCAATCCGTCAATTCCTCCCAAACATATCCCCACCCCCCCCCCCTTCTAAATATTACAAAGTCAGAAATATTAAGAGAATCTCTTGGCCTTCCCTTCTTCCTTCTTTATTTCTTCCCCTCTACTCTTCATCTCTTCATTTCTTCAATCCAATCCATCTTCCGAATTTGGAGAAGAAAAAAAAGGAAGGGGGGGGGGGGTAGGGAATACTAGAAAAGTGTAAGTATAAGTAAGCCTTTTTACTTATATTTCTTTTTTCTCTTCTAGATTATCAACTAACTTTTTCCTTCTAAATATTCTTCCAAAAAATTTTTCTAGAATCAAAACTTTTTTCTTCCATTAATCTTCATGTCACAGTTTTTGCCACCAGTAAATATTATCTACCTAAAAATTTTTATAATGCCAAACAGAAACAGCAAAAAAAAATTTTTTTTATAAAATTTGTTAAGAAAAATAAGCAGCCGTTCCCTCGAGTCTTTGAAAGATTTCTTTTTCTTTTTTTCAATCTCTTCTTCTAGACAAAATAGTACATATTTTTTTCAATTTTTGTTTTTCTTTTTTATTTTCTAAAAATTATTTTTAATATTTATTTTTTTTTAAATTTAATTAAAAAATCGTTGTGAACAGTTAAAAATAAATCAATTGTGAACTATTTTTAAATTAATTATTTTTTTATTCTTTGAAATATCCCCACCCCTTTATCCATCAAACCATTAAAACAATAAATTTTTTCGCCCCCGCAGAGAAAATAATTTTATTTATTTTTAGTTATTTTCTTCGAAAAGTTTGCAACATTTTAATTACTTTTTTCAATTAAATTACTTCCCCCTTTTTTATTTTTGGCAATTTATTTTTCCTCTCACTTTCATTATTTGGCCAATAAAATTTTAAGTGTAAAAGAAAGAATGAGGGAGGAAGAAGGGGGAAGATGCCGCAAAATTTATTGCTTCGGCGATTTATTACCTTCCTTTCTTTTAAATAAAAAAACAATTATAATTAAATATTTTTTAGTAATTTGTTTTTTTTTGTTTTAATATTTAGTAGTTGCTAATTAATTTAAAAAAAACAATTAGTAATTTATTTAATTTACAAAATAAATTAATTTAAAAAATAAAAGATAATTGAATATGTAAATAATTATTTTTAAATTGATAACCAGAAAATAAAAATAAATAAAAAAATATTATTCAAAAAATTATTTAATATTTATTTATGTCAATCATTTATTTTTACTTTTCTATTTTTTTTGTTTTCCATGTTTTATTCTACGCCCTTTTTAATTATTCTTATCAGACCAAAACATTATAATAAATAGTAGTTAATATTTATACCCCACCTTCCCTTCTCAATTATAAAAATATACATACATATATGTAATTGTTTTTATCCATTTTTCTTCTTAAATAAAAGTTTTTAATTATTTTGGCTATTATTTAATTAATTTATTAACTATGTATGTATTTTTATATTTAAATTTATTTCACTCATTTAGGAAGAAAAAAAGCTTTTCTTATTAAAAATAAGTAAAAGATTTATTTTACCTTCTGATAATAATTTGTGTTTGAATTAATGATTGACAACTAAAAAAATAAACAAATAAAAAAATATATTTCGTACTCTTGGAAGGGATAGAAATTGTTAAATAAATAATAACCATTAAATAAAAAAATTGTAAATCCTTTGAATAAGACTATTTTTATTTTTTTGTACACAAAAATTATTTTAAAACTTAATCTCAAAATTGTGAATTAATTATTTAAATGTTTTGAACCTCTAACAGTTGTTTACTTAAAACTTTAATTATATACATCTTTTAAATTATTCGTCCTAAGTTTAGTAAGTATCTTTTCATCATGTTTTAACACTTTCCCGAAAAATTAAAAAGTCACTGAAACATGTTGATTTTCTTTCCAAAAAATTAATTAGTAATTTATTTACTTTTAGAAAAATGTATTTTAATTATTTTAATATAATTAATTATTTTTTAATTAATTTTTTAATTTTATTTTATTATAATGAAAGAAAATCAATTTCTTTTGCTTTTTTGACCGAACCTAAACTCGGTTAGAGATTTAATTTTAAGATTTTTAAATATTTTTTTAAAGTTTATGTTGACGGTTCTCAACCTTGGGATAATTGTAGGCCTGGATTGAAAAGATCTTTAATTTCTTTGACTGGTATTAAACAAAACAGATTATTTTTAAATAAAATTTAATTAAAGGTTTACTTCTTTCACATCCTTTTTATGGTTCTCTTCCATATAATTCTAGTAGAAATTGTTTTCTTACAATTGCTGTTCCAGTTGGATATCGTGTTAGGCTAAAAGTAAATAAATAAATTTATTTTTAATAATTAATTTTTTTTTAATTTAGGCACTCGATTTTGATGTTCAAGGGCAGTGGGGAAAGTGTGAAAGGGAGGATACATTGTTAGATTTAAATGAATATACAGTTAAAACCTCGATATTGCGAATGAACCGAAGGAAAACTTCGTGTTTTCGAAAGTTTTAAAAAGTTCATTATCTCGAAGGGTAACTATATCGAGGTTGATTGTATTCTAAAATATTTAATTAAATATATTTATTCTGATAAAAGCCCACTCTCTCTAATTATAGTAATATTCCATTTAAAGACATATATTCGATCATAACCAACAACTCGAACCGGAAACACTTTCTGCCAATGAACAACTCCCAATTGGTGGTCATTCCCCCGGAAGGCTTTTGGGTGAATTTTGTGGCAAAATTGAGACAGATTTAACAAAAAGTAAAAATAATTAATTAATTAAAAATAAATTTTAAATTTAGATGATCCTTCTTCTCCATTAAATCAACGTTCAATTTTAGCAGAATCTTCCCAAAATGCTTTAACCCTTTGGTGGCATACAGAAGATTTACAAAATGTTTAAATAAATATTTTGTTTAAATTTAAATTCAATCTTAGTTAAATAATCAAAAACAAACAACCCCCCTCAGTACTTTAACTAGTAAATCAATTAATTTAAAAACAAATTCACAAGGATTTAGATTACTTTGGTTTGATAATTAATAATTAATAAATTATTTAAAATTTAATTTTTAAGGTCCTCATTTCGTTATACAAATTCTTCTTCTGAAAAATGTCGAACAATTAATTCCAAAATAAATTCTTCAAATTTATTATTAAATGAATTTCAATGTAAAAAGTAAGAAATTGAAAATAAATCTAAATTAATTTAAATTATATTCAGAACATTAAATTCTCTAAAAATGGAAGAATGTATTCCAACACAATTGGGGTGTAATTCTTATGCAGATTGCTTAGATGGAAGTGATTTAGATGCACAATTACAATTAAAACATGGATGTGAACGTTAGAGAGATTTTTATTTTGAATTTAATAAAATAAACTTTTTAAATTGTAAAAGATTTATACAGTCGAACACTTACATATTTTACATAGACCCTTGGAATGAAGATAGTTTATGTAAGATTGAGGTGTATTTAAATTTAGAGGTATCGCTTAGGTAGCCCCCCCCTCCTCCACCCAACAAAATATTAAAAATAGAGAATATACGAAACTTTACTTATTTATTTCTCCTTAAGTGAATCTTTAGGAGTGTTTAGTGAAAACATTCGTTAAATTTTTTCTTTTCTAATAATTAATTTAAAAATTCTTTTATTTCTTTAAAGATATTCCAAATATTCCACTCAGCGTCTTAATTAGCTCTGGGCCTAAACGTTTATTACTTTGTGCTGCTTTATTGCTACTTTGGTTGAGTTTATGTTTAGGCTGTTGTTGTTGTTATGTTAGTTAATTTGAAAATTAAAAATATTTTTTAAAATCTTTTTTTGTAAAAATTTTATTTTCAAGAGAATTTATTTTAAATAAGTCGAATCTTGATTTGACGAATTTGAAAGTTTTGTAATTTCGGTGGGATCGTCTCGGTCTCTAAATATAAGTGCTATTAAATATTGAGATTTGACTTTATTTTGTTTAAAAAAATATTTATTTTTAAAGATAAGTTATCGAAGAAAAAGATTAAAAAAGAAACGTTCTTCAACAAATAGCAGCAGTAATGATGGTGATTGTGATTTTACAGCTCGTAAACAACAATTAAATAATGAAAGAGGAAATTTATTTTATGTAAAATTAATTTTAATTTTTTTTAATTTAAAAAAATATTTTTTTAAAGTCATTTAATGGAAATATTCAACAACAAAATAATGGGGATTTAATACCTACAAGTCAACCCCCACCTCCTCCTCTTTTGCCTCCACCAAGTTTCTCCCCTCCAACATTAAAAAATAATAAATTACTTCAAACAAATTTTGTAACTCAACAACCTTTTGGGTTGGTTTTTAATTTCTTTATTAAAAAAATCTTCTTCAAAATTTTCAGAGGTTTTATTAATTCCTCAAATATTTCCAATTTACAAGAAAATAAAAAATTAAAAAGATCTTCAAAACAACAAACAAATTCTTGTTCCTCCAATTCCCAATCTTCTTCACAAAAACACCAACAACAATTAAACAATCCCCCTTCTATATCCTCATTCGAAAACCAACAAAATTTAAAACAAAAATGTCAAAATGTTTCTACTCAACAACAAATATATTTTCAACATTTTAATGACACAAATAAATTAAATGGTTATTTAAAAAAATATTTTTTATTAAAAATTCTAAGCTCGTAAACAACAATTAAATATTAAAATTTTTAATAAAACCTCAAAGAATTGTCTTTTCTTTAGTTAATTTTAGAATTCTTTAAGAAAATTAAATAAATGATAAAATATTTCTTAAAAAATTAAATTTTTAAGGAATTAATTGTGACGATGGTAATTATTTATATTTAAAAGAGCCAATGACACCATTAATTACTAGAGGAAAGCAACAAACAATGGAAGGGCAAAATAGACATTTAATTATTTAATTTTTTAGATATTTAAATATTTTTATATTTTAGAAAAATTTTTTAATTAAATTAAAATAAAATGAATCTCATTATTTTTTAATTGAAAAAAATTTTTGGAAAATTTTATTGAAAAATTAATTTAAATTTTTACAAATAATTTCAAATAATTGAAAAAACGGAATTAAAAAACAAGAAAAAATTTCATTGACAGAAATTAGGAAGCCCTCGTTGGTAAACTTTGGTTCGTGAATCTTTCATAATCCAAATCCGAAAAAATGGTGTTACGACGATTGCGGACAATTCCGGATTTTACATTGTGGATTTAAAATTTAAAAAAAAATCAAAAATTATTGACCGAAAAGGAAAAAATAGAGAGAGGGGGGGGGTCTTAACCACTTTTACCAAAATTAATTTTCTTTAAGAAAAATTCAATTAAAAAATGGGAATTTAAAAATTAATTTAAAATAATTTTTAGTTACTTTTTCAATTCATTTTCATTAATGATTTCCCCATAAACCATTCATATATTGAGCTACTTCATAAACTGTAACTGCATTTGGTCTTTCGTTCATAACTGGACGCATACAGGACTCAATTAAAGATTCAAGATGAAGAGTATATCTGTCATCGGGTAAAGGCGGGTAGTCTGCAGTTTGTATTTTTTGTATCAAGGATTGAACATTATCCTTTTCACCAAAAAATGGTGATTTTGTTGCGGCCATCTGTGGTTAATTTAGACGCATTTTTAATAAAATTTTAGTAAAAATTTTTATTTTTCTTCTGAATTAATTTTTTGAATATATTCCCACTTTCTTATTTTTCACTTAATTACAATCAATACCTGGGCTGAGCGACATAAAAATTTTAAAATGTATCAAAAAGTTTGTACTCGTTAAAAAATGATAAATATAGATCCCAATTAGCTAGATTCGAGACAAAGACATCACAGGACAGAGGACCCTTAAAATCTACCGATATCCAGCTTATCCCTCCAAATCCATTACCTTAATCCCCCAATATACTCTCCAAATCCTTCCGATGCAACTTCGAGCTCTCAAGTCCACCTATGTTTATTGTTAGGGATTAATAGATTTTTACGGAAGAGGGATATCGAAGGATTTTGGGGGACGGGGCATTTAAAGGGCATTTTTCGCAAATTGCAGATTCAAATCCGAGGGATTAATGCTACTAATTTTGCTAATCCACCTATATACCTATTAATATGCAATGCCCTCTTAATATTTTAATACAAGATGCGCCGCAGGCGAAAATTTTGGAAGAAGCCAGATTTTTTTTAATTTATCAAAAATTATTTTAAAAATACCTCATACAAAATACAACCCAAAGACCAAATATCAGAAGCAAAAGTATATGGTTCCTCAATAATTCGTTCAGGTGACATATAATAAGGAGTACCACAAACTGTTTGTGCCTGACATCCAACAGCTAAATTTAAACGAGAAAGACCAAAATCAGCCAATTTAACAATTCCTTGGCCAGTCAAAAGAACATTTGGAGGTTTTAAATCACGATGAATAATTCTTTTTAAATGAATATATTTAACAGCTCCAGCAATTTGACCAAAAAGAAACCAAATTTCGTTTTCTGGTAAAAGGCTAGAATGGGCAATTGCACGTTCCTTTAAATTTTGAAGTCAAAAATTTAAAAGTTAAGAGTCTTTTATATAAATTTTTAATTGGTCATTTTTCAAATGAGAAAGTTACATGGTGCGGATATAGGGGACGGACATATCGGGATATTCCAATGTACGAACAGTTACCCTACTGATTTCGGGACCTACGGTCACTGGGTCTTGGATAATATATTGTCCTATGAGGAATAGAGTTTTTATGTTTTAGAACAAACCTAGACACGCAAGAAATTATTTTTGTCACCCCAATCCCGATATGTCCGTCCCGATATGTCCGTCCCGATATGTCCGTCCCGATATGTCCGTACACCATTTACATACATAAATCCAAATTCGAGCTTGAAGAACGTGTTAGTTTAGCCATAAAATTTAATTCAAAATATCGAAAAAGCACTTATTCCCCGTTTTTAGGGAAATGAAAAAATGCATAAACCGAGGTTTTACCCAAGTCTATTTTGATTACCTGAATCAAAGTTTGAAGATCACCGCCATTAACGTATTCCAAAACAAGAACGAGGTACTTATTTTGCTAAAAAATGTTAATATTATATTTTAAAAATCGGTTTACCGAATAACGCGAAATCTCTTCAAAAGAACGAAAACATTTGACAATATTTTGATGGTTTAAATTGGTAAAAATTCTAACTTCATTTATTGTTGTTTTGTAAATAGCCGGATCAGTAATAGCAGCAAGCTAAAAAAAATTTTTTTTAAATTAAAACATCAACTATAACATACATTAATTCGTTTAAGTGCAACTTCCCGATACTTTGCTGGCATCAATTTAACCAATTCATAACCTTTATAAACTTGTGCAAAAGCACCAGAACCAATGTTAAATAACGAATAAAAATCGTAAATTGAAGTAGCTGGGACTAAAACTTGTCTAGAATATGAAGATGGTGATTGTTGTTGGTTATAAAAATAATTATTCAGTTGTTGATTTTCTGGGTTCATTGGGAATTGTTTTTTTAAATATTTGAGATTGTAAAAAAGTTAAAAATCTGCAAAAAATAATAAAGTATTAGGATGTCATAAAATATTAAATATAGATTTTGTATTAAAATGAGCGCCGTAAATACTCACAAAAATATGCTATATCAAATGGGTTTGTTAAATTTTTTCGAAAAATTTTACGAGGATTTGGGATTTCTGGTAGATCCGGATTATCTCGGCCAATTTTCATTTTCATGAAAAATGCAGAAACATGTCAACTGAGATACAGGTAGAGTTTTCGATTGTTATATAGAACGTATTTTTTGAATAAAAAATTAAGAATTTAAAGAAAATTTTCTAGTGTGCATAAACTTGTGCACCGCAGTGTATACCCAAAATGTGCCACACAAATTTTCTGAACATCAAAAAAAAATTTTTATGATTTTTTTTGTGATACGCGTGAATGAAAATTCTACAAACAAAACTAAAATATATATACTAGAATGCCGAACAAATAAAAAGGGCGTAAATGGCGAAGGGCAAAATGCCCACAATATATAAAAATAAAGAAAACGACGCCAAAATTGAAAAAGAAAACGTAGATAAATAATTCCTGATCATTACTTTTGACCTTTTTCTAGGCAATTTGACGTCCTCATTAATTCTAATTCTTTTCTAGTTTAACTAAAACCCTTGAAAGGAACGCCGACTAGTGAACAATCAACGTTTTCTTTCCCGATGCATCCGTGAAAAGAATAACTATTTTTACCGATCACCGAATCGAAACCAAAATTTAAATATATATGAACAGATATTTCAATGAAAATAAACATTCAAAAACAAAACAATTTAGCCTAAAATTGGGACCATTTATTATATTTATTTAACAAAAACAAATTTTAAAACTTCCTACTCAATTTCAAATTTCAGTATTCTAATTTATTTCAACGTGCTTTTCATCATTCATTTCCGCAATAAGAGCCTCATAGTTATTCTTTGCAGCAGCCAGCTCTTTCATTTTCTCTTCCGCCCGTTCAAGATTTTGTTTATATTTTTCGATTGCCTTCTAAAATTGTTTTTAATTATTTATTTAATTCTAAAAAATACTTCATGGTCGTAACGTTGAATAGACTGTGAATGAAATTGTGTCGCAGCGATTTTAACATCTTTGGACATTTGAACTAAATCCTCTCGATATTTAACCAATTGTTCGTGATTTTGGAAGACAATTGGGAAATGATCAGATGAGAGTTGATTTTGTGTTTGATTACTTTGCATTATTTTAATTAATAACTGAAATAGTAAAACTTTAAAATACTACGAAAGATAAGACATGAGAAAAAAGAAATTTTGTCTTTTTAAAAAAATTAGACATTTTGCCAATTTATAAATTCTATAAATGCGATATTTATTTATTTGAAAAAGATCACCTTGACGAACCTGTCTTCAGGTGAAAATTTGACTTATTTGTTAGTTTTGTATCTTTATTTTTATATGCCCAAATTAAACAAATGTTAGGTTGTATGAAAATGTTATTTATTTCCAAAAAAATATTTTTTAAATGGTAAAAATGTATATCATTTTGTGATTCCAATCAGACCTTTTCTTAAATACATTTAGAATGCAGCAATTATCTAACAAAATTATATTTTCCAAAATTCCTTAAAATTTCATAATCCAAAATTTGGTTAGTTGGCAACCTAGTTTTAGTCATGATAGCCTTATCCGATGAGACACGCCCAAGTAGGCGCGCAGCCAGAACGGCGCAAAGCCATAACTTGCTGGAAAATTTCTGACTCTTATCAATTTTAGTATCAAACTCTTTAGCTCGATGAGAGGAATCGTTTAATACTAAATTTGTTAAGATTCGAAAATCTTGAAGCAAGTTATGGCTTTGCGCCTTTATGGCTGCGCGCCTACTTGGGCTGTACCCTTATCGATAACCTAAAATCCAGTGCCAATGTGGCTTCATAGACTGCGAAGAATGTTGCGTAAATATAGTAAAAGGACCATAAAAAATTATTTATTCAACTTGGAATATTTATGATATGAATTAATACAAAAATTGTAGTAAGGAGCAAGAAAACAATTTAAATAAAAATGAAAGTGACAAACAAAAAGTTATTTAAAATTAAAAAAAATTAATTAAATCTCATATTTTTTTAAAATTAATATTTCAGAAATGAGATAAAATAAAAACAATTAATTTGTGGAAATAATTGGGGAATATTTAATTTAAAAAATTAAAAGTTTGAGCTTAAAATTTCGTTTGTTTTGTTTCTGTAAAAAATTAATTGAGTAAACATGTTTAAATAAAATCCTTTCTTTTTAATTTTCTTTCTTTGCCGGCGGAATTACAAGAAGTAATTTTTGAGAGAATAATGTAAAATCATCTAAAATAATTTTTTAAAAATTAAAAAAAGAATTTTTAAATAAATAAATGTACCCATTAAACGAGAAAGTGTTTCCATTCTGTCTCGCCAATAAACAAAAAGGAAATAGACTGGTAGCCCGGTAAGCATAATTCCAATACCAATAGCTGTGTCCATTGGGGCTTGATACCTTTTAATTAAATGAATAAATATATTGAATTTAAAATTAATTTTTCTCTGTCAACTTTTTAAATATCCTTTATATAAATTTAAAAAATATTTAAACATTACATAGGAAAAACAACAAGAAATATACATCCAAGTAAGAAAATAATTGGGAAGAACATATTAACTTTTAAAGGACGTGGATAGTCCCTTGGAGGTTTTGAAATTCTTTAAATTAATTTTTTAAAAGAATATCAGCAAAGAAAACCCACCTCATCCACATAAGACCAGCAGTAGCTACCCCAATAGCTAACCAATTAACTATTTGAACATAATTAATTAAAGTATAAATATTATCAGAAAGTAATAAATATGCCAATGAAAGGATTGCTGTAAATAAAACAGCGGGGACGGGGGTATTCCAATAAGGATTGATAAAAGATAATATTGAGGGCATATGTTCATTCCGTCCAGCAACAAAGAATAATCTAAAATTTAAATATTTAATAAAATCCTTTTTTTTTATTAAATTATTACCTTGAAGAAGTTAGCATAACCCCATTAACTGTCCCGAAACAAGACCCAGCAACCAATAAAGGCATAATAAAAGCAAATATTCCATAAAATTTATTTGCAAACTTAAAACAAATTTTAATTTTTAAATTGTTTTTAAAAGAACTTACAGTAACAGCAATAGCATTAGAGGTAAGTAATTCTTCCGGGGATGTTCCAGCATAAAAGGCTACATTAGCCAATACATAAAATCTTTAAGAATAATTTAAAAACAAAAAAGCAAACGGAGAGGTTGATGACTAGTGTTTCACCGGAACCGAAATTTTGACCGGAACCGGATCCAATTTGAGTTCCGGTTCCCGGAACCGGAACCAAAATAACATGGGAACTTTCCGGAACCGGACTTACGGTGAAACTCTAAACTATTCTTTTTAAAAATTATTCTTACAAAGTACTGAGAGAACAACTAATTAATATTGCAAGGGGTAAATCTCTTACAGGATTAACCATTTCCTAAAAAATAATTAATTAAAAAATTCTTTTCTTCATTAAAATTACTTCAGTAATAAAATTTAAATAATTCCATCCATTATAAGCCCACAATCCCGAATAAAAAGCTATTGCTATTTGTCCAGCACCGATTCCTTCTGGGATTTTGAAAGGTTTATTAAATGAATCTCTATAGGCTAAAGATAAGAGAGTTATTTTTTTAAATAAAAAATTTATTTTTTATTTACGATCTCCATATAAAAGCAAAACAAGTCCAGTTATAATAATTAAAGTTAAAGCACCAAGTTTTGCAATTGTAAAAATATTTTGAATTTTTGTAACAAATTTAACACTTTTGCAATTAATTAAACAGAGAAGAACTTGAAAAAATAATTTTTTATTTTATTTTAAATTTAATTAATTAACTAATAACAGCTGCAGCTAAAAGTTGTGGAGCATAAGGAGGTAATTTGCAATTGGGAAAGAATGGTTGTAAAATATATGTCGAGAAGGTTATTGCAACTGCTGTTATTGTACATGGACTAAAATAAAATATTTTTTTAATTTAAAAAAAATAAATTTTAACCGAACAATTATACATTCAATCCACATTCTAAGAAATCCACAAAGAGGGCCAAAGGCGGCCAAAACTTTTTTAAAAAAATAAATTAAAAATTAAATATTTATTTAATTACCATAAGCATAATCCCCTCCAGATTCTCGAATAAAACTAAAAATTTAAAAAATAAAAATAATAATTTATTTAAAAAATTCTTTTACGTTCCCAATTCAGCATAACAATAAGCCCCAATGGCAGAAAATAATCCACAAATTACCCAAACAACTAAAGACCACCCAACAGAAAGTAAATCTTTTTTAATAAATAATTTTAAAATTATTTATCTTTTAATTACTTTCGTGTACTCCTTTTGGCGATATAAATATTCCAGATCCAATAATACATCCAACAATAACCATAACACCCCCAAATAAACGAATTTTTGGTTTTAGTGCTACATCCTCTTTTCCTCCCTTTAAATGATTGAAATAAAGACAAAATTATTTTATCAAAGATGAAATTTAATTAAGACTAGGGTTGTACACCGTCCCCCAAACCCTAATTAAGACTAACCAAACAAAATAATAACTTTCAAAAAATACTCAACATTATTTAATGTCACTTCGAAAACAGAAATTATATACCTATGTATTAAGACAAAATCCCTTCCATTAATTCTGTGATTTTTTTATCATGTCCTAAAATAGGTATAACCCGATATTCTTCTTCAAATTTGTTTCCCATTCCCAAAAAGACTTTCAAAATTTTTAAAGTTGAGAGAAAATTAATTTAAAAAAATTTATTTATTTTCTCAAAAATTGAAAATTAAAAATTAATTTAAAATAAAATTACTTCATCATCAAAGCCATCTTTTTGTGTTATTGGGGATTGATAAACTGGCTTAGTTTCTTCGGAATCTAATCTTAAAGACATTTTAATAAATAATTAGTGGATGTTGTTGTTGTTAATTTTGTTTTGTTTTTAAATTAAACAAATTAAATTAAAAAATAAAAATAATTTTTTTAGAAATTAAAATGCAAAAAATTTAAAAACAAACTAAAAAATTCAATAATTTATTATTTAATTTAAAAAAATAAAGAATATAATTGCAATAAATATACATATATAAAATATTTTAGTAAATTAAATGGAAAAAGGGAAAATTATTTATTTATTTAGCTTTAAATTAAAATCAATTAAAAAAAGCTTTTGGATAATAAAATTAATTGAACAATTAAAAAAAAAGAAATTTTTCTAAAATCTTTTGATTGAAACAAAATCCAAAAAAAAAATCAATGTGAATTGGCCATTAAAAAATAAATTTTAGAAAAAAAAGATGGAAATTAAATTTAAATTTTTTTAATTTCAAAGAAAAAATATACCAAAGTAAAAGGTGTTGAAGTATCTGTTTTGATACGAAATGATTTTTTTATAAATTTGTAATAAAATATTGGGAATTTAAAATTAATTAAAATAATAATGTAAAAATATTTGTAGAGCAAATTAAAATTACACAGTAGAGATTCTTAAAAAGATAAAAACATTTGGGGGGGGGGGGTAAAACTTTTAAATAAAAATATTTATTTAATTCTTTTTACAAAATTTAAAAGTAATTTTTCACAATTCTTTTAATTTCTTTTTAAGGATTTTTTTCTTTTATTTTGTGTAAAAGACAGAAAAAAAGAAGGAATATTTAAGTAGGTGACTGACAGATTGCATCAATTCCCAGCTTTTTTACTTGGACAAAATAAATAAAAAGTATATTATTGCATCATTCTTTTTTTTAAAATATTATTTCTTTTTTAATTGAAATAATAAAAAGAAATAAATTAAAAGAATTTTTGAATTAATTAAAGTACATAAATTTATTTTTTAAAAGTTTTTATTTAATTATTTTAATTTTAAAAAAGTTGGGGGAATTGTAGTGACTGGTAATTTTTAATTTATTTTTAAATTAGAAAATAATTAAAATTAAAAAGAAATTAATAATTAATTTATTTTTAAAAAATATGTTGCCTTTATTTAAAGCTAACTAAAAACATTTCCTTTATTTATTTACTAGAAAAAGGAGAAAAAATATTTTTTGTTGTTGGTAGCCATGAAAAATGGGCATTTGTTTTGTGTTTAGAGTGTTGCTAACTACTAAATAATAAATAGAAAAGAGAAGAAGGAAAAAGGAA